CAAGAAGAAGAAGTGGGATTCTAATTAAAAGAAATGGTGGCGGCGAAAGCGCGGCCCGCAGGGCCGCGCTTTCGCCGCGCGGCTGGTTTGGCTTTCGCGCTGGTTAGATTTTCGCGCACGCATTTGGTTACCAATATCGCCCTCCGGGCGCGATCTTCATACCTGTGGTCGTGTGTGTGCTACTGCTAATGTGATGCATTTTTGACAGTCGCAGATGCAGGTCAACATCGCAATGAAGATTTAAAGTGTATCTCGTCTAATTATCTCGAGTCTTCAATTTTGTCGCGCCCGCGACCCTTGTGGAACTCTTTCTAATCCGTCGTCGCCCTCAGTTGTCAGTCGTTTGTTGAAATAGATGGGCTAGAGAGCCTTGATGTATTACAAGGATAGGAAGTCGATTCCACCCTCGTAAACGAATAAAAAGCACCGCGGTGAACTACTACGCGACAAATTTATTACTTTTTCGGTTGTTTTCAACACCAGTTCATCTTCTACAAAGACGCAAACGAGAAAATCAGCCATGTCCCCCCCAGCAGCGCAATCCTGCGCTCCCGCAACCACCACCTGGTGGGATCCGCCCAACTGGAAAACGGACCTGCGACGCCTGATTCAAAGTTTGGTTAGCGATGGCTGCCTCGAGAACAAGACCGACTCCCCAGCAGCAACTGTATTCGTCGAGTCTACCGTGGTCAATTTCGCAACGCACTTGACGAACTACTCGTTCGCCAACCGGCTGCAATTTGCGTTCGAATTTTTCGCCGATAAGGAGATCGACCTTCTGGGAACAAACCACACCCAGTTTTCCACCCAATTTCTCTCGCGGCTTTTTTACTGGTGCTTCGAAATGGACGAGGCCGAAAAAATGGCTTTGGCAGATCCAGATGGGAAAAATAACGGAGCAGCTGGAACGCAAAATAAACCCGACGACACGCCACAGCGCCTGCGGGATCAAGATGAAGACTTTGAGATGCTGGATGTGAAAGAGCAGGCGGCCATGGTGGATGAAGATTTCGAATTGGTAGCGATTTTTATAAAAAGGGTTGGAGACCATGATTACCAGGCTGGTGGTTCATCTAGCACGACCATGCAAGAGACGTCCTCCGCTCTGCCTGGGGGCCATCATCATCATCAAGAAAAAGAACTCGGCGAACTAAACGGGAGTCGCTTCCACGTGTTTCGTATCGTCATTTTCGTTCTGGCGAAGCTGGCAAAGACGGGGCCAGCGCCGTTTGCCGCCCTCGCGGTCAAACTCCTAGACGTGTACCTGCAGTCTGCGAGCTCAGACTTCCGGAAGGAATTTCTGTCGATGATGCTTCCGCTGAGAGCGCTGACAGATGAAAAGCTGGAACAAATCTTCGTAAAAGCGCCCCCAAAACTGCAGCAATTTATCCTCACAACTTGCCTGAAATTGTGCCGGGAAACGAAGACCGCGGTGACAGGACGAGATCATTCTTGTTCTTCTGGACAAAAGACAACGACGAAAGCTGCAGTACTAGACGAAAAGTCTTCGAGAAAGAACGCGGAAACAAGAACCAACCGGAGCAGGTTTCTGTACGAATTTATCTACCAAAAGAAGCTGATTTCCGACCCGGTGAAGGATGTCTTTCCGCTGTGTTGCGTAGTTCCAGAGGAAAGCGAAACAAAATCGAAACCGGAAATGGAAACACAAATTGCGAAACTAACGCCCTGGCTCGAGCGGTTCTACCCGTGTTTATTAGTGGAAAGGAAAAACGACTGCGCGTTGGGAGACTCGGCGGGAAACCCCTGGTGGCCGGAGAACTGCAGGCCGAAGAGCTGTCTGTTACCACATGAAGCTTTTGCTCTCAAGGCGGGGAGCGAACAATTATCGGCGGGTCAGAACTACAAAAACGACGGTGCTGCTGGTGGAACAAATCCACTTCGTGCAGCATCTTCGGCTTTAGCTGGTCGAAAATCTAAGCAGGAGCTGGCGTCTCTCCCCTCCTGGACGCATTTTGGGGACATTTACTGCTTTTTGTTGGAAAAGATGTTCGCTTCTTTCGGCCAGGATAAAGTAGCACTCGGTTACTGGTACAAATTTTGGGAACAGCACCTGCTTCCCAACGTTCCGAGAATGCACGGTTTTGACCGCAAATCGGCGTGGACAGTGCGGATTTACGAATTACTGGTGAAGTACAAACCGATGGTGTTTTCCAAAGCGATTCTGCAAGCCACTAACGCCGCTGTCAATGCGACGCACTGGGTGCGCCACAGTGCGCAACACGGTTGTCAGGGGTGCCACTGGGCTTGGTTTCTGGTGCCGGTGTTGCCGCAGACGATGGTATTTTGGAAAAGATCTTTAACGACGTTCCAAATCATTACTTAGCGCATATAGCACATTCTTTTGTTGATGGCGATTCCAGAATGAAAAAATAAATGGCTCGCGAAAATAGATGCACGCTGTTGAGCCGTACTTCTAGATGTTGCCTCTACAACCTGAGTCGTGCAAGATGAGTCCATGTGCAGTTGCTTGAAAAAAAATAGAGTTGCATACATACAGGTCGCCCACTGGATCGGTACCTTGCCGGTGATCGAAAATTCGGTCGTGCCGTTTATGGAAGCGTCAGGTTTGAAATCGACAAAGTTGAAATAATTTGCCATGCGCAAAATGGATGCCAGTTGGACCCCAGTTTCCAAGTGGCGCATGACAAATTTTGGCTGTGCCTAAATCCAGTTTGTAATGCTGTTTAGGTACAAAAGATTGACTCTTACTTCTGCAGCTCGAGCTCTAACCCTAAACAGGCTCACAATCGGCCTCACTTGCCTGCTCTGCAACACACGTATTTCGCGCCATGCATTTTATGCATGGCAAATCATTTCAACTTTGTCGATTTCAATCCTGACACTCCCATACCGTTTTTGGAGAACTTCGAAACGATGGGACAAGAACGCGCAGAAGCAGGTGGAGGTGACTCAGGCAGCATGATAAAGGAACCCTCCACAGATGATGACGCTGATCTCCCGCCAGACCTGAACCTGGAGCACTCTCTGCAACTCGCCGAAGTCATCGCGACCCTGTTCAACTACGGGGTGGATTTACGGAAAAACGCATCCAAATCCGGCATCAAAAAGGTGATGGAGTGTTGCGAGCAAGCGCTCGACAAGATCACAGAAACACTCCGCGAAGGACAAGATGAACAGCAGCAACCTGGTGCTGGCACTGGGTCCTCTAGTTGTAGTACCTCCGACCTTCTCGAGGAGCAGTATGGCCGCGTTCTCAAATGTTACATTCTCAACTGTTGCATGATTTGTCATACAAAATTGCCATATGCAACCGCACGACCAAGCGGCTCCGCATGAGAAATCTCCGAAGGGCTAAACAGCATGGAAATCTGTGCCAAGCTTGTGATGCTAGAGTTGCAAGGTCCTCCCTTTCACTTTCGCTTTTCTTGCATCACAAATTCATGTAACGGTTGAGAATGTAACAGTTGGGAACTCCATAAGCAGCTGTGGGCGTTTTTCCTCGCCACTTACAACGCCGACCCCGGGTTCACTATGCAAGAAAAAAATTGTGTAAGTGTAACGTCCCTGTAATGCAGAACATGCAACAGAGTTACATCTGTTATGCCAGAAAGCCACGAGGCCTCTTTTCATGTGTGTTTTCCCTTGCAAGCAATGCATGACAGGTTTTCTCTGTCACGTAGAGCAAACTTGTGATGCTGTTAGCCAAAGGCAACGAAAGTTACACTAGCACAATTTGTTTCTTGGATATTCACGCACGGCCCTCTACCCTGCATCGAATACGACTTTGCTGAACTGTTGCGGCGACCTGTGGAGCTCAGGCAGAGGCGGGGGGGAAGAACTCCGAAGACTTCTGGCGGGAAAGGCAAAGGTGGTAAAAAGAAGGGCAAAGGCAAGAAGCGCGGACGAGGTGGCTCTTCGCCCCAAACCCGAGGACAACATCTAACCCCAATTATTTCCCGCAACAGCCAAATCTTTTCAAACGTGAAGGACTACATCCACAAGCACAAGTTGAAAATCCAGGAAATTGCGCAGACAAAGTTCTTACCAAATGCAAAAATGTCTGGGTCTGGAACGAAGGATGCAACTTGTGATGCTGAATTTCGATTCTACAAAAATCTGTATTGCGTGAACAGCAAAAGAGGTCCAGCTTTTGCCACGGCGAGAGGGCATTTCTCATACGGTATAGGCATCAGGAAGCCCTCACAAAATCTGTGATGCTAGAGCATGCGTCACAGACTTCAGGAGTCACGCAAAGCGTGCATGACAAACCTTGCATTCTTCCAGACCCAGACACTTTTGCATTTGATAGTTCTACGGGCTTGAGCAGATTGCACGAAAGCTGGACAAGGAGGAAAACGAATTTTGGCGACAGTTTCTGGTGGAAAAGCGAAAGCAGGCGCAGCAGGAAAACAACAGCTTGGTTGGGAACTTTGATTCAAAAGTCACGAGAGATCAGCTCCGTCTTTCCTTCCTTTTCCAATACATCCACATGGTGACGAACTTTGACTTCAAAAACAGCAAATCCGCAAAGAATCCCTACGGCCCGCCGATGCAGCAAAACAGGCCGAAGAAGAGCTATTTCCCGAAAAAATCTTCGAATTTCAAGGAGTTGCAGTTTTGCTTGGTCAAGAAGTGGGATCAGCTGCGGCACATGTTTATGCTCAAATCCATTTTGCGAATTCGAAAAGCGCTGGCCGTTCCTGGGGATAATGGTATGTCAGCTGTAGTACCTGGCGAAGATGCGTTACTCCAGCACATCCTCCCGGAGGTTTTACTAGCGGCACTTACGACAACGGCGACTGGTGGATCCAATGCAGCAACTACCAGCGGCGCTGGCATTCCCGCGAAGGCTGCGACTCTGTCAGAAATTATCGCCCCTGACCAGCAGGCAGAGCTGGTCGAGAAGTTGATTTTCGGGAAGAACGGCACGACCTCGTTGTTTATCACAGAGCAAGAGAAAGATATTCAGGAGTTGATTTTTGACGCGCGAAGGAAGGCGATCAAAAAAGATTTTCGCAGTAGCAGCATCTACGCATCGCCAAGCGGAAGTTCCGGCGCCCTTCCCTTCTCCTTCGCGATGTGCTTGGAGTTTTTGAAATTCGATGAGAAAAAAGGAAAGATGTCGGACAAGATCGTTCTGCCAAGCAACAAATTTGCCGGCATAGCCGATATCCGGAACAAAGTCTACAAAATGCTGGAAAATTACGCAGAGACCGGACGGGAAGCGCTGTGTTTGTATCTGGCGAATTTGGTGAAAGCGCAGCTCAAGTGGGAAGTCCTTCACCCGGCGGAAGCGAGGGAACAGCTGGGAGCGATGATGATGTTACAGGGAAAAAATATTGAAGATCGCGATACCATTCCGGAATTTTTTCAACCCTTTTTCCAAGACCCGAAACTCCGTCCGATCACCAGGCGAATCGCGAAAAACATTTTCCAAACGGGAGGCAACTCGCAGTTTTCGTCCTCTCCCTACGAAGAGCACTTGAACGTGAGGAAACTGGTTTTGGATAGAGAATACAGAGACAACAAAGCGAGCAACGCGCTCAGCCTGGACATGTGTTGCAGTCCCCAGAACGACATTTCCTCCGACCACGACACGAATCTCATAGCGTTATTGCGGGACTTGACGGCGCAAGGGAATCCGAACGATACGTCCTCTGTTTATCGCTTCAAATTCTCCGATATCAAATGTAAAAATGTCTGGGTCTGGAAGAATGCAACTTGTGATGCTGCATTTGGATTCCAGAAAAATCTGTATTGCATGAGTACCAAAAGGAATGTAATTTTTGCAACGCGGAGAGGGCATTCGTCATGCGGAATAGGCATCAAGAAGCTCTCAAAAAATCTGTGATGCTAGGGCATGCATCACAGACGTCAGGGCTCATGCAAAACGTGCATGACAAGTGTCAGAATCTTCCAGACCCAGACATTTTTACATTTGATATCCGATCCGTCGACCGTCGGGAGCTCTGTCGGTCCCTACAAGACGCCACCCGGGCCGGGTGGGAAGCTGTTGGAGAGGTTTCTCGACTTTGAGATGGAGATTTTAACAGACCTGGTGGAAATGGCGAAAGCTAGTTTGGAAGTGAGTATGGGAGGCGATATGTTAAAAAAGCCACTTAATCCGGTCGAGGAACAAGACGAGACGCGCACTGCCGCTGTGCGACAACGTGCGTGCCTGCCCAGTTCATATTATTTTTGAATCATGGTTGGCGCAGAGCCCCGCGGGGCTCACGGCCACCGAGACCACCACGCGTTTCTTGTTAGGCAGGAATGAACGCAAGGCCAGCAACCTCGGGCGCGCGGGGACTGCTCGGGCCAATTTTCATCCTTTTGTTTTTATTTGTTGCTTGGCGTGGGCCTAGCGACTGTGGCCTGACCCAGGCCCTCCTCCCCAAGAATCGACGCGCAGCGTGTGCTTTGGGCCGGGCCGCCGGAGCTCGGCAGCGGCGCATGGCATGCGCATTGCGCTGCGGAGGGGACCTAGCCCGGTGCAGTGCCGACCGTCTAACCTTGTCAGTATAGTCGCATTAGGGAGCCGGGGCCCGACGCGAACCCGGCACCCAGCTGCCCTGTTGTCGCACGCGTTCGGCGAGTCGGTATTGACAAGGCGCCCGGCCGCGTTACGGAGCGCGGCTGCATGCTCCGTTTGCGTTTGGTATGTGGACATAGATATGTGTGAGCTTGTCTTGCCACCATGTGAATTGCTCTAGTGGCCGTCGTTTATATGTTCTCTTCCGCCCTCTTTGCCGGGGGCGTAGAGCCTTATTTCCAAATGGGGCGCCACCGTGTATTAAATCCCACCTGGTAACAGCGGTAGGAAAGTAGTGAGGCCGGGATCGGGCGTGAACCGCGCCTGCGTCTGCACGTGCACAGAGCCCATTTTGCGGCGTTTGAGGTGCCCCGTCGGGCTCTAAGCGGCACAACCTAAAGCTGCAGCGCACTCGTTTCCGCTGGCTATCGTGAGTATTTCCCGATAGCTATCGTAATGGCGATGGTACCGGAATAAGTGAGTGTGCGTCCATAGTGAGTATGGGAGCAGGCGATATGTTAAAAAAACCACTTACTCCGGTCGAGGAACAAGACGAGTCTGGTTCTCCTCTAGCGAAACGGATTCGAATTCGGACCAGCCCGGGGGCAGGGACCACAAATGCTGATGCTGGAACCACTGCGACAATGGAAGACCAGGTGATGGGAGGTGTTGATCCCAGAAGCCCAGCTTCAGGTGGCTCAGTTCTTGCTTCTTATCCTCTCGACGAAAACACCCCGCTGATCTCAATTTTGCTCGCGTCAGCATCACGATCACCCCCTTCTGGTACGAAAACCTCCAACACAGCAGCAGCCTCAACCTCTTCACCAGCATCCTTATTCCAAGTTTCGGAAAGTGCGAAAACCAATTTGAAAGTCGCCGCAAGAATGGCGCGCAACGAGAAAAACGCGAAGGAGAATTCGGATGCTGAAGCTGCATCGGGTAACAAAGTAGCGATGTCTGATTTGGAGGAGAAATTGGCAGGTTCACTGTTTGTGGAGGTGGACTGCTTTGATGATCTCAGTGGTGGTACAACAGCTGGTGCAGCTGCGGGGGCGGCCACGAGAGTTGTTACATCAAAAAGAAACAAGAACGTCAAAGCTCCTTCCTCACCAGCTGAGCAGGTGGATGACGAGGACGGGGAATTGCTCTTGCTAAAAGACGCGAAGTGGCGTTTTGCGAAGATCGTTACGTGCTTGAAACTATCAAATGCAAATATGTCTGGGTCTGGAAGGATGCAACTTGTGATGCTGCATCTGGATTCTACAAAAATCTGTATTGCATAAACAGCAAAAGAGGTTCAGTTTGTGCCACGGCGAGAGGGCATTTCTCATGCGGTTTAGGTATCAGGAGGCCCTCACAAGAGCTGTGATGCTAGGGCATGCATCACAGACGTCAGGAGTCATGCAAAATGTGCATGGCAAACCTTGCATCCTTCCAGACCCAGACATTTTTGCATTTGATAGAAACGGTTAACGGAGGTAGTCGACGGACAGAAAAACGGGCTTCTCTTCTTCCATCCGAAGACGACGTGGAAAAGGAGAATCGTTTTCTTGGATGTCGTGAATCCTACAAGTACAACGGCCGACGGCACTTCAACATCTAGAAGTACTTCACCCACGAGAACGCCGAACAACCCCATTCAACTCGCGGAATTCCTCACCCAATTGAACGCCTATACCATCGAGATGCGGTCTCTTTACACGCAAGCGTTCCCATTTCAACACACGACGAATAAGAAATTCGAGCAGCCGATTCGGCAGCTGGATGAGGTTGAAAACTTGCTGAGCCAATTACTGACGAAGATGCTGAAGAAGATCCTCGCTATCGCGCCGGGCTTCGGGCAGTTTTGTGCGACTGAGGAGAATTATAACGCGGGCATTTTATTTCCTGCGACAGAAATGACAGAGCACGAGTATGACGCGCTCAGCTGTTACAATCTCAAACGTTAATACTTTAGAATATGGAAATCTGTGATGCAAGAGTGCATGATCTAGCACACTCTCATAGGATTGCGCATGACAAGTTCCGGAGCTCCAAACCCCACTACAATCTGGCGAAATTTGTATTGCAGAAAATGAAACGCTCTGCGAGTCTGTCATGCTCATCACGCAAGACAAATCTCAGATTCTATTGTAACGCTTGAGATTGTCACGCCTGAGTGGGTTATAACGAGCTGTGTTTGTGGGAACTATTCATTTTCGTAACGGAGTTGCAGTGGCGGAGATTGGCGGCGTACTGCACGAAAGCTACGTCAGAAGATTTTTCTGCTGCCGGCGCCCGAGGTGGACAAGGCTTCGACAGCAGTTATTCACCCGAGCTATTAGAGTTGGTGGCGCAAGCAAGACAAAACAACCAAGAACTTTCAAAAAACGGCTTCCAGCTCAAGTTCCAGGACGAGTTTCTCTTCGACGATTCTGTGAACAATATTTCCACCAGCAAGACCACGACCCAACTGAAAGCGCTCACCGCCGGAATGGCATCTTGTATCCACTTGCTCCACAGCATTGTGGATGGGACTTCCTGTAGAAACGAAACTCTGAAAAGAAAATCGGAGGCGAGCAGAAGCTACAACCCAATTTGGAACGTTTCTTTAAGCTCAACCACGGAGAGCAAGCAGATCCAGACCAACCTCCAGACCTTCTTCACCCGCATGCTGACAAACCTTGGCACGCAAGAACCGATGCTGGGACCGCACGCGAGCCACGAAGTGGCAGCTATGGGTAGTAGTAGCACCGACCGAAATTTGAAGCCGTTTCCGATCGCGGGAGCGTTTGTAAATGTGTTGCTACGCTTCGCGGAGATACTTGCTACAACGCCATCACCAGGCACGAACTCCTCTAGTGTAGTTTCTGCGACACGACCAGCAGCAGGAAAGAAAGAGAAAGTAGATTCGTCTTCTGCCTCCACCGGAACTGTTCTGATTCAAATCGCGACACAGTTTCTTTTCAAAATGTTCACCCTCACCATCCCCCCCGCCGGGCCGAATACGGCGACTCTCTGGCCGGATGAAAAAGAGGAGCTGAAGGAAGCGAGCAGCGGAAGCAGGAAGATGAACCTGGGATCAGGTAATTCTCAGCCGGATGAGTACGCGAAGAATTATTGGCGGAGCGTCCGAAGCAATTGCTGGGCCTGCAGGATGTCGACGTTTGCGGTTTTGCACGCGAGTTTGCGGGACATGGGGCTTGTTCTAGGTGGAACTATAGAGGATAACTCGGGTACTACTGGCGGGCGCACGACCACAACGGCTGGAACTGCAAACGACGTCGCACAAGAACTGCCGCTATTTAACGAGCGGTATTTCCTCGCAATGCTTGAATCCGCGGAAACCGAGCAGATCGAATTAATCCGGCAACTGCAAGATCTCCAGCCTGTGGACGTGAAAGATCCGGAATCGAGGATCGAACGGGTGGTAAAAACGCTGGAAGACGGCTTCTACAGAATGTTGACATCATATCCTATGTAAAAACGTCCCCACCCCATAGTCAAGATGGGGGATTGGCTAGACAAATCCACAAGTTTTGGCTGTCTTGCATGACAGATTTGGACTCATAGCGTAGTGCTGTTTGAGCTAGCTCAGCAGCATCACAGACCTAGCATATCATGCTGATTGGAGCATGACAAATTGCAAAACACGACTGGAAAATGCTTCTCATGGGGCTCCGCATGAGAAACAATTTCAGCAGGCAGATTTGCAATACAACTATGGTGTGGGGACGTTTTTACATAGGATACATCAACACCCTTCCTGCTCCAGTATCTCCCGAAGCCACAGTTGCTGCTACCACTGTGCTACCAAACCTGGTTTGCGCAAGTTGTGAAAGTTTTGAAGATATCAAATGTAAAAATGTCTGGGTCTGGAAGAGTCATGCTGTTTCTGCATAACACAGAAGGTCTGGCATGGAAGCTCTAGCATGGAAGCTCTAGCATCACAGGTTTCGAGAAGCTTCCGCAATGCCGAACCCGCGTGACAAATCCCCCACTTTGGTGGCAGAAAGTGAGCAGCTTTTGCTGCCTATGCATCAGAGATTTTTGTGTGCTCTGAAATGCGCATGACAAGTTGCTTTGTTCCATACCCAGACATTTTTGCATTTGGTAGAAGACCTACGCAGCGCGGAAAATCCAAAATGAGCCCGGCCCGGTATCAAAATGAAAAAAGCTCCCACCCCATATCAATGGGAAATCTGTGATGCAGGATTTGTGTACACAAATGCGCGCTGTCTTGCAATACGGCATCGCAGCCAGATCCGCAGCCTACGGAGGGACGTTTGGGTCTAGGTGCTTAGCATTACAAACGGCTGTGCTCCAGGCCCAACAGCATGCCAAATCGCTTCCATAATGGCGCGGAAGCCTCTGTGTTTGTCTTCTTGCAAGACACGCGCGATCTGTGGTCTCAAATCAGCAATACAAATTTCGGAAGCATCCTTTTTGATATGGGGAGCGGGGACTTTTCCTCTCAATACCCGGACAGAATTCGCTTCTACGATTGGCTTTGGAACGAAACAGAGAAACTGCTGAAGATTGGGTTTCAGGCCCATTTGATGAGCTTTAGCGGGTATTGCAGGAGTAGAAACGTTCTGGTGCTGCAGGATGAACATCAAAGTCAGAGCCAGCAAGGACAACGAACAACTACCGAAAAAGGACAAAACGCGCAGTACTTTTCCCTGACGGAGGTAGAGGCATATGCAAAACAGCTAGCCGAACCGCTGACGGAGTTACTCCAGCTGCATTTGAAACTTTTCCGAGAAGATATCGCGAAACGGGATTCCGTTGCGAAGCACCATTTCATGGAAATTGCAAAGAAATGGCTGCGGCTCGCGAGCGACTGGGAAGAGGGAATTCTGCTGTCCTCCGAAGGGACTGCGCGGAGTTGCCTGCATGCGCTTGCGGTTTTGAACTCTACTACTTGCAGGGGAAATACTGCGCAGGAGGACCAGCACCAGCAAGCTTCGCCGCTGAAACAGTTCTACGATAAGGAGCTTTACAACCTGCGCAGACTCGTGATCAAAACTGCGATGGAAATCCAGCTCCCCGTGATACAGCACCAGGACGGTCTTGCGGCGACGAAGAAGTACGTTTGGCTGGTTGACTCCACTTTGTACAAGCCCGCGGGCAATCTTATCGTCGATGTGGACTCCTTCGAAAAGCCAAGGGGGATTGAGTCGTTAAACCTGTTGCCCGGGGATGAAAAAGAGTTCGAAAGACTGCGGAAGCTGTACGTGGAGAGACTTATGGAGTGTATAGAAGAGGACGAGAAGATAATGAAAACGGGACAGCCTACTTCCAACGGCGGAGGCTTTGTCGGTCGTTCTGACGATGAAAGCGGAAAAATGCACCTCTCCGAGGACTCCAATGGACCTGCATCCTTATCCCCGATCGACGACAACATGGGTGTGATTGGTACAACTTCTGCCAACGATAAAGCTGCTGGAGAAAAACCTTCTTCCTTCCTGCGAGATCTCCTGTCCGCGGCCCACCGGAAGAGATTCGCGGACCGGAGCGAGTATTTGAAAAACTTTTTAGACAAGTTAACGCGGCAACTGCAGGTGTTCCAAAAACCGGACAAGACAACCCCGCTTCTCCCTCTCGCCGAACAGGCGCGGCTATCTGCGAAACAGCGGACCGAACTGTTTTTGCAGGTTTTCATGGAGCGGAGCGGGTCCCAAGACTCGGAGGAGTTTAAGAAGCAGGTCTTTGACGCAGGAATTGCGCGGGACAATTCTTCCTCGTTCAGCACCACTACCGGCGGGGCGGCTGGAGTGAAGATGAAACTGCTGCCACTGCCTGAAGACACAACGATGAAGACTTGGAAAATACATGCCTCCATGTTTTTCAAACGATTCATGTTTTTGATCCGCAGCTCCGTAGGCGAAGGAAGACTGCAGCTGTTCCATGTATATTTAGACCACTTACTTATTTTCTTCAGGTGCTGGAGTTTCACTTTCAAATACATTTTTGTGGTGAAGATGCTCTCGCTCCAATTTATTTTCTATCTTGTTTTAGTGACAGGCATTTTATTTGCAGCTCCTAGAAGCAACAAGAGTGAAATATTCATGAGTAGCTCGTCCTCCTGAACGCGGGAACGAATGATATAAAAAATCAAACACCGACCAGTCTCCTCCCCTCCTTCGCTTTATCGCCTTCGTTTTCAACGGCCTCGACTTCGTTTTTCCGGACCATGACCTGCCGAAACCCGATAGCGATGCGGAACTGCAACAGGAGTGGCACCTTAGACAAGCGTGGGAGCTGTTTCATTTGCTCAAATTGGAAATGGAGGCTGATGACGTGCCCTCTGGTTACCACGACCGATCTCTTCCTGCTTTCTTCGGTCCCTGGACCTTCAAACGGCTTTTCGAAGACAAATTGCAGCTGCCCAACCCCGCGGAGAAGCTGTTCTATGCCAGCATCCGGATCGCGAGAAGGAAGAAGCAAACCTTTCTGGAGAGGTCACTCCCTTTATGCAAGAAAAGAACTGTGTAGGTGTAACTCTGTGATGCGGAAAGTGCAAAACTGTTTTACAGTTGTCATGCTGGATGTGCGTCATGGGCTACTTTTATACGTGTTTCCACGTACTAGCTGCGCATGACAGGTTTTCCCTGTAATGCAAAACGAATTTGTGATGCTGCTCTTGTTCCTACGAAGTTACACTTCCATACACAGTTTTTTTCCTGGATACCCTTGGGACAGAGTGCACAACCAGAAGCAAGTAAAAACGCTGCGGGCGAAATTCCAGCTGCAGTCTGATTGGCTCAGACTCATTGCGAGTGACTACTTACCGGATTACGTTCTGGAGATGGAGGAGCGGAAGCGGTTCAATGGTATCGAAAGGAAGAATCCCCCCTCCCTATATCAAAACGGAATTTCTGATGCTGGATTTGTGTACACAAATCAGCTTTGTATTGCAGAGAGGCATTGCCATTGCGGCCAGATCTCCAGGCTTAGTAGGGGCGTACGGGTCTAGTAGTAGTTCAACATGGCAAACGGCTCCCCTTTCGGCCCAACAGCATGACAAATCGCTTCCACAATACATAGGGCGGAAGCTTCTGCCCTTGTCTTCTTGCATAGACAAAAGTGATTTGTGGCCTCAAATCAGCAACGCAAAAAATTTTCGGAGACATACCGTTTCAATATGGGGAGGGGGGATTTTTCCTTACGATAAATAGCGGAGCGAAATTTCGAAGTTTGCTGGTGAATTCTTCTTCTCCCACCGCGGCTCCTCAGCAGGGTAGCGTCGTTGCGGCAGACCAAATCATGGACCTGCAGATGATTGAGGATGAATTTATGCTACAGAACTACGCCCAGCTGACGCAGTTTGCCCTGGAAAGGGACGAGACGAAGTTCCGGGTTTATTTGCGCAGAGCAACATACACACACAGGGCCACAAATCTTCTGAGCAAGGTCTTCCCGGTGGACATTTTCCGGTACGGAAGGCGCGAAACGTCTGGGCATGGGCTGCTTCCTCGCACGGAAGTAAGAACTCCGGCGGACAAAGTATGGCTTACTCAGATGTTACAATCTCAAATCGGTTACCATAGAATTTGAAACTTGTGTTGCATGATGAGCATGACAGACTCGCAGAGTGATGCTCCACTTTCTGCAATACAAATTTCGCCAGATTGTAGCGGGGTTTGGGACTCCGGAACTTGTCATGCGCAATCCTATGAGAGTGGGCTAGAACATGCACTCTTGCATCACAGATTTCCGTATTCTATTGTAACGTTTGAGATTGTAACAGCTGAGCAGGTTATACAAAGAAACCACTTGCTGCGATGAGGTTTTCGAAAAGCTGCTGAAACTGGATCCAAGTCTGATCGCGCTGGCAGAAAACATTTTCGACCACAACACCTTTAGGACGCACATCACGGCACTGTGTACCGGACCAGCCGCGAGTGGTAATCCAGAGGACGAGTTGTCGCAAATGGGTATCAGTGCTGGCGTGATACAAAGAACTCAAAAAATGTCGAAGAGAGTCAAGCAGTTCCGTTTTGGCACATTGGATGAAATATCCAAGAAAAAACAACCATATTACCCATCCAATTTGTCATGCAAAACCTACATCATTTTCAGGATTTGTCATGCAAAAAATGGATGGGGATGGTTGGTTTATTTTTTGTCCAGGATAAGACATAACCCTTCTCGATTTCGCCCGGGTGAGGCGAGAGGACCTGTTTTCAAAGTGGCTAGATCTCGCTCAGGACCGGAAAAAGGTGAATTGGGATACTGTGCTGTTCCCCGAAGATTTGGACCACGCGCTGGGCAAGTTTGGCTTTCGCTCCATTTTCCTGGACGAATTCGATAGTAAGAATGCCGCATCATCTATTACTGGTGCGCTAGGGGGCAACACAACGACAACGACCTCCGCCCCAGCAGGAACATCTTCAAGTCTACCAGCAGCAGAGACCCCGGAAGCCCCTACCAACGCGATCGCCCTGCCGCTGAGACAGCTGCTTCGGCTGTCGGGGCCGGCGGCCCGGATCTTTGCGAAAGAAGCGAAGTTTTGGGTCTTATCCGATGCGGCGGACTTGCAGTTTCGGAGTGCAAAGATGCAGCAATTCGTGCAGAATCCAAGCACGAGCTTTGTCCAGGTTTTGGAATTGTTACAGGAATTAGCTGTGGTTCCGGATAAAAAGGAAGAGATGTTGAGCAGCAGCTACACAGGTGGAACGAGCAAGGGTAAGGGGAAGAATGGTGACCAAGGCAATGCAGCTTTCCAAGTAGCCCCAATGCAAAACATCCCTGGTGCCGCGACCGCAGCGAACAGCATGATCACGCCGAACAGCGGCTCTGACCCAGAGAGCTCCGACAAGGATAAAAACGACGAAGCGAAGCAGGCCGCGAACGCGACGCTACTCGAATCGCTCGTCATATGGAAGCGTCAGGATTGAAATCGTCAAAGTTGAAATGATTCCTCATGCAGGAATTGCAAGGCATGAAGTGCCTCTCTTGCAGGGATGGGAAGTGAGGCCGACTGTCAGCCTGTTTGGGGTCTGCGAGAGAGCTGCTAAAGTAGCATGACAAAAGACGCCGTCTTCTATCCCTAAACAGCATGACAGACTGGATTTAGACGGTGCCGAAATTTGTCATGCACCGCTTAGAAATTGGGCTTTTAACTGGTATCGATTTTATGCATTACAAATCATTTCAACTTTGTCGATTTCAATCCTGACACTCCCATACGTCATCGCGAGCTTGCAAACCGACTCGGCCGCCCACGTGGTTTCCTTTCTCCTCTCCCCACGCATGCTGCGAAACCCGCAGACGCAGCGGATCGCCGCGACGGTGCTACGGGCTTTGGGCACGAGGCTGACGAAGCAGCAAATGCTAATGCTTTGTGAGCACTTACTGCAGAAACCCCGGAAGCCGTGCTTGAAAATGCTGCTGCACAAGCAGTATGGATTGCAAAAATGTCTGGGTCTGGAAGAATGCAGGAGTTTGTGATGCAGATTTTGCATGACCCATGAGGTCTGTGATGCATGCCCTAGCATCAGAGACTCTGCGAGGGCTTTCTGATGCTCATACCGCATGAAAAATGCCCTCTCCGCGTAGCACAAATTACACCTCTTTTGCTGTTCATGCAATACAGATTTTATGTAGAGTCCAAAGGTAGCATCATAAGTTGCATCCTTCCAGACCCAGACATGTTTGCATTTGATAAGCAGATCCTGCGAATCGTCATGGACCAAGTGGAAAATCCGGTGAATTTTGCAGAGGGGAAAAAAGTATGAAATGCAAATATGTCTGGGTCTGGAAGAGTGTAACTTGTCATGCTAAATCTGAATCGTGGAAAAATTTGTATTGCATCATTACCAAAAGAGGTCCACTCTTTAACAAGTTCAGAGGCAGTTTCTCATGCAGGAAAGGCATGATAGAGATCTTACAGAACCTGTCTTCATGCTAGACCGTGCATGCCAAACCGTGCGGGTCATGGAAAACCTGCATGACAAACCTAGCACTCTTCCAGACCCAGACACTTTTGCACAGGATAAAAAGCAGCGGACATTTTGTTGAAAGAGTTCAAGGAAATCTCCGAGAAGCCGTGGAAAACGCAGAATTTCAAGACGAAACAGGAGTTCTGGTCGTTTAATTATCGAAAGTTGGTGGAGTTGAACGAGCAGTTATTTGCTCTTGGAAACATAAACACCACTTCTTCGAGGACTGCTGCAGCTTTTGGATTTTTCGCAAAGCAGGAGGCGAAGGTGATTCAGAAGAACATACAGACGTATGGAGTTTTGGATGTGAAAAAGTTGCAATTTCAGCAAGTCCAGGACAAATCTGTAGTCAAAGAAATGAAAGACAAGGTGAAGGAAAGAAACGATTTACTGTCGAAATTTGCGGGAATTCTGGATCGCACGAAGGACATGCAGAACTTGATTTTGGAAAGAGTCACAGCATCTGTAATGCTGGTGAACGTAAGGAATCTCGATGAGGAGACACGGGAAGATCAACTGCAAAGTACAAATCGAGGGAATAGTAAAACAAACACAACACCGCCTCCAACCACATCTGGATCTTCGGCCGACGCATCTATCGCGGACATGCAGCAAGCCTGCTACTGGAAAATTCTCGATTACACGGCCGAAAACTCGTGTTTCTTCGACTGCGATGTTCTCGCCTCGATTTTCCTCGCCCCTCTTGCCTTTGAAACGGATTTGATCGGAAAAGTGACCAGAATGAAGATGAAAAAAGTCTTTCAGTCCCACCGACAGCAAAGCCATCCGCTGCACAAAAACAGTACTTCCGCTGCAGACGAAGCAAACGCGTTTGCCTACGGAACGAAGTATAAAGTCGGGAGGAGCAAAATTTTCCAGTCCTTTTTCACGACAACAGGCCTCACTCTCGCCGCAGCCGATTTTTCCCTCGAGGGGGCCCCGAGTCCCAGCTACACTAGCCACAACAACTCGCTGACCCACTATTCCCGGGGAAGTTCGGTGTCGAAAGCGTTGGTTTGTTACGGGAGGTGTAAAATCCCAACGGAGTTGTTGGAGTTGATTGTTGATTACACAGAAGACGCATTTGAACTAGATGTGGAGAAAGAGCAACAGGCGTTGTCTCTCGTGAGCAAAGACGTGTTGACAACGACGACGGTACCAGGTCGTGCTGCCACAGCAGCGGAGCAAGAGCAACAATTATTCGCGTTTCACGAAGATGAATTTAAACAGCGGCAAGCGGTGAAAGAGATGCAGGTTTTGAGAGGTCTCGCTAAGCAGGTGAAGAAGGAGAACAACCGCGGCGGGAGCTGCAACAGTAACTCAGCGGTGGAACAACTCCAAGAAGACAACTACTTGCAGAAAGACTGGCCGAATCTGGAGAAAGGGGTAGCGATGCTGGAAAGGTTGAAAGCATCGCTGTTGAAATCTTCCTGTGCAAGCACCACTGGAGCTTCTTCCACTTCACCCACTACTTCTACTACGCATTCACCCTCCACTCCTATCCGCAGCTTACTCCGCCAGTCCATTGACTCTGTGAGGAAAGACGCCGACAAGGTTCTAGTCACTGACGGAAACGACGCGTTGCTGAAGCTGGTGGAGATGCGGCTGGATGCGCTCAAGTGTCAAAAGGTGTTTTTGGACGACAAAGATGCGGTGGATGAAGAACTCCTTCAAGAAGGCATTGGCATTACTTCCTCTTCCAAACAAGCGAACACTGTCCAGCAAAGAGCGGAATTGGAGATGGGTGGTTCTATGGAGTTGAGCGAGTTACCATACTTGAAAAACGTCATGAACCTCATCCGCGAGTTTTCAACTAAGGCAGAGACTGCGTACAGATCGACTACCGGGACTCCTGTATCAATGCAAGCCGCAGCTTCAGCCTCAACAGGCTCAGTGGGGGTACTAGCACCCTCTTCAGATCAAGAACAAGCACCTTCCTACAGCTACGTCGAGAAACAGCATCTCTTCCACCGGACGATTCACTACGCTTACTACCTGCAATTAGCCGAAATCCTCAAGTGTATCCTCCTAGGCCGGATGCTATTGGAAGGGGTTCTCCGGATGAAACAACTTGCTTCCACTTGGGAATTGAACTTCGCGAAGACCAAAAACAACAGCTCCGGAGACCGTGGTGGGAAGAAGCAAATCGGGACTGTGATCCACGCGAAAAACAACGCGTTTGTAGATTCTGTTGCGCATTCTGTGGTTAGTAGCAGTCTCGGGATCTGGGAGTCGACCATGCGTGGGTTTCTGGAAAAAAACAGGAGTGGTGGTGTAGTTGCAATGGAAGTGGATGAAAGTAGCGCGGGCGTCGGACTGCTCGGAGGAAATACGAGTGCAGCCACGACAGCTCACCTTGATGTCCTCGACTCCTTGAGAAACCAGCTCGGATCCTCGCTGCACACCCTGCTCCACACCCCCTTCCTCGAAGCGGTCCAGATCGAGCACGTAGTTACGCAGACGCAAAACAGTACCACTGCGACGCCCTCCACAATTCATCCGCAAATCCGGCTCACGAAAAAGGATTTCTCCACCCTGCACCTTTCCCTGCTTTCTGGCTGTCTTTACGAATTCAGCCCGCAGCATCTGTTCGGTTTCTCCTACATGCACGAGCAGACGATCGCTGGGCTACTGTTGAACTCTCTCAAACAGTCGAAGGAGTTGCGACTCTTCGCACATCATGCGAACACCGACACGACGACAACTGGCGGGGGCAACAGAGACCCCCTGGGACTTTTCGCAATGGTGGCGGGAATGATAGTGGACGAGGCAAAGGAAGAAGGAAGGACTAAAGGTGACACGAAACACAAGGTCCCGTGGAAACAGGTGCTCAAGCCGTGAAAGTAATTTTGGAATACAAATTTTGAAGTCCTTTGCAGATATGTCGATGGCGTAGGCGTTCGCAATCGTATTACGAAGCTGTTTTTGTATACGACGTAGTGTTATATTTTCAGACCTGTGATAAATGACCTCCAACAGTACTCAAAACTAAGTTTTGCTATTGCTGGTATACCACCGTATCAACAAAGATAAAGAGATGATGAATCTGACACCTTGGTGACAAGCTTTCAAATGTCTACGTGGATAATTTCAAATGAATCCTCGATGGGAAGGGTATCGAAAAAGAAACACTACACTCCTCGAGAAAATTGGTGATTGAAAGTATTTTTGAAGCGACGGATTGATACATAGATCACGCACTGGCAGCTACTTACTCGTGTTGCGCTTAGTACCTGACCTATTGAAGACTTTTTTTCTACTCTCTCGAGCCTAACTCAGCTTGAGCCTGTGGCTTGCAGAACCACGGCAGAACGAGTAAGTCTGAATTTTCGCAAGAAGGTCATTGATGCATGATCAGTCTTTTGTGTTTCTTTCTTCCCGGAGCGATTCGCTGAGCCGTTTTGCTTTTTTTTCTGGTTGCGCAGCGAGGGCAAGAAGGCTTCCGCTTTTACGAGCCATAGAAGTATTTTCGCCCGCTTTTTCGTTCGAAATAAATCGGATCTTTTTTTTTTTTTGCTTGTTTGATGTTTTCTTATGGCCAAAGTCTCGTTGCTCCTGCTAGTCTGATCTGAAAAGCCTCGCACTGACCTGAAAAGTCCGGAGTCCACTTATCTTCAACATCTGTCGTGATGATCGAGGTAGTTGTTTTTTCTTCGGCTTTTAGTTCGTTGCTGCGTTCGTCAGCTTGAGCGGCCCTGCAGTGACAAGGAGCAGTTGTATTTGTAAGGTCAAGTAGCATCTAGTCAATAATACATGTCATAAATGGCCTCCTTAGCATCCTTGCGAGGCGTAGACCCGGCCATAGACGGAGCAAGCTGCACCGTGATCCCGCCCATATTGGCAACCGCCAGCCAAAGCAGTCCCAGTCTCCCGAGTACAAGTGAGCCCAGCGTCCTGTTTCTATCAAATGTAAAAATGTCTAGGTCTGGAAGCTTGCCAGGTTTGTCTTGCATATTTTGGAAGACTCATGATGTCTGATGTCTGTGATGCATGCTCTAGCATGACAGATGTTTAGAGGCCTTTGTGATGCCTCTACCGCATGAGAACTGCCCTCTCCGGGTAGCACAAACTGGAGTTCCTTCGCCGGTCATGCAATGCAAATTTTTTTAGAATCCAGAGACAGCATCACAAGTTCAGAATCTTCCAGACCCATCCACTTTTGCACTTGATAGCTTCGCCTCCCGCCCGAAATGGTGGACGGCGAACCAGAGGAACTCTTGGTGAATTCCCGCATGACGGCACCGGTAGCGCTTTGTGGGCCGGCGCCCGGTAGCAACGAAGAACGCGAATCTGCAGCCAGGATCATTGATTTCCATAGAGGGCGGCTGTCTGCTGGAGTAGAAGCTGTAGCCGGAGTTGTGCAGCCCGTTCCTGATGTTGACCGACCTAGTGAATTTTCCACGGGATTTGATGCGGAGCATGGGGCAGCTGGGGAAGATGATTTTCCTGCGCAAGTTGGCGTGAAGGGGCAGCTGCCAATATCTTCTCTTTTTGTCAAGAACACAAAATTTTTGACGGGTGAATCTTCTAGCGGTAGTACTAGAAGATCATCAATGTGGTGCTGTATCCGGTAAAGCTGCACTGTCATCGATTTGATATCTTTAAAACCACGCGGGCAAAGAGGAACGTCCTCTAGGTTTTTGTCCACCATCAAGATCGTACCATATTCCATCAGTGAGCCCTGTTTTAGTTCGAGCTTTATGTGACGAAAATGCTACCTTCCTGTTCCTGCCTCTGCCTCTGGCTCGTCTCGATGTTCATCACGTCATGCCTCTGGCCGCGTATTGGTTTCCGTTTCGATAGTGTCCTCTATAACCAGTTTTTTTTTTACTGTATCATACTAGACAGATGAGAGAGTGTGTGTTTGTCGCTTTTTTTTTTGAAGCTCCACCATGACCTGAGCGATTTTTTTCCATAAGGAACATGGGATACAGTGGAACCACTAGTAGATAGGCTCACGACCACTACACAGTACAAATATTCAATCTCGCTTAGTAGCAGAGGGAGAGGTTGGTAGCTATTGGTATTAGTTGCAGTCTTACCTCCTTGATCTGCAGCGGCAGCTAAAAGACGAATTAGAGAAATAAATGGCGAAGTCGCCTTCGGTGGGCGAAGGGGCGCTCAGCGCTGGCGATGGTCAGCCCGTACCGGACCGCACATCAGCTGCAGCTCCTTCCGGCGTTTTATCGACGCAAGGACAAATTGAATCAATAAAGCCGGCGCTTCTGCTTACCGCGGATGATCGTGAAGATTCAAGATTGCACAAGGACGAGGTTCTGGAGTGTGCGGACGCAGACGTGCAGGCTGCAGCTCAAGTCGGACCACAACCAGCAGGAGCCGCCTCGTCGATCTCCGGACCAGATGACACGAATAAGGAGATGATCAACCCCCCTACAGCATCTACATCTAGTGCCGATTTGCTACTGAAGGAATTTCTGACAACACTCGCCACGTACATTCTGCTCCCAGTTCTGTGTGCCATTGTCTCGGAGGTGCTCCGTGGCACGGGATCCTTGTGTCACCTGCACAATGGGGAGCTGCGACAGCTCGTCTGGGCAAAGAACCAGGACCAGCTGTCGGCAATGTCAACGACAACCGGTGCACCGACGTCGTCTCCTGGGAAGAACAGTAATGGCAGTACTTTTAAAGACGGCCGCGAGATCGCAATCCCGGACAACAAATGGTGGCATATGACAACTAGTCAGCTCTACAACATTGCCGGAGAATTTTTGATTTGGTGGTATATTTACGGCCTGTGCAACTGCTTTCCGGTGACAGCAGACGCGGGCGCTTCGTTTTCTCGGGCTTCTAGTCGGCAAGACGAGCGTGCTAGTGAGAACGAGTGCGACGGCGCAGGGAAGAACCAGAAAGATCTTTCTAGGTCGATGAAACTCACTTCCCCACCGTGTCGCGCCGTCACGTCGACAAACACAGCGACCGTAAATCCAATGCTTGGAAAATTTTACCTCTACTACGCCGTTTTCTGTGCGTCGCCGATCCTGTTTGGACTCATCTCATATTTGAGTCTGGAGGCCGAGGCTGGCACAAACCCCGAGCTGTTTGTGTTCGCGTTCCTGTGGTACGCTCCCGCCCGAGTTCTCTTTATCGTCCTTCCCTTCACAGCTTTGGCGCACTACTGCTGCATGCCGAAGGGTCGTGAACGGGCACCAGCTGGCGGATCTACAGCTTCCTCCTGCTGTAGCAGTTTCGATAATGATCAACAGGAGCATGATGCTGAAAAGAAGAACCCGGCGACAACTACTTCTACTACGTCGCAAGTGCTGTTGAATACGAATCAGCTGACCAAACGGAGGATTAGTACAGGGGCGTACCGGATCTGCATGTTTGCTCTGAACACTTTCATCATCAACGGACTCACCATGTTCATTGTGACTGTCATTCCGCAATTGTTTGCAGTATTGCAGAAACAGTCCTTCGTCGTGAGTACCTTCGGGGAGGTGGTCGTCACGGGCATGTTTTTCAGCGTCTTCCTCCCAGCCTGTGAAAAGTTCAGCGGAGCGTACACCTTACCCAGGGTCAGTCCAACAGTGCAAGAGTTTGTCGACATGGGATACAGTGTAGAAATCGCGAGGAGAACTGCCGAAGAACGGCGCGCATTCTTGGTGACAGGGTATAACTACTTCTTCGACGTAGCTCGGTTCGTTTTCGGCCGCGGGATTCTGCTGAAGCTTTCTACGCATACCATCGCACTTGTGATTTTCCGAGACATTGTCTACCACATGTGGCATTTCGGCTTCCGGCAACAAGAAAGTCTGGTCCTGTTTACAACCAAAATTGGAGCGATGCAGCATGCAGCTGAAGACGACGAGGAACAAGCTCTACTGCAGAACTACATGCCACCCTCATGGCAGTTTATTAGCAAAGTCTGCTTTCAACTGCAACGCATTTCGCAATTCAATAGGCACCTCTCCGTCGCGTTTGAACAGACATACGACTTTCGAGCTTCGTCGAAGTACGCGGAAGAAATTCTCGCGCAAGCGATTCCAACTTCTCAGGAGTACGGAACAACTGGACAAGAGCCTTCGTTTGGCAAGAAAGACGCCACCCTTAAGAAGGCGAATGGGACTACTGCGACTCCACCCACTTCAAAAAATAAAACGAAACCGATCCCCTTGGACACCATTCGGACCCATTTCGCGAATATTCGGATTACGCTCCGCAATGTCCCTCGGAACGTGTGGCACCTCTTGTTTCACAACGATCAGAACTTTTCCCATGGTGCAGTGCAGGTGCTGCGAGATAATTGCGAGGGTCCGGCGGGACAAAAGCGCGACGCAAAGTCGGGCGGGAGACAACAGGGCGAGAACAGTAGCAACGTTTTGCTCCACGACTGTGACGGCGATGAAAAAGCGATGACAATGGAAAAGGCTGCAGCCGGCGCAGCAGCTGCAACAACCACACGAACATCTTCTCCCTCTGTACTAGATTCAGAATTCATGCACGACGCCATCGTTCCCGGAACGACCGAGAGCCAAGACACCATAATGTTTGCAGCAAAGCAAAAATCTTGCGACTCGCGAGGCACCCGGTCAAGCGACCTGCGAAGAGGCCGGCTTTTTTCCCCACCAGTGTCGACGGCCGAGCTGCTTGCGTTCAAGGGGTTTACCAAGTTTTACCGTCAGCAAAATTTTCTGCGATACCAGATCCGCATCCAAATTCGGCTCGTCGTTTCGCTCGCGTTGATACTGGCTCCCCTGGTGTCTTCCCTCACGAACGTCTACTACTCCCTCGGGTTTCCCCAAGATGAGCGGGAACTTTGGGTGAGTCTCATCGTCCCCTTTGTGTTCCTCTGTGAAGATTTGATCGAGTGGTACGTAGTCACGTTCCGGCTGACCTTATTCAACCAGAAACAAGTCGTCGACTTGGTTCCGCCCTTTCTGCGGTTTTACGAAAAACGTCACCCGCTCGCTAGGAATTTTAGACTGGGTCTCATCGGCGCGTGCATGCTCTACCTCCTGCTTATGTTCCAGAACCGGTACCCGACCCTGAGATTCAATTTGGTCGACAAAATCGGAGCCGAGACGGGATGGGAGAAGCATGAAGCGGACCTTCTGACCATTCCCGTTATCTGGGAATACTGTGGGTGGTAGTTGTTCTGAGCAACAATGCCGCGGAGGCGGAGCCGGAGTAAGGCTTCAAATTTTGTGTATCACATTGTTCGATTTCATTTTCTCCAATTTTGTTCTCGTGCAAAGATGGCATTTTCCGCTATTATTTGAGTACACAAGAATTTAGTAGATGAAAAAGTATATACTTACAACTACAGTGATCCATGAATAACAGAAACAGTATGAGAGACCACATGACGATCACTTCATTAGCCCAGTAGTTGTAAGTACGCATGCAGGATATTGTTCTCGACTACAGTGTACATTTTTAACAAGCAGCATGTATTTACAATAGCCATGAAATAATTCGAGTACAAATTATTTGGTTATGAGTTGTGCCCATGCTATAACATGAGTGACCAGAACAAGCAGAAATTAGGAAAAAAATCTCGGGTAAAAACAAAAACTGTCGTGTATGCGACCATGCAGATATTACTTATCGCCTCGCTCTTGCTCTAGTATCACGACCATAAAATAAATCAGTAAACATAAAGCACATGAGAAGAATAATTTAAGTGAAATACGAAAACTCTGTATATGGTGATATTAACTGATGTGGTGCCGATTGAAATTGATTTCGATCCAGCAAGCGTTTCTCCTTCGTTCTGCGACTTGTTCTTCGTGACCCAAATCCAATGGGTCACGACCGGACGAGTGGACTTGTAGCTGCTTCTGCTCGGGATCTTCACTGTGATAAAACTCCCAGGGTCATCTATATAGAGCACGATTCTGCTACCCAGGTCATCATCAACTCTGCTCCCTTATTTCTGCTGGCAGACATAGATCAGAGAGGCACATTGCCCCCTACAACTACAGGCAAGGTACATTGCTCTCGTCGGCTCGTTCTCATGTTGCTGTGGTGGCACGAGACACCTTCCTGTACGTCGTTCCGTAGCGACTGTATACACTTTAGTGAGCCGAGTACAGCGGACAGGATCCTTTGTTGTGACTTCTCTTCTTTTCAAGAGATGCAGCCTTTTTCTGCGGATCATATAGATCGATCATGACAGTCGTCTACTGAAGTAGATCCTGCCGAAAGCGATCCTCGTTTCAGCATTCGCATTGCCGTCGGCAAAATACTCGAAGAGCAGAAGATATTTTGCTTTCGATTCTGGTCCTCTTCCCGCCTTTCCGCGCGTAATTTATGTCCGCCAGCCTCTGTGAGATAAACAAAAACATTCCAACAAAATCTATATTTTTCATTTGGATAATGAGTAGTTCCCCTTGTTAGTGCAAACTCTCAATTTTTGCGAAACAAGTTGAGCAGTGTTGATTTCTTTTCCCTCAACTCTGTTTATTTGTGTGGTGGTCTAACTAGGTGTTTTCTCGGGAGAATTTACCCCAGTTTGAGTTCATCATGCGAAAAATCCGCAGTCCACCGCAAGAGCACCACGCTCCACCGGCACGTCCGTGGTGGAAGCAACACCTTGCGCGTCTCTGTGGAAAAAAGATTCTGTACCCGGGGGGCATCTGTCTCCAAGCAATAGTTGCTTCAGCTGTTCACAGCAACTACTTGCGAACGGACATTCCAACGTTTATCAATGAACCGGATGAGCCGACGGACGCAACGGTACTTTAGGAGCAGGAAGGGATCATGTCAATACGTCGTGATATAGCTACTGGTGCATGACCATGAGAGCAACATCGCTACTTGTTTCCGCGGTTATTGTTTCATACAAATTTGATAGAAAAAACCTCTTCATCCCCAGGTAATTTACCTCCACCCGCTCGGTGGCGGCGGAGGGCGAAATGGCGATCAGCAGGCCATGGAGATGTTTGAATGGTTCGAGAACAACCAGCAAAAAAAATTTGGGAACAACGGAGCTGCAGGAACCAAAAATTACAACATCAAAATCCTGGCCCCGATCGCCCGGACCAAGCGCTCTTCCGGGCGGAGTCCTAGTTGGTACCATTATTACAATATCCTGTGCAAAAGTATCGTACTCGTATTGCAATCATGCATTGCAAATCCTTTACCTGAGATCAATCCGCATTACAAATTTCATTTCTCATGCTGAGGAAATTTGTAATGCATTTATACGAGTGCGATACTTATGCAGTTCATATACAATTACGATACCGAGCCGGATAATCGAGATATCGAGTGGACCGATGTGGAGGGAGCGACGTTGGAAATCGCGGAACTGATTCGGGAGGAGCAGGAGGACCGAGGAAATTTGCGGTACTTGCACGAATTGAAAGCACAACAACAGCGCGGGAGCGGTGGAGGAACCGCTTCAGCTTCTTCCTCTTCAGGGGACTTCCATAGTCGACCAATGATCAATACCATGGGCGCTAATTTGGGCATCATAGGTCGTGGAGCTGGAGCTACAACCTCTTCGTCATCTGCCTCGAGCAGTAGCGCCGCTGGTGGCCCCGCTAGTGCCGCAACAAGCACCGGACCAGTAGTTGCAACCACTACAGCGTCCTCCACGCAGACCAGCTCTACTCCCGCTCATCATGCGGAGCAAAAGCAAGATTCCCGACCCTACCCGGTTTTCCTCTGTGGGATTTCGCAGGGCGGGGTGATGGCCCTGCACATTGGGGTTGCAGCGGCGCTGTTGCACGAGAATCCAGTCATATATGCTCTGCAAAAGTATCGTACTCGTACTAATTGCAAATAGGCATGACAAATCTTTTTCCGAAGTGAAAACAGAATTACAAATTGCATTTGTCGTGCTGAGCTAATTTGTAATGCAATTTTTACTAGTACTCCGATACTTTTGCAATGCATATCATACCCGCGGGGGTTATTTCCTACCACGCCATGCCACATCGACTGTCGGTGTCGGATTACATTATGCCTTTGATGAAAAATTGGCAGAACCGACTTCTTCTCACCGCCGCGGAGGCAGCGAGCAGTAGTGGCGGAGGTGATCATGCTGCTGCTGCGGCATCTTCCTCGTCGGCAGGAACAGGAAGTGGAGTAGAAATGAACCATGTTGCGCAAAAGCAGGCCATCATTTTCCACGGCGAAGAAGATGCTGAAGCCGCGGCTCTGCGACTCCCCCCACCCCCGACGACCACTGTCCGCGCGATGTCGATCGACGAGGAGGATGAAAATGCTGCAACTACCGCTGCTGCTGCCCACATTGCGGCGCAACCGACACCGGCAGGGCAGGAGGCGGCGCAGATGGGCAGCGAAGATCAGGATGTGGGTTCATCCAACAACGTTACCATGACAACTGGCAGAAGTAGTACAAGCGGCGTTGCACCAGAAACCTCCGCAGGAACAACGAGCACGGGAAGTGTAAGTGAGCAAGATCTAGCTCGTCCGGCGTTTCTCGGACAGGATGGCTTTGAACATCAAGATGGGAACTATCCACAGTAAATTTCCCGTACACGTACAAATGCAGTCTCTGCATGACAAAACTTGCCTTCAGTCCTAGTCTAGCATGACAAGTTGGACACTGCAAGTTGGCGAAATTTGTCATGCATTTTGTACATCATTTACGGAAAATTTACATTGCATAGGAACGGTACAGACCACACTGACAGTGACATACAGGATGTGGAGATGAATGAAGACGAACCAGATCCCGAGGACGAAGAGGAGGATGGTGAGGACCGGCGACGCGGAAGGGCTGGTGCTCATCGAGGCTTTTTAGCCGCTGGGGGCCGGGGCGCGCCGGGTGCTAGAAGCAACACTTCTGGTGCACAACAACCGCCCCGGCGACCTGCTGGATTTGCGTTGCAGCCCGTGCTGGCTGCAGAAGGCGAGGACAGAGGTGGAAATGACGGGGAAGACATGGACGACGATGAGCAAAACCCACCGAATGCGAACCCAGAACATCAACAGGTCCAGGCGGCACACCCGACCACCTCGACTGCGAGCACCACACCGCTGAGCGTTCCTTTTCCGCCGGCAGCGGAGTCGGTCACGAATCTTCCTGGCTCTCCTACACGACCCCAGCAAATAAACGGTCAACAACTATCCTCCCTTCCCGCACTAAGTTCCCCCTGGCGGCAGATTCCGGTCCGTATGTACGCCAGTAGACGCGACGGCATCTTTCCGGGAGATTTTGTAAAGCAGAAAGCGGACGACTTGTTCCTGAATAAGCTGGAAATGACGGACTACAAGATTACCATCCAGCCGGACAAACAGCACGCGGATCCGTCCGGACCAAAAACGCTGGCGGAAAACATTTTCAACCTGCTGCGCCAACGGGACGCGGACGCAAAATTTTTACCGTAGGCGGAGGGAAAAGGCTGTAGCAGTATGTGTACGAAATAGAGTCGTAGGCAAAGCTCTTTGTCATGCGGCTGCACGGGACTAACAAAATGAAAATTCGCTTCAAGCAAGACTCGTGCTGTAAGATCTACTACAGAGTGGCTCCTGGTGTTACAGGAAGTAGGACGAGCGCTCGACGCAGATGACATTAATAAGAATCAGATGAAGATAAAGCCCGATTTTGAAGCAGCACTAGTAGCAAGAACTCGGGCGGTTGTTCTACACCAGGTCTACGACGCTATCCAATTTTGAGCCTCCAGTATCCTGGAGGACACAAAAATTCGTCTGTGTCTGTCTCTGTGTTTGCACCGAGGCTGCGGCGCTTAGGAGTAGATCTTTTTCATCATGGATGGTCGACTGCAAGTGGAAATACAAATAGAAAATGAAAGCATATACCAATGAGGCTCGCCTCCTTTTCATCTCCCCACAACTTGTTCGGCCTACACAAAAATCTGATTATGCAGTGAGACTGCACGGATGAATGTCTTTCAACACTGGCATAGCGGTAAACCCAGCAGCAGAACGTCCGGCCGTAAAAGCGCGCGTCGGGAACAACAGCGAGAGATCTACGACTGCGACGGTAACTTAGCGCTGCGCCACTGCTGCTGTGCGCGACGGGATAAGGATGATCAGTAGGATCGTCTAGACTACGGTGAACAAGATGTTTTTTTTTTGTTTTGTTTTGCGAATGGTAACCATTTTACGCCTTAGCAGGCTCGCCTGTTTTAATACAAGAAGTGGCACGATCATATTAAGAGATGAGGTTACAGCAATAGTATTTGAAGAGAAGTCTTTTTTGAAAAGCAAATAGAGGTTTATAAGTGGGACCTCGTCCCCGGGACAAGGCGCAAGTAAAGATCCGAAAAATTTCAGCAGCAAGAAAATAAAACTTTTAGAAGCAGACTGGTCCTATCGTTATAGAAGAGGTTTTTATCTCCTTGTAAAAGAATCCTTATCTTATCCTTACTCGATCATAGTGCGCTAATTACCGTGGGAAAAAAAGCAGTAAGTAAAGGTAAAGCGAGAAGCGAAACAGACGAACTCACGAGGAAAGAAACTCTGAACAGGACGAAATGTTGCGTAGCCCGTGCGGTTTTTCCCAACCGCCCGATAGATAGATAGATAGAAACAGAATGCGAATGAGCAAAGTGATCGCGGATTCTATTTTCCTGAGAATACAGTGAAAATTTGGTTTGATTACTTACAGCTTTCAAAAGTAGAATCGACACGGATTATATATCAACCTCTCTTGAGCGGAAGCGGTTTCCTATTCAAGATGACGAGGAACGTGGCTATTTGTGACGTCACAAATACCACAGACGATGACTTTTTTTGCGCTAAAACGAACAACTGCATTTTGGATGAATTGTAGCTGCGACGTGGAGGGTGCATGTGCAGCAACTGCTATTTGATGCTGACGACCGAAATATGGGACGAGTCTTGAACGTCATAACCCTAAGCTCCTGCTTCAACTATAACACGTTCACGTTGTTCGTTTACTGAGTGGAAAAGAATCTCTCACCGCAAATCTTAGTGGTGCAAACGCAGAGGGAAGATTTTGACTTTGTGAAATAACATCATGACGTGGAGAGACCATACTACCAGGAGAGCAGAGTCAACAAGTTCACGAGTCTGCAACTGCGTTGTGGTCCTACGTGTTACCTCCAAGATCATCTGATATGTTTTTCTTGTTGAAGAAGAGCGCGAAGTAAAATATCATTGACGGGTAATTTTTACGGCGACGAGTCACAAGAAGTGGAAGAGGCTTCAGATCTTGATCTGCAAAGCCAAAATATAAGATCCATGTAGAAAAGAATCCAAACTGTTTAGCAAAGAACGAAAGCAGAACCAAATGGCTCAACTGCAGAACGAGGGCCGCGGAGACCAGGCCGCGGCCGGTCGGAACAACAATGACAACAGCGGCACCGTTTGGCGCGTGACGCAGTTCTTCCTGCTTTGTTTTCTCGGGTTCACCTTTGGCTACGGGTTCTTGGAAGACTTCGTTCCTATGGCGTTCTCAACCGTTGCGTTCTTAGCTGTTACATGGATTTGTAATGCAAGAACAGCAACAGTAAAAGTGGCAACATTGCAGCTTTCGCATCACAGATTTGCCACAGATTATCACGCTGCTTAGCCCTTCGAAAATTTGTCATGCTAAGCACCTTGATCGAGTGGAGGCTGATGGCAGTTTTGCATGACAAATCCGTGTAACAAGTGAGAATGTAACAGTTGAGAGCGCCATAAATCCAGAGGCCTGGTTGCAGCATGTGCCCGACTTTTTTCTGCCCTGGGAAAAGGGGGAGGAATGGTTTGGCATATTATTTGGAACATCTTCAAGAAGTGATGTGGGAAATGATGTAAACGGCCAGGAAGGTGCAGCAGCTCAAGGTGAAACATCTACTTCTACCGGAACTACAACTCCGCAGAACTACGGTCTGTACACCATTCTTGGCATGTTGTTCCTCATTTTCTCGCTTTCGATGTATGTCGAAAGCACGTCGCTGCGCATTCGGGCGAGGCAGGAAGCCGAAGGGTATGTGGTGACCAGAAGTGAGACGCACCAGCATTTGCAACAGCGCGAGCAGCAGTCGAGTAGCAAAATGAATGGTGCCAGCTCGGTGCACACCGGTCGTTGTACTAGTGCGGGAAACAGCAGCACGAGCAGCGTTGCATCAAAAGCGTCTAGTAGTTCTCGCGGCGATCCAGCGCAACCAACCAGGGCTACGTTGACGTCCACGACGACGGCCACAAAAGCAGGCACAACTGCCCAAGCGGAAAGGTCTCACATGTACTACTTCGATGTTCTGCTGAAAATCTTCCGCACCGTATGACAATGCACAACTCCCTACTCGTCATGCAAAACCCCAAATCCTGTTGGCTTGGGGCCTCGTGGCACTGTTTGCATTCCTCAAGCCGAAACAGTACTACACTCGGCGCGCGAACTTGTCACGCACAGGCTCCATGTGTGTTGCTGGTTGTGATGCTGTTCATGCCATACAAATGAGGGTGACGGGGAGGTGTGCTCTATCATACGCCATCTCCTCCCACTGCAGTCGGAGGAACAACAGCCGAGACCAGATTGATTTCACGAAGCAGAGCTTGTATCCTGCGCAAAAATTGTACTGATCACAGTTATGCATGACAAAATTCAACTTTCTAGCCGAATTAGTATTAGAATGACAAGTTGCACTTCCATTTCTGTTCTTGAGAAAATTTGTAATGCAATTCATAGTCATACCAGTATGATACTGTTGCGATGCATAGCTCCAAATACTGGCTCCGAATCCGGCGGTCCGGCCTGACCTACAAAGACCCGTTCTGGCGAGACCAAGCGAACAAGAAACCGCGTGCCATGTGCATGAGCGACGGGAACAACTACTGCCTCTTCAGCAGGAACGATCGGCACCACCCGAGGATTATGGTGAAGTGTTTCTTCAAGAAATTGTGGAAGAGGTGCCAATATGCACTGCAAAAGTATCGTACTAATGTAAATCGCATGAAAAAATTCCTCAGCGTGAGAAATGAAATTTGAAGTGCAAGTGCGAATTTAACCTGGCAAAAAAAATTGTAATGCATAAATGCGATTAGTACGAGTGTGATACTTTCGCAATGCATAGCCAAGAATTCGCTCTGAACGCAAAGTACGTTCACTGTCACGACCTATGAATTGCAAAGTCATATTTCTGGTTCTGGAGAAGTGCAGCTTGTGTTGCGTACTATCTAGGGTGCCTGTAAAATGATCAATGATCTTCTGTGTTTGTCATGAAGAAACGTCACTTGTCATGGAAATGGATGCTTGCAACGCTCCAAAGGACGTTGTAAAAATTTGTCATGCTTGGCTGCAAGTACAAGAATAGAAGTGTTTCCCGCATTCGCAACTCAGCACCACAGGTTTATAATTCCAGACCCAGAAATAGTCGCTCTGCAACTGCATAAAACCGGGACGTGAGCAACAACGGGTCCGACGAACGGTGCAATTTCAATTTGCCAGACCACATTTACCTGAACGAACTTCGAACAAAATGTGGCTTTTCCAAACGACAGTACCAGAACCTCTGGCGGCTTACCGGACCGCTCGCGACGCTATCAACTGCAAAAAATACTCGCTTGGGTCCTCTGGAGTAGTACTGTACAACTTGCAAGAATGCTGAAGTCCTGTACATCAGCTCCCGAAGTTTGTAATGCATGTTGCAGAAAAATACCAGCGTTGATGTTCTTTCTCTGTCATGCAAGAACGCAGTTTCTTAATGCGCGCGCTCCGCACCAGCAAAGGCCCAGATGACATATTTGCAACGCATAGTAGCTTTTCCTGGTGAAGCAGGGAAGACGGGACCCACCGCTCTGGAACTTTGACTGCGCGACCGTATCGAGGAAAAAATGACACTGTGTGACTGTAACAAGTTTGTAAATGCAAAACATGCAAAGCATCTACGCTTGTAGTTATGCCGGATAAACATGAACTTCTTCTCCGTTTCCTGCTATGCGTTTTCACGTACAAGTTTATGTTGCATTGAGTCAGGCTTTGGCTACTTTATTCTGAATCATTATAAACAAGAACAAATTTGTCATGCTCTGAGCACTTTGCTGGAGTTTGTTACACTAAAACCGTTTTTTCCAACTGCATAGACCGTCACGGGGGATTACCACGGGAATGTCTTGCAGACCGGCCCGCTCCGGCCCAGCCGCACCTTCGGATGCTTGCAGAGGCACTGGGAAAGCCGGATTTGGTATTTGGAAAACGAGGGAGTGGAGGGGGTCAAGATATTTCGATGGGACAAAGAGAAAGACTGGGGTGTGAAAGAATAGAAAAGTGGTGAAGTGAATTAATATGAGATGTAGCTAGTTGTTCTGCTTCTGCATCTGCTAGTTGAAGACATGCTCTTCTGTTTTCAAGCCTTTATGTACCAATGGCGCAATTCACTCCTGAATTCCACTAACTTAATTCAGAACTACGATAGTGGTGCAATGCTGAGTCTATTTTTCCGAGAGAGGTTCACTTTTGTAGTTTTCAGGTTGCGTGAAACTATGAGGTTACCCGTACAACAAGAAGGTCTACAAACGCGTACACGGTTTTTTTTTTTCCGCTAACAGTGATATCGTCCGAATTTGTTTCACCGTTTAGAAGTTTCTGTCAAGAACTTTTATGGCGACGAAGATTTTTGCCGCGGCCTTCCATTCTTCGTCCAAGACCACTCTGAACTTATTTGATTGATTTGCTACTGCTTTTGAATTGTCTGCTGAAAGTAAAACCACTACGACACAGCAAGATCACCCATTTCTCATGGGAGAAATCTGAAAAAAAAAATGATGTTATTTGGTTTGCGAACTTATTTCACGCACTGCTTTTCGAAAAATTCAGCCGCTTCTTCTCCAGACAAGTTTTTGCCATTGGTTCCGCTTCTGTGGGACCTTGACAGGTGGTGGAACGCGATGCGACTATAATCCGCGCGTTGGGAAAAGCAGTGCGACGCTGAAATTGGGCCGCTAGCAAGTGACTTAAGACAAAGAGCGACCAACAGAGCGAACCCTCTAAATGAGCGACGACGGATGTGTCTCTATCGTGAGAATAAAGAAAAATGTCGTGGAATAAGACAAAAGAAATTATACGAAGAATATACTCAAGAAACATCTTCGAGTACTGTTGGGGACTGTCGCAGACATGTGCAAAATGCTTCGCGGGAGGACCGCGGGGCCAACGACGCGCTCACCTGGTCAAGGTGATGGCGGACGGACAGGGCCGGCTAGCCCTGACCTTTTGATGTAATTAAAGGCAAAGCCTCTGCCACAGCCTTAATAGATGCAGTTACGAAGCCTGGAGTCGTCATGAAGATGCTGACTCCAGGCTGCTGCGCGTGCATTCAGAGGTCCACTGTGGCAGCTACCAAGCCTATCTGGGGGCCATTTGGGTAGATATCAAGCGGGGGTGAGAGGGCATCGGGGCAGCTTTTTGGGTTGGTGACACGAGTGGTGACACGGGGCGGTGACACGGAGCCAAAAAAATCGCGAATTTCGTGTCACCACGAGCTGTGACAGTCGATGGTGACACCAGAAATCGCCCCGGTGACAGCCGACTTGTGCTCCGTGTCACCGGGCTCGATTTTGAGCCCGGTGACACCAAGAGTGCCACCGTGTTTAGCTCTCAAACTTGGCCGAAATTATCGGAATCTCGGGAATTCTGACACTTTGGCGAATTTTTTGCCAAAAAGTCAGCTTTTTCCCGGATTCCAAAAAAGCAGAAAAGTGTCAATGTGGTTTGACTTGATAGGGTGGGGGTTGTGGGCGTGCCTAGGGCACAAACACGCTATAGCCTGTTTAAATCTGCCCAAATGTGTGAGCTGTTGGGCGCCGCGTTTAGCCTCCCTGCGCCGGGCAGCCGGCCGAAAAGAAAACGACGCCAATCCCTCCACCCGACGCCTCTATATTGGCGATCCTTTCCGCGGCAAACTGCTCGCGTGTCACCAGAAAGTCACCACATACATTTCTGACGGGTGTCCAAGCTCTAAAGGACCGCGGGGCCAACGACGCGCTCACCTGGTCAAGGTGATGGCGCGACAGGCGCTGCGTCTTCTTCTGAACAAGCGAATACTGTCCAGCAAAGGGCGGAAATCGAGATGGGTGGTTCTATATGCACTGTAAATATGTCTGGGTCTGGAAGGATGCAACTTGCAATGCTGTCTGCGAATTCTAAAAGTATCTGTGTTGCATGAGCAGCAAGAGCAGGAGTCAGTTCTTGGCATGCAGAGATTGCGTTTCTCATGCGTGATTGGCATCAAGAAGGCTCTCAAAAAATCTGTGACGCTAGCACCAGCATCACAGACCTCACGGGTCACGCAAAATGTGCATGACAAGCTCCGATTCTTCCAGACCCAGGAGACATATTTGCATTTCATATTCTATGGAGCTGAGCGAGTTACCATACTTGAAAAACGTCATGAATTTGTATCAATGCAAGCCGCAGCTTCAGCCTCAGTGGGGGCAGCGGGCGTAACGGTACAACAGCAAGAGATCTACGACTGGAAATCGCGGAACTGATTCGGGAGGAGCAGGAGGACCGAGGAAATTTGCGGTACTTGCACGAATTGAAAGCACAAAAACAGCGCGGGAGCGGTGGAGGAACCGCTTCAGCTTCTTCCTCTTCAGGGGACTTCCATAGTCGACCAATGATCAATACCATGGGCGCTAATTTGGGCATCATAGGTCGTGGAGCTGGAGCTACAACCTCTTCGTCATCTGCCTCGAGCAGTAGCGCCGCTGGTGGCCCCGCTAGTGCCGCAACAAGCACCGGACCAGTAGTTGCAACCACTACAGCGTCCTCCACGCAGACCAGCTCTACTCCCGCTCATCATGCGGAGCAAAAGCAAGATTCCCGACCCTACCCGGTTTTCCTCTGTGGGATTTCGCAGGGCGGGGTGATGGCCCTGCACATTGGGGTTGCAGCGGCGCTGTTGCACGAGAATCCAGTCATATATGCTCTGCAAAAGTATCGTACTCGTACTAATTGCAAATAGGCATGACAAATCTTTTTCCGAAGTGAAAACAGAATTACAAATTGCATTTGTCGTGCTGAGCTAATTTGTAATGCAATTTTTACTAGTACTCCGATACTTTTGCAATGCATATCATACCCGCGGGGGTTATTTCCTACCACGCCATGCCACATCGACTGTCGGTGTCGGATTACATTATGCCTTTGATGAAAAATTGGCAGAACCGACTTCTTCTCACCGCCGCGGAGGCAGCGAGCAGTAGTGGCGGAGGTGATCATGCTGCTGCTGCGGCATCTTCCTCGTCGGCAGGAACAGGAAGTGGAGTAGAAATGAACCATGTTGCGCAAAAGCAGGCCATCATTTTCCACGGCGAAGAAGATGCTGAAGCCGCGGCTCTGCGACTCCCCCCACCCCCGACGACCACTGTCCGCGCGATGTCGATCGACGAGGAGGATGAAAATGCTGCAACTACCGCTGCTGCTGCCCACATTGCGGCGCAACCGACACCGGCAGGGCAGGAGGCGGCGCAGATGGGCAGCGAAGATCAGGATGTGGGTTCATCCAACAACGTTACCATGACAACTGGCAGAAGTAGTACAAGCGGCGTTGCACCAGAAACCTCCGCAGGAACAACGAGCACGGGAAGTGTAAGTGAGCAAGATCTAGCTCGTCCGGCGTTTCTCGGACAGGATGGCTTTGAACATCAAGATGGGAACTATCCACAGTAAATTTCCCGTACACGTACAAATGCAGTCTCTGCATGACAAAACTTGCCTTCAGTCCTAGTCTAGCATGACAAGTTGGACACTGCAAGTTGGCGAAATTTGTCATGCATTTTGTACATCATTTACGGAAAATTTACATTGCATAGGAACGGTACAGACCACACTGACAGTGACATACAGGATGTGGAGATGAATGAAGACGAACCAGATCCCGAGGACGAAGAGGAGGATGGTGAGGACCGGCGACGCGGAAGGGCTGGTGCTCATCGAGGCTTTTTAGCCGCTGGGGGCCGGGGCGCGCCGGGTGCTAGAAGCAACACTTCTGGTGCACAACAACCGCCCCGGCGACCTGCTGGATTTGCGTTGCAGCCCGTGCTGGCTGCAGAAGGCGAGGACAGAGGTGGAAATGACGGGGAAGACATGGACGACGATGAGCAAAACCCACCGAATGCGAACCCAGAACATCAACAGGTCCAGGCGGCACACCCGACCACCTCGACTGCGAGCACCACACCGCTGAGCGTTCCTTTTCCGCCGGCAGCGGAGTCGGTCACGAATCTTCCTGGCTCTCCTACACGACCCCAGCAAATAAACGGTCAACAACTATCCTCCCTTCCCGCACTAAGTTCCCCCTGGCGGCAGATTCCGGTCCGTATGTACGCCAGTAGACGCGACGGCATCTTTCCGGGAGATTTTGTAAAGCAGAAAGCGGACGACTTGTTCCTGAATAAGCTGGAAATGACGGACTACAAGATTACCATCCAGCCGGACAAACAGCACGCGGATCCGTCCGGACCAAAAACGCTGGCGGAAAACATTTTCAACCTGCTGCGCCAACGGGACGCGGACGCAAAATTTTTACCGTAGGCGGAGGGAAAAGGCTGTAGCAGTATGTGTACGAAATAGAGTCGTAGGCAAAGCTCTTTGTCATGCGGCTGCACGGGACTAACAAAATGAAAATTCGCTTCAAGCAAGACTCGTGCTGTAAGATCTACTACAGAGTGGCTCCTGGTGTTACAGGAAGTAGGACGAGCGCTCGACGCAGATGACATTAATAAGAATCAGATGAAGATAAAGCCCGATTTTGAAGCAGCACTAGTAGCAAGAACTCGGGCGGTTGTTCTACACCAGGTCTACGACGCTATCCAATTTTGAGCCTCCAGTATCCTGGAGGACACAAAAATTCGTCTGTGTCTGTCTCTGTGTTTGCACCGAGGCTGCGGCGCTTAGGAGTAGATCTTTTTCATCATGGATGGTCGACTGCAAGTGGAAATACAAATAGAAAATGAAAGCATATACCAATGAGGCTCGCCTCCTTTTCATCTCCCCACAACTTGTTCGGCCTACACAAAAATCTGATTATGCAGTGAGACTGCACGGATGAATGTCTTTCAACACTGGCATAGCGGTAAACCCAGCAGCAGAACGTCCGGCCGTAAAAGCGCGCGTAACGGTACAACAGCGAGAGATTAATCCTTGGAAATATCCATATCTACCTGCATATTTGCAAAATGTAGCGAAAGGCAACCCGCTACCGGGCCTGCCATGTTTATTTTTCACGCCCGCGCCCGACGTTTTCGCGTCAGCGAGTTGCTAGGGAGGAGAGCGGAAGCCGGAGGCTCATTCTCTGGCACCGCTGGCGCAGTTAGTTGATAGCGAATACATCCTAGCGCTACCCCTTTGGCGAAGGGTCAGCCGAACGGATATGCGGCTGCACCAGAGCCGCGCGAATCCAGGCGCGCTGATTGTTTGCAATTCTGCAACTGGGCCAAACGCAGCGGCTGTAGCGCGCCGCAACTGGCTCCAGCCTCGCAATAGTGGCGGTCGGCAACTCTTTTTAGCGACCGGCGTGGCGTGTCGTCTTGCAATTTTAGGATGCGGAAAAGCAGGCCGCCAGCATTCGCCAAAGCCGGGCGCCATTCGTGAAAAGCCTCCAGGTGGCCTTCCGGCCAGCGCGCATGCACCCAAAAAGCGCAGCAAATCCGAGGAAAGCACCTCCACCGAGCGCTAGCCCACCGCGCAACATGCCTAGTAGCAGTATTTCGCTGAGCATGCCCCGCTGCTCCAGAAACTCTTGGCCGTACTTCAGCCGGGTCGCAAAGCACTCGCCCACGGTTCCGGTGCGATCGGGAAATACTGCCAGGCATCTTGGGTTCGCATAAAGATGTCGCATGAAGACCAATACCCCAAACAAATACCCCTTGAAGGAGGTACTTGCTGGGGGTATTCGTCATCGTTGTGCACCGAGCTGAGTCCAAAAATCCCGGGGGGTATTGATGGGGGTATTCGTACGGGGTATTGCTTTGGGGTATTCGTACGGGGTATTGCTTTGGGGTATGCGTTTTCGCATTGGGTGAGCTTGGCGAAGGTGAAACGCGAGCGGGAAATTTCCATCATTGCAAAATCCCAATTTGTGTTTCACCCAAACCCGAGCGGGGAATTTCCATCATTGCAAATTGTAGCTTGCCTCTCACCCAAACCCGAGCGGGGAATTTCCATCATTGCAAATTGTAGCTTGCCTCTCACCCAAACACGAGCGGGGGATTTCCATCATTGCAAAATGGCGAGCGTCAATACTTTCAACTCCCCACACCGTCTGACTTCCAAACCCGAGGATTTGGCGGATGGCTGGTCGCCTCGTCAACTCCTACGCGCGCGGAGACATATCCAGACGAAGCCTGGGCGCAGCCTCGCGCCCAGGCTTCGTTCGGGTGTAGAAGGTGCGCAACACAGGGACGCCGCACGGCAGGCGGCTCCACACAAAAGTCAGAGCGCTGCTCCTGGCCTCGCCTGCAGCCCCACTCCCCTCTCCCTTTGGCTTCCCGGAAGGTCTCGGTCTTCGGCACTTTCTTTTGGCCAGTGCGGAAAACCGGGCAGCGGGCGTAACGGTACAACAGCAAGAGATCTACGACTGCGACGGTACCTTAGCGCTGCGCCACTGCTGCTGTGCACGGCGGGATAAGGATGATCAGTAGGATCGTCTAGACTACGGTGAAGAAGATGTTTTTTTTTTTTGCGAATGGTACTAAACGCTTTAAGCCTTAGCAGGCTCGCCTGTTTTACAAGTGGCACGATCATAAGAGATGAAAGAACAGAATGCGAATGAGCAAAGTGATCGCGGACTCTATTTTCCTGAGAATACAGTGGAAATTTGGTTTCATTACTCACAGCTTTCAAAAGTAGAAACGACACGTATTATATATCAGCCTCTCTTCAGTAGAAGCCGAGCTGATGACCGAGAAAATTGCGACGAGCCGAGAAAAGAGCCGAGAAAAATCAGCAAAAGCCGAGCTTAGATGCTGATGACCGAGAAAATTGAGACGAGTCTTGATGAACGTCCTAAGCTCCTCGGGGAGCATCATCGTTCAAGGCAGATTTTACGTGTGTCTACTTCAAGTACAACACGTTGTTCGTTTACTTCTGAGTAGAAAAAAATCTCTCACCGCAAATATTAGTGGTGCAAACGCAGAGGAACGAGTTTGAGTTTGTGAAATAACATGAAGAGGAGAGAGCATAATACCATGAGAGATGCTTCGCGGGAGGACCGCGGGGCCAACGACGCGCTCCTCACATGGTCCTCGTGATGGCACGACCGGAACTTCTCCCGTCGTGAAAATGAAGGGATGTGGTATAGCAGTTTCTCGACGCATTGATAAAATACCTCCCCGGATGCCCCTGGATGACTCAATTCATTTCTCAATCAAAAAATAGCACCCTGCTTCGATTTTTTCCCCCTGAATACGATAGCGGTCACTTTTCTGTATTTTCTTTCTAAGGGCAGTAGTTTCGATCGTATATCCCTCTGTAAGTACTTCATAGTGGGTGCTATATCGGCGGAAGGTTGGGGATTCCGGCGCTGCCGTTGGCATGTTTTTGAATTCATAAGATTTTTCCTCTTCTTTGCAATTGGTAGCGAGGGGCTTCAAGGGGGTGGAAAGTGACGGACGAGCCTTGAGAATTTCAATATCAAGGGTGAAGAGAAGAAACACCTTATGCCCCTTCTCTTCGGAAGATATAGATGTCGCACTTTGATAAGAAAGCAGAGGATGACCTCTAGTCCCGAAATTTCCGCTACCATGGGCAATATTTGTCGAAAAGCAGTCGCGTGTCTTCAATTTGCAGGTGCCTTGCGCGCTACCTCTAGAGATAATTTCCGTCTCCTCTAATCAGATTTTGTCTCTGAAGAGGGCAGAAAGAAGACCAGCTACGCTGACGAGAGATCCTAACTCGTCACGATTGCTCTTTCCAAAAATGTCCGCCACTGTCGTTCCTCGCTGATGGCCATGCCTTCCAATCCCCCTTTTTTTTTTTATCCAACAAAAAGCTTTGTTTTGGGCTAGTCAGCTTGGACGCCAGGGCACAAGGAGACAGGTATAGTGACACAGCCGCCAAGACATAGCAGAGGCGAATGGAGTCGAAGACAGCGCCAGCCTCTTGGGTGCCCGCTTTCTTTGCGTAGCAAGATCGTGCGCACCCTGGCTGTGTCTTCCCAAGCGTGACGGGGTGGAGCGATTACGTACCTACGAGGATGAGGAGCCTCGGCTTGCTAAAACATCATTGCGGACGGCCCCGCATTGATGTTGGACAAGTCCCGAAGACGCATGTTGATCACGTTGAACCGCGGCGGAGGAGGAGATGAGCAGAGACCTATCTTAATCCTCCTTGAACACTAGGATCTGCACTACTTCTCTTTGCTTATGGTTTATAGTTGATCTCATACAAAAAAAATGTGCAAAATGCTTCGCGGGAAGACCGCGGGGCCAACGACGCGCTCACCTGGTCAAGGTGATGGCGCGACCGGAACTTCTCCCGTCGCCCCGCAACGACAGCGAGTTGATGACACGGTGGCTCGACCAGCTTCGGCGAAGTGGCTGGTCGTGGTCTTATTTTGAAAATAATGAAACTTGAAGGGGACGACGAGAGTGTTCTGGTCGGCATTTTGCGAGGACGTCGGGTAAAGAAACTCCATCTGGTGCACTAGCACCAGTTGTAGCATCATCATTATCATCCGTCGACAATGCAACATCTTCACCCGCCCTCACCGTAAGACCGACAATGAGTAGCGGTGGTTCTCCTGTCGCTCAGTTTTGTTGTCCGACCACCTGCCCTGCGTTCCTTCCGAAAAACGGGAGGCGCGACACAAACGCGTCCACAGGGCCCCCGTCGATACAGCCGTCAGCGTCTAGCTCGACATTGCCCACGAGGGGGAAAATGCATTCGGCGCGGAACAGGACTGCTGCGGCAGCATGGGGCACTGGAACTTCTTACTACGGCAATAGGCGTAGAACAAGAACCACTAGTAGGGCTAGGGCCTATACTCCCGATGCAGCTTCAACCACAAGAACCTCTATTCCCTGTTGCGTGGCGAACACTAGCTGTCAAAACCTGTTCTGCACCTGCGCAACTGCTGCGGCCTCCACCGCGTTGCTTGCGCACGTTGTTTTATTTGAGCGACGAGACCAACAGTCTTATTTCCGAACGGTGGAAGAGGAGGAGCAACTGTTAAAAGAAGAACTGCAGCAAAGTCGTCATGCTGGTTGTAACTACTATCACATCAACATGAAATCCGCTCGTCAAGAAGAACGTCCAATGATTTTAGCCGCGCACGCCCGGATTGTGCGCGAAGAGGGAAAAGGGGAAAAAGAGATCGAAGTGGGGGAGGACCACGCTCTTGTTGGAGAAGAAGAAGGAATGGGAAGTAGAAATACGGGGAGGAACGACGATAATAACATATCGGAAGAACAAGAGCCAGGACGAGCAGACGGTCATTCAGGAGTATTACCATTAGCGAGCAACTCATCGTCAACCTCCGCGACAGCGATAGTAATCCCAGGCGACGGCGAAACGGTCAGTGCAACGCCAGCCGCCGAAGATTTCGTTGGAGATGATAAACCACCACCAGAGAGCATGACTTCTAACCAGAATCCACCAACATCTACTTCGCCACCGACGGCAAATAAGACGAACATGATGAGAAAGGAGCAAGGACAGAGCAGTCAAGATGAAAACCAAATAAATGGCCATCAACGACCTCCGCATGACCAAAAAGATCTAGCTGGTGATGGTGAACATGAGCATCTTCTTCAGCGAGATGAATCGGATGTGGTGGAAACAAAGCAGAAACGGCAGGAAGACGAAGAAGCAGGCGGAAAAGTAGCCGACTCAAAATCCAAAACGACTACGCTGTTGGAGGAGTCCGCGACAGCTGCAATAGACGAGCACCAACCAGGACGGGCCCCGTCCGTAAAAAGTGCTGACGAAACCACAAGCAACGCAGGAGCCAGTGGGCCGACTGCGATGAGCGAGGAAGTTGTTTCTGGACCACTGCCTCCTGGTCGTGAAGATGCAAATGCTGTTGAGGAAGAAGATGGCGCTGAAGATGATATCGCACCGAGAGAGGACGACTCATCTTCCCGCGAAGATGAACAAACTTCAGACATTTCAACGACAGATTACATCAAATCTACCGTCCGGTATTACCTCCAGGACCTGGCCTTGTCGGTCTACCACAACAAACACCTACGGCCGTTCCTGGCAAAGACAAACATCGTGCCGTTTGTGGTGCGGACATTTGCTGCCCCTAGTTACTTTGGAAGCACTGCTAGCAGTAGGACGAGAAAGAACTCACCCGCTACCACGTCCTACCGACAAAAGGGAAAAGAGCGCGGCACGAACGGAGAAGAAACGAGGGAGTTCAACAAAAAAACAAAGGCCTCCGCTTCCACTGGTGCGCAAAATAGAGCAAGATCACAGCATCACGGACGTCACGAGGTTCGAGTGTCTTCCTTTGCCTACGACGAGGTCGACGCGCAGGCGGCAAAGAGCGGCCGCAGTACTTCTACCAGAAACCTCAACACGGCTGCTGCTCGGATGGAAAATAAGTTTGTAGTGGTCGGGCCACCGATAAGAGTAGACCGAACTGTATCGGCGCGGAAGAACGAAACGGAACTGCTCCTGAGAGCAGCAGCAGCGGGAGCAGGTAAAATGAAAACGTCGTCGTCTGGTAGACTAAGAAGACACGACGAATCACCTGGGGGTGCGCAGACGAGTAGAGTAAGCTTCAACAGTGCCGGCACAAGCGCCCACGACAGTCACGATGTACTGAAAGGATCTTCCATTTCGTTCTTGTCCGGCGAAGAAGAAACAGAAATGCTCGAGCATGATCATGAACGTCACCACGCTGCTGCGATGAAGACGTCCTCTGCAGTGAGTATTTCTACTTCATCAACATCCGAACAAACAGAAACTATTTTGAGGTCTTCGTACTCTTACCACTATCCCGCGCTCGACTTTTTCGAAGCAGACAACACCTGTTTTGAACGGCTACAGCACGAAGTGTTGAAGCTACGGCAGCCGACCATCTTTACCGATGCCGGCGCCTATTATTGTCGGGAGAAGGATGAAGACAACAACGGCAACGACCTCGACACTGCTTGGTGGGGAACCTTCAAGCAGGGGATGAATCGGGCGGACAGGAATAAGATGTACGAAGACATTCCGGAACTGTCAGGACCGAAATCGTCAAAATCGAAAAACTTGTGATGCATAAAATGAAAATCGATACCAGTTGGACCCTCAGTTTGCAAGCGGCGCATGACAAATTTCGGGAGCACCCAGATGCAGTCTGTCATGCTGTTTGGGAAAAGAAGACTGCTCCTGTCATGCTACTCTGGCAGCAGATTGCATACCGCTAATAAACAGGCTTGCAATAGGACTCATTTGCCTGCTCCCCAATACAGGCCACGCGTGCCCTACATTTTTTGCATTACTTACAAATTTCTCGACTTTGTCAATTTCGATCCTGACACATCCATAGACATCGCTTACGGCTTCCTGTTCTATCCCACCTACGACAAAAGCGGAGGCTCCAGCTATCTATGCATCGAAAAAGAGCAGGGCCGCGATGCTGTCGTAAGTTTATCAAATGCGTCTAGTACAACTTCTAGTTCTACCGTACACGAGTGTTGGACCTGCATGGCCAGCTTAAATCTGGACAAGCAGGAGCTGCTTTTGATTTGCGCTCTTGATAGGTGAGCTAGTACATCCTTTTAACTGACAAATACTTATCAGACAGCCACAGCATGATCTACATGTTTTTCTTTTTTCTGTGGTCACTTGCATGACGGTCATGGACATTGTACTATACACGCGACACTGACGCTCAGCATCTTCTTGCAAACCATATCATTGCGGGTTAAGTACCACGGCAGTAGACGACGTATTCAGTGCAATGATACCTCCGTGCTAGAAGTGCTGGCATAACGTCCAGCATGATGAAAAAGAAAATTTGTAAACGCGGATTTTTCATACATAAGGAAGAGACCCGTAAATGCATCATGCAGCTTGTTGCTACGACTACGAGTGGGAGTGCAGCACTTTTGCACAGGATGGTCGGAAGATTCTAACGATCCCTGTGTCAAGGCATGCGGTTTATGGAAGTGCCAGGTTTCAAATCGACAAAATGGACAGGGTTCGTCATGCCTAGAAGTCACACGAGTAGTTCGACGCTCTGTCATTTCTAAGCCGCGCGTGACAATTTTTTCATGTTGTAACCCTCGGGGCCTCGTGCTTAGCACCCTGCCATGCCTCCAAGCGATTCCATTGGTTTGTGGTATTAGCAAGCGTAGGCTCGTCACACTCGATAGCGTTCGAAGCAACGTAGCTTTTTGTATATTAGCCAAAAAATCATGCATGACAACTACAAATGAATACCATTTTCATTTTGAAAATTTACAACTTGGCGCTTCAATACGGGAACAACGAAGAGTTCGAGAACTACGAAAAGTTCTGGAACCCGCCCTCGTCCGTGGACCTGAACGAGCACCTTTCGTTATCAAATGCAAATATGTCTGAGTCCTCTGGAACGTCGCAAGACTTGTCATGCAGGTTTTCCAAGACCCATGAGGTCTGGAAAAATGCGAGACCCAGCATGACAGATTCTTTGAGGTCTCTATCATGCCTTTCGTGCATGAGAAACTCTCTCTCGACTTGGTCAAAAGCGGACACACAGATTTTTGCATCATTCAGATTTAGCATGACAAGTTTGAATCTTGTTCCAGAGGACCCAGACATATTTTTTGCAATGCATATTCGTTGTGCTGCAATTGGGCCTGGGCCGACGACGACCCTACTAGGCCGATCCGTTGCAAACCGGACACCTTGTTCAACATCATGCGGAGGAAATACACTCGGGATGGTTTCGCAACCGCCTACAATGTGGAGGATTCACACTACTGTCTTCCCAAGGAGACCTACGAAACTTTCGACAACGATAACCCCGACGACAGAAGAAAGCTGAATCACATCCCGGCTTGCGCGGCCCGAGTGTTTGACCGAAGCAAGTGTAGTGGTGGAATCATGACGGCGGATTGCGAAAACAGCTGCAATATGGATTGCAAAAGTATCGTACTCGTACAAGTCGCAATACAAATTTACTCCACAGAAGATGAAGGCGAACAAGTAGAAGCGGAGTGTGTCTGATTCAGGTCGTACTAGAGAAGATCTGTCACGCAGTTCTGCAAGTAGTACGAGTGCGATACTTTTGTAAAGGATACGCAACGCGGATCCGGAGTCTCGCTGCGAGTGGAAGAAACCTCCGACGACGACCACTGTATGGATTCCAACTGTGTCTGGGTCTGGGAGAATGTTGCAATGTTTGTGATGCAAGTTTTGCATGGCCCAGAAGGTGGGGCGTAGCATCTTCACAAGTTTTCCGGCAGCTTTTAAGAGCATAAAGCAGTCTGGTGCGTGACAATAAATCATGCTGTACAGCTTCAGTTGCTACTCACGCATGACAGATTTTTGTGTGAATCACAGAAAGAGTTACTGGTTTATTGCACCTTTCCAGACGCAGACACATATTATGCATTTGATACACGCCGTGCGTCCCCCTGCCGTCTTCATATGGCACGAAAAAACTGCTTCGCCGCACTACACTTCCTGGTAAAAAAAAACTATAAGGGTATGTCTATGTCATGTGCATGCAGCACATCAGTAGAAGCGTTTGTCTAACTCGAAGAATTGCAACGCATGGGAAAATCATTTCTCACTGAGATTTCCCTCATTGCGGGGCACGCTCACGCATGGTTGATGTTATGATTTGATGCCAGTGTTCCCCGTAAAGCAAGCGCGTGCTGTGCAAATTTTGCAAAATCGTCTTCACAGAAGTTGTGAAGTGAAACAGTTTTTCTGTTGGCAACTTGATACAACCGTGAGCGCAGATGGTGCATCACTTGGTGGGGTACCACCAGCCGAAATAGCGGAAAGGTAAAGGTTTCGTATACATGATTCAGCATAGTAAGAATTCTTTTTTCTAGGATCTTGCCAACTACATGAGTAGTCGCATGATGCAGTTTGTCGAGCATATTGTGCAGGAGAAGTCGTATGTGAACGCATACTTCGATACTATAAGCTTGTATTGCATAGTGCACGACCATCTGCCGTGAGGACGAGGATCATGATATTCCTTCACCTTTGTCATGCAGGAACAGTCTCGTGAAAACATCACCATCACAGAATCGACCTGTCGCAATCCACGAAGACCTGGGTCGAGTTCCTGAAGGAGCGATCTATGATGCCCAGCATGACGGAAGCGGACGCCGTATCGATGGATGACAAAGTCGTGTGCAACGAGGCCGCAAACTGGACCGGTGCTGTATCTTGAGAAAAAACTGTTTACAGTCACACACCCTGATGCAAGACAAGCAAGGCAGACAACCTCTGTCATGCCGGAAATCATGCTTGCCACCCTCATTATTATTTCCTGCCTGCGCATTTTTACAACGAGCTTTCTTTGCCACACAGAGCAAGTTTGTGATGCTGAAATTCCACGACCAAGTGCGTAACTGTAACATTTTTTTGTATGGATATGCTGCTCCGAAGTTCTACTGTCCTAGCCCGGGCGGCGACGTCCAGATATGAAATGCAAAAGCATCGCACTCGTATAAATGAATCACAAATTTTCTCAACATGAGAAATAGAAATTGTAAACGCGGATTTGCCTTAAGAAAAATGTAATGCATAAATGCAATTGGTACGAGTACCTACGATACTTTTGCACAGGATACCAGATGACCGGCTGCAACGAGACCTTGGCACTCCTCAAGTCGAGCAGCAATTTGAGCAATGTTAGTCTGGAAAATGTAAGTGCACGACTGGAGACGGAAAAAGCGTCTGCGAGACGGCGACAGATGGCAGGAGGAACTACGACACTTGTTGTCACGATTCTGATCGCTGGCGGGTCATCTCTCTTGTCTATCCTTTTGCTGTAGATGGCAGAAGCAGGAATAGGTCCAACATCACGACCTTCAAGATCTTTATAATCGCAGGAGATACAACTTCTCTACTTCATTTTCTGATAGATATCCATATCATCCGACTCGGTAAAAGAAGTAGCAACCAGATTCGGCACCAGCATCCGAGTCGGTAAAAGAAGTAGTTGCTGCAAAGGTCATTTTTGTTACTTTAGCCATGATATTTGAGACTGAAAGTTTATCGTCGATGACACAGTCGTTGCAAGAAGGCAGGAAGAAAACAGGAGGCAAGGCAATGCTCTGGACCCGGTGGATCACGGGATTCCAAAAATTGCCAGGTTGTAGTTCTGCAAAGAATAAGAAGCCTCCCAATAACGACAAAGAAACCCGTACTGCTCGTTCTTCGCGTTCCCAGTCTAGTTCGTAATTCTTGGCGCTGCCGAATAAATCGTGTTCGCACCACGACCCTGCAAGCTGTGCAATTCGAATTCTTCTGCCCCTCGTCCGCATAGTTCCTTCTGGTATTTCTATCTTCGTGTTCGTTCTCTCTGTTGCACAAGTTAGCTGCGTGATCTGCGAGTTTCTGCAGTTTATTTTTAGTGGTACGTTGATTGTGATGTAGTAACTACCAGCGGAAAACCAATATCAACGCTGCATTGACATTCTCTACAAACCGTACAAGCATGCTTTTTCCTCCCGCGTCTGTTACCTCCGCGAGTTCTTCGTCTTCAAGTGGCCCTTCGAACCAAAGCCCCACATTTTCCCCCTTGGAGGTCGCTGGGAGTGGGACGCCAGGAAGTGGAAGCTGCAGCCGAGTGGTCCTGCCCGGGCAGAATTCTACTTCCGAAGGCAACAATTCGGTCGCAGAGGAGGAACGGCCGCAAGAACTGCAGAATCTCAATCTCGTGGCCCCAGCAACATCAACATCAATCGCCCCCACGGTGGGTACTAATTTCCGCCGCAAAAATGGAAATACTTACAGTGGCAACGACCAAAATCAGCAAGGACGGGGCCCTGTACTAGCAGGTGCGCCAGCTCTTGCCGTTGGAACAAAAGCTGCCACTTTATTCGCCACCAACACGCACTCGTCGCCGCTGACCTCATTCCTAATACACGACCAGGCCGATTGCAGGACTGGCCCTGGTGACCCCCGTTCATCATCATCGCGGCCTTCTAGCATGGTCGGTGGTGCGACCAGCTCCGGGACCGCCGCTGTAGTACAACAAGAACTCGGGAAGCAGCAGCAGCAGCAGCAGGTGGGCGCGAGTCAGGAACACCAACAAACCAGGACAGCGAATGGCGTGGTCAGTGGCGGGAACAAGATGAAAGGTAGCATTAACAAAGGCGGGAAAGGAGGAAAGGCATCGCCAGTACTACTACAACATCAGGTCTTACACAACAAGAACTCTCCACCGCCCACCTTCATCCAGACGCCCGGTACAGGTTCCGGTGCCGGCCGTGTGGAGGTAGTTTCGGGAGCGGCTACAACAACAGTGGTCAACATTGCAGGAACGAAGACCACTATTGGAGGTTCACTCCTCAGTAGCGCTTCTTCGTCCACGTCATCCACGCCGTTCGCCGGAGTAAGTGCCGGTAATAGAGCGCAGCACCCTACTGCAACATCTTCTGTGGCCGGAAAAACAGCTACAGCTGCAGCATGCGCCACTGTACATAACGGGGTGGGCATTGCTGCACAGGATGAAGTTACGAACGGCGCAACTTCGGGAATGATCAACGTTGTGCAGACTCCGCAGCCAAATGCAGCACACAAACCACAGCCAGTTGCACCCGACCAACAGATCATATCTTCTGCTCCGTCGCAGCAGCAGCAGCGCGGCCGGCCAACGACCATGAAGGGTTCGCCGCCGCCGCCCATGCATGCGGTTTTTGCTTCTGCAGCCGGGAAAATGAACACGTCCCCGCGCCGCCACGTGTTTGTCTCGCCCATTCGCGGCCGGACTTCAACGGCGTGCGGAATGCCGGGACTGCAGCTGATGAATTTGTCACCCTTGCCGAGCAGCTCGATGAGGGCAGTAGGCAACAAGGGCCAGCAGCACCTGCAGCCGGCGGGGGAACAGAGAAAAAGTAGCAATCCTCTTTCATCTGAAAATGCAACGGCATCGGCAACGACACAACCTAGCAGCAGCAAGCGGGGCACGGGGGATACTTCGTCCCTTCTGCGGACTTCGGCCGCTTCTTTCCAGCAAGACCGTAAGAATACGACAGATATACAACATCAACCAGCCTCCTCCACTACAGGTGGTTTTAGCCCCTTGCCGATGCGCGTGGGGATAACAAGTAAGCAGAGCCAGAATGGGAAGATGAATTTCATAGCACCAAGTGCAATAAATGGTGAAGCAGGAGGTACCGCCGCGGGGACCTCAACGACTATAACCGCGAATTCGATTGTGAGCAAAAGCCTGGATTGGAGTCAGTTATCGTTGTCGAAGTCATCTACCTTCCAATACGGCCGATCACCTTCCGCGGACCGGACTTCGGTTGCTTTCGGCAGTGCAGCTATTTTGAACAACAGAACTGCGAAGAAAAATGCGCCTTTTTCTCAACAACCCACCTCATTCACCAAGGATCAGGTTTTGCGCGCGTCGGTCGATCTGATGAGGCAGACGGAAAACAGTGCTGCAAAAGCACCACAGGCAGGAGGCGAAGTAGAGAACATAGACTCTGCAGCCGCAGAAAAGTTGATGTCCGAAAATTCGGATAAAGTAGCAACGGCAATAAGCGGCACGGAGGATGGACAATCGGCACCTATTGAAATTCCCGACTTCACCACAGAGCTGGAACAGGAAGTTGCTCAACCAAAAAATGCAAGTAGCACGCCTGGTGAAGTAGACCTTGACCTTCGCAGCTCTACATCAGTAGCCCCACATCAAGTCGCAGCCGTGGTTGTGCCGCCACCCACCTCTACTGTAGGAACTACTGTTGCTAGGAGTATGTTGAAAGCCCCGACTGCCGCCACCGCGGGTAGCAGCAGCTCTACCACAGGTTCATCAAGCTCCGCTGCATTTTTGTCCCAAAATCCTCTCCCGTCCCGCACGATTCCCCAGCCCGCTCTGATTCCTGCGATGAATAAAACCGCGCAATTTCGGGTCGCGTCGCAAGACAGCAGCAACAAGATTGGTTTGTTCGCAACTGGAACTACGAATAAAGCGTTGAATTATGCCGGAAACGGGAACGGCACAGGTGGAGCGGGTGCTTCCTCAACATCCTCTTCCCATTTCCGTGTGGCTTCGCAAGACAGCGCGAATGAACGGATGCTGCTGTATGAATTGCAAAAGTATCGTACTCGTATAAATGCATTTGGAATTTCCTCAGCATGAGAGCTGCAATTTGTCATGCTGTTTCACCTTATGGACACGATTTGTCATGCATAATTGCATCAATTAGTACGAGTACGATACTTTTGCACAGGATATGCTGTTCCAACCTGCAACGCGGTCACCTTTGCGGGGCGGTGGCGTAAATTTTTCCGGGCCGCGGGGACACCAGCAACCGGTGCCGGCGCCGATACCTCTGCGCAGCTCAGCAAATACATCGAAGGACAGTAGGAGTGACGCTGTTGCTTTTCAAAGTGGTCCAGTTCCAAATTCAAAAACTGCTGTTATTGCAACATCTACTACTTCATCCTCCGGATCCTCTGCTCCAGCTTCCAAAGCGGCGAAAATTCGCCGCCAGTCGCCCCCACCTGGAGGTGGAAACGTCGGGTTTATTTCAACCGTGCAACCAAGGACACTGAACTTATCCGGACAACAGGTTGGGGGCTTCACTGCCGCGACGACCTCTCTGTCGTCTGCAAAACAATCCGCTGCCGTAACGGTCGCGAGTTCTCCGAACTACATGATGCTACACCAAGGTGGTGGAGCAGGGGGTCCTGGTCCTCTTGTTCCTGCCACGACGATGCACCACCATCTTCAGACAAGCGCTGGAGGAGGTCTTCCTGGTCCAGGTCCTCAAACTGCGACCACAAGAACCCCCGCTGGGCCGAGGGTTTTGTCTGTGAATCCACCGCTTGCGCGAAGTCGGGGCGGTGGCGGTGTGGAGCTGAAACATGAAACTCACTTTCAAGCGACCATACTAGCACCTGATCGTGGTCGCGGTTCTTCCACTGGACGACCACAAGCTGTATCCTCGATCCCTCCATCCGGTACGGCGACCTCCAAGGACGTCGGAAGTGGAGGGGTACTGACTGGCTTGTCCAACCGCCTGTCACCCCTAGCCAGTGGAGGTTCTGCAATGGGTGGTCGTGGTGCGGCCGTTGTTACATCTACCACTGCAAACGTCATCGACGTCGCATGTGACGAAGTTGTGGAAGTACAGGCGCAAGCTGAAGGGGAAGATCATGATTGCGACTGCAGTAGTGGAAAACAATCTGAGAATCTTCATCCGACTCCGGAAATAGTGGCTGCACAACAAAATGCTGACCATGAAGGAAGCAATGAAGCCCAGGGAGCGGCTATTGAGCAGCGCGTCAATGATCCATCTGCCAATAGCACAACTCGGAATGATCGACGCAGAAGAACTTCCAGCTCCTACCAGAGCGAGAATAGTGGTGCAACTGGAAGCGAAGATGTGCATCATGCTGCTGAAACCCACCTTTTGACAGAAAAGCTGCAGCCACTGGTAAATTTTCTGCACGCGAACCCGAATTCCTTCACTCTGACCTCCCTCGACTCCGGCACCCTCGTCGAGATCAATGAGCAAGTCTATGAAGTCGGCGAGCTGCTGGGCCAGGGAGCGTACGGGGCGGTGTTTGCAGCTGCATCGTCGTGCTCTAAGACGACGAAGAATTCCGCATCTTCTGCTGCTTCCACATCATCTCCTTCTCCCGAATTACGGAGGTTGCAACAGCAAACCCACTCGCAGCTATTTCCGTATGCGGTCAAAGAGATTAAGGCGGGAAACGGTCTGGGGCTACCGGACATGACAGTGAAAAAGTTGTTTTATGAACTCCACTGTCTAGCGTCCGTTCCAAAGCACTTAGCGGGAAAGTCGGCGCCGGGGCTGGTCGGGGCAACATGTTGGCGATTGAGTACTACTTATATATTACGAACAACTTTGTTTCATCATCTAATTGTTGCACTAGGGTGATTTTTCTTTCTCAAGAAGAAGTGCTATCCATGCATGCGCGGTTCAAAGTTCTCCACGCTAGCGCTAATATAATCATACTCAACCCTTCATTGCGACTTCTATCTTGATATCACAAAAATCTCAGCTCCGGACTCCGCTATCATTCGTTTCGTGATGACCCGCGTAAATGGCCAGCCCCTGGTGGAATTTTTGCAAGAGGACAAATGTGCTGCCCGTGATTCGTCCGCTGTCTCGGCTTGTTCCACAGCATCTCCTGCCCCAAGGCCGAGCAGCAACAGGAACAAAGAGTCGAATTCGAATAGAATGCCCGACGTGTCTTCTGCAGTCTTTTTCGTAGCGACGCTTTTATACCAAATCGCAGAGGTACAGGAGATTCTGGGCGAAGAGTGTATCCACCGCGATGTGAATACAAGGAACATTTTGGTGTCTGGTGTAGCAGGTTCTTGTGCAGGTAGTGGAACAGCAGCGTTAACACTGTCAAATTTGTCTTGCGGCCCTGGGTTGATGAAGAATCTTGAAGCTGCGCAAAAATCCCCGCTATCTTCTTGTTCGAACACTGCATTCTCATCTTCGTCTCACACAACACGACGGAATAGCCCGGAGCTCCTGCTGCAAATGAGCGGCGCTCCTAGTCGTCGTGCAGGGGCTTTTCCCGCTGCTTCAGAAATTGATCTGACCAATCTACCAGACGCTGACGTTGACCCTAGCTACACCAGCAGTCCAGACGGGTTGTTTTCCGAGGCAAGCCAGTTGTACCAAACCCCACAGTTGCGGTCGGATCAGGATGAAAAAGAGGAGAGCAACCTTACCCCAACCTCCGCTGTAGCTGCAACGCGGAGGAGGAGACGCAACTCAGGCTACGCTTCTTGTTCTAGCGCGAAAACGAGAACGAGTCGAGAAGAGCCCGGGAGTTCAGTGAGGACCGTCAAGCAGCCCCGAAGTTCGAGGAAACTCGGTGGGTATACCCACGACGAGGAGCTAGATCCAACGGACACGGCAGATCAACTACATGCTCGTGAGGACCAGCAACGAGTAGAGGAAGACAAATTATTGCAACAAAACTACCTCCAATTTTCCATTGTAGACTATGGGTCCGCGACCAGTGCCAGAAAATTCGCTGCAGACAGCGGCTGGGCGAAGTTACCCCCAACGGGGGAAGCGAAGCAATGGTGCCCTTTTGCCTGGAAATTGTTGTACGAATGGAACGATTTGCAGAAGAAGGGAGTGGAGAGTTGGCTGCGACAGAACATCAACAACGTCATGGCTGCCCATCACGCACCTGCAAGCCACGGCAGGGTAGGAACGGTGCCACGAACTAGCATGGTAAACGATTTCTCGTCAGCTGCGGGGGGCTGCGGCAAACCCAATGATCTGGAAAGTAGCCGGCGTGGTTTGAACATTTACAGGAAGCAGCTGGATATCTACGCCTATGGCGTTCTCAAATGTTACATCCTCAACTGTTACATGATTTGCCATGCAAAACCACAATCAGAATCGATGCGATCAAGCTGCTTAGCATGACAAATTTGCAAAGCGCTAAACAGCACCGAAATCTGTGCGGAATTTGTAATGCTAGAGGCGCAACCTTCCCCCTTTGACTTTTGCTATTCTTGCATTGCAAATTCGTGTAACAGTTGAGAATGTAACAGTTGAGAATCCCATAACGCCCTCGCAGTGGTTGCAATGGAGGTATTTGATCGGATTGTGCCAGTCCGAGTGCTTTCGGACGAAGTGGCCGCGCCTTTATCAAATGTAAAAATGTCTGGGTCTGAAATATTGCGAGATTTGTCATGCTTGTCTGGCATGACAAAAAAGTTTGTGATGCGTGTCCAAGAAGAGACCCTTTTTCCTGTCATGCAAAAACGCAGTTTCTCATGCGAAAAACGCAACACAAAGAAGCGCAGATATTTCTCATGCTTGGCTGTGCATTACAGAGCATTCACCATTCCCAACACAGCATTACAAGTTTCCAGACCCAGACATTTTTACATTTGATAGCCTTCTTCGCAGTACAACTACCCAAAAGTAGCTGCTGCACACAGTGGGACGAGGACCACGAAGGGCGGATCTACGAATATTGGCCCTTCACCACAGCTGACTACTAGCACCAGCAAGTCAAGTTTTTTTCCAAGCGGAGCAGGAAAGGGGAAGGCAAGAACTGCTGGAGGTGGAGGAAACCGCAATGCTAATGCTTACTCGTGCGCCAGTCCGTTGAATCCGTATCCGGGGTCGTTGCTGCAAGGGGGTACTACCGCGTTTCATCAGGGAAGAAATGCCACAACTCACGCGCCACCACCGTCGACAAACATGATTTCTGCGTCTACTGCGAATGCTGGTCATTTACTCCAACAACTCCAGAGGACCAATAGTCTCAACACGACACAAGCTACGACGACTGCCTCCAATAATCGTGGGAAAGAACAAAGAACTGGTCCCCTGGTCTGGGACCTGCAACTCACGACCGACCATCTTCATCAGAACTCGACGATTGTACCCGATAGTGATGCTCCTGGTTTAGAGGTGGCCGCCGGTGAAGCTGCTGCGCCAGAAGATCAACGCTCTATGAAGATCTTCCCTGACGACCACAAATACAAGAACGCTTTATCATCGAACAACCGCCTCTCCACCAGCTCCTGCGCGACCCAGAACACGGTATCAACCTCGGTTCCCAGCAGCAGCAAAAACCGCAGGGCCAGCACCTCCACCGCGGCGACGGCCTCGAATGTCTCGCTACTTTCCGGGCTTACCGCCCCAACTGCTGCTGAGTCCTCGCATTCATCGTTTGCTGCATCGGCCTCAAAAAATCAATACGGAAATCGACGTTCCGGCGAATTTGTTGTAGAGCCACATGCTGACAAGAATTATCAGCAGCAAAAAGCCTTCCACAATCTGCAAAAGTCCTGGTCCACTTACGAGCAAATCGCGAAGCAGGGCACGGACAAGCTTTTCGCGTATTCCAAAGCCTGCGTCGAAGAGCCCGGGAAGGTGTCTATGCATTGCAAAAGTATCGTGTTAGTAGTAAAGTAATAGTAATTGCATTACAAATTAGCTCAGCATGACAAACGGAACTTGTCATGCGGCTTTAGCTTGAAAAAGAAATTTGTCTTGCATGGCTGCGATTAGTACGAGCGCACTGCTTTTGCACAGGATAGTGCTTCGGCAGTCGCAACTTTGGCAGGAGTTGATGCAATTTCGGATGCCGGAGAGATTGGAAAAGGGGTTGCATGCATTGGAAAGAGATTTGGGGGGAGTGATTGCGGTGTTTAAGAAGGAAACCAGCAGGCTGGAAAGTAGTGCAAGTTGTTCGTCTTCATCTTCCTCTTCCGCCAAGGGTTCCTCCTCTTCTCACGCTCGCCAAACGCAAGAAATAAGAACTGGCAACAACAAGCCCAACGCAGTAGTTCCGGGGCAACGGCAACCTGCTTTGTACCAGAAAACTAACGTCGTGCAGCCGCTCGGACAGTTTTTGCAGCAGAACCGAGTCGGTACAACTGCTGGTTGTGGACCTTCACCTTCTTCGTTGCTGTTTCAGCAAAACTCTGCTTCGCACTCTACTGCTGGTGAACAACAAGAGGGTGATCGCCAGCAAGCTGGAACTGACCCTAACGAAACGGAAAGCTCGAGCCGAGAACAGATAGTACCGGGCGGCGCTAGTGTTAGTGCTAGAATCACAGAGGAGCTACAGAACATCGCCGATTTTTTCGCCTTGATTCGCTCCATGATGGTCTCCGCAAACACGACCTGGAGTGACGTGAAGGTAAAGGCTGCTGAAATCATTCTTTTGGTTGAACAATGTGAAGCACAAGAAACAACAAGTATCTTCGCAGCTGCGGGTGAAGATGAGGAACAGGAGCAGGAGTCGCAGTCAATAAAAAACAGCGGCGACGAGGGCGTGGATTTTGTCGAAGGTGAAGCGAGAGAGTATGATTGCAAAGCACAATCACACCCACCTTCGGCTTCAGCCAGTCGAGATCAGGGAAACCAAACTCCAACACGAACACCTTCATCGGCTGCAAATGAAGCTGTCCTCGCTTCCGCAGCTACAGCTCCGCAGGAGGGCACGACCTGCGTTTTTGCAGCGAAGAAGGAACTTCACTTCACACCCGATACTACGATCCAAGAACCGCAAAAACAGAACTTGCAAGTAGAAATACTTGATCCGACAGCACTCCAAGAAGGAAGCACCACGGCGAACGAGGAGAGCGACGCTGGCAATGCAACTACGATTCCAACCCGCCTTCCTGCGGTAATGAAGCAGGTCGTCGGAGAGGCGCGTGGCTCAACAACTTCCACCCCACCATCAACAGCCGTCTGCTACACCCTTGACGAGATGGCTGCAGCTGCACGAGGGAAAACGCCAGCAGATGGTGCATCTGGAATTCTCACTGCGGAAGTACATGAGCAGCGCCAGCACTCCTCCTCCCAGCAGTCCTCACACGAGCCGCATCAAGCAGTGGAAAGAAGTTTTAGTGGCAGCTCCAGTGCTCACGACCAAATACTGAACACTTCCCACGGGTCGTCGCTGAGTTCTAGTTTATCCCTGTCGGCATCCTCCAATCCTGCACGACGTGCGGTAACTAGACAGAAAGACGAAACCGAATACGAAGAGCTTGAACGGCTGCGGCGGAATGCGAGGAGGAGGACGAATTTAACGGTGGAGAAAGGAGTCGGACAGGTGTCGGTTGAAGGAGATGGGGCTACGCCGTCAGCAACAGGAATGGCAGACGCTGGACGACAAGTTGTGGAAAGACAACCGACACCGAAGCTCCTGTCCGGCGTCACTGACGAAAGTGCTGTCGGCAGGAAAGCAACGGGAGGAGGCGCAAATTGTAGTTCTACCGGAACAGCAGGCGTTGCTGGAGCCGGGAGCAAACATGTGCGTGTAAACAAAACGGCTGAAGCGGGTTGTACCAGTTCAGGAGCATCGGTCGTGGTTCAGCGGCAGTCCGGGATCGCGGCGGGAGATGGTACAACTCGCGGTGGGGGTGCAGCCGCAGCTACGGTTCGTTCCAATAACAGCAAAACGCGCGGAGAGCAGCTGCACGGGGTAGTTGGAGGGAATAAGACTACCGGGTCTGTTGTGGCCAAACCGAGAGAGGTGGCCACCAATCCGGGAAAGGTTTGGAGGATGAAGTGAGGCAATGCGCTTATGCGACAGTAGATGAAAAGATACAACGCATGCGCATCATTGAACAAAAGCGCAAGCTTTTGACTTCTGCGCGATGGACGGCATGTACATGATAGTAAAACAATGTGCAAAATAAACGACGAAACTCGCGATGGACGACATGAGAGTAAAACCATGTGCAAAAAAAACGACGAAGCTCAATCAGAAAACAAACTAAGCACGAATGCGTGGCCATGGAATGCCGCCCCGACCACGGCGCATCAAAGCCGCTGATAATCTTGACACAGCTCGCTGTTCGTTAGTTGTTATGCGACACGGCCGAGGCATTATTTTACGCTTTGCCTTTGCGGATGCGCAGTCAAGCTTCCAGGCATGTTATCGATCGTTAGGCGGGCGCGTGTCGTGCGCAAACTGAGCGCGGCGCCGCGCGCGTAAAAAGAAGCCCCGAGACATGGAGGGCCCTCGTGACGGTCCCCCTGTGGGTTTGGGGCTTCCAGAATAGGGGGGCGCGCGGGCCCTTGTGTTGTCCGAGTGCAGTGTCGCGGCAGTGAAATCCACCCCAGAAGGATTGGCACGCCATAAATCCAGCCGCGGCGCGATTCGCCCACCCCCCAGCCCGCGCATTGTCCAGAGATGTGGGATCTCGATGGCGAAGAAAGGACGGCGCCCGACTCTAGCGAGTTTCTCGACGTCAGGCACCCCGGGCCTGCTGCTAGGGTGCTTGCGTTCTAAGCTTGCAGGACCAGGCGCCACGGTGGAGCAGGGGCGGGGGGCCGGGCGCCGCGGCAATCAAGTCGGCGCCCGCATCCGGGCGCACGAGCTCCCCGGTGGCCGTCTCTGCTGATGCAAGCAAGGGGGGCCGAGCGAAGCGCCGGCGCGCGTTCGCCGCAAGGCCTTTGCCGGCGCCTTTGTTTGCCAAGACATGGATGAGCGAGGCTGCAAGGGCCTGGCGCCAAACAAAGAGCGCCGCGCCTTCCTACGCTCTGCGTCTGTGGAAACCGTGGAACCGAGAGCGCGCCGCCCCTCCCCGTCGTAGTTCCGCCCTGCCTGCCCTGCTCCTCGGGAGCATGGCCGCGCCCGGGCCCCTTCCTTCGTTCCTTCGGCATCGCCTGCCCTCGCAAGTGGCGCGAGCCCTGGCGCGCCCACCGCGCCTACCAGCCGGGGGGCCTACCTTGCCGGGGCGGGGAGGCCCATTGGCGCTATTGCCGCGCGCTGGCCGGGTCGTGATTGCTTGGCCGCGGCGCAGAAATGGCAAAGGAGAAGCCTTGGCAGACAGTGTGGCCGGGCGACTATATCTGGCTGGGACCGAGTAAGGGCCCCCCGTCGGGTGGCTTGCTAGCCGATCAGGACCCGCAGGGAGAGGCCGGCCGGCCCAGGTGACAAAGGTGGACTCTTCGCGGCCAACTATGACGCCAAGGGAAAAGGTGGACTCCCGGCGAACCACGGCGGTGACAAGGGTAAGGGCGGCTACCCGGTGAACTACGGCGGAAACAACTTCGCCGGGTATGGTGGTTACACCTCCGGGCAGGGAGGCCTCCCGGGAAGCTCGACTTCGTACGGTCCGGGTGGCGGAGGAGGACTCCTGGGAAACGTCGGCCCGAACACCGGTCCGAACACCGGTCCGAACACCGGGCACGACAACGGGCACAAGTACCGCGGACAGGGTGGCAGCCAGCGACCGCGACTTTTGCGATTTCATGGACGAGGAAAATGACAGCGAGCTGGGGAAGTGGTTGAACAAGGAAAAGAGTGACGACTTGGCGAAGACGTCGACCAAGAAGCCCCGTGCCCACAATTTCAGCGGCTCCCTCCAGGGCGAAGACGGACGGTGGCCAGCGGGGGCGGCAACGATGCGAGGGCCCGTCTTGGGCGCGCGCTCCCATCTTCGGCTCGCCGCGCATTGATTGACCCTTCTTGCGCCTCGGCATGCGATGGGCGAGCGTCTGTCTACCGAGGTCGCTGCGCCCACGGCTCCGTCCCATCGCCGGAAGAAGTAGAATCTTAATCATTGTGGACGCCGCGCTTCGCCTTCGACTATTTCTCCGTATATTGTTCACCCCCTGGTCGTGCGGGGTTGTTCGCCATTTCGGTGCTGTTAATTCTTTAGCACGCGCTGTGGCTACATGTTATTTTCCACACCCTGACCCGCGCACGCAGCCAGTGCATGCAGAGAAGATCGCCAGCGATGGCACTGTCGCTCGCTGGCTTCGCAAATACGACCACGAATTGCCCACATAAGCTAAGCCCTCTACGTCTCAGCCCAATGTTGCATATGTGCTTCATATTCGAGTACGCCAAAAAGGAAAAGTAGATGCAGAATAGTTGATCCATACCAAATTCTCATAAAACATGGCAACAAACTGGTCCCAGAAACAGCAAGGTCGACCACCGCAGGTTGATTGCCTGTTGCAGTGCTTGCTTTTAAGAACACATGACGGGAGCGGGTCCACAAAGGATGCAACTAAAGTTGCGGGCTGCAACAAAAGCACCACAGAGGCAGAGCATGCACACAACGCAACAAGCCACAACCCGCTCGGAGGTGCCCGCCGTGTCGGGGAGAGGCCCACTACCCCTCCGTCATCAACCATTCATCCTCCCGCCCAGCAACCGCTGACAAAAAGATTTCTACCGCCACTTGTTTTCGAAGCCTTATTCGACACACCCCCAACTGGCGCTTTTACGGCCGGGCAGGATTATCTTGCCACAAGAACAAATCAACACACTCCGCTGTCGCGGCTAAAGCGGGCCTATATCACCGAAGTCGCGGGCCCCGCAGGTGCGGGAAAGTCCCAGCTTTTGATGCAGTTGGCGGTGGAGCACTGTAAAAGCCAATTTTCACGGCTTGAGCCGCAAGAACGTGGCCACGACGACGACCCCAGTTGTGCACAACTACAAAAAACTGCAGTGTCTTGTGTCCTGGTTCTGTCCACGAACCGTGCCGCGTGGGTGGCATATGCAATGTAAATTTCCCGTACATGTACAAAATGCATGACAAATTTCGCTAACTTGCAGCGTCCAAGCAACTTGTCATGCTAGACTAGGATTGAAGGCAAGTTTTGTCATGCAGAGACTGCATTTGTACGTGTACGGGAAATTTCCTGTGGATATGGCAAGATTGCGCAGCATAGTCGGCAGAGAAAGCGACCACCTTCTCCAGCACATCCGGGTCCAGCAGGTGAATTCTTTGGAGGATGTCCTCGGAGTGCTGGCGAAGCTTGTGGAGCTTCAAGATGTTGGTGAAGATGAAATACAACAGAGCGCTGAGAATAGTACAGGAAGCCATGAAATAATACCTGCTGGAAACCACATTCCAACCACGACATCAGGCACTGCCGTCGCGTCATCAACCGTGGTAGACGAAACCACAGGAAGCGTGAATCAGTTCCCGTCATCAAAGTCAAGCGCTACGCGGCTCTCTACCGAGCAAGAAGAAGCAACTTCAAATCTGAAGAAGCCAGAGGAGAAGCAAGCCAGCGTCGAAACAAGTAAGCCGACCCGTCAACCGCGAAATTCTCGGCTGCAGAACAGAACGCAGATTCATCTTCATCTCGGTCTCTTCCTTCTCGACGGTCTGACTATGCTGATCAGCGGTGCGGACTTCGCGAATTTCAAGCACCGGGAAAGATCCTTACAGCGCCTAATCCGCAACCTCCGGTGCATCAAGTGCCCGGTGTTCTACACGGCGCATTTAGCGCAGGATTGGAAGCAGAACTGTTTGAAGTTATCTTTGGGGAGAACCTGGACCGAGCAAGCGTGCCACCAAAGGGTTTTCCTGCAAAGGTTACACAACGTAGACATGGCAGGACGACAAGAGAATGCAGGTGAATTGGAACCAGACGCGAGTGTAGTGCTCGCCACGCTGAGCGAGGAGCAGGGGGAAGGCGTGTTGTTGGGAATTGGAAAACGCGGTGTGAAGTTGTTAAATTCGCTGACGTGAACTATCGTATTATTTCGTTGTTATCAAGGATTTTGCTTTTGCTGAAATTTAAAGCACATGCTAAGACTTTTTCAAACTGCGTTCAAATCGCGGTCTGTTGCTTTTGATTTTGTCGCGCAAGTCTGCTACGCAGAATGTGGAGGTGGGCAATAACGTATAGAAAAACACTTCTGTAGCTCGTCCGAGGATGCTCTTGCTCGTCATAGTTCTAGAAAAGTCTCGTGGAATTATTGCTTTTACTCTTCCGAAGTGAAAATTAGGAGCATCAACGTGAAACTAACGCGCATCTGTGAAAAAAAAAGTCGCCTCTTCTTGATCTAAGTAGGTATCCTGCCGCCTTCAAAAAGAAAACCCATTGGAGTGCCGGCGAAGTTGCATCATGAAAGATCATAGGACTACTTCAATCTGCTTGTCGACAGAAGTGCAGCTCGCAGAATACCGTATGTATAGCCGGCCGCTTTCTTACAGTGCAGCGGCTCTGGCAGCACAGTTTTCATTTTATTAGTCGCTGACTCTGTCTCTCTCCCTATTCTCGCAGACCCTGAGTCGCGGCCACATAAAAAGCGTGACTTCTCCCTCGGAAAGGGTTCGAGTTCGAATTCCAATCGGTTGCAGCTGCAATACGTGGGACAAGAAAAAATCAAAATGTAAAATCAAAATAAGTAGTTCGCTTCATTGTGTGAGGACAGCACACAGGGGATCATACAATTAGAGGGGTTGAGAGAACAACGGGTCGTTGTCCTTAGATGAGAAAGAGCGTTTTCACTAGAGGGCTCGAGGGTCGTCGTGGTGAAGTTTAAGAAAACTTTAATTCACCTGATCGCCCGAATCGGCCTACATGGATGTTGTTCTCTTCAGCAGCAACATTGACCCTTAGAGCACCACTTTGTTGTTGTTCTAACCGCAAAGAACTAAAGCGAAAATGCACGGCTTCGATTCGCTTGTCGGCGGGGGGATTCTCCTCCTCTTGCTCGAGCTGTTGATGATCGCGGTCGTATCAAATGCAAATATGTATGGGTCTGGGAGGATGCAACTTGTCATGCTAAATCTGAATCATGTAAAAATTGCGCTGCATGATTTTGATTGCCCAAAGCAAAATAAGCTGTCCACTTTTGACCTAGTCGAGAGGCAGTTTCTTATGCAGAATAAGCATGATAGAATTAGAACTCTCACAGAATCTGTTATGCTATGTCCTGCATACCAGACCTCATGGATCATAGAAAACCTGCATGACAAACCTAGCACTCTTCCAGACCCAGACATATATGCATTTGATAGGTCGTCGCCTACAACAACGAGCTACGCACTGCAAATATGTCTGCGCCTGAAGCGGTCTGTTGTAGTAAACATGCAAAGGCACCACATGATAAAACGCACGCGCTCTGTTTGCTAGGTGCAAGCGAACGTTCTGATGCGTGAGCATAGGCATAGCATAGGCTTCCTTGCAAAAGAAGAAGAAACTTGCAAAAGCCTTTGCGTGCATGCGAGAAGGCCTTCTGATGCGTGGTCGAAAAGATGCATCACAAACAAGGACAAAATTTCAGGACCAGACATGAAATTTTCAGTGGATACGATGCCGGAAAAACTTCTTCCACCGACATCGCGGCCGATGCCGAGTTCACCGATCCGGTGGGAGAGGAAAACGAAGGGAAGGCATTTTTCGAGCGGGAGGACGTCGACGGGGAGCTTCATGGAACAACTGCAGACGGTGTGGGAAGAACGTGCATTAGCCAGCACAATGCCTGTAAATGCGAGCAACAGCAGGAGGACTGGGACGTGGGCAGAGCGAAGAAGGAGAAGAAGTCGGTGTGGAATTGCAAAGAATTGAAACCTGATGAATCTGGTTGCTCCCGGAAGTATTCTCAACTGCTGTCAAGGACGTGGTTTTGCACAAAAACCGACAGGTACTACATCAACAAATAAAAGGAGAACCGGAACAGTTCAAAAACATTTGGATTGTCGCTAAAGCTAAAAGGTGCAGCTCGCCCGATGTGGTGGTCACTCCATTCGTGCTTGAGTGTGAAGCCTTTGATAGAAGTGGATAGCACATCGTAGGTACGTTCTACGAGAAGCCAGAAGCTTCGGCAAAGAAAAAAACAACGCGACGGAGAAAAAGGGGCACTGTCGGGTGATCCTTATTTTGTTGCTTTGGAAAGGTTGATTGATGTGTTCGTCTTGCTTCTTGGGGAACAGCTGAGAATCTATCTGTTTCGCTCTTTACAGGATCTGACGCCAGTTCAAGTTCTCGTCTCATGATGTATCGGTAGTTCTTTCCTACAGTGACGCGGAGTGTATCTGACGCCCGTGGTTCCTCTCCTACCGGTCCTAGTCGTTGTATGTTGGTGGTCGTGTAGTTGTGGTAGTCTTTTGAGTGTTTATAAAAAGCTACTACGCGCACTGTTCACACTTCATATGTAAGTAATATGATCGCTGACTGTGTCATCTTCATGATCATCCACGTTGGTTCGGGAACAAGAAAATGATCCTCATTTGCCCGTCTCTCTAGCTAACCGCTTCACCTTGATCTCCATGGAAAGCGTTGTAGTAGGATCACAATGTAGACATGGCAGGACGACAAGAGAATGAACGTGAATTGGAACCAGACGCGAGTGTGGTGCGCGCCACGCTGAGCGAGGAGCAGGGGGAAGGGGTGTTGTTGGGAATTGGAAAAAGCGGTGTGAAGTTGTTAAATTCGCTGACGTGTACGTGATTCATCGGAAGACTTTTATTCTCTTGAAGGTCAACAAGGTAGCTTATACGTAAATTACAACGTCGAACGCGAACTGCTAGGTTTTTCAACACTGCATATGCGTTCTTTGGACTTTTTGGTTGTGATTTTGTCGCACAAGGAACTTCTTCTAGCTCGACGTCTCCTGCGCAAAATGTGTTGGCAAATAAGTACACAAAAACGCAAGCTGCTCGTCATAGTCCTATAAAAGGCTCACTGAATTCAAATTCTTGCTCTCGAAATGAAAATTACATGGAAGATGAAACTGAATGACTCGGATCTTCTTGATCTACCCTGACACCTCAAACGAAAACTGTTCCAGTTGAAATCATCGAAGCCGCACAAAAAATATTCTCCAAAGATGACCGACATTATTTCACGAAGCAGCTTTCGGCGGGCAGGAGCTTGTCGAGGCTATCCGGCACAGCGCCGCACCGCCCGCGTATTGTATGGAGCCCCGCACAATCCACCGCCTGGCTTTGTGGTTGGTCCGTCTTCCTTCGCAAACCCCTGAGGCCGAAACCGCTACCCCGTGACCTCGCGCCCGCGCTGAAAGCAGCGCCGGGGGCGGGGCTGATCACAATCAGCCGCGGCGGGCAGCATTGGGCCCGCGGGCGTGCAGCGCAGTATTGGCAGGCCCGGACACAATGACCCAAGCCGGGGGCGGGCAGCCTCTTACGCCATGCCCGGGGGGGGTTCGTGTGCCCAGCAGTGCGCCCGAGAGCGTCAGGCCCATGCGGGCCCTTGCCTCCGGGTGCCGGGCAGCCAGGCTCTCGGCCAAAACGGTAGCAACCGCGCGGCAAGCCGTGCCAGCGCCAGCGGTGGGCCATTCAATCGGGGGGGTTGTGCAACTAACGAGCGAAGTCCTGCACTTAGGGAGGTTGTGCCGGCGCAGCGACGTTTCAGGAGCGGTCGGAGTGTGGTGGCGCCGATTGCTCCTCGCAGAGCGAGGCGAGAAAGTTGAAATCGTTGATGCGGGCGGGGGCGAAGTTCCGTTATTCATAGGAGATGAAATAACACGCGGCGCGAAGAACTACCCCGCAGCGGTCTTGTATACAGCTGCGCCAGCGAGGCGCAGCCATACACTCGCGTGGTTCTGGTTGGCGCCGGTGCCTTCGCTGCATGCATCCACTCGCGCCCGCACGCCCCGCGCCGCCCGTCGTGAAGCAAGGAAGCGCGCCGGGGGCCGGCGCATATTCACCCGCGCGCCGCAGGGAGCCCCCCACAGGGCCGGCGGGCCGCCCGGGCCGGCATTTTTTTGCAACCGCAGCAGCCCACCCCAGGGCGCCTGCGTGGTTGTGATTGTGTGGGAGTGTAGGTTGCCCGCCTGCCGGGCGCGGCGCGCGCACGGTGGCAAGCTAGCAGCGCCCGCGCCCCTGTTGCAGGCGACCCGACCGGGGGCGCCTGTGTGCCCATGAGGCACGGACGCAGGCTGCCGCCGCCGCTGGTCCGGGCCGGCCGGGCGACTCTCCGAGGCCAGGGCGGTGGGGCATGTTTAGACTATGACTTTGGCCAGCGAGCGAGATTCGAACGATCGATCGTGGCTCTGCCCCGTCCCATTTGAGTATGTGTATGACATCATAGATTGATGTGTGCGTGCCCTTCTCCTGTCTCTGTGTTGTATACGCCGACGCGCGCAAGAGAGAATGAAACGCGCCATGAAATAGATATAAGAGGCTGTGCAACAATTGGACCCCCTTTCGCCAAGGCGAAAGGGGGGGGGGGGTAGGTTGGTCCAATTCCGGAGGACGGGAGCTGGCACCGAGACCCCGACGCAAGGGCGGCGAGGGCTCCCGTCGGTCTCGCCTCACAGACAACAATCGAACGCCCGGCGGCTCTTCTTCGTGTGGCGCCTTCGCAAGTGGCGGCTATGCGGCTGAGGCTATTCGGTTGGTCGGTAGTAGGCCCACAGGCATACGCAACAAGGCCGAAGCCATTTGCCTGCTTTCTATGGGCGAGTCCAGAACCCGGCGCGCCGTAGCATGTGCTTGGGGGCGGGCAGCCCTAGGAGGGCGGGCGCCCGCGGTGTTTTTCTTCACAGGCATTCCGGGCAGCAAGGTGCATCGGGGCGATTGCGGGCGCCCCATGTCATGACCCCGGGCTCCCCGTGCTGCTTGGGGGGGTTTGACAAGTCGGCGGGCATACGGGTTGGGCCCGAAGTTTTTTTGCCCCGTGTTGTGAGGCGCTTGCGGAGGGGGGGGGGCATGCGCGCGCTGTCAGGACCGGCGAGCACAGACGTAGGCATGCAGTGTGATGCGAATGTAGTCCGAACGGGCTCGCGCAGCACAAATAAAACGAACCTGCTCGGTTTATCGGCAGCGGGCGCGCGCAGCGCGCCCCGCAAAATTTGCCACATTAGCATTACGCGCCCGCAACCACAAATAAAACGAACAGAACAACCCTGCTCGGTTTATCGGCAGCGGGCGCGCGCAGCGCGCCCCGCAAAATTTTCCACATTAGCACTACGCGCCCGCCGCCACAAATAAATAAAACGAACAGAACAAACCTGCTCGGTTTATCGGGAGCGGGCGAGCGCAGCGCGAATTTTTTTGAATTCCGGCAGCGCGAGCACTGGGCGCAGCTCAGGGCCTGCTCGCAGCGGGCACGCGCACCGCGCCCCGCAATTTTTTTCACTGCGCACAGCTCCCGGCGAAAGGGGGGGGTGGAGGGGGGAGGTTGGTCTCCAGCGGGCCGCTACCCCCCCTTTCGCCATGGCGAAAGGGGGTCCAATTGTTGCACAGCCTCTAACTAGTATTCGCGACTTCCATGCTCACGCTGCGACTAAATCAAATCGAGCGTGTGAGAGTTTTCCTTTCGTCCTTTGGTTGTCTGAGATGAGTGAGGCATCTGGGCCTGGTTACCTACATGCAGATCAGATCAAAGAGCCCTAGAAGAGGTCGTGAATAAATGTTGAAAATGTACTCTAGAACGATCATAGCTGCTTTCCCACGAGGAACAATCAAGACCTCAAATTTCTACGACTTCAGTCAACCGAGATAGAGATTATTGAGGCCACATTTCTACAACGAAACTTGATCTTCATCACATCAATCTCACACAGCTGATTGTCTCACCTCCGCAAAACTACCACATATGGATGCGACGACTTTCTTGTTCTAGCTTTTTCAAGTACCAGCAGTTTTAGAAAATCCGAACGTACTTAGAAGAGAACGTCATCTTCGTTCTACCACTCGTTTCCTCTAATTTGCTAAAACAACCCTTGCTCCAAAACAAAGAACCTCGCCCAGCATGGTGACGCCCGGCCAGATGCAGATGTTTAACAAGCCCGAGGCTTACGAAACGCAGATCCTCGGCAGCAAGTACAAAAACCAGTACGAGTATGACCCCTCGCAGGAAATTCCCAACGCCGGCGTGTACAAACTCCGGCTCCACGACCACACACTCGGGAACGCACTTCGGATGGAGTTGCTGAAATCAAAAAAAGTCCTGTTTGCCGGGTACCGGGTTCCCCATCCGTTGTTTCACGAGATAGAGGTGCGGATCCACACGACGCAGGACAGCACGCCGCAGGAGGAGTTGTTGCACGCGATCGGAAATTTGGAAAACCAAGCGGACTCGCTCTTGCAGCAGTTTGACTCCGAGTTGGATCGATGGGAAGCGGGAAAGCAGTTTGACAAGCGGGGATTTCCGGAAAGGCAGGAGACGGTGAGTGGGAATAAAAACGTAGTAGAGGGCTTGTACGAGAAGAACCTGTTGACACCGGCGAAAAAGGATCAGATGGAGATGTGAAGACAAGACTACTTTTCAGGAGTTGGATGAGCATGAATAAAAATGGTTCTTGTTTATTTTACTTTGCCTAGTCGGTGTAGAAGTGGTGAGTCGCTGCTAGTAGAGCCGCACCATTTAGATGTTCCTGCTTCATCTCTGACCAGCGCGCAAAATTACAATCGCTTATACGGTGTTTTTTTGGAAACTAAATAGTTCTGGATAGTGCAAGAGGGATGAACAGTTGGTCTTCGTGCGCGTCGACCACGTATACGTGTTGCTGCTTGAAACACGGTTGTAGCTCTGACTCTAGATGATCGCGCCTTTCCAAAGTGAAAGGAGTTGCGAGTAGAAATGGGTTGCAAGTAACAAGCAGAACCTGAACACTCGCGGCAAAGTGTGGTGATAGTTCCGTTGGAAATATTATGCGCAGAAAAAACCAACACAGTCAGCTACTTCGCACTTGACACTGAATCTAGTACAAGGACAAAAGAAGCTCATGGAGTTGCTGCAAACACTTTTTTTACATCTGGCACTCGGCGTGCGCTTGTTTGACATTGCTGAAAGCGCCACCACGCGATAGAATTCGGAGGCGAGGGTGTTCTTCAGAAGAAAAGAAGATAAGTGCCATTTTCGAAGGGGCAGCAGTACAACTACAGCAGTATGATAGAGTCGTCGGTAAACACAAACAGAATCGCATACGCATTCGCTTATTTTCAAAAGTCGTAGGAAGTACCTAAAAGTAGAACCCTACGCCCTAGTGCTGCTTGGTATCGCGAATCGAAGTCGGATATTGACACGATGTGCATTTCTTGAGAGAGGCATGGCAAATCGAAATCAGAGCGATAATTGAGGAAAAGCACACATCACCACACAGATTGAGCAATCGCAGTCGGGAGTATTTGGAAACGTACAAAAAGAAAATGAAATACGGCACCATCGCAATCGCATCGAAATTTTAACTAGAGTCGGTGGCTATTTCAATGAATCGAGGCACTATTCTGGTGCTCTGAGGGTCAATGATGTTGCTGCAAAGGATAATTCTTGAAGAAGTAGATGACATGCAAAGAAAAAGAACATTTCTGAAGAGCCAACCAAATTTCTAGCTGTTTTTTCTCTCGCGATTAATGGTTAGAAACAACGGCTGAAACTCGACAACACTCTTGTGCAGGGCTATATGTTTTGTGACAGAAAATATCAAATATCAATCAACAATTCGGTTGGAGGGAGATTAATGGACTTTTGAACTACTAGCTCCATACTTGTTTCCCTTTCTGATTCGGTTTGACTTTGAGCTGTAATTTTATGATAGCATTCATCTTGAAGTTGTGTTGAACTTCCACTTCGACATCTATTTATTTTTATAGTCATCGCTATAAATTCACCAGATATCGAATATTGCTACCAGACATAAAAGACCTTGTCGTGTAGCCTCGCAGATTTCGAGAGACGAGACCTGACTCCTGAAGTTCTATCAGGTCAAGTTTCCTTCGGAATTTTCTGAGTGCGAACGCGACAGGAGCTTTTGCTTTTCATTTTCATCTCCAAGTTTCATCACGATAACGATATAGACCTTGTTTTACAGCCGGAAATCCGATAAAGTCTCTGGCAATAACGACCACGACAACGGCTAGCAGCAGCAGCGAAAGTTTAATATCGGCATTGATTTTCTGCTTCTCCTTTAGTCATTACATAACCAAATTTTCCTCAGTATCAATCTAAGCTATATTCATCCGCAAGTTGTACGCGATATTCATATTTCTTATTCTTTATTACGGGCGACCTAAACAAGGCGGCGGGTTTTTGTCGATAGTTTCTTATCGGCATCATCTTCGCCTTGGAATAAAAGTAAAACCACGACGAGTTTAATTTTCCTAAAATTCTTGTGCAGTATAAGAACCAACACTATCTGTGAAGTGATTTCTTTAGGAATTTTTTCCAAGAACAGACTGAACGAGCTTGTTTGACGTTTGATAGATGATCCTGCATCGTTTCTTGGGTTACTAGATATTTGTGTAGCTTGTCAGCAGCGGCAGTGCCTGCAAATGCACTAGCGGCCTCTAGAAAATACAGATAAGATATTTACTTGCTGCCCTAGTAGAAGCTCCACAACAATGCTCCTCCGTCTTTCCCGCCCGTTGCACCGTGCGGCAGGCGCCGCGCAGCTGCAGCAGAACGCCAACCCGGCCATCGTACGGAAAGGCAGCACGGGCCTGGCGCCAAACCAGCAGGCGGTGGACGGCAGGGAGAGGTTAGTCGTTCTCGGGTCCGGTTGGGCCGGGTACCCGTTTCTGCAGACGATTGACACCAACCAGTATCAGACCATCATCGTCTCACCGAGGAATCACTTCCTCTTCACGCCCCTGCTCGCCAACGCGGCGACCGGCGGAAGCGACATCGGGTCCATTTGCCAGCCGGTAAGGACGCTTTGCGCGAACAAGCAGGCGCGGTTCTACGAGGCGAAAGCGGTGGCGCTGGACAAGCAGAAACAGATCGTGCAGTGCAAGGCGCTGGATGGGAGAACCTACCCGCTCAAGTACGACAAACTCGTCATCGCCTGCGGGTTCCAGGCAAATGACTTTGGGATCAAGAACCTGCAAAAGCACGCCTTTTATCCTGTTGGAAAAGCATCGCACTAGTGGATATATAGAAATCGCATGACAAATTTTATCAGCATGACAAATGGAATTTGCAATGCAGATTCATGTAAAGGAAGGGATTTCTGATACTGATGCATGACTGCAATATCAATTAGTGCGTCGATGCTTTTGAAATGCATACCTTTTTCATGAAGGAGACCGCGGACGCCAGACGGGTACACGACCACGTGATGTCCTGCTTCGAGGACGCATCTATCTACTGTAAATTTCCCGTACACGTACAAATGGAAATGCTGTCTCTGCATGAGAAAACTGGGCTTCGATCCTAGGTTAGCATGACAAGTGTTGCGCTCCAAATGGCCCATTTGATGGGTGAAATTTGTGATGCATCTTGTACACGTACGGGAAGCTTGTATTGCATAGCCTCCACGATCATCACACAAGAACCCGTGGACGACCGGCTGCTCAAACGCACCCTGTCCTTTGTCACGGTCGGCGCCGGGCCGACGGGGACGGAGTTTTGCGCCGAACTCGCGTCTTTCATCAAAAACGACATCGAGAAGCAGTACCCGTATTTGGCAGAGTATGCAATACAAATTTCCCGTACATGTACAAGATGCATCACAAATTTATTCGCTAATTTGGAGTGTACTAAACACTTGTCATGCTAAACTAGGATCGAGACCCAGAAGTTTTGTCATTCAGAGACTGCATTTGTGCGTGTACGGGAAATTTCCTGTGGATACAGAGCACTGGTCAGTGCACTTGATCGAGGGGGGACCGAGAATCTTGGGTCCGTTTCAGAACGAGCGGTTGCAGACCTACGGGTACCGACACTTGACGGAGACGCAGGGGGTAAGTTGTCTAAAATGTTACACGCTTCTACAGATTACACTCAGGCATGACAAACTTCGCTTAGCATGCATTCTAATATGCAATACAAATTTCAAGATTTCCGAAAAAATCTCAGGTCCAAATCCACCTGAATTCCCCCGTCGACTCCGTCACCGCAAATCGGATCGACCTGAAAACCGGCCAGTCCATCGACTTCTCCACGCTCGTTTGGTGTGCTGGCATCAAGGCGCTGCCCTTCGTGCAGAAGCTGGCTTTGACGAAGAACGCCCGCGGAAATCAGATCTTGACCGATGGCCAGCTGAAGGTGAAGGGGGAGGAACACATCTACGCCATGGGAGACTGTGCGACGATCGAGGTATTATCAATGTGATATACAACGACCACTAGAGTTGCTAAAGATGACGAATGTAGTTTTTTCTTGTCATCATGCAGGAATGAAATGACACTACACATGCAGCTTGATTTGCCTTGCATAGGCTGCAAGACTAACTTTATTTATCATCCAAAACTACAATATCAGGACTACCCGCTCCCCCAGACCGCACAGATCGCGTCTCAGCAGGCGCTGTTCCTTGCCAAGTCGTTCAACAAGAAGTCGTCGAAATCTCTCCGGTATGCATTGCAAAAGTATCGTACTAGTAGTAATTGCAATACAAATTCGCGCAGCATGACATATGGAATTTGTCGTGCTGATTTGCCTCGGGAACAACGAGATTTGTAATTATGCATAAACGCAATTACTACGAGTGCGACACTTTTGCGCTGCATATCCGCTTCCAGCACGTCGACCGCGGCATGCTCGCCTACGTGGGCGGCACTTCTGCGTTGTACCGGGCCCCGAACCCCTTTCCGCATTTGACCGGGATGGTAGGGTACTTTACCTGGCGCAGCGCCTACTGGTCCATGCAGTTGTCCATGCGAAACCGCCTCCTCCTCGCCTCCGATTGGATGCAGCGGGCGGTCTTCGGTCGGGACTTGACACGGCTCGGCCTGGCGTCCGACCCGATCAACGCCAGTCCAGACGCGTTGACCTCGAAAGTGGAAGAGAAGGATTTCATGATGGCCAAAACGCACGGCGAAGGCCCGGAAGAGGACGAGGAGGAGGACCACATTGCGGCGGTTGTGTCCAAGGCCAAACAGAACACGGAAACTGCAGCAACGAATGGCGGCGTGGTCCGTCGCCGCCCGCAGCAGTCGGTGGCCAGTGCGTGATAAAAATGCCTGTGGTTTTGAGAAGTAGAGCACCAAAAATGTTGAAAAAGTGAAAGTACTAGAACTTCTTCAATTTCGAAGGTAGTAGATTTTGGATTTTGGGAACAATAACGCAAGAAATAAGTGCAACTCTGATTGAAGACGCCACTTCGGTTTGCAACCTTCTTCGAGCTTTTTCTCTACCACTAGCTAGTACTCTCGATCTGCTCTCCGCCTTCGTTTCTGGATTTTGGTACCTTGTGAGTAGACTCTTGATGCTTTATTCCAGTGAGTATGATGAACAAATGATTCGCACAAACAATTTTCCGCTCGTAGTTCTCGTCGCCTCTTGATGTAGTCGCTAGATTTAGTTCTGATGTTGAAGGTATATTTGCGATTCATCCAAATTTACTTCAACGGTACTTATCATGAAAACACTTCTGCAATGACCTCTAGCTCTATACGCAGCGGCAGCTACCATCTTTCTGATAATTCTGTGTTGTGATTAAAAGCGCAATGAAATGAATTATCGCAAACGAATTTAAACATGTGGTTTTAGGTTTTGCGCGGAGGTACATAGTTTGTGCAAGAGCGCCAGTGAGCTAGAGCTACAGGAAAATCCGTTGACATCGTTGTTGAGCTAAGATTTTTATTTGGAGTTGAACATCAAGAAGGAGGAGTTTATTTTATCGTAGACACGATCCATGTCATGATCTGCAGCACCAGCTACAATCGCTTCTACATGAACCAACTACATTGCAAAAACTGTGCAGCACTTGACTTGCATTGCTTCATAAAAAAGGACTAGAATTCCCACTTCAACCGTAACTATTTTTGACTCAAAAAGTTGTACATGTACACGACGCAAAAGAAAAACCAACCTTGCCATCATCTTCATCTTTTTTTGAAAAAGATTCCGACCATTTTCAGAAGAGAACAATGCATAGCTTCTACTCACTGTTTTGATCGACTTTGGGTTGCAAGAAACAACTTCCCAACTACAACCTGCTCGGGAAATAGCATAGAGCAAAGACTATGAGCATTGGCACATCATGTCGATTTTTAGTTTGCAACAGGAAGCGTAGTTGTAGCGTAGACTGTCGTGTGTGGCTTTCTTCCAGCGTTTCGAGAGCCTGATAAATTCAGGTCTTTCAAGAAACGCAGGAAAAAAGAGCGCATGCAAAATTATTCGTCAAAATGCACCACGATCATCTTCCGCTTTGAATTTTCCGCACAAAATTTTCTTGGAAGAGGATCCTGATCAGCTTTTTTAAGTAACTCTCTTTGCAACACCGACACACTTATTTCAAACCCGGGGTAACGACTACTTAACAATTTTTTCAGCTGTCTTTACGATGGATTGCCGAGCTCGTTTGATATGAAATTCTCAAGTGTTGAAAGTGACTTTTTTCCCAATTTGTCCGATTTGTTGATAGTAAATGCACCTGCTACCTTATTATGTTGAAAATAAATCAGATGTGGAGAGCTTTGTCGGTATGAATTTTCCCAGGGCTGATGTTGTTTGCACAGAACTCTGAACCTCCCACACAAAAACTACATCCAAACTGTTTGTATCCCAGTACCCTTTTCCCATTTCACCTTCTATTTTTTACCCTTTCCATTTATCCCCGAGGAGTGATCAGATCCTGATACGACGAACCAAATTTTCAGTAAACAATTGCGCAAGGTTAACGTAAACTTTTCCTGTAACAGAAAATTGTGAAAAAAGCAAAACTGAGTGGTGCAGGTGCTGTGGGCCGGTGGCTTTGAGGCTTGAATGGCCGGCATGGAATGCGACTGGTCATTTGCGAACTGGTGTTCAGGCTACAAGATCTACTATACTATTGGAAATCTGTTTCTTTAGATTCGTTGCCCACACGCTCCTGTTTGGCGTTTGCTCCCATGTCGAGGCTCAGAGGCCCTTCGTATCAAGATCAACTGAGCGCTGCATTGGCTACACCTGCAAAAAAGATTTTACTTTCTATGTATATAAAAGCATAGGCAACTGTTGTAGAAATTGATATTTGGCTTTTTTTTCGGCTGCGATCTATTTTGATTTAACTACAAGCTCCATTCACGCCAATAGCAAAAGAGGCGCCGTGGTCTGACAATTTGCGAATATGACGCCAACCAATAGCAACGACTCACATATGATACAAGATCTGACTCTGACACCACTTCTAACACTATTGGTAAAGCCGAAGCCAAAAGCGATCTATTGCCATACTTTCATATACAACGCGAAGGCCATACGACCATGCTCCATATTGAATTTCCGTAACCGTTGTATGCATTTGCATTTGAAGATCTTTTGAAGCATTGGTATTTCACCTCCCGATGGCTGCATAGAACATGACTACAACTTTTCGCACCTCTGTGATGTTTCTCCAAGAACGATCAAGAAGGCAAGGATCAAGATCTGTCCACCAACGCATGCCCATGCGAAGCGCGACCATTTTTTGTTTTGAAGGCACTCGATAATATTGACACATGACCGATATTGCTTTACCCACTCAACAACAGTAGAGCATCTTCTGAATCCTTTTCACTTCGAAAATCTTCGGATTTCTTGAAGCCTAAAAACTCATACACGTCGGTCTGACGCATTCAACATCATCTTCGGTCTAAGTAGCACTTTTAGCATCACGAGTTTCATCACGTAGTAGCAATTAGTACGACAACATTGGAACGGCAATAAAATATATTCCAGTAGACGACCACCTTTTTCCTCCTCGCGTCATTTTACGCTCAATCTTACCCGCATAAAAAAATACACTATTCCACTTTTTGAAAAACTACCTTCTACTCTGCTGCTGAGATTCGTATCTCGCATCTTCTACCCACACAAAAAATCTGAATTTTAGCCAACTACTGTTCCATTACCGCCGAACTTTGTTCCCTCCATTTCGAGAGCAAAGTTTTCCTGAATAAGCCAGCCCGAAACAAAAGCCAAATCGTTGTATTCAATGTTACTGACCGCCCAGACAGCCAACACCCAAGACTTGAAAATGACCTCTCCCGCTCAGAATGGCGCCCCGGCCGCTCCGGGTGCTGTGCCCCAGGCCGCGCCCGCCCCGACGGCGGAGGGTGGCGTCGCGAACGTGTGGAACGTCATCTCCGGTGATACCTTCGAGGTGTGCATGGGCGTGAACAAGGGGCACGTGGACTTGAAGCGCATCACCATCGCGGGGATTCTGGCGCCGCGTCTTGGGATCAAGTCGCAGCAAGTGGACACGAAGGATGAGCCCCTGGCCTGGGAATCCAAGGAGTTTTTGCGGAAAATGCTGTTGGCGAAGAAGGTGCAGTTTCGGGTTTTGTACAAGTCCGCGAGCGGTGTATGCAATACAACTTTCCAGTACATGCACAAAGTGCATCACAAATTTCACCAATTTGGACGGTAACACTTGTCATGCTAAGCTAGGATCGGAGCCAAGTTTTGTCATGCAGAGACTGTGTGTGCACGTGTACGGGAAATTTACTGTGGATACGGGGACCGAGATTACTACGAGGTCCGGATTGCGGGCGAGAAGACGCACGTGGGGTTGAAATCACTGTCCGCAGGAATGAGCAAGATCGCCCCGGGGAACCAGGTAGAGATTTGTACTTTATTTCTTGCTGATGCATGTATGACAATTTTTGGTAGTAGCAGTTTACTCTCATGTGTATTTTTTCTTGACCTGTACCTAACGCAAAGATTTACAACTGATGCAAAAGTTCATTATATCATCGCGAAAATAAACAGCACAAATTAACTTACGCTTACAAGTAGACGTCGCTTCTGTTACCCCTTAATTGCTGGGTAATACTACTACTACTACTACTCCAAATTCAGGTGAAATCCCTCAACCTCTACGCGGACTTGGAAGTCGCGGAGAACGAGGCCAAGTCACAGGCTCTCGGCGTCCACGCCGCGATGGCCCCCGTCCGCGAGCTCGCCGCCGCGAACGACGATCCGGACACGTTTTTGGCGCAGAACAAGGAGAAGCTCCGCCCCTGTGTGGTTGAATTCATCAAGGACGCCGGGGGCTACCGGGTGGTGTGCCTTCCCACGGTGGAGGACCCACGGTATGTGACGGTGCAGGTCTTGCTCTCCGGAGTGCAGAACCCAAGCTTCCGAAGGTATGTTTTTATATGGTGTTCTTATAGTTTGTCATGCGTTCTAGGCAGCTGGAGGCTCTCATCTAAATCTGTCAACATGCACAAATTTCATAAAACTCCATAATCACATATTTTGTTCAACATCGTCATCCAAACATAAAAACAGGGAAGCCGGGGGTGTTGAGGTGGAGTCACAACCCGGAAACGGTGCCTTCTTCGCCCGCGCGTTTGCCATGGAGCGGTTGCTCGGCAGGGAAATCAACCTGCGAGTAGAATCCATTCAGAGACAAGGGGCGCCGGGGAGTCAGAACGTATTTGCATCTTAGCATTCTTGCACGACAAGTGGTGATTAACTCTATAATACAGTTCTGTTCCACATGACGTTGACGTCAAGTTCGTAGAGGTGGTCATGCATTTTGTGAGCATCGATCGAGATTGTTTATTGTACTCAGCGGTCTACTAAATTTGTGTTGCGTAATACCGTTCCATAGAATTGCGCTACTTCCTCTATTTCAGGTATTCTTCCTCGGGTCCCTCGTCCACCCGGCAAAGGGCTCGATCGCCGAATTCTTCCTGGACGCCGGTTTCGGTCTATACGTCGACTGGTCCGCCCAGCGCTGCTTTTCCGGCCCGGAACAGCTCCAAAACGCCCAAAAACGGGCCCAGGACTCGCGGAAGGGAAGGTGGAAGAACTGGGACGGCAGCTCCGATTCCTTGGATTCCTTCGAGTTCAACGGAAAAGTCACGGAGATCTGCTCCGGGGATGTCTTGCGCATTGTCAACACGGAAGCGCCGGATCGCAACGAACGAAGGTAACAACAAGTACCTACTGTATATCATTCTAGCCTGATCTACTTCATCTTGAAAAAGTACTAGGGACTAGCTCTCCCTCCCAGGATCTTATGACCACACTACGTTTTGGTTTTGCCCTCGGCACCTAGCGTCTTACACCAACATGATCTGCGTCGTGCCCCTATGTAAAAATGTTGCATTCGAAAAGCGCATTTCTTTGTAGAGGCGGAGCGTCGAAGCGTAGTTCAAGTTTTGAGCGTTTAAATCTCTGTGATTAGACAACACAACATCACATGTCCTCTACTTTTTCTATTTGAGAACAACAACTGGCTGTCTATCAGGTACTACCTCGCCTCCGTCCGCGGCCCGCAGATCACTCGTGGTGGCAACAACCAAGACGGCTGGGGCCCGGCTGTTGTGGAGTACATGAGGAAAAAGTGCATTGGAAAGCAGTTCAAGGTCCGGTTGGAGTACAAAAAAAACATCTCTGTCTTCGGAGAAGGGAATGCCCACCCGCCTGCGAGTAACGAAAAAACGGGTGATATGTACTTCGTGACCCTTACCGACGCAAACAAGAAAAACATCGCGGTCGAAGCGGTCGAATCCGGTATGCTCAAGGTCTTGGCCAACTCTGGTGGGGCGGAGAGCATGAACGAGCGATCGCGCGACTTCGATGCTTTGATGGAAGCAGAGCAGGCAGCGATCTTGGCCTCGAAGGGGATGCACGCTGGGGAAGAAAAGGCGCCGAAGCAGCCGGTACTTCTAGGGGGATTTTTTTTTGTTTTTTGTTGAGCGAGAAGTTGACGAGAACTGTCCATTGGTTCCGTTTATCAGTCTCATTCATCAACATCAAGAGTGATTTTTACGTCGTTGTCATACAACCACCATACAATTCATCAACATCTTCTCCAGGTCTACACCGAGCTGATCCTCCAGCCGCCAAATGCCCCGAAGTCCCGTATGAGACTGCACAACTCCCCCTCCTTCTCATTTGTCATGCAGGCGCTCTCTGCATGACAGAATTCGGAAGCGCGCCAAACAGTACTACACTAGAACTAGAACTGCATGATGAACTTGTCATGCGTAGGCTCCACGTGTACTGGTTTCTGTTTTGCTGTTCATGCCATACAAATGAGGGGGAGTAGTTGTGCACTCTCATATCCCGCGGCCCCACCACCAAAAAGGAGCTCACCGAGCGCGCCAAGGCGTTTGAGTCCCAGCTGTGTGCCAACAGGAACGGGCACGACGCCACGGTTACGTATCTGATGAACGGTTCCAGGATGCGGATTAAACTCATCCACGAGAAGATTCTCATGAACTTCCAGATGAACGGCGTCCGCGCCCCCAACGCGGAGAGGCAAATGCCGGCTACCTCCGCGATGGCCGCCAACATCCCGAAAGCCGAGCCGTTCGGGACGGAGTCGCTGCAGTTTGCCAGGGAACTGGTCATGCAACAGGACGTGAAGGTGGTCTTGGACCGCGTCGACCCGGCGGGGACCTTTCAGGGCACGCTGTATTTGAAGAAGGGCGGCAGCCAAAAGGGACCGGACATGGCTACGATGCTGTTGGAGAAGGGGTTGGCGTACTGCGATCAGTGGTGCAACAACCAGAGCTACTTCACGATCGAAAGCAGGGCAAAGACGGCGAAGTATTGTTGTTGATACAATTTTTGATAAATACGCTCCTGATTGTTCATCGCTGCCACATGATGATCTTATGTTGACTCTGATCTTATGTTTGTCATGCAAATAACCCAATATCAGGCTTAACTACTGGTCCGTCGAGCATGAGGACCTCTCTGCCGTCCAGGAGCAGACCCAGAACCTCGCGGGCCAGCCGGTGAAGGGTGAAATTTCCCAGATCAACAGCTTGGATTCCTTCTACCTCATTCCCGCGGGCGGCGCGCAGCTGAAGATTCAGAACGAACTGAACCAGCAGATCTCCAAGTTTGAAGAAGTCTCCCACCCGCAGAAGCGCTCTCTCTACGCCGTGCAATACTGGGAAGACAAGAAGTGGTACCGGGGAAGGCTCGAGGGGAAGGGAACCGAGGGTCAGTTTTCCTTCTTCTTCCCGGACTTTGGCTACACGGCGGATGTGGACAGTGTGAGAAAAATCCCCGCGGGCAGCAGTTTGTTGACCACCCCTGGGGTTGCGATGCACTGCGCCTTGTACGGCGTCAGAACGAACGACGAGTACTGGGAACAGGCCTGCGAAACCTTCTTCAAGTGCACGGAAAAGAAGACCGTGAACGGTAATATAGCTTTAGCAAATGAACTGCGCTTGCTTTGCAGACGTTGACGTATGAATATTAGCATGAGAAAATTCTCTTTCACTTTCAGTTTCACCACTCCTGTATCCGCATGACAAAATCTCAAAATGTAAACTATCCAGGCTCTATCGAGAAGTCCGCTGGCGGGCAGTCGTACTGCGTTCTCTTCGCTTCCGGAATCTGCGTCAACGAAGCCCTTGTGAAGGACGCCGTGGCCCGATTGACCAAGAAGGAGAGCAAGCCGCTTTCTGTCGACTACAACCAGTGGAAAAAGGCGGAGACGGAGGCCAAGCGCGGCCGCGCCAAGATGTTATGAACTGCAAAAGTATCGTACTCGTATTGTAATCATGCATTACAAATCCTGTTCTTTAGGCAAATTAGCATCTGAAATTTTATTTCTCATGCTGAGGAAATCGAAATTTGCAATGCATCTATACGAGTACGATACTTTTGCAATTCATAGATGTGGCGCTACGGAGATGTCGGCTCGGATGACGAGGACTACTAGACGAATGCGAAGCGCTACTTCTTGTTCACACCGCGATGTTTTTTTCAAAATCGTCGTGTTGACAGGTGATAAATAGCCAGTCGTCAGACTCATACTGTGCAACTACCAGTACAACTAGTACGAAACCGAAAGATGATGCTAGATGAAATGCGTATAATGTAAGGACCACTCCAAAACACGAATACAACACTCTCGTGTATGCAAAAACAGTTTTTCAAAGGGATTCAGAAGATTGATTTTTCACATGTCAAGACTGTATCAAAGGTGCAGGTGGCTTTATTGCAGTTGGATTTCGTAGGCTGCTGAAGTTACCGTGTGCGATCTTGATGAAAAATGACAAACGCTCTGCTTTTGGCGCGGATCATAGATGTTTTTTTTCTTGCTCAAGAATAGAATAGAAGTACTTTGAACAACACACTTCCTCGTGGATAATGTGTTGGCGAGGTATTCACCGATAGGTTATTTGAGGTTTATTTCCGACAGACTGCAATTTTTTTTGGCGAAAAAAAAAAAATCGCTGGGCTGAAGAGCCCTGATTGCCTTCGCGCTGGCAATCGGAGTTGTGGCGTTTAGGAGCCTGCGTCGCCTGAGCTTTTAAGCCACTAGCTGTTGACGGACATTGGCCCCCATCGCATTGCTTAATGTTTTTCCGGGTTGGCCTGTTGTGCTAGACCGGGTCGGGCGGGTCAGGACCTGCGTGGCTTGACGCGCAAGATCGCACGCAGCGCGCAGCGCTTCCAGGCGTCTTCGTGGCCCCCGTCCTGTGACAGTGGGGCCGCATTGAATTCGGCCTGGCGCACCAGCCACACCGGCGCCCGACGGTCCCGGCCAAGAAGACGCCGCGGCGCGGTGAAGCGCTCTGCGAAAACTTTTTTGCTATGGGCCGGCGGCACAGCTGATGGGTTCGCCTGCTTGCGCGGCCTCCCCCCTGGCTTCGCGATGGCTTTGGTGGTTGGCCGGCATCGGGCCTCTCCCAAGCAAAGGCTGGGGTCTCGCATTGGCAGCGGTGCTTGAGGAGCAGCACACCACCCGGGGTCCTGAAAAGAAGAGCAGGCTTGGGCGGCCGGAAGTCTTTGCGGGTCACCGCCATGCCCCGGCGCCCGGGCCCGGCAGGGGCGTTCTTTTTCCGGGCCCCCCGCGCGGAAGGGGGGGTAACAGCTGCCTAAGAAAAATGCCCGGCCGGCCCCTGGATACAAGCGCGCCGGCCAAAGAAGGTGGCGAGCAGGGAAACGCAATGAAAACCGCCAAGCCCCAGCCTCCCGCGGCGGCTGCTTTTGCCCCCGTGAAAGCCCCCCGAAGCCTGCCCCCCCTATTCTTAAAGCTTTGCCCGGCGCCTGCCGCGGCCCGGCCGCGCAAAATGCTGGCGCGCCACAACCGCCCCGGCGCGCCTTCCTGCTCTCAGGAGGCGCCATCGGCTGCCGGGCAAAAAGAAAAGGCCGCCGGCGGGGGGGCCAGCAGGATGCGCGACTAGCTCGGCCCCGCCCGCGCAGGTGCTTAGGCTGGGGCTTGGGGCCCGGGAAAGGTGTCGCGCGGCAGCGGGGGCAGCTCTATGGGCAAAAAGAGACCGCCCCCGCGCCCCGCGAATGGGGCGCAGCCCCGGGGACAAGAAAGGAAGCGACGCAACCCTTTGCATTTTCCCCAGCTATCGCGGCTTGGCGCCGTTGTTGCCAAGCCGCCCGTGGGCCGAGGGCCAGCGGCCTGCGCCCAGGGGCGGTCCTCCTCGGGCAGGACTGCTCACGGGCGGCGACCGCTTGTTCGCATGCCCCCGGGCCTGCCGCGCCCCCCGGGCGACCCCGTCCGGGGGGGTAGTTGGAGGTAAATTTCTTACCGGGCGAAATTTGCGAAATATTTAGGTTCGTCTGCCCCTGATATTTACAAAATATTTAGCTCGAAACGCGACCACAGTGTTTTCCCATTGAAATCATTAAGGAGCCGAATCCGGCCGCGTTTCGAGCTAAATATTTTGTAAATATCAGAAGCGTTCCGAGCTAAATTTTCGCAGTGTTCCGGCAGCCGGGCCGCGGACCGGATTGGCGCTCCGCGAGGGCTTCCGGGGCCCCGGTGGTGCCTCTCCGACGCAGGCAGCAGGGCGACGGGCCCCAAGCCCCCGCCCGGGGAATGCAGGGTGGGCCCGGGGAAGAACTCGTGGGCAACGTGAAAAAGGCCGCAGAGGCTCCGCCGGCAAGGCCGGCGTCAGCGATGTCCGCGTGGGGGCTCTTCCGTTGCCCGGCCGGTCGCCCAGAGGATGTGGGTGGGCGGCCCCTTGGTTTCGGGGAAGGCCCCTGCAGTGGGAGAGGGTTATCGCAAGCTACGTGGCGCGCGTGTCCGCGCAACACCCGGGGCCCCCCGTCGCAGACCTTAGCCCGCCGGATGGCGCCGCCGCCTTCCGAGCCACTATCGCGCCCTTGTGCCCGGGCCCGGCCGCAGCGCCTTTTTGGGATTTGCCCTCTGCCCGGCGGCACGCGAGGAAACCACGCAAAAGGCCCAAACCCCCGGCAGGCCGCGGCCGGAAAAAAGACCGGGCCGCGGGGCGGGCTTACCTGGAGACGCGCCGGCAGCCGGCCGCGTTGTTTTTCCGCCGCCCGGGCGCGTGTGCATGTTTCTGAAGTTCCCGAGCACCGGCCTGGCTTTTTGCAGAAATCCCCCCGCTTGTATTGCGCAAATCGGCCGAACAAAGCCGGCGCGCAGCGGGTGGCCCGGCGCTTCCTTTACCATGCCGCGGCCCCGACGCTCCGTTGGGGCATCCTGGCAAGCAGCCTCGAAGGACACGGAGCAGGGGCACGCGCAGCCGGGCAGCGGCCACACGGGGGGGCCGCGGCGTAAAGGGAGGTGGCAGGGGCCAAACGAAAACAGGCAGGTCGCGAAGGAGGGTGGGAGGCCATGCGGCAATTGCCTGCTAGTGTGGGGCCCGCAAAAACGCAGCGGGGCGAAACCACACGCACGGGCCGCGACGCGGTCTCGCCGCTGATGGCCGTTCCCCAGTCTTGGGTCGCTTCGAAAAAGTAGGCGCGCCAGGAGGCGCCCCGGCCTTTCCTTGAGATAGGCCGCCTGGCGGTTTCGGCAATGGGCCTTGCGGCAGTGCACGAAGCCCGTGCTGCTGCGGTAAAAATGGCTTTTGGGGGTGCGGAGGAGTTCCGGGTGGTGTGCCTTGCAGTGTGGCGTGTCGCTCGGGAAAATCATCCGTGCGATTAGCCCGCAGCGTCATCTCCTTGCCGCCCTCATGGGGGTGAGTGTGTGTCGTGCCCCGTGCCGTGCAGCTGACAGCCATAAAGGAGAGGCCATGCTCAGGGGCCCCCATATCAACTCACGACTGGCCGCGGCTTGGCAAAAATGAACTTTGCATCCGAAAAATGTCGGAAATTTCGCCTGCAATACCCATCGGGCGATTCCTCTCCAAAATGTGCCTCTACTATGTTGATGGAGACTTTTTCTTCTGGGTCTTCAAATCAACATGACTTGAAATCCTAGAGAAGTTGGAGTTGTTGAGCTATTGCTTTACTACTACGATTCAACAACTTGTTGTTATTTCTCTTTTTTAACAACCACACGCACAAGCGTGCTGGCTATCAATGTAATCCAACTACGAACACGCGTCCATGTCCTGACGACATGGACCAAACTCATCTTATTTTAACTCATCGAATGCGATTGCGAAGATTTTAGACAACTGGTTTTTCCCACAATAAGATCAATCTAAACGCGAACGACACCATGGTAGTTTTTGTTCGATTTGCTTTTACGAAGTCAGAAAATAAACGCGACTCTATGTTGTACCGACATTTTGCTGCATGTCCATGTGCATGATGTGTACTTACCTAAGGAAATGAACCACTACCGGAGTACGAATCAAAATCATCAAACGAAAACCCGTGTTTCGCTACGAAAAACTTTACTACTACCAAGTAAAGCTAAGAATCCAGGGTCGGAAATTACGTACTTAGATTTTTTTTCGCACACGACAAGGAACACATCACGGCAACATGATCATTGCTTTTCACGACGTATTTTCGACTACACGCATGATTCACGCATGGAGATAAGTTTTAGCGCCAAAAACCTTTCTTGCACGACAAATTTTTGTCGTGCGGTGTTGTGCTACCTTGCTTTCATCTGTAGAATCGAGGCAAATGGAAATGCGAAGAAAAGAAACAATTTAATGCAGAAGTAAAAAAGGCAGCGCCATTTGCCTTTCCGCAATCTGGGGCTTCTGAGGAAGCCAGCCGTGTTCGAGTAAGTACAACTTGCAGGTGAAGTAGAGGGTTTCACAAGATATTGTTGAGTGCGATTGAGGAAAGAGCTTTATTTGAGTGCTATCTTCACACAAGCAGACATGATATTTGAGTACTATTGAGGAAGGAGCTTCATTTCTGTACGTGGAACATGAGTGACAAGCATGAGTCCCGTCGTCTTTCTGAGCGTGTTTTTCATTTGTTTACTTTTGCTCAGATGATGTTGGGGTATCGTATGTGGTTCCTCAGGTGCAGACGTTTTTGTCGTGGGGCTTGCTCTTCGTTGGTTCTTTTCCAGTCGCAAAGCGCCGGGAGGGCGCCGCCAAGGACGGGCGTGCTGGTCGATGGTGGTCGTTCTCGGCGTGGCCTGCGAAGAAGCCGGCGGAAGGCAGGGCGCGCTGGCGCCAAGAAATCCGCATCGGTTGGAATGCCGCCAGCAGACGAGCCGCGGGCGCCAAGAAATCCGCGCCATCGAGGAAGAGGGTGGCTCGCTGCTGTATCGCGCCCTCGCTTATACCTTGGCGCCCCGCGCCCTCTTTGTTTTGTGTGCCCGGGCGCGCCCGCCGGCCAACCCTGTGAATGTCGTGGGCCCGGGCGCGGGGGACCGCCCGCGCCCCTCCGGCACGCAGGCCGCGGCCGGGCCGCCGCCCCGGCGCGCAGGCATGTCAGGCAGGGGGCCAGGGCTCCGCGTGGGCAGGCCCGGCGGACCTTTTTACCCTTCCCGGCGTTCGTCCCCGTTCGTATAGTTTTTCGCCAGGAGGCAAAGCGCCGCCCGCCGCGGTCGTACGTAGCAAGCGCGCCCGCCAGGCTTGGGGGGGGTGTTGGCGCGGGGCGTAGCGCTTGGGCGGATGAAGTGGGGACCTCCTCCCACAAACTCGCTCCTGTTGCTCTGCCGGTCTAACCGCGGACATTACGAATGGCATTGCGTGTCCGCTGGTACTTGTCAAAGCGATGCTACTGCTAGCTCGAAGGATTTTCTGCGAGATGTTGTGGCCGGCAGTAGGAGAAGACCGATGACAAGACGCAAAGCCTGCGAGCAAGGATGTTGTTGAACGCAGCATGTTCACATGGTGCAGGATTTATGATATCTCAGCGCCCTGGAGATCATTGATCAGGAACGTCCTCGAGATTACACAAGATATTCATATTGTTATTGCTGAGTGCTGTTGAGGGAAGAACTTCAACTTTTATTCGAGTGCTATCACGTCGCAAACAGGCACGACAGTATTTGAGTGTTATTGGGCAAGAAGAACTATTTCTGTATGTGGAGCAAGAGCTTGAGCACTAAGTAATTGTAATTCTTTGAGCGATAAGCATGAGTCCCGTCCTCTTTCGGAGCGTGTTTTATTTCATTTGTTTATTTCTGCTCAGATGATGTAGTTCCTCCGGCACACAGGAGCACTTTTTGCCTTGGGGCTTGCTCTTCATGCTTTTCCGGGCGCAAAGTAAGCGCCGGAGGGCTGGCCGCAAGGGCGGGCGTGCTGATAGATTGGTGCTGGTCGGTCCCGACATGGCTTACAAATGAGCGGCGAAGCGTGCGGCGAGTATGCAAACAAGGCAAGCGCGAAGAGGCAGCGCGAAGTCCTAGCGCTCAGCCTTGGAGCATACCAATCGCCACCAAGCGGCCTTCGATCGGATGGCAATGCGCCGCCGTATTCCGCAAGCGCTGGAGCTGGACTCCGTGGCAATCAATGGCGACGCGCCGCCCTCGCTTGTGTCTCTCTGGGCGCCTCGCGCCCTAGCCTGGTGTCTGTATGGCCGCGCCGCCCGCGCGCCCTTTGTCTGTGCCCTCGGGCCAGGCCCGCAGGGCCACCGGCCCGCCCGCCCTGTCCGGGAGCGGGTGGAATCGGCATGGCGTCCGCTGGAGCAGTGGCGCCCGCCGCCCAGCCTTGCCAGGGTGCGCGGCATGGCAGGGAGCCAAGGCCCCGGGTTGGCGGGCCCGATCTTTGCACCCACCTTGTTTTTCGGCGTTCGTCTTCGTCTGCAAGGTATTTCGCCACGCGGCAGAGCCCCGGCATGTCTGCTGTCAATCGTAGCGCGCCTGCCAGACTCGGAGAGGCGCGCGTCCGTGCGCCGCGTGGCGCGCGGGTGGAGGAGGTAGAAATATACCACTGCCTGGTGCAGCTCTGTCAGTCTAACCGGGGGAGATGAAAGCCAATTGATTCGTGTCCGCTGGTTGCCAGAGAGATGCAAACTCGAATGATTCTCTGTGAGACGTTTCTGCACCCGACACTAGTAGGCGAAGATGCAACAGCAAAGAAAGCCTGCGAACAAGGATTCTGAAGAACAGCACGTAAAGCCTGCGAACAAGAGCAAGATTATGTACCAGCTTGCTTCGTGTTCGCGTGTAGAGACGACAGAGTCTGACGCCTCAAGATCATCAAGAAGGGACTCTAGCTCAGCATTCACATCATGGTGCAGGATTCATGATATTGCAGCACCCTGGAGATCATTGATCAGGAGCTGAGTTTTGATCTTGTTTTTGTCCAACAAGACGTAGAGCTGCACATTAATAGTCGGTCTAAGTTTATTCTTCAGATGAATGGCAGCCAAAGGAGTCTGCATTTCTAAGGACTTCAAATCGCCACAAAGAGTGGTCTAGACATAGACTAGAAGTAAGTAGTGCTCTTCGCTCGGTCAGTCTCGGTTTCATCGTCTATCGGTCGTGGTATTCCAACTGCGACCACCGGAATGTCCGTTTTTCAGTTTGTCTTGAGAGACTCAGCCGCTCCTGCCAGCAATTCCATCCTCGTGTAGACCCCATTTAGTATTATCTTCAGTCAAGAAGATGTTGATCATCCTCTGTCTCCTTCGGTCGGAACAAGGAGTGCCAAAACTACATGATAGATCACGAGTCAACTTCTGTCAACCTACAGGGACCCGGGAAGTAGCCCCCTTCCTATTTGTGTGTGAAACATCCTATAATTTGTACTTTACCGTACGGAGGTTTTGCCTTCATATAAGCGGTAGTGCAATAGAAATCAACTGTGTAGCTTGCAAATAAAAATATCGGCAGCTCGTTTCGAAAGCAGCCTCTCGAAACTTTTTCACTCGTCAGTAGTTGACACGATAACGGTTAGTGAACTCCCAAATACAATAAGCACGACCTTGCGTGCTCCAAAAAGTGAAAGTCGCACTGAAATTCACTGCATCTGTATCCTTCTAGTTATTCATTTTCACGTTTCTATCTAATTCTATCTCTATTTCGCCTCTTTGACGCCATTTTTTTTCTCAAATTTAATTTTCACCAGTAGCATCAACATCTCAGCGTTTTTTTACGTTTTTTAGCTCCTTTTTTTTTATAAGCTCGCTTGATCAAAGCGGAGTCTTTTTTTTTTTCTTACTACTTGCGTACGAAGTAAACTGTTGCTTCCACTTCTATAAGGAGCACAGTTTTTATTTCAGCTTTTTCGCGCTGATAACTTTTCACGTCGTGACACTGACAACTCTTACTACGTTCCTTTAAGTTTCGCCGTAGTTTCGGTCGTTGCGTAGAAATCCAGTAATTGCCGCCCACCATGGTGTTCGGCATGTTTGCATCGGCGGAGGATCCGCCCGCGCCAGCGGCGGATACCAGCGAGATGCTGGAGGAGAATCTCGAGGAAAACGACAATGCGCTGGCCCACGCCCCCGTCGCTTCGAAAAAGCCAGGCGGGATTGGCAAGAACAAAAAATCCGCTGGTGCCGAGGGCGAAACCACGGGTGTGGAGCTGGCAGCGGTCACGATTGACTCGCCCGCGGCATCAAAGGATGACAATTTTGATCGTCCCCCACCGCCGGCGCGGAAGACGACGGAGATGTGGACGGGGGAAGACCCGAACACGTTGAATCTGAACATGATGAAATCCGAGAATCTGCCCGAGTGGTTCACGTCTGGTTTGGAACAGTTTGATAAGGATGGGGACGGGGAGCTGCACAAGGACGAGATTATGCACTGGGTTAATGTGATTTTGCGGATGCGGCAGAAAAAGGAGGCGAACGCCCCGGATATCGACTACAGTGAGTTTCTATGCATTGCAAAAGCATCGTACGTAGCATAAATTGCATTACAAATTTTCTCAGCATGAAAAATTGAATTTGTCATGCTGTTTTACCTTGGAAAGGAGATTTTTCATGCATGCCTGCAATTGGTACGAGTGCGATACTTTTGCACAGAATAGTTTCCGCAGCAGGTGAAAGATGTGATGGCGCGGTGGGATGTCGATCAAAACGGCTTGATCACGGTCAGTGAGCTGGCGGCGGCCGGGCAGGCACAGGAAAAGATGGAGAAGGAGAATCGGTAAAAAGGGATTCGGATTGTAGTTTGTCATGCGAAAGTTGAAATCACATTCACACTCTTTCACACTTGTCTCGTCTTCCAATGGCAATACGAATACTGCTCTATGCAACAGAAATTCCGTCTTTTCGCCTGAACAACAGGTACATGAAGATCGCAATCGCGGGTCTGGTCGGTGTGATCGTTTTACTGACGGTCCTCATGTTCGCGATGGGCTACGCTGCCGCGGAAGCTTATCAGATTGGAATCAGTTTCGTACGTTGTTGAGTCGCTAGAAATGATGGGAAAGTTTGTCATGCAAGAAAGTACACGATGAAGTTTTGATCTTCTGTTCATCAGTTTGAGTTTGATAAGCAATTCTGTCATAGTACGAAGACATGGTCGACAGGGAGGACCAATGCAGAGAATGCAGCGTCTGAATTCCCACTGGCAAGATGAACTCAACGAGCGCCCTTTTGCTCCCTCTCGATACCTCTTCCAAGGACTACCGCCCCGCGTCTGCCGACCACGGCCGGCGGCGCGCGCTGACCGAAGCTACTCTCGCCTCCGAGCAGTCCGCTATGCATTGCAAACGGATCGTACTAGTGCAAATCGCATTACAAATTTGCTCAGCATGAAAAATAAAGTTTGTCATGCCGGCTTGCCTTGGAAAGCAGTTTTGTCATGCATATCTGCGACTTTAGTACCGCAAGACCGCGATTCTTTTGCGTCGCATATGAATGTACGGCGAACGCCTGCGGTTGCTGCACGCGGAGGGTGACGATTCTTCCACGTTGAAAAATCCCCCTGGGACGTTTATGGAGGAAGATTTGACCATGAGCACGGCCATGTGCACGAACGTTCTCACCGGGATGGGGGAAGTCATGGAGATTCTCACCACCATCAACCCGAAATCCGCGGGGAGACTGCAAACGCTCACTGTTCCCACTTCCCAAGGACAGAAGGTGATCCAATTCTCGGGCGTGACCGTGTCGGACAGGCAGTCCTTGACCGAAGGGTCCATCCGCGAGTTCTCCCAGGAGGGCGGTGGGCCCAAGATCCGGCTCGTGGCCCCCCCGATGCCGATGTATAACGCGACGGATCCGTGCTTTGTCTACCCGGAGCGGCGGATGGAGTTTGTGGACGGACAAAGTGGAAACATTGACGTGGTGACCGAGTATTTTCTATCCCACAACGGCTGTCCACCGGTGACCGGCCCGCCGCTGCCGAATGGAAACCCCGCTTGTGCGCCCCCGACGCCTTTATTTAACGGCTCCATGCCGGATCGGGCGGCCTGTGTCGCCACCGTCCCGACGCTGGTGGTACAGTGCGAGGCGCAGAAGCCGAACCCGGTGGGGATGGGGACCATGCCCGCACTGCACACCTACTGCGTGAACGGAATGTGCAATCTGGGAAACTTCACGATCTTTTACAACGTGATGCCGAACAAGCCGCTTGGCCAAACCGCGGAGACCGTGTTCCTGTTGTGGGACACGAACAATGACACGATTGTCGACGAAATGGAAATCAACCGGGGGCAGGGCCAGGCGGCCCCGGACTTCCAGCACGCGCAGCAAAGTTTGATGACAACGAGTCAAACCGTGCAGAATTACGTGACTCACGCACTGGTGCACGGGAACACCACTACCAGAAGACGGATGTTGGAGGCGCAATTGATCGCTGGGACGTTCGAGACAGAACGGCGGCTTTCGGAAGACGGTCAGACCGAGCGGACTTTGATGGCGAAGCCGTCTTGGTGGACGGCGGGAGATCCGCGGCGGATTACCGACATTGCGACCAAAATCTGCATGGTCAGCAATAGTATCCTGTGCAAAAGCGTCGTACTCGGTTACTTCATCGGATTCGTGCAAGACAAATTTCTGGGTCAACCTAAATCAGCATGACAAGTTCCATCTGTCATCCTGAGCTGCTAATTTGTATTGCAATGCCACGAGTACTATGATATTTTTGCAGTTCATACACAGCCACTGCGCCAACTCGGTGGAAGCGGATCGATTGGCAGAGGCTTTGTGCGAAGGTGACAAAATAGTACGTCTCTTTCATGATTCAGGTTTCGACCTGCTTGCAGAAGAAAGCAACATAAATAGTTCTTTCATCCCTTGTGCTTCTTGATTCTGCATCAGCACATGATCCTGTGGTCCCTGTGCAGTTACAAAAATCGCTATCAAGAATTCTGATGTACTACTTACGCACGACAAACTCTACAAACAGGTAACGAAGCGCTGTGCGAGACCGCTCCGGCTATGACCCGTTCTTTGGACCGTGATGGCGACGGTCGCGTGAATGAACGCGAATACGAGGCGATTCACGAGAAAGCGCGTCCGGATCCCGACGCGCGGAACCGCCGCGACGTTGAGGAGCCCAGGCCGGATTCCGATGTTTGCCCGAATTTCAACACGCCGGATATCGGCGACGGGATTGACTGCGGGTCGGAGGAAGACTTGGGGAAACTGAAAGACATGGCGGACAAACGTTCCTGGTGCTCGAAGGCGGCGGGGAGAGACGGCATTCTGGATAACGAAGAGTGCAAAAACGCCAATCGCGTCCCCACAGCTTTTGACACGATGGCGGAGATGCAGGCGCAGGGCGACGTCCGGATGAAATCGATGATTGAAAACAGTGGGGTCGGACTCCCCGCGTGCAAGCAGTTTTACATGCGGGAAAAAGCTTTAGATGATCCTGTCGCTGAGGTGATCTGCCACATCCGGGATTTTGAGTACCCTTTCATGGATGAGTCTTCCGGTTTGTCCGCGAAGGAGGCGAACCTGGACATGGGACTACTGCTGGAACGGTACGGGTCGGAAGGCGCTTCCGCGTCTACCACCGTCCGGAAATTGCAGCAAGAATTGGGGTTTGGGAAACGCACTCGGGACAAATTCGGGAACATCATCACGCAAGAGTCCGCTTTGGCGCGGCAGGGCACGGATGTGCAGGATGACCCGTTGCACTACCACGTGTTCGAAAAACTTATCAACACGCCCCGCGCCCGCCGGATGGAGCAAAAGATCATCAACAAAGAGCGGAAACTTCGTCAGAAGCGGCGGATGCTGCACGGATCGAACTCCGAAATGTATGAGTCGTGGCTTTTGGCGAGACGGCTGAAAGCGACGGAGAAATTGCGGAGACGCCGGGTCTTGCTTGCGTTTGACGAGGAGAAGGATGACCCGGAGGTCACCCACCGCAAGTTACAGTCGATCAACCGGCGACTGGAGCAAATTTCTGAAGCGAAGAACAGCGGCGAAGCCGCCAGTTCCCTCCGTCGGTTGGAGCAGACCGGTCGGAGGCTGTTAGCGGAAGATGATGATGGTGATCGAAAGTTGCGGTTCTTACTGGACGATGACAACCACTTGATCACGCGGAATTTACAGCAGTACCAGCAGGAGTTCAAGATTGGCTCCACCTCGCGGCACATGCGGGAATTGATGACGCTGACGCACGCGGGGAAAAGAAACTTGATCAGTTTGGAGCAGATTGGGGAAAAGGTCATGAATTACATCATCACCGACGATGTCGATGGTCTGCAGACCTGGGCCATGACCATGCTCCGCAGCGACATCCGCATCTCCATTCCGAAGCAGGCGATCTTGTACTTGCTGTACGACGCCCGCGACCCGTTGGGGATTGGGATGGGCGTGGCTCGGTATTTGGATCAGTTTATGTCGGACAACCAGGCGGAGGAAATGCGGGAAGAGACCGGGCGGATGCCGGAGTCGCAAGACTTTTCCCGCTACGACCGCGACGGCGAGACCCTTGCCGACGTGCGGCCCCGCATGCGGCAGCTGTCCCACCAAAGACGCGTTTTGGTCGAGATCGCAGAGCGGCGCCGGATGCGGGCCTTGCAGGAGAAGGATGGGAATCAGCGACGGAAGTTGCTGGAAGAGACTGATTCCATTCACCGCCGGCTACACGAAGTGGCACGGCACGATCCGGACGAAACACGGGTGTTGAACTCGGAAGAAATTCGGCAGATGAGCGAACAAACGCCGTTGAACGAGCGGGAGACAGAGCGGGTGATTGAACACTGTCGGAGGGAGAATAGAGACTTGGAAGGGGCGCAAGCGCGGCAGTTCACGCGGTTGCTGAAGCAGCTGGATTTGTCCGACTCGGATATGAGTGCACAACTCCCCCTGCGCCTCCCCCTCATTTGTATTTAGCATGAACAGCAATACAAACTACACCAGCACACGCAGAGCGTATGCATGACAAATTTCTTGTGTGCCCAATGTAGTGCTTCTTCTTGGGCTCCTTCCGGAATCATTTGTGATGCAAACAGTGCCACAAGGCAGCGACTGGATTTGGGGTGTTGCATGACAAATGAGGAAGAGGGGGAGTTGTGCACTGTCATATCGGAAAGGCGGGAACTCCGAGACGCCGCGGAGGATGCTGGGATGTCCTCGGATCGGGATGAAGAGCCCGTGGCCTGCACCCCGTGCGCCTTAGCCACCGCTCCCACGGTTGGGATGACCCCGGACCACTTACGGGATGCCGTGTTGAACAACAACGAGCGACAGGAGGGCAACCCGGACTGGTGCGCCACGCAGTTCCAGGACATGCAGGCCATGGCGGTCAATGTCCCCACCTGTCTATGAGAGTGGACAACTCCCCTTCCCCTCATTTGTCTATGCAAAATCGCAAATTCAGGCTGTGCCTCTTGGCACTGTTTGCATGACAAGTTCTGGTAGGAGCCCAAATAGCACTACACTCCAGTGGAAATTTGTCATGCAGAGCCGGCATTCTTACTGATGCTTGTATTGCAGTTCATGCTATACAAATGTACTGGAGGGGGAGTTGTCCACTGTCATACTGTCTCGGCGCGAGTCAGAACGCGACTACGGGGGAATACATGACCCCGATCGCGACCTACCCGGCGGACCAGCCGGTGACCTTGCCGCGGGTGCCGGAAGCATACACCGGCGCGATTGCGGCTGCAAACACCGCTCCGACCACGGGGAATTTGATGGCGGCCGGGTCGGTGACGCCCCAAGCCGGCGACGTGATCGACCCTTACACCTGCGCGGGCGCGAAGCCGCCGGCCCAGCCCGGAGCGGCGGCGGCGATTCCCGACACGCAGTTCCCGACTTATGCCCAGGCGGGTGGAACTAGGCGAAGTTTAAGGACTTTTGACCAATCGGACTTGGTATTGACGACGAAGCCGAGAAACCTTTCGAAGCAGCACGTCAATAAACACAAGCGGCCGAAGGGGCGGAGTCTCACCGCGAACGTGTCTCCCTCTCTGGATCTTTTTGCGCACTATCAAATGCAAATATGTCTGGGTCTGGAAACCTGTGATGCTGAAATGCGCATGAGTGAAACGATTGCAATAGCAGCCAAGCATGACAGGTTTTTTGAAAGCTTATTTCATTCTAATGCCCAGCACACATTAGACATCACGAATTGCATTTCTGCATGACAAAGCAAGCTGCTCTTTTGCCGCTCGTGCAACACAGATTTTTCAGGAATGCAAGATATGCATTGCAAAGTCCAGCTTCCCAGACCCAGACATACTTGCAATGCATACGCACAAGTCCAAGCCCATGTCGTACGCGAAACAGTTGCAGAGAGAGCAGGAGGTGGAGATGCGGCGAGTCCGGAGGGAGCGACGGTTGTTGGAGGAGCACATGCAAATCGGGAATGACGAGCCTGGTACAGCTTCTTTGAGTAGGAACCCAGAAGCGGAGATTCTCTACGACGGGAACGGTCGGAAGCTGATGCCGGCGCTCTCCCAGACGATTTGCCAGTCCGCGAACATCCCCGATAGTGAATACCTTTGTTGCCACACGGGGATTTGCATCACGGAACACGCGAATCCAACGCAGATGGAGAATCCAGACCGGGACATCACGCAGGGCGGGGAGCCGATGGCGCGGATGGACCCGGAGCCGCCTGCGCCGGTGACCTTCTCGCAATTCGTGGATCGCATGATGCATGAATTACCCTCGTGTAAGAAACTTCCCCCGGAGGAGCGGCAGATGCCGCTCGACGCGGCGACCCAGAACTTCGACCTCGACCACGACCACACGTTAGCTTTCAACATGGAAGTGGACAAAATGGGCCCGGGGTGCGTGAAGGAGTGCGGCTGCCACTACTTAGGCTTGCATCCGAACACCGGGGAAGATGTCTTGGTGAACATCTGCAACTACCAGGCGGAAGTCCGGTGCGGCTGCATGAAAAACAAAAAGCATTGCTTCGACGAGATCATGCGGACCTGGGAAGAGAAGGGAGGAACCCGCGATGAGCGGGGGAACAACCGGAGGGCCAGGATGCAGCGGCGAGAGCGCCGCCGCCGGAATCTCCGGGAGAGCCGGTTGCAGTCCGGAAACTTTCGTCGGTTGACGAAGTTCGACGTGAAGAAAGTGCATCACAAAGTGGAGATGCAGAAGGACCACAGGGCGCACTTACTCCGACGGGTTTTGCAGGAGAATGACGTGGAAAAGATCGAATCCTTTGAGAAGGAATTCCATCTCGGGTTCGGAAAACGCCACAAATCTTTCCGGGTTTTGACCGGGAAAACCGGGGACCGGTTCCGACAGCTCGCGGTGGTCGACCATTTCCACCGCCGGCTGCGACGGCAGCGCCGGATGTTATCTACTTCACAGACAACCGGCGTCCACGAAACTGCGCTCGGTTACCACAACATGGGTACCGCGGTTGCGACCGGTGTGGTCGCGATGGCGAACCCGGCCACTTCTCCTCCACCGACGACTGGTCCGCCGAGCTACATCGAGTCTGCCGTTACCACCGCTTGGCTGCCGGACACGACGACGCCACTTCCCCCTAGACCCGCTACCATCACCGAGACCGCGACCACGCCGCCGGCTTTAGTGACCCCGATTTCCGGGAACCGGACCACGCCAATTACGGTAAAAGCGGTGATTGACCAGTCGTTCTTCGACTCCCGGGACGGCATGTTCAAGCAACTTTTGTACATGGACGTGAACCGGCGGGAACCTCCGCCCAGAAACATTACCGCCGACCCCTACGACACGGTGATTTGCGCCACGTTTGAGCAGAACGCGAACACCCACGCCCCGCTCACCGAGTGTATGAACGCGATGCCGTGGGACCCGGACGTGATGGGCTATCACCCCCAGTTTTTTGATGACTACCACGCGGGGACAGTGCATTGCCCCACGGGAAATGACAATGACTGGTCGGGAACGGCGTATGCGACCGCGATGGCGAATTTCGACGGGAACAGAAACGGAGACGACATTGATTTTCTCCAAAACACTATCCAAGAAAAAAACTGTGTAAGTGTAACTTTGTGTTGCAGAAAATGCAAAACTTTTACACTCGTCATGCTGGACATGCATCAGAGGATATTTTCGCACGTGTTTTCAAGTACTAGCTAGGCATGACAGGTTTTCTGCGTCATGCAGAGCAAACTTGTGACGCTATTCTTCCAAGAGACTTACACTTACACAGTTTTTTTCTTGCATAAACACCCCGGAAGGGTACACGTGTTTCGAGGGCATGATGGTGCCGGATTACACGGTCAAAGAACACGAGGACGAAATGTCGAGTCGCAAAACTTCTGGCCAGGTCTTGCATGAGGTTTGCAAGCCGCAGCAGAACCCCTTCGGCCCGGAGTTGAAGATGGAGTTGGAGAATTTCGCTTACGAGCACTTCACGGAAATTGACGCGTGCCCGGACTGCTGCGAGGGCTTTCCGACGCTTGGGGATTTGATGCTGCATGAAGTGCAGCTTGCGTTCCCCGAACCGGGAGTTTTCCACAATCGGGAACTAAAGCAACCAGCGCTGCGACGGCAGTTCGACGCGCTTGAAGCTCGGGTCGGCACTTCCCCGAACGTCCAGGAACGGGCGCACAACAGCGTGATGGAAAAGGAGTTCGGTGCGCACAGCATCATCGAAGCCGTGACGTTCGGAATTGCTTCTGGGGATATCGCCCCTCTGATTGAGAAGGCGATGGACAAATCTGGCGATATTTTCGATTCGATCAAGAATTACGCGAGCCGGGATCCGAGTAGCGATGAATTGACGTTTGGGGAAATCAAAGCTTATTACGAGGATTGTCAGAAGTCGCAGCGGCCGCCCGGTTTGAGCTCCGAAGTCTGCGAATTGCTGAACAAAATGATTGACATTCTGGAGCAAAAGATTCTCCCCCCGGCGTCGGCGGGTCGGGATGCCATCCCGGCGACGGCTTCAATTTCCCGGATGGAAATCATGATATCAAATGCAAATTGCCGGCTTTGTTATGCATATTTTGCATGACCCAGGATTGTGTGTGATGCATGCCCTACCATCACAGACTTTTCGAGGGCTTCCTTCCTGATGCCTACTCCGCATGACAAATGCACTCCCCGCGTACGTAGCACAAACTAAACTCCTCTTGCTGGTCATGCAATACAGACGTTTTTAGAGTCCAAAGTTAGCATCACAAGCTGCAACCTTCCAGACCCAGGCACTTATGCATTTGATACATAAACGTTGTCGACCAAACCATCCCTGGCAACGAGCCCGGCATGCCGATGGGGGAAAGGATGGGTGCAGGCGATTACTTCTGCTCGCAGATGATGGACGGGGAGTCCGGTTGCATTGAACGGGCGTGCATTGAGCAGACGTTTTTTGACCAGTCGAACAACCAAGCTACTGTTCCCCGTGACGCTTTGTACGAGCCGGCCACTGAAGTATGCATTGCAAAAGCATCGTACAACTCGTATACTAATTGCGTTTATGCATTACAGATCCGCGCGCTTACGCAAAACAGCACGACAAAGTGCAGCTCTCCTTCTGCATCAAGAATTTGCAATGCAATCACAACTACTAGCAGTACGATAGCGATACTTTTGCAATGCATATCAAGCCCGAGAGATCAAATCCGACAGTAGGCCGATGCTGGATTCTGACCGCGAGGAAAAACAGGAGCGGATGGACAGTAACGAGAGGGACATCACCACCAGCCAGATGAAGGACCGCGCCTTCGCTATTGCAAGGAAAAATTCCCCCTCTCCATACTGAAAAGGTATGTTTCAAAAAATTTGTGATGCTGATTTGTGACCACAAATCCTGTCTCTCTTGCAAGAGGGCAAGCTCAGAGACTCCGCCACGATATGCAGGCGATCTGTGACGCTGCAAGGCCCGTAGGGCAGACGTCTGCCATGCTAGGCCCCTACACCAAGAGGCCGCCGCTGAGGCTTACGATCTGCGTGCAGTCCTTTACTGCAAGACGAATATGATTTGTGTACTCAAATACAGCAACACAAATTTCGTCTTCGATATGGGGAGGGGGGGTCTTTCCTTTTGATATTCACCGAGGGTGAGTCCTGCGGCGCCTCGATTTGCGAGCGTATGCAAGCTAGAAGAAGAAGACGGTTGTTGCGGCGGGCAAGAGAGTTACAGGCGGACGAGAAGCGGGTGCTGTCGGAAAAAAAGGAAAAAAACGCAGTCGTTGGGGGAATGGAAGGTGCAGCGCGGGGTTTGAATGAAATCGCTGTTTCTTCCCTCCAAGCCCACCTCCAAACCGCTCTGCAGGAGGAGATCGACTTCCTGAAAGATTTCTTCCCGGAGGAAGAGCACGCCCGTCGGCTCACGGCGATCACCTTCGAACGGGCGGGGAACAAGGCGACAGGCTTGGGCCACTTCTTGCGGAACGACACAAACCTCGATGGGGGTGTCGATCCGCAAACTGGGATGAAGGTGGGGTCTTTGTTGACAGACCTATGTGAGTGCACAACTCCCCCTATCCCTCATGATTTGTCATGCAAAATACCAAATACACCCTTTGCCTCTTGGCACTTTTCGCATGACAGTTCAATCAGTACTACAGTCCGGGGTGGATTTGTCATGTGAAACCTGCATTCTTGTCGACGCTTGTGCTGCTGTTTGTGCAATGCAAACGAGGGGGAGGGAGAGTTGTGCATTTTCATACATAAGACCCTGCGGGGAACTACATCAATGTGGATCCCAATGCTGGCGCCTGCCCCAACGCCGCCGCTTTGTTCGCAACCGGGGTTCCGGATACGGAGTTGGAAGAGGTTAATCGTGCGATTGAGAAGCTGAATAAAACCATGTCTGATATGAGAGTGCACAACTCCCCCTCCCCCTCATTTGTATGGCATGAACAGCAATACAAAGACAAGTTCACATGGAGCTTATGCATGACAGATCTACGTGCTTGATGTAGTACTGTTTGGGCTTCCGGAATTTGTCATGCCAACAGGGCCACAAGGCAGCGACTGGATTTGGGATTTTGCATGACAAATGAGGGGGAGGGGGGGTTGTGCACTGTCATATCTGATGCGCGCTCCGCGTTAGCGGAGACGAGACCGGACTTGTCCGAAGACGTGCACCAGCACCGCCAGGAGGAGTACAATAAAATGGACAATTTCATGCGCGATTTCGAATATGCAAGACAAAAATATCCTACTAGGTTGAATTGCAACACAAATTTTTTCAAGAACAGAAAGTGGGTTTGTCCTGCTATATCAGATAGAAAGTTAGATCTCCCATGCGTGACTGCAATTGGTGCGAGTGCGATATTTTTGTGATGCATATCGAAACCGCGGCGGCGATTGTCCAGTCCTTCGCGAACAATCACACGGAAACGCGGAAAAAGGAGGACGCGGCAAGGATGAACAGAACTCTGATCGTCAACATGGACAATTTGAAGAACAACGTCGTCCCGACCGCCGCCACCGCTTCGACCACCCCGAACCCCCCGAGGGAAGTGATATGCAATGCAAAAGCATCGTACAACTAGTATGAATTGCATTACAAGTTTCCTCAGCATGAAAAATGGAATTTGTAATGCGGATTTACCTTGAGAAAAATTTTTGTAATACATGATTGCAATTAGTACGAGTACGATACTTTTGTACAGGATAAGTGACCCCGACCTATGATGTCGCGAAGGCGATGGAAACGTGTCTGAACCACATGAACCACGACCACAAGCCGGATACGGGGTCGCTCGTCTATGCATTGCACAAGTATCGTACTCGTATTGATGGCAGGCATGCATTTTTACAAATCCCATTCTTACGGTAAATCCGCATTACAAATTCCATCTTTCATGCTGTGGAAATTTCTCATGCGACTTATACTACTGCGATACTTTTGCAATGCATATCGTCCCGGCGGAGGCGATGGTGACGCACGACACGGTGATTGACCACTGCATGAGCACGCAGGGCAACAACCCGCCGCCTCCCATGGAGCCGGGTATGGACCCGCAGGCCATGCAGCACGAGCAGTGCGAGCAGGAGTGGCAGACGATGGCAGAGATGGAGCGCGGCGCAGTGGATGCGATCACCGAAGACGCGTTGCAGAATTCCTTTGCGCCAGCCCACGGCGAGATCCACCAAAACGTCCCCATCCCCACCGAGGAGCAGTGCGTCCCGATGCCGAACGACTACTCTGGCGCGGAGATGGCAATTTCCACCGGGTTCCGCCGCTCCTTGCAGCAACGCCACTCGAAGTTGACGAAGAAGAAGAACAGTAATCGTCGGAAGTTGCTGGAGAAACAGCTTCTCGGGAAAAATTTCTTCCACGCGGCCCATGTCGGGAAATTGAGGGATCAGAGAAGGGTTTTGTTCGACACCCCGATTTCCGAGGATGGCAAGCGTCACCTCTCGACGGTCACCACCGGTGGGGTTTATCTAATGTAAAAATGTCTGGGTCTGGAAACTTGTGATGCTGGGTGGCGTCTCATAATGAGGCTACAAATGCTGGCTCAGCATGACAAGTTTCTGAGCTCCTAGGTGTTGCCTATTCTGCATGACAGACTGCGCTTCTGCATCACAGAAAAACGGAGCTCTTGGGCAACGTGCATCACAGATTTAAGGGTCATGCCAGACAAGCATGACAGACATGAATTCTTCCAGACCCAGACATTTTTAAATTTGATAGGGTCGTGGGGAACACCATGCTCCCGGCCGGGGAATCTACCACTGGCTGCATGCCGATCTCTATGGATTGCATAATGTAACTGGGTCTGGGAGATTGCGATATTTGCGATGCTAGTCTGGTATGACTTTGAAATCTGAATTGCGTGGCCGCCTAGAGCTCCTACTGCCTGTCATGCGAAAACGCAGTTTCTCATGCGGGGCACACAACAACTCAGAACCACGGAAAAACTTGTCATGCTGGGCTGCGCATTACAGAGTGCTCACTCTCCCCTTCCTTGCATCACAAGTTTCCAGCCCCAGACATTTTTGCAATGCATAATCTCCGGGGAGTCGCAGCTCCAAATGACGGACGGGTACGACGGTCCGGGTGTGATGATTATGCAATACAAATAAAGCATCGCACTCGTATAGATGCATTACAAATTTCCTCAGCATGAGAAATGAAATTTGTAATGCAGATTTGCCTTGGGGGCAAGATTTGTAATGCAAGACTTGCAGCATTTATACGAGTGCGATACTTTTGCACAGGACAATGATGGCGGCGGATCGAGAAGAGGCGTTGGACAACTTCGCCTCCGGGGATCAAATGATGCAAGACGCGCAGATGGAATCCATGGCCATCGCCGCCGACGTCACTATCGCGAACCACGACCCGGCGGGCGGGATCAACCTAGACTACCCGGACACGACCACCCCGACGCTGGATGAGGACCCGTATCTGAACAGCAACTACGCGGGCTTTGCTCCGATGAATATGCCCCCGCGTCGTGGCCTGGAGCAGAAGGGTAGGGGCACCCGCGCCCGGATGCTGAAGCAGATCGAAAATCGGAAAAACGCCGAGATTCGACAGCAAAAGCGGAAGTTATTGGAAAAAGAGTACCGCCGGATGTTACCGCACGACAACACGACCGCGAGTAGCACGATGTCACCGTACAATTACAATTACGACACCATGAATTCCGCTCCCAATGTATCCTGCGTAAAAACGTCCCCACCCGATAGTCAAGTTGGTAAATCTGCAACACAAATCTCCAAGTTTCGGGAGTATTGCATGACAAGTTTCCCTCCAACATGACAAGTTTCCCTCTGTACCGTCGTGCTGTTTAGCAAGGGCGGCCGCATGAGAAAGCCCGCTTCTCATCCTGTTTACAGCATTATTACAAAGTCCAAAACACGAGGACTGGAAATGCCTCTCATGCTGATCCGCATTACAAATGTTCCTGTCATTGCGCATTTGCATGACAACTAGGGTGGGGACGTTTTTACACAGGATACAACGTGATGCCCAGCAGCATGGCGCCGGGAATGAATTCCTTTTCCATCCCCGAAGCATCTACGATGGATCCGCAGGCGAAAGCCGCGGTCATGAACATGTACTTCGACGCGTATGAATCCACGTCCCCCTACCCGACCACGGCCCCTCCGGGAACCGTCACGACTGCGCCGCCAACGACGACCTCGACGACTTCGACTCCATATCATCTAGATTTCGGGTACAACAACGACTACAGCTACACCACGTCCGCTGCGCTGGTGCAGGATTCCGTGGCGACGACCATGACGACCACGACAAGCAACACGTTGACGGTTACTCCTCATTGGCTCCTCGGTTGGGACTACCGGTACGACTACATGTGGGACGACATCACGCAGATGAGCATTGTATCGTATGAAAAAAGTGTTTCACTGTAAGGATTTTGCAGGTTTTGCAGCACAAGTTTGTTCCACATGACAGATGAAATTTGCCATGCAAGGTTTCTAAGGGAAAACACAGCTAAAAATCCACTGTCCTGCATGTGTAGCAAGACAAATACTTCTGTGTTGCATTGTATGCATCACAAGTTTAGTACAGTGAAACAGTTTTTTCTTGCGATACATTGAAACTATCGTCTACACCGGTACCAACGCTACCTTGATGGCGATGTACCCGTCTGATACGGATTACGAGGTCGCGATGACCGCCGAGCACATGGAAATATGCATTGCAAATATGTCTGGGCCTGGAAGAATGCAAACTTGTGATACGCATTTCATAACGCAGAAAAATCTCTCATGCATAGGCAGCAAACGCTGCCCGCTTTCTGTCACCAAAATAGGGCATTTGCCATGCGGATTCGGCATTGCGGAAGCTTCTCGAAACCTGTGATGCTAGAGCTTCCATGCCATACCTTCTGCGTCATGCAAAAGCAGCATGACTCTTCCAGACCCAGACATATTTGCATTTGATAGGAAACCGGCTTGAACCAGATGCAGGATGAACAACAGTCGAAAACCGCACAAGAGATATGAGAGTGCACAACTCCCCTTCTCCCTTATCTGTAATGCAAAAGACCAAACCCACATCCTGCCTTTATGCACAGGCCGCATGACAAATTTTAGAGACTTCAAACAATTATACCACAACCCGTGTCGTGCAGATTTGTCATCCGGGAGCCACATTTCTGCCGCTTTCTGTGTTGCTGCTCCTGCCCTTCAGATAAGGGGATACAAAGGGAAGGCATGCACTCGCATAAGAGATGAACACCACCGTGAAAGACGTCTTCGATGCGCAAATGTCGTACGACGGGGACCTCCACGTCCCCAGCTTCATCCCTCCGAACTACGACTGCTGGCAGCTATGCATTGCAAAAGTAACGTACTAGTAGTACTTGCATTACAAATTAGCTCAGCATGGCAAATGGAATTTGTGATGCAGATTTACCTTGAGAAAGAGATTTGTAATACATAAATGCAACTACTACGAGAGCGATACTTTTGCAGAGCATAGCAGCACGGCACCAGCAACTTCGTCGAGCAGTGCTACGACGAGTACTATGGGTATTACTCCGTGCATATCAAATGTAAAAATGTCTGGGTCTGGAAGGGTGGGTACTTGTGATGCAAACTCTGGAACACGCGAAAATTTGTGTTGCATGAGCGCCAAAAGCTGTCCATTTCTTGGCACGCAAGTAGGAAGTTTCTCATGCGGGACAGGCATCATGACGCTTGCTCAAAACCTGTGATGCTTTTGCCTGCATCAGACGCCATTTGCGTGATCCGAAACATGCATGACAAGTCTCGCAATCTTCCAGACCCAGACATTTTTACATTTGATAGTGCAGAAAGACTTCGGCGCGATCTGCGAGCACCGGAAGTGGGTGCAGGCGAAGGCGATGGAGGTGGCGGAAGCGGTGAAGAAGGTGGTGGAGCAGAAAGCGTATACTGAGGCGCATAGTGGGTTGTCGCGCCGGGTGAGGCGGATGTTGAAGGAGAAGAAATCTTCGGTGTCCGAATCTGTTCCGATATGAATTGCAAAAGCATCGGACTAGTATGAATTGCATTACAAATTTTCTTAGCATGAGAAATGGAATTTCATTTCTAATGCTGGTTGACTTAAGCAAAAAGATTTGTATTGCATGATTGCAATTACGACGGGTGCGATACTTTTGCACTTCATATCCGACGTACGTTCGGAAGTTATTGAAACTTCCGCAGGAGTGGGAGCACGACGCGAAACGGCGGCTGAGTAATTACATGATGCAGCCGGAAGCGATGTTCAATGATTTCTTGACGATGGACTCCGCGAATTCGACCGGGCAGGATTCCTCCGCAGATCTTCCGGCGAACTTGATGGTCGATTCCATGTACAACATGATGACGTACAACGAGTCCCAGCAGGTGGAATCCCCCGACGCGGTTATTCTAAGTAAAAGCCTCCCCACGACGACCCCATAGTTGTCATGCAAATCTGTATTTCCAAATTGCTTCTCATGCGCAACCCCATGAGCAGCAGTTTCCCATGCTGCCCGGCACTTTGTCATGCTCTAATCAGGATAGGGAGCTGGATTCGTGATGCGGCTTCACTAGCAGAACACCACTACACTAGACACCCAAAGAACTTGTCATGCGCAACAGCCAACACTTGCCGACTTGTGTAGCAAAAGCCCCATCTTGACTCTGGGTTCTTGGGGAGGTTTTTCCAGACGATAGCGGTAGCATCCATGCTCGTCGGTTTGGAATCCACCATGGACCCAGATTACGTCGCGGCCGTGGATGATATGCTGGAGTCCTTTGAGCGCCGGAAGTTAGATATCTACATGCAGGCGCGTTCGAAGCCGAACTACTTGCAGGTGATGCTGAACATGGGTTTGAACCAGACGGAAAAAATCAAGCTGATGCGGGACATCCAGGAAGTGGTTTACGCCCAGGAGCCCGTATGAAAGTGCACAACTCCCCCTCCCCCTCATTTGTCATGCAAAATTCCAAATCTACCGTTTGGTATTGGTTTGCCTGTTAGTACTGTTTGCATGACAGATTCCGGAATCCGAAACAGCACTACAATCTCCTAGGATTTTGTCGTGCAAAGGCTGCATCTTTGCCAGCGCTTGTGTTGCTGTTCATGCAACACAAATAAGGGGGAGGGGGAGTTGTGCACTGTCATAACCCGGCGCCTGCACCCAGATGGGCGCGGCGTATTACAAGCCGGGGGGATGCAATTCGCTGTACGAGGAACAGCTGGGTTGCGCGAATCTCCGCTGGATCTCCACCTACTACGATCAGTACACTTATCAAGAATATTTCAACGATTCTTGGACCCAGCCGCACAACCGCTGCGAGCAGAAGAAGCGGGAGTTGCGGTCTCTCGCGATTGGCGGGACAAACAAGGAATCCGCTCCGATGCTGCAGGCGCTGAGTCAACTGCTCCAGCGGATCGGGGACGGAAACTACCCAAGCACCGGGTTTTTATGAGAATGCACAACAACTCCCCGCCCCGCATTTGTCTTGCAAAATGCCAAATCCACCCCTTGGCCTGTGGCACTGCGTGCATGACAGATTCCCGAAGGAGCCGAAACAGCACTTAGAACATATGGACTGTGAGTTTGTCATGCAAAAGCTGCATCTGTGCCGCCGCTTGTGTTGCTGTGAATGCCATCCAAATGAGGTGCAGGAAGAGTTGTGCACTCTCATAGCTTTCGGAATTGTTGTGGAAAACCGGCTTGCGGAAGCCTCTGACTGCTTCGGAAGTGACGAATCTGCACGCTATCTGCACGTCGGTTTATGACGGGACGAACGGCTGGGGCGTGAAGCAGGAGTGTCGGTACGACGACTGCGGCAACGAAATCGGTTGCAACTTCGACAAGCGAGGGCAGCGAGAGGTGAAAGACATTCTGAACTGCCCGAACGCGGTTCCACCCCCGCCGGGCACGTGCGCGAGTCAGGCCGGCGGGAATTTCTATTGCACAACCGCGAAGGCGGATTTTATCCACCACTGCAAGAACGTTTTGGACTTCCTCGTTGAAATGATGCCGGCGGAAGACCACTACGACCCAGTCTCCAATAACTGGATTGCGGGTTACCACGCAGAGCAGATGCGCATGGCGCTGATCTTCGAACTGGACCCGACTTTTGTCTACCCGTATGACCCCGAGCCGGTGGAGGCCGCGGGGTCGCGGTTGGCGAAGTGCACGATTCAGGCGGTTCGGGAGAATTTGCCAGAGGAGCCGGTGAAGGAGCTGTTCCACTTAATGGAGACCGGGGAAGTGTCCCCGCAGGCTGCCATGGAAAAGATGTTGCAGCCGAAGTTGGATAACGTTTGCAACGCGACCAGCCACGTGCATGAGGCGATGGAGATGATGATGAATATGACGGATAACTGTAAAAATTTCTGCATGACCTTCAAGATGTGGGAAGAGACCAACTACCAGATGAGTTGCGCGAACCGAATTGCTAAACCGATGTTCGACAACTCGTTCGCCTACAACGCCATGCAGGAGCCGCTCTGCCGCCCGGACGTGGAATGTAAGCTGTTTAACGAGATGGCCCCGGTGCACGAGAAAAACAACATTGTGAACGCCAAGGTGGTATCAAGTGCAAAAGTGTCTGGGTCTGGAAGAAAGCGCCATGGTCACGCAGCTCTTCCATGACCCATGAACTCTGGAATGCAGGACCTAGCATGACAGATTCTGTGCGATCTCTCTCATGTCTATCCTGCATGAGAAACTCCCTCCCGACTTGGTCAAAAGCAAAACTGGACGACTTTTGGTAATCATGCAACACAGATTTTTGCATGCTTCAGATTTAGCATGACAAGTTGAGTTCTTCCACACCCAGACATTTTTGCAATTCATAGGTGGCCGGCACGCGGCTCCGCGAGCGCCGCTTGCGGCGACTCGAGATTGAGAACCGGCGGGTCAGACGGCTGGAAGAGTCGAAGGACTTGAAGAAGAAGTGTATGTCCATTGACAACGTTGAATACTTATGCTCTGCAAAAATATCGCACTCGTACTCATTGCAATCATGCATGTCAAATCTTGTTTCTTAGCCAAATCAGCATTACAAACTCCATTTCTCCTTCTGAGAAAATTTGTATTGCGATTTACACTAGTGCGATGCTTTTGCAATGCATAGTACTGTGCGAGCGACAACAATCAAGTGGCCGGGATGACGAGCGAAGAGTTGGAAAAGCAGCGGCGCCTGGAGTACTGGGAGGAGCGGGGCATCGATTCCATCGCGACGGCGACGAACCCGGCGAAAGCGCAGCGGATCTCGAAGTTCCGGTCGAACCGAAAGCAGCTGCGGAAGAGCCGGCGGATGAACCGCCGGGGAAAGAACCGCCGGGTCCGGCGGCGGAACTAAATGCTCTTTGACAGTGGACGTCTGAGGATTTTTGCTGGTCGGATTCTACATGCAAGTCTGGGATCCAACTTGTAAGAACACGGACAACAATATTAAGTCACACCTATATTAAACTGAACATGTAGATGTAGTGCAGCTAGTTAGTAGAAGCCCATCATATGAGCATGCTCAGTATTGATTTTTCCGAGGAAATAGATCTAGATCGCAATTTGAAATTAAATAAGAGACTCGAAGTACCATAACCATTCCAACCGATAAGTATTTATTTTCGCGGAGACAGGAGATGTTGCTCCTCTCTCACTACTTTTACCACGACGAAAAACGATACTCATGCCTTTCACCTGGTAAGATTCTTATGAAACTTCTGTAGTCACAGCAGTCATTTCATATACGTAATAAAACAAAAACGCCACATAGTAGACACAGGATTAACATGACATTATAGACATCAAATTTACAGCACACGTAAGTCTCTACTTAATGCATTTAGTGCGAGTTTCAGTTTCATTTTTGATTTTTTTTCGAACGATTTCCGTATCCGTTTATCAACACCAAAACTCTCGACCTCTGGTTGCCAATTGAGGTCGATCACTATTTTTTGGACTAACGCTACAGATATTACAGTTTCAAAAACAAAAAGCACTGATAGAGCATTGAATATTTGCAGCCCGCGATTGGGTGCTCGCGTGGGTCATTTCTTGCTGGCGCAGCACATGACTTTAAGAACTCGTTTCTATTTATGAATCAGGACGGCTAACAATCTTCAAAGAGGAATATACCTAGAGGATGCTTCTGTCTTGGTGTTTCACATGCGACAGCTGACAAACTAAGATCAAAGAACAAAATATGAATCAGATTTGCTAGAAGAGTATGGAAAAAGGTCGCTGTAGCATCACGCTACTGCTGTTGCCTCTTTGGCGATCAGGCCCGGGAGCCGTGCTTGATCACCCTTACTGTGTTCCTCCTGGTGTGTTGTTTGCAGCTCAAGCGCTCGCTCCAAGTCCAAATGCGGGGTGTCGTAGGCGCCCAAGTAATGCAAAGCGTTCGCGCATCGTGTGGCGGCCGCTGCGGGCCGCTATGATTCTACTAAGCTGGAGGCAGCCGCCCGCATTCAAATAGGCCGACACGGCACCGCGGCAAGTCTGCGGCGCAAGTGCGCCGCGCTGCGGGCCCGAGTAGTTGCAAACAGGCCGGCGCGGTGGTCCGGGATCGCCGTAAAAGGGGATCGCCGTAAAAGGGGATCGCCGTAAAAGGCCCGAGCAAAATGAGGCCAGGCAGCTGCCTGCCGGCTCGCTTTGCGCACTTGCCTGCCGGGCGGTGTCCCAGGCGGCCGGGCCAGCATGCACGCCAGGCGCCTGGTTTGTTTCCGTTCCCTGCCTTTCCGTGGACAACGGAGGCGGTCAGAATGGTCACCGCGGTGCGCGACGGGATTCCGCCGGCGGACTCGGCCGAGTTGTTCGATTTCATTCACCAAAAGCCGGCGCGCCCGCGATCTCGGTGACGCGCGCGCGCTCGGCTTTGGGTATTTCGCCCGGCTTTGGGTTTCCCACCCAGGGCACCAGCCGCGCCGACCGCTCTTCCAGCCGGCCGACCCGCCCGCGGCCGGGCCGAAATACCTCCGGGCCAGCCTTTCCCGAAGCCGTGTGACGCCGGAACATCCGCCGCCAGCCAAGGGAGCGACGGACGGACTTGGTGGCGCGTCTGTTTGGCGAGAGCGCGCGCCGCGCCCTTGGCCGTGGGTGCGTGTCAGCCTCCCGGCCGGCGGGCGCGCGCCCTTCCCGCCCCCGGGGGCCCCGGTCCGTCTTGGAGGGCGCGAGGAGGGGGGCGGGCTGCGCCTTCCTGCGATGGCCCCCCTCGATCATGGGTGTCCCGCCGGCAGAGGCCGCGGCCGCGGCGCACTCTTAACCCGCAGGAGGGCGATGGACGACATGGCCAGGCACCCCCGGGCCACCCCGCGTCGAGAAAAGTCGCGGAGTTGGTCAATGAAAACGATAAGAAGAACGATAACAAGAACATTTTGCGAAGTCTCCTGGAGAAGGGGGTGCACTCCTGGAGAACATTTTGCAAGAAGAGCGTACTCCTGGAGAAGGGGGTGATGGAAGCACAACTGTCGCGGCTTCGAGAGATAGAGCAGATCGTGATAGGTTGGGCGCATGCGCCCCCAGGCGCCAGATTGCAGGCCGCGCACGAGGACCAGCGGCCGGCCGCACATTGCCCGGGCGGGTGGGGCCGGCTGATGTTTTTCGGCTGGGGCACCCACCCACGTGCCCAGCCATTTCGTGGGCCGGCGCGCGCCGCGCGGCCTTCTGCCAGCCTTGTATGTCTACCAAGCCGCGCGCCTGTGGGTGTGCAGGCGCCCGGGCCATGCCTGGGCATGCGCAGCGCGCGCCCCCCGGGCGGCCAAGCGGGCCCCCCACCACCGAGGCCCTTTGCTTTGGGCGCAGCCTGCCCGCCGCCTTTTTTTGCTTGTGTGCCTGACAGACTGTCTGCATACTCATACACCGTGGCCAGCCGGCCGGGTTCTGCATATTGGCCCCTCCGCAAGTGTGGCCTGTGATCGGGTTTTGTTGTCTGCGTCCTCGAGCAGAGCCCGGGGCCAGAAGGTTGCTTGATTCTTTCATTATTCCTAGCGGCCCGCGCGCACCGGACAAGCGGGCGACAAATAGCTATCTCACTCTAAGCACAGTTAACATTTGGCTGCGCAGTTCGTTCCCGGCACGTCGTGTAGGCCCGGGCCGCCTCTCGCGGACAGCAGTGTCAGTCTGCGTATGGCTAATTGCCTCACAGCGACGCTCTGTGTTCGTTGCAATCAGGGGACACGCTTCGCTCAGCATGTGCTGAGTGTGGCAGCTTCACTATCGTCCTTTTGTCGCGTATCGGTCAAGAAGGGTTTAATCTATGAATGAAGGTGACTGAGCTATCCGGGCACATTAATGGATGCACCGCTAGCGGGGGTCATGTCTTCATCACGGTCCGCAACTTGTTATATCTAAATCTTAGACTTTTGCTTCGACGCCCAGCTCGTAGCACTGTAAGTGGATGATGTCACCCGCCGCGCGCTGGTTTTTTGCTCCACCTCCGTTGAGCGGGTATACCGCTCATTTGTTTTTCTTCGGCGCCGCGTTTGCCCCCACGCTCCTGTCCCTGCTTGTCTCCCCCGCCTCCGCAGAAGACCTACCTCGCACGATCCAGTACGACGATCCGGCACTTCTAGAAAAACACGCCTTCGCTGACCTAAAACTTACGAAAAACTCCATCTGGCCACTGCCTACATCAAACCCCGACGGAACAGCCGCGCCCTCCCTTGACCCCGAGCAGGACGACCAGACGGCCGTTTGTGACAGCGCCGAAGACCAATACCTCCCAGGATTCTCCTTTCAATGGCGATTTCACTTTCCGAAAGACCTGTTGCGTGATTCTAGCAACACGGAGACGGACCTTCTTCAAAAAGAGCATTTGTTGAAGAAAAAACTCCACGAAACGCTAACCCCCACCCTAGCGGAAGTCGAGCAGGAAATTTTTGGCCGCCACAAGTCGAAGCATGAGGCGGCGTTTCAAGGGAAAAAGGTTTTGCTCGATGTTTACTTCGAAAAGGAACATATTTTTGACGTGGACGGGGAACCGGAACCAACGAAATCATTATCAACGGCCGACGGTTCGTTTTTGGATGCTGTCTGGGGCCCCGTGGGAAAAAACATCGATTTGGAGACAGAACAAAATTCCGCGGACCATTCTTTAGACAAAGAAACCTACTCTCTAGAAATCGTTCCAAGAACAACCACTACTACAGAAAGCGAAGACAATTACAATGCTGCCGCATCCTCTTCTTCTCCTATGCAGATCCTTATCACTGCGAGACACCGCGTAGGGCTTCTCCATGCCCTCTCCTCCCTCCAGCAGCTCATCAAATTCGACTTCAAGACCCAGCTGTATTACCTACCAAAAGCCTGTAAGATCCAAAACGACAAGCCGAAATTTCCCTACCGGGGTTTGATGATTGACACGGCGAGGCATTTCCTACCCATACAACTGATCAAACGAGCGATAAAAGCCATGCGGTATTTGAAACTCAACGTGTTGCATTGGCACATGACGGAAGATTCCAGCTTCCCGTTCAGTTCCGAGCTCTTTCCGGAACTCGCGGAAAAGGGCGCGTACTCGAATTTCGAGACGTACACGAAGGAGGATTTGAAAAACCTTGTGCACTATGCGGACTTGAACGGCATCACAGTCATTCCGGAAATCGACGTCCCCGGGCACATTGCTAGTCTCTGGAAATCCAGACCGGAGTTGTTCTCCTGCAAACCGAATGCGGACACGAAATTCCAAAAATACGTCCCGTACCCGTTTTCCAACCTAGCGCTGATATGCCTTGCAAAAGTATCGTAATCGTAGTAATTGCATTTATGCATTACAAATCTTTTTCGTTTTCCTAAGGTCAATCAGCATTACAAATTCCATTTCTCATGCTGGAGGATTTTTTAATGCAATTCATACTAGTAGGCACGATGCTTTTGCAGCTCATAGCTGAACCCCGTGAGTGAAAGGACGTACCAGTTTTTGGAGAGATTTCTGCTAGAGGTAGGCGAGGTGTTCGGAGGCGTTAGTGGAGATGTTATGCCGAAGGTGTTCCATGTTGGTTCGGACGAAGTGCCCGAGGACTGCTGGAAAAAATTGATCGGGAAAAGCGTGCGGAGGATAGAAACGGAAAAGGAACTATTGCAGGGCGGCAGTCCTAATAGTCTTCGCGGTGCAGGGACACAAGAAACCGGATCAACCGCATCTACAACTTCTAGTGCTTCGGAATCCATCATGCAGAGGTCGGAAGTGGAAAACGTTTTGTCCTCGAAAAGTGACTTGATGCAGAGAGGACAAGATGTTACAGAAGATGAGGAGGTGGCCCAGCTGAGACAGCAAGCAGTCATCGACGGGGCTGCTGGAACAACTCAACCTGGAATGATGGTGGATGATGGTACATCACAACTTCCAGCTTCAAACTACCTCGAAAAAAAAGTCGCGAAAATTTACTCCGATGAATTTCTCGAAGACCAGCAACAGCAGCAAGGAGAAGCAAGGCCAACTGCATCTAGAACAAGAACCCCACATCAGCCTCGGCTGGACTTCCAGCTGGCCGGAGTCACTGATTTCCAGAAGCAACTTCTCGAAGATCATTTCCCAGACGGCAAGATCAGGAGCACGAGCCAGATGTTTGACTACTTCACAGCAAGGGTGGCGGCGATTTTGCGAGGGACAAAGGGCGGGAGGACGACAAGACTGACAGACGGTTTTTCAACGTCAGCATCATCCTCCGTAGTCGACCTAAAAACAACATCGCAACCTCTTCAAAAATCTCGCCCCATGTTTTGGGACGAAGCTATCAATCACGAAAACACAATGGCTGACCTGCAAAACCCTATCATAGAGGTCTGGAACTTCGGCCGGTCTGCAATACCCATCCTCAAACGCGGCTTCGACGTGGTTTTGGCCAGCAGCAACGTCTGGTACTTAGACCACTTAGACGTAGAGTGGAAAAACATCTACTTTGGCCCGATATCCCGGAAAAAACACCAATCCCCATCCATTTTTTGCATGACAAACACTGCAAATTATGCATGTTTTGCATGACAAATTGGATGGGGGTGGTTATTTTTTCCTGGATACGCGGGAGAGCTCCACGATCCAGAGCTGCAAGATTATGGGAGGCAGCGCAAGCGGGAGAATTTGAATTATGGCAAGCAGTCCTCAAAATCAAATATCGGCAAGGTCCTCGGCGGAGAAGCGCCCATGTGGTCGGAGCGGGTGGACGGCAGTAACTTCTGGATGAAGGTGGTGCCAAAGATCGCCCTAGTCGCCGAGAGGTTGTGGAGCAACCCTAGTGCGGACTCTCAATCCGCGGAGTCTACCGCTTGGGTGAACGCGCAGCCGCGACTGCAAAAATTACGGTGTTTACTGATGGAATTAGGGGAGTACGATCCGGGCGTGGTAAACATGCGACTAGAGCCGACTTCTGCGCAACACAAATTTTCCTCCGGCCCACTGGGACCCGGGAGTTGCTTTCAGATGCCGGAAGTGGATGAAACTTGGGCGGTGGAAAGAGGGAAAAATTTGGCGTACGCGTTCGAAAAACCGAATGTCGGTAGAACTTTGGGTGGAGACGACAACGACGGAAGTAGCATCGTTGTGTCACAGCTCTTGAAGGAGCAGGAAGTGGGAACGAGTGTTAGTACAGCGGCGAAAACAGCAGTAGATACGTCTGTAAGTAGTAGAGACGCTATGGCAGCTAGTATTACTGTGGTGATAGTTCTGGAAGAGCAGGATGACGTGAAGATGCAATTGACAACCATAGATGCGTCAAAGACGAAGAGAACATCTTCGGCTTCATCTCCCGGCGCGACAGACGATTCTTCTTCTTCCTCGGTATCCTTCTCTACGTGTCTTTTTCTCTTCGCCGTTGGCTTCTTCTGTGTGGTGCTTGCATTCTACGCGGGCCGGAAAAGTGTGTTGTTGAACAATCGAGGCTTCTACCACGCGCAGGGGAGCAAGCAGAGGGGAAACTTGGAATATTTTGGTGATATGCCCTTGGTAAACCCGCTGTCGCACGAGGATTGAGGACGGTTGTTGGAGCGGAGGATGGATGTTTGTGAAGGCAGTAAGTGGCGAATGAATATGATCTGTGAAATTTGATCTCAGTGCCTCCTATTGCTCGACTTGGAGCTCGGCAGCGCGCACTACTCATTCGTAGTTCATTGCTTGTGCCTGAGAATATTCATGAGCAGAATGCGTTACTATCCTTTGGGCGAATAAAATTAAAACAAAGAACCCCGAACTACGAGACCTCAGCCGAAGGTTCTGCAGAGAAAGCAACGGACCGCTGTCCGTGGTTGGAGCTAATGTTGTACAGTGCAAAACACTCAAAGCGAAAGACAAGAACCAGCGTCGCATTACTAGGCAACAAGCCTCAACGTTCCAGAGCGCAAGAATGCCAAAGATGGGAAGATGAAGACGGTGGCGCCCTGATTAAGAAGGCTCTGGCGATTTGATCTAGCTTCGTTCGTGTTCATCTGATGAATGTTGTTTGCTCTGTGCAGGAGGCCGCTCGCCAATCATCGTGGCAAAACATGCGCGACGTACCTTCTAACTAGCGCGGCCCTTTGCCTCCTGCAGAAGCATACCGCCCGCCGCTGGGGTTGTGTGTGAGGGGAGCCCTCCCGGCGGCCAGGGCCCGGGCGGCGCTCTCCAGGAAGCGGGCAACAACGTCGCCGACGGCACGCGGGTCGTGGTGAGCTATCCGCTCATCGCTGGAGGAACGGACGGGAACGGGCAACCATTGGCCGCGCCGCAGTTCGGGACTCCGATCGGCAAGCACATGCCTGCGTGAGACGCAGCCGCGAAGCGCATGCCGGCCCTTTGCAGGCCAAGGCGCTGAGGGGCAGGAGATAACGCCGGACGCCCTTCCCGGATACGGCGATACTCCTCAGACGCGCCAGATCTGCAAGGGTATGGCTTTCCCCTAAATGATTCCGGCCTGCTGCTGGGCCTGTCAAGCCCGGCGAAGTCTTTGACCGGCTCCCGGAGCGGGGGGCCGGTCGGGCGCCCGCGTTCCAAAGTAGTGGGGCAATGGGTTGCCGCCCGGTGGCATTTCGATGGTGGGATCGATGGGCGCCTGGGCCTGGCCTGCCCCCGCTGCTTGTGCGTCGTCAAAAGGCGCGGGAGCGGGCAGAAGGACAGCGGAAAGAAAGAGAGGGGCGAAAAGCGGAGAGGGATGCCGTTTCGCGTTTTTTTTTCGGCGCCCGCGGAGTTCGGAACAGCATCGAGGACCTCACCACTTTCGGGCATTCGTCAGTCTTCCTTCACCGAAAGTGTCTGTTGACACGGCGAAGAGAGCCATCCTGCAGAAGGCCGACTCTGTCCCTTGTTCGAATCTTGGAAAGAAGACCAGGCCGCCAAGCGGAGGCAGGAAGGTCGGCCCGTTTGTTTCTTCTGGCGCTCGCCAAACGTACGAGAACGCGCAGGACGCGAGAAGGGCGTGGGCTCGAGTTTGGCGAGCCGGATGGGGAGGTGGCTCCCAACGCGCTGGAGGCGTTCGAGGACCAGAACGGCAGAGAGTGGGCCGGCCGCGCGCATCGCCCCCCATCTTGTTCAAAACGTAGGAAACTGCGCGACAAGATACCGACGCGAGCCAGCGCCGTGCCCCGCCCCGCCCGCGCTCGCCCTTGCTTCTTTCCGGGGCTGGCCCCGAGCGCCCCGGGGCCGGCTGCGTGCGCCATCGATCTGCAACCAATCCAACCGAGCGCGGTCGCGCAGGCTGGCTGCCAGCCCCTTCCCGTTCCTGATTATGGCGCCCGCACGGCACATGCCCCCCCCGCCCGCTTCGCTGGCATACGCAAAAGCGGCCGGCGAGGCAGGGTTGTAGGTCAGCAGGCGGCGGGCGGGGCCGACGAGGCAGCGCCGGGCGGCCGGCCCCGCGCGGCCCCCCCGCCCGCTTCCCGGTGTAAAGGCATTGGGGGCCCGAAGGTCGCGGGGGGCCGGGCCGGCGGGCCCGGCCTTGCTTTCTTTGATTTGCGATCAAACGATCTCATCAATTTTTGGTCAGGGAAGGATGGAAACAAGCTGTCCGCCGGAGTAATGTTCAGCTCTAGCTGTGTTTTGCCGCGATGTCGCGGTGTCGTTGCGGTTGGTGTTGTAATGGTACTCCGTGGAGCGCGTGTTCCGTGATGATTGTTGAGACAGAATTCGCGACGCCATTGCGTCTTTCCTTTCATTCTTTTTTTCCACATGTGTTCGCTTTTCGAATTCCTTCAAGTGGCTGGGGTTTGGTTGGTATCTATGAATATGCAGGGCGGCCGTGGTCTGTTCTCGCGGCCGAAGGAGCGAGCGTTGTTGTGCGCACAATTTCAGCGGCCGCCGGTCGGGGCCGCACATGCAACAGCAACAGGCAAGCCTTTCTGATTCAAAAGAAAGATATGAAAAAAATGCCGCCCACGATCTGTCGTCGCTCGCACGCGCCCGACCGACCCTGGCGAGCCTATCTCGTGCCTGCCTTTGTCCTGTGGGTCCAATGTGTCGAAATTTCCCGCTCCGGAACATCAACCCTCGCCCGTGCAGAAGAGGGTGCCGCCGCTGCACCAGTACCCTCACGACAGGCGTCAAGCGCTGAGTCTCCTCCACCACCTGGAACTCCCACCACCAGCAACACCAACAGCATCTCCCCCCAGGAGCAGTACATCAACCATTGTATGGCGGTTCACGATCAGGTGGATGAGGATTATCGAGCGGTGTATTGCGCAACGAGACAAGCGATAGATCAAATCAACAAGCACAACCTGGAGGTGGAGAACCAAGAACACGCAGCGGCGCAGCTACAGACACAAGCTGCTGCTAGTTCTGATGCAGCTGGAGCAGGAACTTCTTCTTCACCAGCGGTGACACAACATCAAGTAGCCCCAAATACGAAACCAAGACCCGCCAGTACAACTCCTAGACAGCACCTCGTGATCCTGGATTTCTTCCTCGGCTGGGGCGGGTACATGCAGGCGATCTGGCGCGCTTTGGCCGACGCCAACATGGTATGGAATGGAAATATGTCTGGGTCTGGAAGATTGCGAGATTTGTCATGCTTGTCTGGCATGACCAAAAAGTTTGTGATGCGTCTCCAAGAAGAGACCCTTTTGCCTGTCATGCAAAAACGCTGTTTGTCATGCGAAAAACGCAACACAAAGAAGTGCAGATATTTCTCATGCTTGGTTGTGCATTACAGAGCATTCACTATTCCCAACGCAGCATTACATATAAAGTGTTGTACAACACAGATGACAGATGAAACAGATGACACAGATGATACAGATGACCAACTTTGCGAATTTTGTTGAGGGGCTTTTTTTGGTCATCTGTGTTCACAGATGACGAGCATTCGAACAGCGAAAACCGGAGCCCCAAAATCAAAAACAAAAGAAACAAAAAAGAGAGCCGGCTCGCCAGCGCCGCCGAGAAAGTGCGCGCGCTTTCACGGGGGGAGCAGATGGAGCAGCAACACCGCGGCCATAGGCCCCACCCTATGGGCCGATGCGCCAGCATTCCCAATGGCAAAGGTACGAGCACGACTGTGCTGCGCAGGTACGCCGATAGCTAGGCGGTGCCGTGCGCTGCACCTGCACGCCTCGAACAGATTCTGGCGAGGAATAGGGTAGACCGACGACGTTCCGCCTCATTCCAAGTCTCTGGCTCCGCCCAAGAAATGGCGAATGAAGTGCGGGCCGTCATCTGTCATCTGTGCCTTTTTTTTTGCTTCCCGTCGAAATTTCGTCATCTGTGTCATCTGTTCATCTGTACCTTCGTCATCTGTGCCAGCCCCCCCTTATACAACAGCCTATTACAAGTTTCCAGACCCAGACACTTTTGCATTTGATACATGGACGGCTCGAACAATCTGCAGAAAAACGTTCTCTACGCGGGTTTCGAAACGGAAAGGTGGAACGTGGAGACGCTGGTGCTGCAGAAAGTCGCGGAGCTGTGTCAGGCGATGCATATGACACTGCACAACCCCCTCTCCTCCGGCTCATTTGTCATGCAAAATACCAAATCCACCCTTTCCATCTTGGAACTTTTTGCATGACAAGTTCTGGCAGCTCAAGCAGAACTACAATATCCTGGGTGAATTTGTTATGCAAAACCTGCACTCTTGCCGACGCTTGTATTGCTACTCATGCCATTGCAAATGAGGGGCAGTTCGAGTTGTGCACGTTCATAATGCAGAACCAGGCGAAAGAAGCGGAAAACCAGTACGGGTTTGCGTTCCACGAAAACCACGGCGTGATCAATGTGATATGCACTGCAAAAGTATAATATCGCAATCGTAGTCTTTGCTCTTATGCATGACAAATTTCTTTCCTAGGCTAAAACAGCATTACAGCTTTCATTTGTAATGCTGAGCTAATTTGTAATGCCATTTAAACTACATGTGCGATGCTTTTGCATTCCAAATTTGAACACGGAGTGCAACGTCACTTTCGTCGACGGCTCGACCGGGGGGCTATCCTGTGCAAAAGTATCGTACTCGTATAAATGCAGGTCTTGCATTACAAATTTCTTTATCAAGGCAAATCAGCATTACAAATTTTATTTCTCATGCTGAAAAAACTTGTAATGCATTTGTACAAGTACGATACTTTTGCAGTTCATAGGGGCTGCCAAGGGTGGACTCCGTGCAGGAGTACTTCGGCCAGTTCATGCTGGCGAAAGAACCGCCTCCTGGCACTAGCGATAGTAGCGCAGCGGATGTTTGTGGTGGAGATGCTGGACGATCGCAACTACACTCTGCCGAAGATAAAGATCCGGTCGCCGCTCTGATGCCGCAGAACCTGCTACCGAGACAGCAAGCAGCTTTACGCACCGCCGACGGGATGCGAACCGATAGGAAATCCTTCGCGGACGTGACTCACCATCCAGCACGGAATATGCATTGCAAATGCGCCTGCGTCTGGAAACTTGTGATGCTGGTTGGCGAATTATGAGGACGTAGTCAAAAGGGACGGCTCAGCATGACAAGTTTCTAACTTGTTGGTAGGTGTTGTCTACTCTGCATGACAAACACCGTTTCTGCATGACACAAAGGCTGGGCTTTCCTTTTGCTTTTGGGCAACGTCGTGCATCGCAGCCTTGGGAGTCATGCTCGGCGAGGGAGCATGGTAAATCCTGCACTCTTCCAGACGCACAGACATATTTGGAATGCATACGGAATCTGCTCCGCCAGGTGATCCCCGAGGCGGTGAAACGGCACATCCACGACGTGCGCGTGGTAGCGACTGACACATTAGAGGGGCCTGCAGACGGAATGGCGATTTTGACACGAGATCCCTCAGGAGATGAAGCTGCGACGTGTAGTACATCACCTTCTACGGCAACATCAATTTCGAAAAATACTGACAAAGCACCACTACCCCCTCCACCTCCCCCGCCGCTTCAAAAGCTGATCGAGGAGAGCATCAACTACCAAATCCAGACGGTTTTGCGACGAAGGAAAGACGAAACCATATGCCGTCCTCCAATTTTACATTCTCAACTGTTACTTACATGAATTTGTAATGCAAAAACGGCGAAAGTGAAAGGGGGAAGGTTGCGCCTTTTGCATTACAGATTTGGCACAGATTCAGATGCTGTTTAGCCATTCGGATATTTGTCATGCGAAGCAGCTTAATCGTGGCGATCTTGGTGGTAAATTTGCACGACAAATCATGTGACAGTTGAGAATGTAACAGTTAAGAACGCCATAAAGCACTACGGCCACCTACGAAGACGCGAGTTACCAGGTGACCAGCCCGCAGGTATCAAAGAGAAAAATCCCCCCTCCCCATATCGAACAGGTACAGTCCGGAAATTTGTGTTGCTGATTTGAGGTCACAAATCGCATTTGTCTTGCAAGAAGACAAGGGTAGAAGCTTCCGCCCCATTATGGAAGCGATTTGTCATGCTGTGAGACCTAAAAGGGAGCCGCTTGCCATGCTGCACAACTAGAACCATACGCCCCTACCTAGCCTGGGGATCTGGCCGCAATGCCTCTCTGCAATACAAACCTGATTTGTGTACTCAAATACAGCATCACAAATTTCGTTTTCGATATGGGGAGGGGGGATTTTTCCTTTTGATACCAGGCCGGGCAGATCGACGCGTTTTTGATTTGGGGCGCCGCGTATCCGATGTTGCTGTCCGAAAAGTTAGGGCCGAATAGCTACAACTCCGTGGGGCCGAGGTATTCCGACGGGGAACGAGCCATGATCCAAGATCTTTTGAAATTGTCCTACCAATTTGCGCACGTCGCGCAGGTATGCAAGGGGCTGCGGAGTGTCGCCGGGAGTACAAATGGAAACGCGACCTCTTCTTCCACTACGAATGAGAAATCAGCATCACAGAGTGTCACTGCTGCCGTTCCTCCAATAGACGTGAAGATCCTGACGTTTTTCGACGCGCCAAGTGCGATGGCGCCGGAGTGGAGCTTGTTAGAGAAATTCTGCAGTCCGGATTTTGTGTATTTGAACAACATAAACTTACCAAACCACCCCGGGTGGATCCACGAGAGGCTAACCATATGCAATGCAAAAGCATCGTACTAGTAAGAATTGCAATGCGAATTGGCTCAGCGTTACAAATAGTAATTTGTAATGCGGATTTCGATTTCCCTTGATCGCTAGATTTGTAATGCATGACTGCGATGAGTACGAGTACGATACTTTTGCAGTGCATAAACCAGGATGAGAAGGAACCCAGACGGGACGGAGAGGAGTAGATACAAAGAGATCTACCGTGGGGAATTATGAATGGCAAAAATGTCTGGGTCGGGAAGATTGCAGCTTGTCATTGTAAATCTGAAGCATGCAAAAATCTGTGTTGCATGAGTGCCAAAAGCTGTAAACTTTTGCCCAAGTTGGAAGGGAGTTTCTCATGCAGGATAGGCATGACAGAGACCTCGCAGAGTCTGTCATGCTACGTCCCGCATTCCAGACCTCATGGGTCATGAAAAATCTGCATGACAAGTCTACACTTTTCCAGACCCAGACACTTTTGCACTTGATAGGAATACCCGGATAGCGATGCGTTCGAGTCCGGGGATATGGTCAGGGGGGAGTTGTACGGGAAAAGATTGTATGCGGTGCTAATGAAAGAGTAACAACGAATTAGTTGTAGTAAATTTTGAAGATCAACAACAGCTTCAGCGCAATCGTGCCAGTCCCACTCCCATTTCGCCTTACAAATTCAAATACGTGCTCAGCTCAATGCTCAATCCTCGCACTTCGAGGAGACGACGGGAAAGACTAAGACTCGACCTACTGTTACAAAACCAAAATGTATTTCGCGAAATATTGCAAAGTTGTGAACGTATCCGGGGTTCTTCACTACCAAGCTCGCTTGTGCGGCATGGAGGTGAGAGCTTGTGCTGTGAATTTGTGTAAGATCTTAGCACCAAACGCAATGTCTGTGTCGACAGTTAATGTTAAAGTTGTAACACCGGACATCATAAGTTGAAAAGCAGACTCATTTCAGAGTCTTGTCATCCTCCCTCAATGGTATTGTCTTTCTGTTCCGCGCTCTGTGCCTTCGGCGTGCTGTTTTCTTTGTGCCATGTGCTCAAGAGAGCTGCCGTGGGCCAGCTAGAGTTGTTGCTTCGACGACACCCGAGAAGGAAAAGGCATGAAAAAAAAACGAAGGAGAGAGTGGCCGAGGGATGAAATATGACTACACCAGGTACTTGAAGATGAGTTGCGTCAAGATCAATAAAAAATACGGTGAGCGAGGCACGACCGAGTATCAGCAATGCCTTCAATCCTGAGGACGAGGCTCCTTGTTTTCTATAGAATTTACTTCACATTTAGCGCGCAGATAAATTTTTTGTTTTTCGTCTTTTGAATAAATAGCAAAAAGCATTTACGTCCTCAAGGAGGGGAACGAATCCCGCGCGGTGTTTGTGTTGGCGCACGTTGCTGGTGTTGTGTGTTGGGACGCCGGCAATATCGCGGCAGCTGTAACTGCGCCAGGAGAAAGGTCGAGGGAACACTGCGCCCGAGACAGCCAAGCCCGCAACAGAGACTCATCCGCATCAATGTCTTGCCCGCGATGATCAGCTGCGTAGCGGTGGAGCATCGGCGGCCCCAGTGGTCGCTAGACCGATTCCGGGCGAGTCGAGCAGCCGTCGCCCTCTGCACCAGCACAAGTCGTTTAACGGCAGGCAACAAACTCGGAGGACGACGAGGCAGCAAACGCTGAAGCGCGCAAAGATGACGCGGCGGAACTCGACGAAGCCGAACGCAAGGCCGAATCGGACGCCGTCAGTACCTCCCTCGACAATCGGCACCGCGCCCCCTGGCGTGGCCCCATCGCCCCAAAACTGCGGGCCCGCGGATGCCCGGCGCCGGCTTCCCTGGTAGCTGCGCCTATTTCACACGCCCTGCGCGTGAGAATTGGGCGCGGCAGCGCCAACTTTCTCGGCATATGCCGCCGCCCGGCGAATGGGGCGGGTTTCGCTACATAGAAGGCGCCGCACGATCAGAAACATACGCGGCCCGGGCCCCCGCGCAGCGGCGCGGGCCTGTGTTCCATTGTGTATGAAGGCGCCCGGACCTCGGCAGATGCGCGGACCATTTTTGGGGGCGCGCGCGTATAGTCATAACGACACACCACGCCGCCATGCCCATGGCGAAAGGAAAGGACGCCAACATGTCGCGCGACATTTATTGACGGGAATACAACAACGACAAGCTGCCGGGATGAACATCCTGAACCAAAAAAATATATCCACACCTTCCTAGAACGAAGATTAGATTGGCTCCGACCATTTTCCCTTCTGCTTGATTCAAAATAGAGATTCGAGAATAGTACCAATGAGTCGGAGCGTGGTCCATTCATAACAAATATTTTTTGCGATAGAGATAATTACAGATCCAGATACTTCTCCAACATCATCATCCATGAATTCTTGGAAAAAATCAATGATTGAAAGATCTAATTATCCTGAGAAAAAAGACGATTGATATATATGAATTTTCCTCTCTCCTCACAAACATAAGGATCTTGGATCCGATCATTGACATCTTTCTTTCTTTCTATATGGTATCAAGAGATGGATGATTGATGAAAATGATCATATAATTTTTTCTTTCTCGAATCTCGAATTCTTTAGAAAATTCTCTCATCTTCATATCAGATAAAAAATGGAAAGAAATTTCAGAGAAGATAAATTCATTATAAAATGGAGATTTTTTTTTTCTCGAATCCCGAATTCTTCAGAAAATTTTCAATATTAAAAATATTTCATCTTCGAATCAGATATCCATTCGAAATCATGAAAAAAATATGAAGAAATTGGAGAGAAAATAAAGAATTATAAAACATATTTAGAATCTTCTTCAGGAGATCTCATCGATATCATCCATTTTCATTAGATTTTTTCTGATATATTCGCATTATAGGATTCATAGATGATTCGATGAAAAATTCCTGTTATTCTAAAAGATCTAGATCTCAGATTCAGATAGATAATGTAATCAGATCGATAGATGATATTATTGAGAGAAAATGAAAGAAAAGAAATACACCATAAAATTTCGATATCAATCTATCAATCCATGATTGATTTCCGAAAGAGAAAATATATTCAATGAGATATTGTATCCAAACAACCAAAAGAAAATCTTCAATCATCTCGAGAATGATACACCACACAATTTCATACATATATCAATCATTCGAGATTCCATCTCTAATTGCAGAAAAAAGATTCAGATATTGGATGAGGGAAGAGTCAATTTGTGTAGAATCAATTGTGTCATACAACCAGAGAAAAATAATCTTCATGGATCTTGAGCAAGATACACCACGAAATTTCGATATCACTCCAGATTCCATCCATAATTGATTCCAGAAAGAGAAAACAAATTAACACACAACGCATTGTTTTTCATACAATCTCTTTCCGAATCCGAGGCCAACATTATTTAACGAAGTCCACATTTCTTCATGTTCATCCATGTGTAACATATGCACTCGGTCGTCTGGTTTGTGGTTGGTTTTCTTGTGTTCTCTCCATCGCTTTATTTTGGTCCTGGTGTAGCGTCCATCATCAAATGTTGTGGTCTACAATTTTCATCTCGAAATTGAAAAACTTGTTCTTCTCAAAACGAAAAAAAATCGCTCATTCCTTCACCTCCGCTCTCTCCTCTCAGCATCCCGTCCGCGTGACCCGTATTGCCGGTTTCCACCACCGCGTTCCTCTCCACCTCCCCGCTGTGGTCCACCACCAGCTCCTCTATCCCGACTCCGACTCCGGTGGCTGTGCAACGGCCGCGCCCTAGGCGAATGGTGGTCCACTCGCGGTGGGGTCTTGTGGTGAAATTTCGTGTCCCTCGGCAGCGCAGCCGATCGCCGGTCCGAGATGGATTCTTGCGCCCGGACGGGTTGCAAAGTGGTAGTTGTCCTGCCGCGAGAGTCGTTGGCTTTATTTCGACGACCGCGGCTGTCGTTGCGCCGACCACGATCGCGGCGTCCCCGACTGTCGTTCTTGTTCCTGCTCGCGGGCGGCAGAGCACTCGGGCCACCTCCCCGCGATGATGTCGCATTATTATCCGGCGCATGCGACCCACTTGCACCACCTCCTGCTCCGTTCCTTGACTTGCCCTGGTCCTTCCCGGCGGAAAAATCTTCTTCTGAATCAGATTCAGAGGAAGAACTGGACTCACTCGATGAACTTTCCTCCTCTTCCGACTCTTCTTTCTGCAGCAGGTTCAATTCTTGCTGTAACTTCTTCAATTTCGAGTTCACTAATTTCGATCGCTTCATCTCCTTCTGCCGTTTTTTTTCCGCTTTTTTCTGGTTCTTTTTCTCCTTCTTCAACCGCTTTTTCTCTCGTTTTTCCTCCTTTTTTTTCTTCTTCAATTCCTCCTTTTTCTTCGCCCGCTCCAAGGATTGATCTCGTTTTTCGATGACTTTCCGCTGGATCAATTCCTCGTCCTTCAACATTTTCATCCAGTTATCCAGTGCAAAAGTAATATCGCACTCGTACTAATCGCAGTGATGCATCAGAATTCTAGATGTTAAGAGAAATCCGCATTACAGATTCAATTTGTAATGCTGAGCCAATTTGAATTGCAATTCATACTTAGTGCGATACTTTTGCAATGCATACCAGTGCTTCATCTCCTTGGCCAATGCGATCGCCATCTTCACGCCATCCAACGTTGGGGAGAGAACCCGCTCCACGGATTCCAACTGCTTCACAATCGCCTCGCCCTGACGGATGATCGGGGACCGGTACTTGTACTCTAATGGGTTCAACGACGCATTTTTGCTGTCGCCGTGTTTCCCAAACTCGATAAACTCGTCGACAAATTCGTACTTGTGGAGGTTTTCGAAAAACAACCCCGTCCGCTTCCAGCTCGTCGTCTGTTGAAACTCGTCGTAGGACAAGGAATCCAACAAATCCTTGACCTGGTTGCTCGCGTCGTCGAATCTCGCCTGAATCCGCTCCTTCACGTCGGACACCACCTGTTTCGGGTCGAATTTGTAGTCGTTGAGGTTCAGGACTTTCTTATCCCCAGAAGTTGCCGAGAAGTACATCCGCAGCTGCTCTTGAAATCCGATGTTAGGGAAGCAAGCCGGTCGTTTTTTCTCCACGAATTTAAACACGTTCTCGAAGCTCAAGTCGTTGAAATCTACATCCTTCGCGGCTTCCGGATCTTTCTGCATTAAAGCGAAAGCTTCGTCGCCGAAGCCATATTTCATGATGTACGCGATGACCAACGCGGAGGACCGGGAAATTCCTTTTTGGCAGTGGACCAAAACCCGTTCTTTCTTCTTAAAACAGTCGTGGATGAACTTGATCGCCGGTTCGTAGTGGGGTTTCAAATCGAACATCGGCGTGTCCAAAACCGGGCAGCGGAAATAGGAAACGGAGCCCAGCATGGCTTTCCCCGTGCCCTGGTTGATCACGTTATGCATTGCAGAAGTATCGTACTAGTATAAATCGCATGACAAATTCGGTCAGCATGATAAATGAAGTTTGTCATGCTGTTTTACCTTGGAAAGGAGATTTGTAATGCATGATTGCAATTACTACGAGTACGATACTTTTGCACAGGATACACGTTGGGCATCATCTTTTTGTCGAAAAAGAAGGGGAGATTCGGGTGGCAGACGACCACATTGAGAATTCCGGAGGATTCTATCCTGATTAAAAATGTTCCCACACGACCAGAGTCAAGATGGGAAATCTGCTAGACAAATCGACCAGCTTTCGCTGTTTCGCATGACAGACAAGTTTGCCCTCATAGTGTGATCCTGTTTCGCTAGTTCAGTAGCATCACAGATCTAGCATATCATGCTGATTCTAGCATCACAAAGTCCAAAACACGACTAGAGTCTGCTTCTCATGGGGCTTCGCATGAGAAACTTTTTTGGTATGCTGATTTGCAAGACAACTCTGGGGTGGGTATGTTCTTTTTACTCAGCATAGATTTCAACTTTTCCCAATCCTGCGCGCCCGTCGCGTCGCCGAGGAACAGGCCCCAATCAGTAATTTGGTGGAAGTGCGCATCGACCTTGAAAAGCTCCTCGAAAAAGGAATAAGCCCGGTCGGACTTGTCCGCGTTGAAGAGCTTGCGGGGGGCGGGGGCCGACATTTTCTTTGGAGGGAGGGTGTTTTTCTCTTCGTAAAGTTGATGTTTAGGTCGTGGGTCTAGTTGTAGTTCTTTATCATGGGAGGTTATTTGTTAACTAACAAAACATCTGTACTCATCGTAGTGCTACGAGTGTACTAAGTTGCGTACTAAGTTGCTACTACTAAAATTGCTTGTCCTGTGAACGAAGTGAGGCGGAGCAATGAGAATGACATCGACAGGTGAAGAACAAAATGACATATAAAAGTTGCTGAGTAATGGGTTCTTGTTTTTTCTAAGTTCAACTTCAATGCATACGAACGTAGGACGTGGGTAACATTGAAATCAATATCAACTTGAGATCTTGATTTGCCACCGGGGTGTTTCTAATAAAAGCGCAAGGAGTAATAAAAGCTTAAGGAGCGAGACTACTAATTCTACATCACAACGAAGCATCTGATCTACTAGATCTTTGTGTTCCTTGTCATCGTCGTGGAGTAGCAAACTGAATTTCATCTACTAGATGCAACTCAAAAATAGGTGCATACAGAGATCGTCGAGGGGCAACATGGAGGAAGTGGAGCTAAGCGATCGCAAGCGTTTGTCCACGAACTTTTGCTTCGCGATGGTGCAGCCGACGTCAGGTGGAACATCAACATCGACCATCGAAGATTCCCGTCCTATGTTGTGGCGAAAACTTCTTAACGAGACAAACGAAAATAAAGGCGACGGATCGCGCGCACTCCTGCACCTTCTCAAGGTCGTCCTCCGATGTTCTTATTTTTCCATTGCGCAGCTTTGGTTTCAAACTTCGAGTTCAAGAATTATAAAAAGCGAAATCACGTCTGGTGAGTTTTGGTGGATCTATCAATGAATGGAGCCGGAAAATATACTGGGCCGTCGTGATCATCTGTGACTCCAGCATCGACGCTGCTATGTTGACGCGGTGCATATAGCTTCTTTAGATGTCCGAATAGGTTCTGCCATCCAGTCAATACTCGAGGAGATTCGTCATCTTCTCATGCGCATGAGTTGAAACTATAATTCTTGCTAGCTGCTAGGCAGTTCGTTTATTCGCCGGTGAAAAATTTACAATGCATTTTCAAACAAATCAAATTCAAAGCATAGGCTTCTTTACTTTGTTCTCTGCTCACGAGGAGCTCTTCCTCTTCCTTTACCTTTGCTTAAATCCTACCCACCTGGCTGCAGAAACGGCGTCCACTGCGCTTCCAACCTCTACTTCCCCACGGTGGCCATCTTCGCGGCCCCAGACTCGTGCATCACTTTATGCATGTCCGGAACCGAAATCTCGTACAGTTTCGCACCCTCGAGCAGAATCTCGGCAATCGCGGTGATCGCCCGGCTGCACTTCCACAAGCAGTCCCGGCTGATCTCGTTGTTGTCCCGACCACCCGGACCGCCCCATTGCTGTTGGTTCCACTGCTGATCCTGCTGCAGGTTGTAGTCCTGTCGTGGCCCGTTCGGCAGTGCCGGCGCTTCCGAAGATTTAGCGAACAGCGGGTTCCGGCGTTGTTGGACTGGTTCTTCTGCTCGGGCGTCATCCCAGAAAAACTTCCTCTCCTCTTTTTTTTCCACGACAGCTTCCGGGCTGGTGTGGTCCTTCTTCTGCAACTGCTGGGTCGTGACACCAGCAGCAGCACTACCACTCGAGTTGTTCATGCTCTGGTCCCTTTTTTGCGAAGGTTGATTTTTCTCGTCAAACACCGCAGGATCGATGAATTCGCGATCTCGACTACGTTCTCTGGACCGACTTTCCTTCCTCGCACCAGCACCGCGTCGGAGCGGCGCGAGAACTCTGCGCGCACGACTGTCACCGCGACCGCGCCCACGGCTGTCTCGTCGGCCGCGTGGTCCTCTCCTGCGACTGTCATTGTTCCTTCTACCGCCCCGGCTATCGTTCCTGCGAGGATTCCCCGCAGGCGCACTCTGGTTCCGGTTCCGGCTGTCATTCCGGTTGCTCCTAGAGCCTGTACCTTTCGACAGCGCACCAGCAGTCCCTCCTTCGGGTAAAGCAGGTGGTCCCCGGCTATCTTCCTTGTCACTTGGCACGTCCGCGTGATGGTTCCCCTCGTGGTTGAAGCTATCGTTGAATCGGCTGTAGTTGGTGTTTTGCCGTCCCCGGGGCTCCTCGGTGTCCATTTTCGTAGGAGGAGCTCTTCTCCGGCTGTCGTCCCGTCTAGGCGGAGGTCCTCGTACAGGAGGCTTTTCTCGACTGTCGTTGCGACGACTGTTTCGGGGACTGTACCGGTCTGCGTGGTCGCGGGTGTCTCTGTGACTGTTTCTCGGACTGTTTCTCCTAGGACTGTAGTTCCGGTCACGACCACGGCGGTCGCGGTCTGTGCTGTTCCGCCTGCCACGGTAGCTGTTGTTGTCCTCGCGACGTCGATCTCTGTCATCCCGGTCTGCTCGCTCTCGTGCAGCCGCAACTCGATCCCTCTCTCGATTGTCCCGCTTCTTCTTCTGCTCTTTATGCACGGATTCCAGCAGATTTTGATTCCCCGCGAGCATCAGTTCGATCAGTTGAATTACCATGGCCCGGTATCCAAGAAAAAAACTGTGTTAGTGTAGGTCTTGTTTTGGGAAAACAGCATCACAAGTTCGTCTGCCATGACAGGAAAAACTTGTCATGCGTAAATAGGACGGGAAAACACGTAGGAAGCGAGCCTACCACGCATGTAGTGGAGCATGACAAGAGTATACTGTTTTGCATTTTCTGCATCACAGACTTACACTTACACAGTTTTTTTTCTTGCATACCCGGAGTTCAAACACCGTGTCGCCGATCATCTCATTGCAGAATTCCAAATACAACCTCGTCACGTGCTGCTTCTTCTCCTCGTCCATGCCTTTCGTTTTGTGAGCGGACAATTCGTAAATCACCGGATTGTACTCCTGCGCCTTCTTCTCGAGGTCCGCCGCGGTTTGCCCCCCAAGTGGACCTTGTTGTTGACCACTAGTTGCACCAGCGTTTTTATTTCCACCTATCGCTACATGAAGCGGCCCAACCGGCGCAGGGATGGCTCCCCGTGTGGGAATTTTCTTCAACTTCGTGACACAAGGAAGGATAAATTCGTTGTTCTTCGATTGGTAGTGTTCGCACTTCTTCAAATCGAGTAAGGGGTTGAGCAAAATCAACGGCATCGGGTCGTAAACAAGAGTGCAGTCCCGGGCGGTTTGCGTCGCCTTCGTGTCGGTCGATACCGCGTTCGAGGATCGTTCGAAGTACGCGACTAAGTAGGACGCGATACCCGCGTCCGGGTTGAAGTTCTTTCCGATCGCCAAGCCCTTCAAGGTCGGATCAGCCACGGCCAGATTCCGCCCCTTTTGTTGCTGCACCTGCTTAGACTGCTGGGGCTTCAGAGCGTTGCTGCAGAGGTTGTTTACAACCGAATTCCGGTCCGGTTCGCAGCGGACGTCGTCCACCAAGCAGCGAACAAACTTACAGTTGTCGCAGTTGGTCGGATTTGCAGAAGCGGCGATCGGGAAGCAGGCGGTTAACAAAGCGCGCGTCATGTTGGTTTCGTGCTATGGATTGCAAAAGTGTCTGGGTCTGGAAGAATCGGAACTTGTCATGCTTGTTGCGGTTCACACAAAAAGCTGTCTTGCGTGACTTGCAAAAGATGCATATTTCTGGCCGTACTGAGAGCGGATTTCTCATGCAGAATAGGCATTACCAAGGGACTGCAGAACTTGTGATGCTAAGCCCTGCATTACAGAGTTTGCGGACCTTGGCAGAATTGCATCACAAATCTCGCAATCTTCCAGACCCAGACATTTTTGCAGTTGATACGTGCGAGCAGTCGACGATGTCCAAGCAGCCGGATTTGAGTCGCATCTGTCTTTGCTTCTCCTCAATTTGGTTCTTCAACCAATCGCCCGCCTTCAAGTCGTTTAACGAAGCGGACATAGGTTTCAAAGCTTTCAAACCACCGGAGGAGGAAGTGGCTTGGTTGTTTCCACTGGCGCTGCCCTTGCTTCCGCCTAACGGCATCGCGTTGGGGTTGTTTTTCCCACCACCCTTTCCACCGAAGGACGAACCTTTATTTCCAGCAGAAGCCGCGGCTGCGTTAGTTAGCATTTGCGCCTTAGTGATTTCGGCGGCGGCCGCAGCAGCTGCTGCGGCGCTTTCCTTTACCGCGGTGGGAAGTTTCGTGCCCATGACGCCGGCGAGCGCCATCTGGTTGGTCATCATGAGCTGTTTGTTCATTTCTGCAATTTGCTCCATTTGGTACTTGACCACTTCAGAATTGTTTCGGCTGCTGGCCTCCATCTTGCACCGATCGAGGATCTCCTGCACACCACTGTCGCCAAGCGATTTTACGACGGTGAAGCTGTTCTTTTTAATTTTGTGATTTGCTGACGTACTTTCAAAGAGGATCATGATAGCATGGAGGATAACGTCACTCACGACGGTACCATAATGACTGAAACAAGAGAGCAATAATACCGTCGGGGGTAAAATTATACTGCATGGTATGCTTACGTTTCAAATTTAAGTTAGAGACGCTGGCAGTTGTCGTGCACAAAAGCAAGTATGTCTGTACGAGATCACTCGACGCCCTTCACAGAATCGGATAGGAGCTGAGCATAATCTCAGCCAAGAAAGTGAAACAGGCTGAGACACACTCCGAGCAAGATTTTTTTCGCTTTGAAAGTTTGCTCTAGTACCATTGGGATAGAGGAGGTCAAGTATAAGGGCCGGATAGAATAAAACCAGCAACTTGCCGCCGACCGTATGGTACGAAGGTTTGATTTATATGTGATTTTGATCTTGATGATCTTGTCTTTCTTGATCTTCGTGATCGTGATATCAATCCCACACAAAAGTAAGTAAATTTATCTGAAAGTAGTACGTTTTCATATATCCGGTTTGCATCCGTGTGTTCAGCTCCTCAAACTGTTTCGTGTTGTTTTCCAAGGTGACCTGATCGAGAAACTCGTCATCCGCACTCACAAAAGAGCCCATCATTCCGCGGTTGTTTCGCTGCGAATTGTAGTTGGAGCCCCAGCCGTCCCAATTATCCCAGTTATCGTACGGGTCTTGCATGTTGTCGAAGGTGATCCCGTTTTTCCGCATGTAATCCTTGTAAATCTTCGCCAGCAGCACGTGGTCGGAGAACGTGTTTTCCGCTTTTTTTTCCCGCATATGACAGTGCACAACTCCCCCCCCTCGTTTGTCATGCAAAATACCCAATCCACCCTTTGCCTCTTGGCTCTGTTTGCATGACAAGTTCTAGTAGCCCAACTAAGTAGCACTAGTACACTCCAGTGCAAATTTGTCATGCAAAACTGGCACTTCTGCTGATGCGCGTATTGCCGTTCAGGCTGTACAACTTCCAAGTGAGGAGGAGGGGGGGTTGTGCACTCTCATACCGCATCGCAATCGCTTGGTGCTCCATGTCCTGCCGGACCCGGCAGAAGGGCGATTTCTGCGTGATTTATCAACTGCAAAAATGTCTGGGTCTGGAAGAGTCGGGGCCTGTCATGCACATTTTGCATGACCCGTGAGGTCTGTGATGCTGGTGCTAGGATCACAGATCTTTTGAGGGCTTCTTGATGCTAGTTACGCATGAGAAACGCCCTCTCCGCGTGCCAAGAGCTGACTCCTCTTGCTGCTCATGCAACACAGATATTTTTAGAATCCGCAGACAGCATTACAAGTTCCACTTCCACTCTTCCAGATCCAGACAAATTTGCAATCCATATGATTCCGCACGCCACAATCGTGATCTGCTCATACAACTTCGGTAGATTCAACGCCTTGGAGAACAAATCCCCGAGCAGAAACAACCGCGCCAGCGTCGGGTGTAACGGAACCTGGGAGAGTTGCCGGCCTAGGGGGATTATGAATTGCAAAAACATCGTGCTAGTAGCAATTGCAATACAAATTGCCTCAGCATTACAAATTGAATTTGTAATGCGGATTTGCCTTAGGAACTAGATTTGTAATGCATAAATGCAATTAGTACGAGTACGATGATTTTGCACAGGATAGGTGTTAAGACCTCGTAGTACTCCTTCCGGGGGATGGCGTTTTCTTTGATTTCCTCCATTTTCTCTCGGATCTTCTCCTGCTCTTTCTCCAGAAGTTCTGCAAGCTGGCCCGCGTTCTTTCCGTTAGCGGCACCACCTGCCAGTGCGGGGACCATCTGTCCTTTGCCGTTCTGAACCATTATCTGGTTATTTACCGTGCGGGTCATTGCACCAGCAGCTCCCACCATTTTGTTCGCCATGTTGTTCATCATCATCCCGCCAGGTTTCATACCACCTTTCATGTTCGCAGCTGCCATCACCGTTGTTTGGATCCCCTTCCCGGCAAACCTCCCCGCTGCAAGCAAGACCTGCTGACTCGCCTGCAGCTGCTTTTGTGCCGCGACCGCGGACATCAAGGGGGTGAGCTTCGGCTTGGTCGCTGCATTTGCCGCTGCGAGCTGCAAGCTATTCGGGTTTGGTTTCAAGACTAAAGCACCAGCAGCTGCTGCGCCAGTTGTACTTGCCGCTGTTCCAGCAACTGTTGGGTTCGTGATGGCCGCTAGTTTATCCGCGGCTGCCTGTATCTCCTCGTCTTTCGGTTGGTCTTTCATTTCAATCCGCCGGATCGCACCCAAAGCTTCCAGCAATTGAATTGCGTTTTCCACCGCTTTCCGTTCCGGCGGCGCGATCGCGCGCTGTAAGATCTTAGCAACCGATTCGTTCCGACCGATACCTAAATTTGGGTTCATGGCTTTTAATTGCAAAACCAAGCTCTCCACGGGCGTGCGGAGCATCTCTGGTTTTTCCTGCAGTTCGAAGTGGTCATACTGCTTTTTCGTGTACGCCGCAAAAAACTTTCCCGGCCGGCACCGCCCCGCCCGACCTCTCCGCTGCCGCACGTTCGACTTCGCGACGAAGAGGGTTTCCAAACCGGAGCTGTTCGTGCTCGGGTTGTACGCGACCGCTCGGTGCCACCCGGAGTCAATCACGTGGACGATATCGGAAACGGTGATACTAGTTTCCGCGATGTTGGTGGCGACAATGATCTTCCGGACTCCTTTTTCCGGTAAATCAAAGACCCGAGACTGCTATCCTACGAAAAAAGTGTTTCACTGTAAGGATTTTGCAAGTTTTGCATCACAAGTTTGTCCTACATCACAGAGAAAATTTGCCATGCGAGATTCCTAAGGGAAAACACGGCTAAAAATCCATTGTCTTGCATGTGTAGCAAGACAAACACCTCTCAGATGCATTTTCTGCATTACAAGTTTACAGTGAAACAGTTTTTTCTTGCGATAACTGCTCGCGCTTCTCGACTGTGGAGTGCAAACGCAAGATCAAATATTCGTCCCGGTTTTGAAACACCGTGTTCTGCAACAACGTACACACGTCGCAAATTTCCCGCCACCCGGGGACGAAAATCATGATCGCGCCCGGTTCATCCTTTTGCTTCTCCTCCAACACGTAGTGATATCCTGTGCAAAAGTATCTTACTCGTAGTGATTTTTGCTAACATGCATTACAAATTTCTTTCTCAGGTTAATAAATCGACATTACAAATTGTCCTTCTCATGCTGAGAAGATTTGTCATGCGATTTATACTAGTACGATGCTTTTGCATTTCATAAGTGAATGTACTCGACAATCCGCGCGATCATCTCCGCGTCGAACCTGGAAACTTCGAAATCCCCCGTGTACATCCATTGCCGTTCCCCTTGCATCATGCGTTGCTTCATGTTCTGAAACTCCTTGCCCATCGGGGTTTTGAATTTATACGGCTTATACGTCGGGTCCTTGTTCACCCCCTTGATCCCGAACTCCGGTGCGATGTCGGGCAGCAAATCGTTGAGGTATTTTTCCTATCAAATGCAAAAATGTCTGGGTCTGGAAACTTGTGATGCTGGTTGGAGTATCATGAGGCGGCCACAAGTGCTGGCTCAGCATGACAAGTTTCTGAGCTTCGGGGTGTTGCCTATTCTGCATGACATACTGCGTTTCTGCATGACAAAAAAACGGGGCTCTTGGGTAACGTGCATGACAGACTTTGGGGTCATGCTGGCAGAGCATGACAGACCTTCCATTCTTCCAGACCCAGACATTTTTACGTTTCATATTTCTTCAATCGGGTACACCGTCGCACCCGGCATTTCACAGAGCGCGGTTTTTAGCTGAAAGCCGTCGAGTTTATTATTCGAGTCAGTCGTGGAGGCAGCTGCAGCTGCTGTGGCGACGTTTTTGTCCTTAATCGCCGCGTCTTTGTCCTTGTCCTTGTCTTTGTTTTTCTCCTTTTTTTCCTTTTCCTTCTCCTGTTCCTTCGCAACCAGTTCCGACACCCCTTTCTCAAAGTAGTCCGCCATGGCGTTGGCGTCGATCGTCGCGGACATGAGAATCAGCTTCAACGGGATCATATGCATTGCAAAGGCATCGCACTAGTATAAACTGCATTACAAATAATTTTTCCGTAGGTTTCTAAGAATTGCATTTGTGATGCTAACCCAGGTAGAAGGTTACTAGATTTGTCATGCATTGTTGCAATCAGAACTACGAGTGCAATGCTTTTGCAGAGGATAAATCAACTTCTTCTCCCCGTCCCCGATGTCAATAGGCGTGGTTGCTCGGACTTTCAACACATCGCGAAGGATCAACAGCAAAAAGTCCGTCGCCACCCCCCTCTCGTGCACCTCGTCGACAATGATCGCGTTATGAACTGCAAAAGTATCGTACTCGTACAAATGCATTACAAATTTTCTCAGCATAAGAGATAAAATTTGTAATGCGGATTTACCTTAAGAAAAAGATTTGTAATGCATGACTGCAATACGAGTACGATACTTTTGCACAGGATACGCGTCGTATTCGGGTAACAACGGGTCGGACTCTAATTGCTTCAGCAAAATCCCGACCGTATCAACTGTAAAAATGTCTGGGTCTGGAAGATTCTGACACTTGTCATGCACGTTTTGCATGAGCCCTGATGTCTGTGATGCATGCCCTAGCATCACAGATTTTTTGACGGCTTCTGGATGCCTATTCCGCATGACAAATGCCCTCTCCGCGTAGCAAAAATTGCATTCCTTTTGGTACTCATGCAATACAGATTTTTCTGGAATCCAAATGCAGCATCACAAGCTGCATTCTTCCAGACCCAGACATTTTTGCATTTGATAGACCGTGCAGTAGATCAACTCCGTTTTCTCCCTGCTGATCATGCGGTCGAATCGGACCTGGTACCCGATTTTTTCCCCGATGTTCTCCCCCCGTTCCCACGCCACCCGCTCCGCGACGGAGGTGGCGGAAATGCGTCGCGGCTGTGTACAGATGATCTTCCGGATGCGGCCGGGAGGGGATCGGTAGTAGTCGTCTTCTTTCGATTTTTCCAAGCCGGTATCAAGTGCAAAAATGTCTGGGTCTGGAAAAGTGTAAACTTCTCATGCAGATTTTCCATGAGGTCCGGAATGCGGAAATTAGTATGACAGACTCTGCGAGGTCTCTGCCATGCCTATCCTGCATGAGAAACCGCCTTCCAACTTGGTCAAAAGTGGACAGCTTTTGGCACTCATGCAACACAGATTTTTGCATGCTTCAGATTTACCATGACAAGTTGCCACCTTCCAGACCCAGACATATTTGCAATTGATAGCCGGCGGCCAACGCTTTCGTTTTTTCGTTTGCCTGGTACTGACTTTCCTTCGCCCAAAACTCCATCAGCAACTGGGGTAATTGTGTCGTCTTACCACTTATGCAATACAAATTTCCTGTACATGTACAAAATGCATCACAAATGTCACCAACTTGGAGCATGCCACTTGTCATGCTGAATAGAATGTAGAAGAGAACTTTGTCATGCAGAAACCGCATTTGTACATGTACAGGAAATTTACTGTGGATACCACTACCGGTTTCCGCACAGAGAACCACCACATCTGCTTTCGACACCGCAACGAGGAAGTGGCACTGTTTCTGGTACGCGGGTAAGTTCTGCCTTTTCGCTACATTTTGGAAGTAGTAGTGGCTATAGGAGAGCTTGATCTTCGTGTGGATCTCCTGCGTTCGCTCATCGACCGGCGGGTTGATCAGTTTGTTGCTATGCATCGCAAGAGCATTGCACTTAGTAGAAAGCGCGTCACAAATTTGATTTTAGCAGCAAAAGTGGAATTTGTATTTGTAATGCTGATTGAGGTAAGAAGGTACATCTGTCATGCAGTGTTGCAACTACACCAACTACGTCGAGCGCGATGCTTTTGCAATGTATAGTTGCTGTTATTCCGCATTTTCTCCTTGTAAATTTCCGCGGCACTCTTCGTCGTCCACGACACCCCGCCGGTATTCGGTGCCGCGACCGCCGGCCCGGTCGGCTTCGTCAAGTTGTACTTTGGCCCGCCCTGGGGCGGCAGTTGCTTCGTCAGATTTGCAATCACCGAGCTTGTCGCCTTCGCCAACGCGCCCCCGACGGCGTTCGCCTTCGCAAGCGGGACTAAGGGTTTCAGGGGGCGGAGAGTCGTCCTGGTCCCGGTAGCGGTGCCAGTTAATCCCGGGACCGGCGCCGGTTGGAACGGAGGCTCGTCGTGGTGGCTGGACTGGTCGTTATGCAATACAAATCTCCCGTACATGTACAAGATGCATCACAAATTTCTCGTCCAATTGGGACTGTAAAATTTGTCATGCTAGCGTAGGATCGGAGCTAAGTTTTGTCATGCAGAGAGCACATTTGTATGTGTACGGGAATAATTTTCTGTGAATAGTCTTGCTCCCCACCCGAGCGGGAGTAGTCGTCTTCGTCTTGCATGTATGCAAGAAAAAAACTATGTGAGTGTAAATTTGTGATGCAGAAAGTGCAAAAGTGCCACACTTGTCATGCTGGATGTGCATCAAAGGGTCTTTCCTTCGTGTTTTCAGGTACTAGATGCGCATGACAGGTTTTCTCTGTCATGTAGACCAAATTTGTGATGCTGTTCCTCAATGAAAGTTACACTTACACACTTTTTTTCCTGGATAGCATGTGTGAGTCGTTGTCCTGGTCGTCCTCGTCATCTTCGTCGCTCATATCCTCGTCGTCAGCTTTATGGAACTACACAAATTTGCCGTGCTCGCGCAGCTACAGGTACACAAGTACAGTAGAGAAATCCAAATTCGCAATGTTGAATAAGATACGAAAGAGATCATGCGTGTCAAAGTTACCATGCAAAAATGGCTGGATATCCAGATGATACACGTGCACGGTATTAAATTTCCCGTCGATAATCTTCGTCCTCATCCTCTTCACCCTCCTCCCCGTCATCCAGCATGGCTTTCAAATCTTTATGCGCATCGTCCTCCACATCGCTGTCCCAGTCATCTTCACCTGACTCTTCTTCTTCTATTGCAAGGAAAAATACCCCCTCCCCATGTCGAGACGAAGTTTCTGATGCGGGATTTCCGTACACAGATGCGCGCCCTCTTGCAATAAGGAATCGCAGCTAGATCCTCAGCCTAGGTGAGGGCGTCTGGGTCTAGCTATTTAGCATTGCAGACGGCTGCCCCCTAGGCCCAACAGCATGCCGAATCGCTTCCATAATGGCCCGGAAGCCTCTGCATTTGTCTTCTTGCAAGACAGGCGTGATTTGTGGTCTCAAGAAATCAGCAACACAAATTTTCCGAGTCATGCCGTTTCGGTATGGGGAGGGGGGATTTTTCATTTTGATATCCTCCTCCTCTTCTTCGTCGTCGCTCGTCGCCTGCTATCCTGTGCAAAAGTATCGCACTCGTAGTAAAAATTGCATTTTTGCATGACAAATCTCTTTTTCAAGGTAAATCAGCATTACGGAATTCAATTTGTAATGCTGGGCTACTTTGTAATGCAATTTATACTACTAGTCCGATGCTTTTGCATTGCATACCTGCAGCCGCGCCGTGTTCTCGATGAAAATTCCGTTGTCCTTCAGTGATTCCAGGGCCTCTTCCACGTACTGCTTGCACTTCGTCAACAGAGCATAATTCCGAAACTTCACAAACTTCGCCGCCACCGGAGCCCACTGCACCTTCTTCGGCCTTGCCGGACGGTTTGCTGCAGATCCTTGCTGGTTTCCATTTTTGTCATTATTATTCCCACCTCGCTCCTTGCTCCCCCTGCGGTTTTTGTTGAACTTCCGGCCGCCCCTTTTCGTCTTCTTCTTGTTACCCATCTTCGGGCTGGCCCCACCACCTCCGGTCTGATTGTTTCCTTCGCCGCCGGATTTCATCTTGCCCTTTTTCCGTTGTTGGTTCCGCTTATTCGCCTTCGTGCCGCCTTCGCCCTTGGCGACGGCGTTTTTCATCTTGTTGCGCTTCACCATTTTTGTGTCTTCCTCTTCGTCAGCGTTGTTCTCGCTTGTGGCAGTGTCGGAGGACAAAGTAGTATCTTCTTTATCTTTCCTCCGCTGTTGCCTCCTCAAATACCGCTTCAAATTCCGCTTCTGCCGCCGGGTCAACAATTTCTTGCTGCCTGACCGGGCTTTTCTGCTTTTGTTTTTCTCGTCGTCCGGGAAATAAGAATTCAGGTACGAAGATATCGCGGCTAATTGGTGTTTCTTTTCGGAGTAGGTGGAAGCGATGTAATCGGTCACTGCAGTTATTGTTCCATTTCCGGCGGGACCACTACAAACCGCAGACGCAAGCGCATTGGACTTTTGTTCTACAAAGTTGTGGAGAGTAGTGCAAAACTTGTCAAAGGTAAGGTTTTCAGGGAGGTAGAACAAAGAGGGCGTCGTCGTGCTGGTAGTGGTAGTGTCGTGTCGTGAGAAGTTGTTCTTTTCCGCAGGTGGAGTTGAGCTCTTCTTGGTGGACGTCGACTTAACACAGGAAGCGTAACTCATACAGTAGAAACTCTGATGAGTTAGAGACTAAAACTGGACTTCTAACAGAAGATTTGGAGGAGAATGAAGGTTTGCCTAAGTGATAAAAAGACCTACGCGGAAGGACAAAAAGCATCTTCTAAGACTTGTTCTACTCGGTTTTTTTTTGAGGAAAACAAAGATTTTCACTGATAAAGGCAATAGTCGCTGAATATTTTTTTGTGATTTTGACATGACAAGAAGTTTTTGACAAGAGAGGAATACGAGTAGGAGGTCGGGGAAAGCAAAAATCATCATCTAATTGCAGGAGCGCGTGCGTAGTTTGGCGTTCGGTCACGATGGATCTTCGGTGCATGCTCCAAAGCTGTGCTTTTAAAAACAACGATACAGATACAGAAATCATGAAGCTCCGGGCCGTGATCCTCTTTCCTTTGGCGCAAGAAGGTCGTTGCAATGCTGTATGTGGATCAAAAAACGATCAAAAGTGGAGAAACTTTAGTAGCACAAAAAGGCATATATCGATATTGCTATTGATATTCGATGAACATCAAGCGATCGCTCGGTCTTCGTTCAAACTGTCTAAACACCACACCATCATTGTGTATTGGTCTTCTGATTTAGCTCTTGCTCCACTTCCTCGATGTTTAAATCTTCATCGGCAGCAGCAAAAAAGGATGAAAGTCAGGATCATAGCGGTTGTACATTATTGCTACGTTTATTCGTGTCACTCGATATTACAGGTTGTACGTAAAAGTTCTGTCAGCTGTGAAGATCGCGGTATAGCTGCGCTTGGGTCAAAAGTTGCATCAATTTTCAGCAAAATATCCATATCGGATGTGTGATGTAATTTTCAAGAACAATAAAATGAGTTTGAAGCTAGTTGTTTTCAATCTGAATTTCATTTGTACACTGTTGGTTCTTCGTAGTTTGCAGTTGCGACCACGACGAGGTGGTGGCTCGCTGTGCTTTGAATTTGAAAGCTCATTACTTATCATACAGGGGGAATAGTAACATCATATTAAGCAGCCCATGTGATGTGATTCTTGTACTTACATTTACGCTACTTTTTCTTGAAGATCCACCAGAAAATATTTTCGAAAAGCACACACAGCTGCTGCGATAGTACTTCAATAGGAAGATGAACTGGAGACCGAGGAGAAAAAGTTCAGAACTTTTTCCGTTAGTCTCAGCAACTTCTCAAATTCACTTCTTCCTTCTCCCGCTCGGTGTAGCGTGCCCCATGAAGGAACTGGACCACGTTCGCCAGATTTTCTGTTCCTGGTCCACCTCTAATGGTTCTACCAAACTCTCGTCGGTATTCCCGGTTCGCTGCTTCCGGGCCATGGAAAATCACAGGAAAAAGTGTTAACGTTAACAGAATTTGTGATGCAGTAACGCATCACAAAACGTGCCCAAAGTTGTCATGCATAGCATGCGTATTGGGCTACATTTGTGATGCATGACTGCAATGTGTGAACATCAAAACCGTTAACGTATAACACTTTTCCTTGTGATATGGAAGTGGGGAGATTCACGATCACCTGCATGTTTTCCGGCGCAGCAGCAGATTGATTCGTACGTGGTGATGATGACTGCTGGTAATTGTTTGCAGCCCTGCCCCTCGGAACCTCCACCCTGCACTCCGGATCTGCAAGGAAGGAATCCTCCGGCAGCAAGCTCGCTGTCAAAGTGTCCTGGTTATCCAATTCTAGTGACTGCGAGACGGTCCGGACCTGCTGCTCGGAAATGACATTCGCGTTGTGCTCGAGCAGATGGAGTGAGTTCGGAGCTGCGGCGGAGCCAGAATTTGATGTACCTCGGCCCGGGTGGTGCACGGCCAGCGCACTTGTTCCTGTTCCTCCGCCGGCCCCAGCCGCGCGGTCGTCCATTATGATCGTTGAGGAAGAAAGCGAATGGTGATTGTTCCCCGCGGTCGCCGGCCTGGCACCAGCACTCGGCGCTTTGCTCTTCGGAATGGAGTGGCCGATACCGGTGGTCTTCTTCTGGAACTGGTCCGGTCGGGACATCTGTGGGTGCTGATGGCCGGCTCCACCTGAAACTGTAGTTCCAGAGCTACCAGTCGCGGCCCCACCTCCACCAGCCGTGTTCGGCCTAATTTGCTGCACTAAAGTTTCATCCCGGCCGTGCTTCCTCTCTCGGACCGGTTGCTTCTGGTAGTCGAAATTTAATAACCCTAAGCTGGACTTACTGTACATATCGTGCGTCCGCCACCTGGGCCCGCTGTTTGGCCGGCTACTCGTTGCGGAGTTTGAAGCGACTGCGAGGAGTTTTGGCTGTTGGCTCAATGGGTTCCGCATGCTGGACAAGTACTCTCGCCTGGCATTGTCCGAATCAGCAGGATAGGCTATTGCGGTTTTACTGTCCAGATCCACTTGCAGGCGAATCGCGTTGTTGTAGTTCTCAGCATCGTTGTTATTCTCTTCCCCCTCGTAGTACGTCGTATCCCCATCTCCATCTCCTGGCGACGGCGACCTCGACCTGTCTGGCGAACGACTTGGGGACCTTGATCTCCGCGGAACTGGCGATGCTAACCGGATATGAACCGCAAAAGTATCGCACGTGTAGTAATTGCAGCCATGCATTACAAACTTCTCTCTTAAGGCAAATCCGCATTACAAATTCCATGTGTCATGCTGACCAAATTTGTGATGCGATTTCTTCTACGAGTACGATACTATTGCAATTCATAGCGGATGATTTGCTTTACTTCATCCTGTTTCTTGTCGTATTTCTGTTTCGGCTTGTTCGCCCAGTAGACTTCAGCGTGGTGTAAGACGATCGGTTTTGGGAATTGGGTGAAATCAAAGTCCTGACCATTGTTTTCCTCCGCAACGGGCTGGATTTCTGTCAGAGTCGTTGCAGTCAAGGAAAGTTGGATGCTGCTGTTATCCCGTGGCTGCTGCTGAACGCCCGATCCCGCAGCGGTTTTGTTACTGGCACTCCCAGGCTTCGGCACGGTTACGACTGCGTTCTTGCTCTGCTGCGGTCCTGGTCCACGATTGACCACTACGGTTCTGCTAGGGACCTGTTTCCTCCCACTACCACTAGCCGATTGCTTGATCGTCGCTCCGGGCGTGCTGCTTGTCGGTCCGGCGCCGCCTGGTGGCGGCGGGCTGCGTCTTCGTGGCGAGCGAGATGAATTGTCATCAAATAAAGCACCATCTTGCAATGCGAAAAAGTTGTTCGCTGCAGTATCATAGTCATCAACTGCCGGACTAGGGTAGACGAGAACGGGAGAATTTGGCCTTGATTTTTTGATTTCGACAATCTTGTCAATCACGTCTCGTGACAACACGACAGGGAGAGACCCGGTTCCCGCGTTCCTCAGCCGGGTGTGGTACTTCGCGGCGGCGCGCTTGGCCGAGAGAAGCTGTTATAGCAGTGATTGCATTATTCGTGATGATTTGCTGATGAAGGAAGCTTGTCATGTTGGAAGGCAAGCTTCTTGCACTTGCTGAGGCCACGCGCAACATGCTAAAACGCGCAACAAAACTCTGCAATGCAATCAAATACAAAAGACACATACTCGCTCCTTCCTCGTTTTTCCCGCCGTTATCATGCGTCGCACCTCGTCCCCAAACCCGCTGTCATACACCGCAGCGAGTCGCGAATTCGCCTCCGCTTGCCCTAACTCGATCAACCTTCTGACAGTGCAGAACTCCCCCTCCCCTTCATTTGTGTTGCATGAACAGCAACACAAGCGCTGGAAAAGGTGCAGCTTTTGCATGAGAAATTCCTAGGAGATCGTAGTGCTGTTTTGGATTCCGGAGTCTGTCATGCAAACAGTGCTAACAGGCAAAGGATGGACTTGGAATTTCGCATGACAAACGAGGGGGAGGGGGAGTTGTGCACTTTCATAAATCTTCGCCTCCTGTCAAACCGTTCCTCCACATCGTTCCACAGTCTCTCAAACACCGGCCCGAGATCCGGTATCGTCACGTTGGCATTCAACGGTTTCTTTTTCGCCTTCTCAATCGAGTCCACCAGCGCCTTCGTCTCCTGCCTCGCCAGCTTCAAATCTTGCTCCATCTCCTGCATTTTGTCGTTCATAGTTTCCACTAACTCCTTCTGCTCCTGCACCTGCTCGTGGAGCGTGTTTACAATACCTTCGTACCGCTCTTCCATTTCCTCCTCAACCTCCTTCTTAACCGCGGTAACGACGATCTTCTCCTTCATCTCGCGGTTTTTACTCATGGTGGTTTTCGTCTTAGACAGCAGCTCTTCCTTCTGCTGCAGCTTTAGTGCTTCCCTTTCCAGCTCGATCTGCGACTTCCGTCGCTCCTCCGCGACGATTTTCGGCGCTTCTTCCTCAGATTGCGGCTTTTGCTCCTCTTTTGCTGGTTCCGCTGGTTTTTCCTCCTCTTTCGTCTCCTCCTCCGGTGGTCCTTCCGCGGATTTCTCCTCCTCCTCAATCCCCAACTCCGCCCTCGCTGCTTTTCCTTCCTTATGACAGTGCACAACTCCCCCTCCCCCTCATTTGTCATGCAAAATTCCAAATCGAAATCCACCCTTTGTCTGTTAGTACTGTTTGCATGACAGATTCCGGAATCCAAAACAGCACTGAAATCCACTAGGACTTTGTCATGCAAAAGCTGCAACTTTGCCAGCGCTTGCGTTGCTGTTCATGCAACACAAATGAGGGGCAGGGGGAGGGGGAGTTGTACATATTCATATTCCTCTTCCAAAAATCTCATCAGTTCCTCCAACGCGAGCGCTTCCGCCGAGTCCTTTTCCGGCGGCGCCGATTTCAAAGCATCTAATTCCTCCTGGACCGCATCCAGCATCCCCTTCGTCTCAGTGTAATTCCGCTCCGCCTCCGCTACCGCGGATTGCGCCATCTTCACCTTCAAGTCCATGTTCGCAACCTTCGCTTTTAACGTCGCGATTTGGAAATCTTTGTCCGCGGACGAGGCCGAGGCCTCGGTTGACTTTTCTTTCAGCTTGTTGTGCTCCGCTTTTTCGCTCTCGAACTTCTCCGTCATTTCTTCTAGTTTTTTCGTCAACTCTTCAATCGTTAGGTTTGCTCGGGCGAGGTCGGTCACGTTCTGCTCCAAGGCGGACTTCGTTTCTTCCAACTCATGCTCCAGGTCGGCGGACTGAGTGGAGGTTTATAGTGCATAATATGCATGACAAAATCCAACTCTGATGCAGTTGCAGCAAGCAAGAGCATCAACATCACAAACTCGTTATAGATACGGTTGAAAAATCAACATACGAAGAGTTTAAGAAAGATTAAGAAAATACCTTTTTTTGTTCCTTCAGCAGCATCCCCGTGAAATTCTGCGTCAACTTGTTCGTGAGTTCCTGCTATCAAATGTAAAAATGTCTGGGTCTCGAAGAGGAGAAGTTTGTCATGCACATTTTCCATGATCCATGATGTTTCTGATGTATGCCACAGCATCACAGATTTTTTGAGCGTCTATCGATGCGCATCCGGCATGACAAATGCGCTTTCCACGTAGCCAAATTTGACTCCTCTTGCTGCTCATGCAATACAGATTTTTGTAGCATCCAAATGCAGCATCACAAGTTTTGCTCTTCTAGACCCAGACATATTTGCAATCCATACCTGCTCTGCCTCCGCCACCGCCTCCGCAATCTTGATCGCCGCGTCACTGTCGGCCTCGGATTGGAGTCTTTTCAATTCTGTATCCACTTCGTCAAACTTGATCGACAGTTCCGCGTTGGAATCTTCCAATTCGTTATTCCGGTTCTGCAAATCCCCGACGTTCGCCTCGAGAGCCGCGTTTAGTTCCTGTAAGGAGGAGACTTGCTCTTCCAAACTCGCGATTCTCGCGATCATCCGGGCCACTTCCGGATCGGGTAACGTCTGCACTGCGCGGTCCAGCCGTCCCAATTCCGACAACTTCTTGTCTGGTGGGTCCGTTTGGATCTCCCGTTCTACCGTTCCCGTTTTTAAAGAGAGAATCCGAAACACCGCTTGGTCGATCAAGTACCGCATTGCTTCCTGTTTCTCCTTACTAAAAACCGTCATCGGCTCGAAAAACCACGGGTAGGTTTCTTGCAGGGTCGAACTCGCGGGGACGTTGTCTTTTCCGGGCGGAATCAGGTCGATGCAGTCGCCCTGTTTGTCCCCCTGAAACCAGGGTTTTTTCCCCTGCTGTTTCGCCCGGTACACGTCTAATTCCTTCAAACACTCCACCATCTTCTTCTCGTACGTCTCTTGAAGGTTTTCAAACCGTTGCTGCACCAAAGCTATCCTGTGCAAAAGTATCGCACTCGTATTGCAGTCATGCATTTACAAATCCTTTTGTTAAGGTAAATCCGCATTACAAATTTTATTTGTCATGCTAAGGAATTTTGTAATGCATTTATACGAGTACGATACTTTTGCAGTTCATAAAAGCAGTGTCGACCCCGCCAAATTTTTCCCAAGTCCGGGTGATGGCCATCTCGGTCAGCTTTTCGATGGACTCTTTCAAGTCCATGGAAGGGACGTACTCCGCGGTGTATTTGTGCCGCGTGCAGAGCTCGAACACTTTGTTGATGTGCTTCTGCAGGTACTGGGCCGTAATTTCACTCACCGTTCGTTCCAACCCCCTGGCGGCGAGCTTCCGTTTTTCCTTCAACGTTGGCTCCGGAATCGGGTCGCGGATTAAGTGCAGGTCATTTCGGGAAAGGATCGGGCCGGAAGCCGGGCGGCGGTGGAGACGGGCTTTGTCGCGGGGCCTGAAGTTGTTGTGTGATTGGGGTTTGTTGTTGTGCGTAATGTCATCTTTGTGTTCTTGCGCTTGCCGTAGTACGATTGCGCACTTGAAGAAATGCCACTACAACAGCGAGATCGCAGCAAAGTACTATCATGCTGCCAGCCTTGCGTTCATCTACTGCATGACAAAAAATAAATGCACAAAAAATAAATGCACGAAAGATAAACACTGCTATAAATATTATGTACTTTTTCACAAACTGGAGTCCTTCCGCACACACCTGGCAGCGTTCCTGGCTCGAAAACTTCGTCCTCGACGACCGTAGTATCCGGTTGCAAGTTGCGCACTGCTGTCTCACGTAGAACCCCCCCTTCCCCCGGTGGTCCTGCAACTCTTCCACAATGTCGCAAATTTCGTCCGAAAATTTCGTCGCGCCCTGCATCCTCCACTGGTCCGGTTCCCGGCGGCCGCGGTAGAGGTCCGTGGCGATGTCGGGGCCATACCCCAAAGGCGACGGTGGCGCGAAAGATCTTCGCCGGACCGGGTCCGCGGATTTAGGGGGTTGCAAGGTTGTGGAAGAGCTAGAGCCGCCTATCTGCTCGTTCGGGAAAGAAGGTCCACCTGGTCCTCCACTGCCGCCGATAACTACTCGTCGCTTCGCGCCGGCGGAAAACGCGGGCAGTCTATGCAGTGCAACCGCATCGTACTAGTGTACAAAACGCAATACAAATTTTTGCAGAAGGTGAAAAAGAGAGTTCTTTGTAATGCTGACTTGGCTAAGAGCAAAGATTTGTCATGCATGTTTGCAATTAGTACGAGTGCAATGCTTTGGCAGTTCATACAGTCTCGTTCGCAACATGTTCGCGGAATCATCCACCATTACATCGCCTTCTGCGAGGTTTGATATTTCTTTACCAGGACCAGGAGCACCAGCGCTGTCCGGACTGGTGTTGCCGGTTGCTATCGCGTTCGTCCGTAACTGTCCGAAGTCCCACATGCCGTAGTTTCGGAGCATCTCCTCCGTTTCCGCGGTGAAAAGTTCGTAACCCTGGTATCGGTAAACCTCTTCCTCTTCAAAATCCCGGAACCAGTTGCGATTCGCGATCGCTTGGTCATGGTGGGACTTGGAGAGCGGGGAGTGGATGTCGTCCTGCGTGATGGACTTGTTCAATTGCAGTTTCACCCTCGGAAGCTCGAGGTTCAAGGCGGAGAAGTCGCGGTTTTGCAGCAAATTCTGCTTCTCCGGCCGGGTGGTTTTCTTCTTTGGTTTACCATGTCGGTCGCGCTTCGGACTCAGAGCCTGGATGGAGTGGAACATATGTTATGCACGAATTTTTATGCTAGTATAGAAATGTGAGAACCTTCGAAGCCGATGCGCATGTCGTGGTACTTACACAGAGATTCTTCAAGAAAAAAATGCGCTATACAATTTCTTTCTTCAAAATCATACCTTGTCCTCGTCGGCTGCAATTTGGTGCAAATACGTTCCAACGAGCCGCAGCACCTTTTCGCCCGACAGTTCTTCCTCATCCGCCTTCAACCTGCCTGAGCTGGTAGAGGAGCTACTGCTGTTATCGCCTCCTCGCTTCTTTTATGAACTGAAAAAGTACTATCGTACTCGTATAAATGCATTACAAATTTCCTCAACATGAAGATAAAGAAAATTTGTAATCATTACAAATTTTCTTTATCTTCATGCATTAAATGCAGACTTAGCTTAAGAACAAGATTACTATTTAGACTGCAGCAAACCAGAACTTTTGAAGCTTTGGGGTATGTTCTGGGGTATGCAAAGTGGCTGCATAGCATCGGGATTCGTAATTTGCAGGCCACACCCCAAAACATACCCCAGACACACCCCCGACACACCCCAGACACACCCCCCCGACAAGAACTGCTGAAGCTTTGGGGTGTGTTCTGGGGTATGCAAAGTGGGTGCGTAGCATCGTGATTTGCAATTTCCAACCCACACCCCGAACACACCCCGGACACACCCCAGACACACCCCAGACACACCCCAGACACACCCCCGACATACCCCAGACACACCCCCGGCCCACACCCCCGACACACACCCCAGACACACACACACAAACACCCGACACACCCCAGGCAAACCCCGGGGCACACTCCCGAACACACCTCGGGGAAATACAAGCCGGACACATCGTCCCCGAACAGACCCCGGGCGCGTTCGGACGCGACTCCGAATGGCATGGCCAGCGAGTGTCAACAAAGATAAGCAGGCCCACTCGGGGGGGTGGACCCCGCGAACCCACTCGCCGCCGTGCCTTGGGATGTGTTTGTTGTTGGTTTGCCCCGTGCGTAGACATTCCGGGCGCGCCGATCTACCAAGCCCCACGCGGGTGCCTTTTCTGCGCCGACAAAACAAGCGCGCGCCCGACTGAGAATGAAAGGTGGGCGCGTATCTATGGGCCCTGCGCTTTTCTGCAGAGATAGCACAGAAATAACACGGAAGCGAAGGGCCACAGGGGGCTCCTTTTATTCTATTCATACACGCCACCACCCAGGCCAAGAACGCCGGGCGCGTCGGCTTTTATTCCAGACCAAGCACAACAGTGGGCCCGCTTGGCGCAAACACGCAGGCACAGAGAGCGACGGGCGCGCAAACATTCCAGGAGGCGGATCTCCCGAACCCCCGTAGGCGGTCCCGCCCCCATGTGGGCATGGGCCCCCGCGGTGGCGCCACGTCCAAACATGTGAGAGCGCCTCCCGGGCACCGCAGGCTGGCACGGCCCGCGGCCGGCCGGGCAAGTGCCCAAGGCCAACGCGAGGACTCTGCGCCCGCGCCATGACCGAGGGGCGAGCTTTGGGCGCCTGCATCCCGGAGGGAACACCCCATGGCCCGGGCGCCAAACCCCTAGGCAAACGGGGAGACCCTGTCCCAGCGAGCGTCACCACATGACGGAGGGGCTACCTAGTGGTCACGGGCCCACCCTGCCGGCCCGGACACCGCATGGCCCAGGGGTAAAAGCCCTAGGTCAGCGCGGGGACTCTGTCCCCGCGCCATGACCTAGGGGCTGGGTAGCTTTAAGCGCTTCCCGGACAGGCAGCGAGGGAGCGCGCGGCCCAGGGGCAAAAGCCCTAGGTCAGCGCGGGGACTCTGTCCCCGCGCCATGACCTAGGGGCCAGCTTTGAGCGCTTCCCGGACAGCGAGCGTGCGGCCCAGGGGCAAAAGCCCTAGGTCAGCGCGGGGACTCTGTCCCCGCGCCATGACCTAGGGGCCAGCTGCAAGCGCTTCCCCTTCCCGAACACGGCCCCGGGGCAAAAGCCCTAGGTCAGCGCGGTGTGGACTCTGTCCCCGCGTCATGACCTAGGGGCCAGCTGGATGGAAGCGATTCCCGGGAGCCGTACGGCCCAGGCGCAAACGCCGCAGGTCAGCGCGGGGACTCTGCGGCCGGCCTCTTGCTTTCAGTATAGGTAGCTCAAAGTTTCGAAATTTCTGGCGTGCTGTCCACGTATCTACGTGCGCCACGTCCTGCAAATGGCGGGAAGGTCGCTGCACGGGGGCCCCCGCCCCCGTGCCCTGACCTTGTTTGTTATGCATGATCGAAATACGAGTACGATACTTTTGCAATGCATATCTTTTTTCCTTTCGGCGTCTGCTCCAGGGAGGACAGGAGATCCAGCGACGAGTTCGCCCCTTGACGGGTGAATGGCCCAGTACCACCAGCAGCACCAAGGCCACCACCTCCACCTGCGGTAGTTCCGAGCGTGCTCCCGGACCGACCAAACAGGCTCGCAGCGCCGACACTGCTCGGGGTGGCCATGGATTCTGAGGGGAGAAGGAGATGATGAACAGACTACGATGAGAAATCAACTCCGGCACTCCGCTTCATCACCACCTTTACGAACTGTTATGCTGTGACAACAACAGAACATGCTGACGCTTAGTCTTCCTTCTGGATTCAAACTAAGCCGGACCAAAAGCAGGTGACGACATTGCATTTGCAAAACTCCACGAAAATAACAAAGCAGAACTCCACCACGAAACCGAAGATCTTCGGATACGAACGACGATCCGTCTACTCTACGAAGATGAAACGAAGGAGCCAAGCCGAAAACGATTGCGCCTTGTGCGCTCGTGGTCACGAATCTTCACGATTGTGTCTTCGCTCCAATGCTGTTGTAGTACTCGTCTCTGATCAACAACAGGGCACAGCGAAAAATCAGATCACGATGTGTTGAGCTGCGAACCATTTGGATTCGGGTCACAAGAGCGATTAGATGGAAGCGCAAACACCATAGTCAAATGTCACATTCTACTGCGGGTTCGCAATTGAGTAGCTCGGGTTTTTTTGTTATTTCTGCGTCGTTCATGAAGTTTCAGGATCAGAATGATCGCTTGGAAAAAATGCGTTGCAAATCTTTGTTGCGTGTTCGTTTAGATTTTCTTCAAAAGAGATTCAAAGTGGATCTGGTGGCAAAACCGCCTCAGCCACCGCCGCCTCCTTGCCAATTCTGGTTCATGTTGTTCATCATGTTCATATTTTGCATCGCAGCCAGGTAGTTGGTCGTGTTCTGCTGGTTCATCATACTGTTCATATTGTTCATGTTGCCCATCATCTGCTGCTGCTGATTAAGGTTCATCATATTATTACCATTACCGCCTCCATTGTTCTGCTGCATGGCAGCTGCTGCCATCTGCATCTGCATCGGGTTGTTGGTGGCTATGCTGGTAGACATGTTGCCATTCATGCTCATATTATTTCCCATCATGTTCATGCCGTTGCCGTTCATATTTTGCCCCATCATCATGTTGTTCTGGGCACCGGCCATCATGTTGTTTTGTGCGCCGCCGCCGCCGCCACCCAACATGTTATTCATTTGCACACCGCTGCCGGCGCTCCCAATGCCGGCACCCATATTGACGCTCTGGCCTCCCATCGTGATGCCCTGACCTGCGTTCATGTTGGTGAAGTTGTTCAAAACCTGCATGGCCTTCATCACCTCTTGCAAGTCCACTGGTTGCTGCTGCTGCTGCTGCATCTGTTGCTGCTGCTGTTGTTGCATGAAAGCTGCACCAGATTGCTGCTGCATGTTTACGTTGCCAGCCAGCTGTTGCTGCATAGCATTTGTCATTGCAGCCTGCTGCTGCGTTGATAATTGAGAGGATGTATTATTACCGGCGGCAGCAGCAGCTTCATCACTGCTGTTGTTCATGTTCGCATTACAGCTCTGCTGTGTGTCGTTGTTCCAAGAACCGAAGTTGCTCGCCATTGTTGCTGACATGGAAATTTTGTCGGCGCTCTCAGCTGCTCCAAAGGTGTTGCCGCCTTTGTTTCCGCTATTAAAAGATGATGATGAGCTACCTGTGAAACCGCCTTTCATGTTCATCCCTGCTGTTGTACCATTGCCGTAATTGCTCTTGCTGTTGAAAGAATCGCTGTTCATCCTCTGCACCTGCGAGCCCTTCCAAGCGGCACGCGGTTGCTGCTTGTTCTGTTGGTAGCCAGAACTAGAAGATGTAGCAGTTGCTCCAGATCCAGCAGTGGTTTGGTGGTTCCAGTTGTTCCAAGAACCGTTCGATGAGTTCCCCCCAGATGAAGATCCCTTCTGCTGTTGAGACTGCAAAAACTTATTGTACTGGGAGTAGAAATCGTCCTGCTTACTTCCGTCTTCCTCGTTGTTCTTTTCAGCAGAAGCAGATGCTGATGATGCTGCAGCTGCCGCACCACCGTGGTCTTCCGCCGCTTTCTGGTCTTGCTCCTGGAGGTCGTGGTTATTCGGGAAAAAGTTGCTTTTCTGGTTTTGCTTCCCACCCTTCATCTTGCTGCCGAAAGAGCCGTTACCAGAGAACCCAGCACTGTCGAATGATCCACCTTTGGAACCAGCACCGGCTCCACCGAAGCTGTTCATCTTATTGGCGCTTCCGAAAGAACCGTTCTGCTGGTCAACAAAGGCATTGTTCTTCTTTCCTTTTCCCTTGCCATTCTTCTTTCCAAACTCACCCTTATTTTTCGCGCCAAAGAACTGCGACTGATCTCCCCCAGCTTGAGCCCCAGCTTCTCCTTTGTAGCCGCCAGCACCTGCTCCAAGGGCGACCTCGTTCGGATTCCCCGTCGAGTTGTCTCCTCCTTCTGGATTGTTAGTGTCCTTACCGAACATCTTGCCACCCTTTTTCCCGCCGCCTTTCAGCATATTCTTCCCGTGCAGCCCCTTGTGGCCCTTTTTCCCACTCGCGTTGTGCTTCCCCCCCGCGCCGTGGTGGTTTCCGCCCTGTGCGATGATCACTTTCCTTTTCACGGTTTCCACGTCCATGAGAACCAAATCGTCAAACCCTTCCAAATCCGTCCAGTCGATCCAATGCCCGTCCTCATCCAGGTCTTCGATAACCCCCTCGGTGCCCTTCGGAACGATCCGCGGCACATTCGTCGTTTCCAGTTTTCGCCGTTTTTTCGGAGGGGCTCCTTCCTGCTGGACATCAGCTGCGTCCTCCGAAAAATCTTCTTCCTCCTCCTCCCCTCCTTCAAACTCTTCGTTTTCATGCGGGTACAAAATGTCCTTCGTCGCGAGAACGATGTCGCCGATCTTGAAGCCGTGCAGGAAATCTGCCTTCTTCTTTTCCAATTCCGTGAACAAAGGCCATTGGTCCTCTAGATGCTCTGCGGTCACGATGAAGCGGGGGAATTCGGCGACTTCGCGACCCTGCAAGTTCTCCTTCACCGTGCGATCGGGAAGAACTTCAACCAGGTTGACCTGTTGTGGGGGAAGAGATTTTAGGATATGCGGAGGTTCTTCATGGGGTATTCTTGGCGCAGACGATTTTGTCTTCAGACAGTAGCTATGGCTGCTCACGTTGGGCTTGGGCGAGTACTACAAAACTGCATGAGAAGAGGTTGATGTATTCGCAATCCAAAATCTACATGTAGTTTTCACTTAACATTGCTTCCCAAAAATACGGCAGGACCACTTGATGTTAATAATTTGAATTTCGAAAAGATAAAGAATCTGACGTCATCAAGTGAGTACCTGTCGACTGTGTGCGTTGTACTTGCTGACATTAGGGTTCGCGAAGGGGAACCGGTCGCGCAGGTACACTTTGATGTTCCCCGACGCGATCTCGTGGAAGAAATCCTGCAACTGGTTGTCTTGCCCATCTTGGTGCTCTACTTCTTCGGGAGCTTGTTGTTCGGACTTGGTCTCCGCAATTTGCTCGGCACCTTCTGTCGAGATGACCGTTTCATCGGCTTTATTTGGTCGTCCCACTGCAGCTCCTGACGTCGCGGTTGCACTCGTGACGTCCCCGTTCTCCTTTTGGTGCTCGTGCCCCGTTACAGCTGCCCTCGTGGCTGCAGGGAGAGGTTGATTCTCCGAGGTAGACGGAAGCCCATCCACTTCCATTTCAGCGTCGGGAACGTCAGCGTGTTCACCCTCGGCCGAGTGGCTGTGCTCAGCGTTAATATTATTGGCGAAAGGATTGGCCGGCGGAGGCAAGAAGTTCTTCATCTCGCCAAGAGTCACATCTGTCTGTACATCTACTTCGGGCCCCGCCTGTTCGTCCTGTGCAGAATCCTCTTGTTTCTGTCCGGCCTCGACACCAGCCCCGAGGGCCTCGTCCTGAGCGGCCGCCTCGAAGTCTACTTCCGCATCTGCAGTTCCACTTGCCTCCCCACCTGGCGCAATATTAGAACCTTTTGCAGATGATGAACTTTGCATTGTCGTTAAAAACCTGGCCAGCAAATCCTGCACCTTCGTATCTTCATCCACCGGCTCGTCGATGAACACCTCTTTTTCCGCATTCCCCCCGAAAAACGACCACTCCAACCGCCAGTGGATCTTCCCGGTCGTTTTGTCTACGAAGGAATTGTTCTTTTTCGCATGATCCAACCCGATATCGGCCAACAGCAACCGCGTCCGCCTTTTTTTCGCCTCGGCCACTAGCCCGGTGTCCCGGTAGAGAAATTGGTCTTTGATCTTCTTCTTTTTTTTCTTCTTCGCCTGTGTCGCCGTCATCGTCGGCTGGAGCTTCATCTTTTCTTCTAACGACTCCTTATTCCGGTAATCTCTCTCCAATTCGTCGTTCACATGGTCTAAGAAATGGTAGTCTTGCATTATCGTTTTGTCGTTCATCAGTTTCAAATTGGTCGCCTTGTCGTTGAACCTCGTTCTTTTTCCGCTGCACTTGAAAACCTGTTTGTGCTTGATACTGCACTTCAACGAACAGGTCTTCCGGTTGCAGCACGGGCAGGTGTATTTCCGGTGCTGCTCGCCTTTCTTCTGGCACACGGCGCAAGTGAGTGGGCAGTAGCCGTCGGTTTTATTTGATGGATCATCTTCACCATCTGCATTTTCTGCCTCGGTGGGAATTGTCACCTCCGGGCAGGCAGGCGCTGCGGCAAGGTCTTCTTGGTTCTCATCTTGACGATGGTGCTGTTGGTCGTTTTGTGCGTCTGGGGCCGCTTCAGCTTCTATTTTTTCTGCTGCATTTGAAGGTGGACCGGTCGTGGACGAGAGAGAGGGAAATATAGATGCGGTAGTCGTCGTGGTGGTTGGTGTGGGTTCGCCTACAGTGCTGGACGACGACGCGGCCGAGGTCGTGCTCGAGGATGCGGGGGTGTGGTCGGGGTCGTGGTGCTGTTCCTGTTGCGGCTGGTTGTTCTTTGCCGGGATGAAAGTGGTCTCGGAGACCACCTCGATTAATTGCTTCATTTTTGGTTTAAAAAAAGCAAAACAAATAAAGCAAATAGAAATAATCCGTACGAGTCGTGTTTTCGTGATGGCAATGGGTAAAGCAGTCCTAGAAGAGGTAAAACTGAAAAATGACCAATAAATTCATTAAAACGTCGTCGACAACTGTCTGGATCGAGAAGATGTAAAGGATTTGTCTAGCTTCAGTTGGATATACAGTCGTCTCTGGGGTGGCGTCCTGTTGAGCAACTGAAGGAAAAGAACGGCGATATAGTAAGGAGGTATGTGGTATTTTAGCACCGATCAGAAACACCTGGACCAAAACCATGCAGATCTGCATTTATCTGGGGAGGCCAAATTTCGTTTAGATCTTGATCGTCTCTACTCTCTCTTCGTTTGAGTTTGTCACATGGAGATCTTTTCCATCTTCGAATTCAAATTCATTTTCATCTTCCTCACGATAATGCATCTGGTGATTCAGGTTCCAGGAAACTTATTCGGAATAATCCTCAAGAACAACCGAATTGTTTTCACACGATGATCAAATTTTTTCCAGTGAAGTATGATAAAACAACCGATTCCGAATCCGATCCTCGCCTGATATTGTTGTCATGGCATCACAGTGGACGTAATGATCAAGATTTTGTTAGACTTCTGCCGTAGATACGGCGGAAGCGGATTTGCACGACCAATCGTGGATAATTGTACCTCTGCTGATACGAAAGGCATGTCACCAGCAACTGCATTTCTATCCTCCAGGCGTTGGTTTACAACCAAGAGTCAAATAAACGACGGTTTTGTATCTATCTTCCAATCACTGTCGCGCAATTATACATCAGTATCACTCGACGCGTGGCAGAATAAATGCTCATTGGTTACGCATTGCCACTCGATTTCCTCTTGTTGCTGTCCGATGTAGATGCACCTGCCCTTCGAGGAGCACTTGCAGTCATCCTCGTCCTCGGCTTCCACACCTTTGCACCGCTGTTCTGGTGGGAGTTGTACGAGCTCGGCTGCCCTAGGAGTTGACATTTTTCCCCGATCGTCGCGGGCTGCGATCCTTTCCGGATGGACATGTGTTTTGTCGTAGGCGCGCGGCAAGACACTACCTGTGTACCCATTCGTTGACCTCTGCGGCCACTTCCCGGTTTTCCAACGTTCGCCGAGAGTCTTCATTGCGCTCGACCAAATGTTGCTCACCTCCAGGACCGTGCCCTCGGATTCTGCCGCAAGGCCCGTACTCTCCGCGAGGTCCTCCGCCGCCAGCTCGCTGAAAAACTCCGCATCCGCAGCGATGTCCGCCGTAGATTTTTGTCCTTCACCAGCGTCGTACCCCGCCGCAAAGACCACGAACAGGTCGACGCACAGGAGGACGGAGGTCATCACCAGAGCGAACAGGAAGTCCGCGGTGAAATTCATTTTGATGTTGTTTTCTTGGAAGATAAGTACTGGTGTACGAAGATACTTTTTGCTGGAAAAACCACGTCGTTGAAACCGCTAGCAATTTACACCAACACCACAGCGTGGTCGTGTTGTTCTCCCCCTGCTGCAAGACAAAGTCTTCGTCTTAACAAGAAAAAAGCTTCGTTTCTAGTTTGCTCTATACATTTTCAATTCGATCGCGTTTTTGGATGAACATGAAATGTGGCAGTGAAACAACAAGTCGTCTTGTTTCTGTTGGTCCTGCGCGCCTAACCCAATTCATCGTAACTATTTCCACAAAATTAAAATGATGCTGGCGGAGGACACTTTCATGTCTACTACCTCTACGAATATCCAGATGCGCCTCACCATCGATCGTGCGGACCGAAAACATAGAAAGTGCCCTCATTAGGACATGATAATACACACGAAAATTCACGAAGACGACCCGTTGCACTCACGACTTACACTCTTCGTGTACCTTCTGTCAGTGACAGTTTCACGACTCAAAAGCACATCAGATGATCTTCCATGATCATCTATCTTTGTATCTCCGACCGATAGGCTAAGCGGATTTTTCACTAGAACTGAATTACGGAGCTGCAGGTAGCACTAGCTTCTCACGAGCGAACAACATCAAGCCACGAAACACATACACCTTTACGAAATTCATCACGATATTATTATTAATGCAGTTCTTGGTGTTGATCCCGATCCACGTTTCGGGAAACTTATTTGGGCTTATTCTCAACCGAAATGCTCTCGCCTTATAATCAATTTTTCTAAAGGAGTATGATTTTATTTTTCTAAATCAACCGATCATCCAATTATATATAGTGGACGCAGTGATCAAAGTTTGAACCTGCTGTCGCAGGTGATACGGGTGCACCACTTGCGGGCATCTCTGCTTGTGCTCGTCAGCAAGTGCATTTTCATTATCTTCCTGGTTACAACACATCCTCCGAAAATCTACGTCGCTCCTGTGCATGCAACACACTAGGGAAGATAGGATTTAGATTTATCATGCTGCAATATCACACACATTTTTGCCGCGTTTATCAAGCTTGACAAGCAATCTGATGGGTGTTTTATTACAATTCATTTTGATTTATTTAAGCTTGCGCATCAAGCTCGAGGCTGAGGGAAAGCGCAAGTGATTTGAACTCGCAACTCTTAACTTCGTTCTGGATCAACAAAGTTTCGTTAGAAGAGGCAAAAGAATAGTTTGACTTCGTCAAGAGCACGAAGAGGAGCATCTTTCACAACACATATTTTTGTCCGAAGAGCATTCGGCTCTAGCTGACGCCGCAACTGATAGTGAAACTGAAACTAGGACAAGAAGCAGATGAGGCATAAATGGTGACAAACAGCAGATGCTATACAAAAGAGAGTCCGTCACGAAGGTCATTTCAGTTTTGTAGTATATCGATTTCACTTGTTTGCGTCCGTGCACGAGATTTTATGTAATGAAAAGTGATCGGTCAGAACTTTTTTCGATGCACTGGGATCGGTGTCACATCACTGACGCCTCGGCGTCACCTGACACCGGCTCGTCCTCGTTGGCGCCCGAGGTCTCCACGCGGGACTTCAGATTCACCTTGTAGCACTTTCGAAAGGAGTTGATCCCGCACTGCACTCCCTTCTTCTTCGCTTCACACTTGTTGTTGACGCAGCTGCAGGAATTCCTGTGTGGCGACATCGAGAATCAAAGAAAGTGAATTACTTTTGATTTTTTGTGTACTTCGATACAAAAGCAAAACTAAAATGCAAGCACTCATCTTTTGGAAAAACATCAAACAACAGCCGAACAAGCTCCCAACTGATTCCCTCCTGTGTTGGAATCGAACGCAGCGTTTGTGTAACAATGAGAGTAAGTACTCGCTGCCCTCGTCTACACCGACGCATCCCATTCGTAAAAGTTGCTGCGCAGTAGTGCCGGCTGGTACAGCGACAGCCGGCTTCATTTGCAGGACCGTCTCTGCTATCATGTGCAAAACCAAAAGCATCGCATCCTTAGCAATCCAATCATGTGTGAAAAATCTCTGTCCCAAGCTACATCAGCTTGACGAATTCCATCTGTAATGCTGAGCCAATGTATACTGCAATTTCTACTACGTAGTACCACGATCCTCTTGCGATGCATATGATCTGCAGCTGTCCCATCCTCCGCGGCCGGCTCGCTGAAAAACTCCGCATCCGCCGCGATGTCCGCCGTAGATTTTTGTCCTTCACCAGCGTCGTACGCCGCCGCGAAAACCACGAACAGGTCGACGCACAGGAGGACGGAGGTCATCACCAGAGCGAACAGGAAGTCCGCGGTGAAATTCATTTTGATGTTGTTTTCTTGGAATGTACTAGAGCACGAAGATACTTTTCTCTGTAAAAGCTACGTCGTTGAAACCGCTAAAAATTTGCACCAACACCACAGCGTGGTCGTGTTGTTCTCCCCCCTGCTGCAAGACAAAGTCTTCGTCTTATTAAGAAAAAAGATTTGCTTCTAGTTTGCTCTATATATTTTCAATTCGATCGTGTTTTTGGATATGAAATGCGGCAGTGATACAACAAGTCGCCTTGTTTCTGTTGGTCCTCTTGCGAGCCTAACCCAATTCATCGTAACCATTCCCACGACAATTAAAATAATGCTGGCGGAGGACACCTGCATGTCTACTACCTCTACGAATATCCAGATGCGCCTCACCATCATGCGGACCGAAAACATAGAATGCGCCCTCAGTAGGACATGATAGTACACACGAAAATTCACGAAGACGACCCGTTGCACTCACGATTTACACTCTTCGTGTGTCTTCTGTCTTCAGTGACAGTTTCACGACTCAAAAGCACATCAGATGATCTTCTATCATCTTTCTATCTCCGACCGATATGCTGAGCGGATTTTACACTAGAACTGAATTAGAATTACGGAGCTGCAGGTAGCACTAGCTTCTCACGAGCGAACAACATCAAGCCACGATAAACATACAGCTTACGAAATTCTTGCAGGTACGACACATGTCATCCATGTGTAAATTCCGGCACAAAAAGCCAGTCGGTCCCGCGGCCGTCAATTGTGTTTGTGGCTGGTCAACATGCTATTGCTAACTTTGCTTCATATAGATTCTTGCTCAAATCTTCCCCGGCATTGAGACAGGTCCGTGTTCCCCACGACCCTCGCGGTGCAGCACCACTTCTGGTCTATGCAGTACATTCTCAACATTCAGGAGCTATCCCTATCCTATTTGTGCTGAGCGGGACTACTCACAACAGCGACAAGGTGGTGGGCAGAAAAAAAGGTGTTTTTCGTCCTCTCCCAAGAAGGTAAATAAAGTTTGTCTTTAAAAAGGAGGCTCCTAGTCTTGTGTGCATTGGCAAACTTCTCGGGGATATTGTAGCAAGCAGGTTCATGTCGTGTTTGATTCTATGTAGCGGCGATGATTCTATGCCTTTCTACTCGCATTGCGAGGAAAGTCCTTACGGTTTTATGTAGCATCAGGTGGGTACATTCCAAATTGATATTCATGCGCGGTGGCGTCGGTGGTGGCAGCTCCTGGAGCTGCGGCTTCTAAAAATGTATTTTGTCGTAGAGGTGTGGAGCTGCAGCTACAGTTGCATGTTTAAAAATTTTATCGCGGTAAATTATTTCAGGACGACAGCAGGCTGAAAAAGGATGTTTATCGAACTCAATCAAAGGGTAAGGAAGTGGAAAAACGAAAGAAACGTTAAAATAAGTTGGAAGTTATTTACTCAACGGTCACGAGGACCATCTACTTCTCAGTGGAGTTGCAGCAAGCTAGTAGCAGGTGCAGTAAAGACAAAGAGGCGGTCTTTTAAGTAAGTACTTTCATGATCGTCGATGAGGAAATACTAGAAGAGGTCATGGTGTGCTGTTGTTCTGTTCCCGGTGGGAGGTCAGGCAAAAATGGTAGTTCGACGCTGTTGATCAGCTTGAGCAGCGTACGGCAATTAGAAAATTTAAGTTAGAAGTGTTCAAAACTGTATTCTGATGAAGCTGCGGGCGAAAAATTGTAGGTTTGATGTGCTGTCGCGAGTTAAGTATTACCATCTTCTTCTCGGCGCAGGTGGCTGACAGTATTTATCCCTAGGTAGTATTTTGATTTTCCACATCAATTCATCGCTCTTGCGTAAATACAGCTACATTCTGTACAACCGCGAGTTGTAATTGACAAAACAGGGTCAAAACTGTTTCCGTTTGTCCTTGTTTCCGGGTTCAGCTGCCGTGACTTCCAAATGAAGATCCATGAACATCATTAGAAGGCACGACTGCGGCCCGAGGACGCGACCGGAGTGCTGGTTTCTAAATCGTAAATCGTAAAAAGTAGCAAAAGCGATGTTCTTCTTCTTCTCAGATCCGTTTACACTCTTTCATTTTCATCGAACTTTCTATGGGTTTTCTGCTAAATATGTTTGCTTTGTTTTGTCAGTCTAGTAAAATAAATTGTGCAAGCATGCAGGTGCGGCTCTTTCCGTCCTCCTTTGGCTTCCCATAGGAAGAGACAGGAAGACGGACAATGAGCTCGCATTAAGTTTCATCAAAACTGGGAAAGAAGATATATGCAAAACATAGCGACGGGGTGGACGACGTAAATTTGCGACTTCCGCGCTACTGTATCAACCAGAGAAGAACGCTATTTGCTCTTTATCTTCCCCACATTTTTTCCCTGGTACAACACCACGGACTCATCGTCCGTTTCTTCGCGGCTGTTGCTGTTCTGCAACTTGTTCTCTTTTGTTTGTTCCTCCTCTACTGGTGTACTTGCCGCGCTAGAGACCGCGGAATTGCTCCCAGAGGACTTGTCCGACGCGTGGGTCTCATCCGGGCTGGGGCAGGCGGAGCTGCTATTCCCGTCGTCTATGATCTCCGCTGCAGAAGAGTGCCGGTGCTGGATACTAGATTTGCGGCCCGATTTCGATGGCCTCTGCTGATCATGCGCTGTGCCTGTGCCGTCGCCATTTATCGTGTGGGTTCCTGGTCCTGTATGCAATACAAATTTCCCGTACAAGATGTACAAAATGCATGACAAATTTCGCTAGCTTGGAGTGTTAGACTTGTCATGCTGACTAAAGATGGAAGGCATGCTTGTCATGCAGAAACAGCATTTTTACCTGTACGGAAAATTTACTGTGGATATCCTCCGGACGAGGAGGGAAGGAGGACACCGGTTTTGGTTTTCGCACTGGACGCTGTTCCACCTTTTGCTGTTTGCTTCTCATTTTCTGCAACTCGTCCGGAAGAGGTTCTGCTGGAAGATGATCTCGCTGCAGCATTGTTCGCTGCCAGATGCAGCAGGTCAGGGAGCTTCCACAGGAAGAAGACTTGGCGGGGTATGGAAAGGAAATTTACGGTATAAAGTTTTGAATTCGTGTCACACTCACAGCGATTTGCATATTATGCATATGTACGCATGACAGATCCTTCATCCCATCCATAGGCACGCATGACAAATAGCCGGTCAATTACATGCGATCAAAATTTTCCGTCACTTTCCATAGCGTTCTCCTCCGGGATGTCCACGATGGCACCAGCGTTGTCGCGCAGGTTGACGGACTGAAAGTAGGTGAGGGGTTGGTTTGTCATGCAGATCCAACAACTGAAACCAAGACCAACTGGATCAAAAGAATACGAAAGTTTGTCATGCGAAAACGCAACAGAGCTGTTGCTCTTACTTCTAGACGTAAAGTATCTACTATACCTTCGGCTTGTAGATGAAGTAGCAATCGGTCCAATCGAGATCGTATTCCCTTTCCTCCTATCAACTGTAAAAATGTCTGGGTCTGGAAGATTTGCAGGTTTGTCATGCATATTTCGCATGGGCTATGATGCCTGTAATGCATGACCTAGCATGACAGATTTTTTGCGGGTATCGTGATGCCTATCCCGCATGAAAAATGCCCTCTCCGCGGAGCAAAAACTGGACGCCTCTTTCTGCTCATGCAATACAGATTTTCTTAGATTCCAAAAATAGCATCACAAGTTGCATTCTTCCAGACCCAGACATTTTTACAATCCATACCTCCCGTGGCTGCAGCATGTCGTCGCCTTCCTCTACCTATCCTGTGCAAAAGTATCGCACACACTCGTATTGCAGTGATGCATTACAACTTTTCTTTCAAAGGTAAATCAAGATTATAAATTTTGTTTGTCATGCTGAGGAAACTTGTAATGCATTTATACGAGTACGAATACGATACTTTTGCAGTTCATACCACTCGGTAGGCCGTCTTTCTCGCATCCGTGTATACGACGAAAAGTTCGGAGCTGATAGGTCGTCAATGATTACTTGAACTTGTCATGCGAGCACCACGCTAGCACAAAAAATTTCTCATGCGAAAAGCCTATACATATCAACAAAAATCAACCAATACTTCTTTGGATCGGGAAAGCCAAACTCCGCCGCCACCGTGTCCACGTACTTTGCTTTCCTCTCGTAGAGCTTGTAGCGGATTATTTTCCGGTGAAATGTTATATTTCCAGCAGCGTCGTGATACTCCACAACGAGCCATTTTGGAGCGCCTGGAGGTAGCGAGTTGGTTGTGAAAAATTGCTGATAGTACGATGCGCGCATCTTCACAGATTTTCCTGAAGATACTGATCAGTTGCAACATCTACCTTCTGTTGCAGCACAAGTTCCTATTTCATCAATGAATTGCACCTGAGCTGCATCCTTGCCCGCCACCATAGTCCGCTACGTCCTTCAAGTTGACGAGTGTGGGCTTATGCTACGAAAAAACCAAAGTGGTTGCGACTGCGTCGTCGAAGAGAAAGAGTCTGCTTACTGGAGTTGGTCTTGCAAGCCACGATCATTTTCGGTTGGTGTACTAGCATGATCCGCCTTCTTCACGATATGCAACCATGCAAATCATTTTCAAAATCTTAAATTATCGCGCATCACAAACTTTAACTTTTCCTCTTCACTTCGACGGCCACAACCGACCACGAAACCAAATATCTGAACCTTACTACTGCGCCGTCGCCTTGATCCTATACGGATGAAATGGATCGTCCACACCTGACTTGCCACCGCGTATGTTGTGCAGGTAGTTTATGCTGCTAGTGCTAGTACTACCCGCTGTGGAGCTAGAAGAGCCGCCCCGCTGCTCGTTTCTGCTCGATGATGACGACGAGCTGGTAGAAGAAGTACCAGTTTGCTGGTGCTGACCGCCAGAAGAAGAGCTAGATGTTCCAGCTTCCTCGTCCTGACTGCTTTTTATTGCTGTTGTACCATCCTCGTTTTCGTCCTCTTTATCGATCATCTCCTCACAGCGTGCTTTATGACCTGCTCAAACGTTACAATCTCAACCGTTGCAATAGAGTCTGGAATTTGTCTTGCATAATGAGCATGACAGACTCGCAGACCATTCCACTTTCTGCAATACAAATTTCGCCAGATTCCAGTGCGGTTTGGGACTCCAGAACCTGTCATGCGCAATCCTATGAGAGTTGGCTAGATAATGCACTTCTTGCAACACAAATTCCAGATTCTGTTGTAACGTTTGAGATTGTAACACCTGAGCAGGTTATATGCTTGTAATTCCTTTTCCTGCCGTTCCTTCTCCTCGGCGCGTTTTTTCTCGTCTAGTTCGAGCTGTTTTATCTTCGCGTTCATCTTTTCGATGACCTGTTCGTAGAAACTGCAAAGGATTTCGTTCACCAAAACGTGATTTCTCCCGTGGAAAAGAAACTCCATCAGGACCCAGTGCAGCTTGAATTCGTAGGAGGGGTCCGGGTTGTGCTGGATCTGCATCAGCATCTGGGTCAGGAACTCGACCTGCGTGTGGGCATTGAGGTTGGTTCTTTTTATATATTTTGGCATGTTGCATTATTTCCATTCCCCATGTTGACCATGGGACAAGAGGGAATCGGATGGCATCACCATCAATATGTAGGTTTGATGCATGACAAGTTACTATAGAAAAACTTCCTCTCACAACTTACCTGCAGCTTCGGGTATCTTTTGTAGTAGTCAAACAGCTCGTGAAGTCGTATCAAGAGGAAACACCTTCTTTGCGTCGAAACCAAATTTGTCATGCTATACGCGCAAGCGTTCGTAAAGGACCTACACCAGGAGTTAGTTTGTTACAGTAAGGTAGTGCCTTGTTTCTTCGCATGACAAATTTTCTGACTCCGCACAAAAAGCAGCTTCACTTGATACAAAACGGCCCTCCTCTGTCCCAGCAAATCCCCTTGATTTCCCAGATTCGACTGTAAAACTGCTTGGACAGCTGGATCATCCCCGTGGACTCATTCTCCTTCAGTGTGAGCGGTTTGTCCAGTATCCCACGAAAAAAGTGTTACAGTTACACACTTGCTGTAGTGTCAGCATCACAAATTTTCTCTGCATGACAGAGAAAACTTGCTGCAATGCAAAGATGATAGGGGAAAATACATAGGAAACGAGGCTTGAAAGCATTTCCTGCATGACAAAGGCTGTCTGTCTTGCCGGTCCTGCAACGCAATGTATAACTGTAACACTTTTTTCCTTGGATAGCCAGCTGCGGTTGGTCCCGGTACTTCAGCTGGCCGATGAAATCCGCCGAGGGGCGGGAGATGTTGGCGCCCATGGTCGCTCGTAGTGCGGTTGGGAGCACAGCCCTCGCTTGTTCTCAGAGAACAAGCGACTCTGCTTTATCCTGCGGAGCGGAAATAGATCGTTCGCTTGCTTTCCGGGGGTACTGGCACTAGTGAAGATTCGACGGGCTGTATCGGCTTCTTTAGCACGAAACAGAAAGGACGAAAATTCTCAGTCGTCACACGAAGGACGAGGAGGCTTCTTATGACTTTGCCATTATTGACGAGAACGACTGGGAGTTTCGGGTAATTAAAACTGAATGTTTGTGCTAGTCGTAGACGTCATCTCGTTTTCGTTGTGTCTAGCCGGCGGAGTGGTATTCTGTTCTCTTTTGTTGAGCAGCAACGTTACAGAAGTAATCGGGCTGATATCTAATGCACTGAGAACCACACAGACCAGACGTCAAACACGACAAGAATATATACAGAGTTTGTCTCTTTACAATGAGTATTTACTATACATTTAAGTTCGCTCAAAGCAACAAACATAAACTTTGTAAGATCCTACGGGTTTTTTTTTTTTCGTTTATTCTGATTCGTATTGGAAGACACGTTGATTACACACAGCGAACACATCAACAAGCAGAAAGCGTTCATCGTCTGGCACAACTCAATGGTAGCGCTTCTGGTTGCTCACGGCATGTCACCTGGCCGCGAGTATATGTTGCGGAAAGAAGGAGCAGCTTTCGTCATTCTGTAAGAAGTGGCTTGATAGTTGTCGCCTTAATGTCGATGCACAATTTGTGACTAGGTACAAGTGCAATCTGGTTGAGTTCGGTGAACATCAATTTATCATGTCGTCAGTACCTCCTTTCACTCTCTTGAGTTCAACTTCCGCCTTTCGCAGCTTTCTTCACCGCGAGATCACCGGCATACGCATTTAGATACCAATCTACGCCTTCCGCCTCGAGACTTCGAACTCCGTCTTCGTCTTTCTTCTCTGAAAACCGCCTCTCTTTGCTCATCGCCATGCCGGTTTCCTGACGGCAGAAGAGTTGAAACCAGGAACGACAGTTGGCGGTTCGAGCAAGCAGCTCTTCAATTTGTGGTTCGTATCCGGCATTTTTCATTTGCGCCACCACCTGCCCGTAGGATTTGCGCTTTTCATCTTTGGAAATGAATTGCTTCCGGACGACGTCTCCAAAGGAGGCGAGATCGCTGATTCGATACTGCGTCGGTTCTGCCATTGCACCTCGTGGTACCGGTGCCTTGGCCAATTCGTGCTTTTTCTGAGCCTGTGATTGTGTTCCTGCTCTCGACGAGGAAGAGACAGATGCGCTTGACCTGGAGATGCGAACTGACCACTTCTTCCTCCAGGTCTGAATGCCTCTTAGTATTACTTGCTCATACCTGTCTTGCGAGACCTTGACGCCGGTCTGCTCTGTCGCTCCCATTACCTTTCTCCATGCTGCTGCGCCGACGGCCTCGTAACCCAGTTTTCGACACAAGGCGTTCATCGAATCTTCGTAACCTCGGCGCTTCAGGGCGACGGCAACGTCCATGTACCGCATGGAATTGCCATTTCTTGGAAGTAGCGACGACCGCAGCAACTCTCCTAAGCTGTGCAGGCTGTTCAGAGGAGGCGCTTGTGCACCACTTGTAGTGCAGCTGGATGTGGAGGCCCTGCTAGGTTGCGCGTTTCTTTGCTGCACTCCGTCCCCGTCCTTGCGCCTTCGCTTTGCTGGGGGGTTGTCGTTCCCGAGATCTTCCAGCGTGTTTGCGAAGGAGCTCTGCCTCTGTCTCGCCTCCGCGGTATTTGTACTTTCGATTGATTCGTTGTTTTGCATTGGACTGGCACCACCCTTTATGCCACCGTTTGTGCGATCGCCAGCGTATCCATCATCACCGTTGCGGCGTCGTTTTCCGAATAAATTCATGTCCGCCCCTGCAGATCGTGCGGTTGCCGAATCTCCTTCCTCTGCCGCAGCAGAAATAGCTTCCCTTTTCACGCGGACGTACCATTCATTTCCCCGGAACGTCCTTTCGAGTTTTTTCGTGGCGTTTGCAAGCACATCGGACCACCGCCCGAGCCGAAGGGCTCTCATCTGTGACTCCAAGTCGGGGTATTTTAGTCTCATGTAACTGAGCAGCCGGGTGCAGTTGGCCCACCCGTCCTCGTCCGTCTCTTCACGCTGCTCGAATCCTAGCAATGCATAGCGGATTGCTTTCCGCAGATTTTGCTCCGATGTTATCGCTTGCGGCGCGGCACCAGGGATGATGGTATTCAGAGTGCTGGAGCTGCTGCTGCTGCTGCGGGTCATACCTGCTTCATCTTCCCTGCGCGACGAACGGGCGCTGCCATTCGTGAGAGCCTTCTGCAAGGAAGGAGCGCCGTTTGCGAGGGGAATGAGATCGCGTCGCCCTCTGCTGTTTTCTCCCGACGAAGATTGCCGCAGCAAGAAAAAGTGATCGCAGCCCTTAGTCCGGAGCTCGCGACTGGTCGTGGGGGAGCCACAGACGTGCACGATGCGGCCGTGTTCGCGCAGGCGCGAGGTGAGCGGGATAAAGTCGCCGTCGGCCGTGACTACAGCGATGGCCTGGATGTTCTGCCTGGTCACCAGGATCTCCATCGCGTCGATGGCCAGCGCCATGTCGGCCGCGTTCTTCCCCTTACTGTTGAAGGCAGACTTCTGCACCTGGTCCACGCCCGATCGCTCGCAGGCCTTCCGCCAGGGCTGCATGCCCTGTGCGTGAAAGTCCCCGTAGGCCTTCTGCACCAGAATCCGCCCGCTGAGGGAAAGCAGGTGGTCGGTTACCTGCCCGATCGAGTCCGGCCTTTGGTTTTCACAGTCGTAAAACACCGCCCACTGCAGGTTGTGTTGCTGGGAGCCGCTGTTGTTTCCACCCGCCTGGTGGTGCGCGTGCTGGTCGTGGGTTAAATTGCCGGTGTTCATCTTTTCCTTTTGGGTGTAAGTAGTTTTAGCGGGCGTCGAAAATCATCACAGGTGCCAGTTGCGCTGGTGCAAAGGCAAAGCTCTAGTATTCTGCGAAAATAAAAAAAGTAAAAGACACAACTACTTCCACTTCAAGATCTGCTGAAGTGGTCCGCTGGTACTGCTTCAATTACCTACTTCAAATACTACCTACTTCAAGATCTACTGAAATCTAACGTGGTCCGCTGGTACTACTATGTCTACACTACGCACATGAAAATCAAGTACTTACTATATAAATGATCACATAAAACTGTTGGAAACACTGAAAATCAGAGAATATATGACCACCATGTTGATCTTCGCTGTATCTGTTACGAACCTGAATAATCGCGACTCAACAGGAGCTGTGATCGCTTCTTTTTCGTTGAAGAACAACATCATAAAGATCAGGTACTAGAAGTACAAATCTGTCTCATTGAGTTTAACCTTATCAACGTACATCACGGTTTGCCGGGTTTTCATATTCATTGCAACGACCACATCTACATCAAAGATCTGTTGAAAACAATCACGGCGCGCAAAGCACAGCTGGGCAGAACAAAAAATAAAATCCATCTCGACGGCCCACAGCCATGGAGCACGCACGACACACAACTGATTTACTCAATATATAATCCCGCTAGCTGAATATGCTGAAATTATTACAAGCGCACCGTTTGCAAAGTACTCGTAAGTTCCTGTTGCATCGATCATATCGATTCAGAAAAAAAAGTCGCTTTGTCGTTCTAATACAGCCCAAGTCTCATAATCCGAGGGCTCCTTCGCCTCTCGAAACAATACTGCGATGGATCCAAGCGAGCACAAGCACTACTATTCAGTGCAAAAGTATCGGGCTTGTAGTCAGTCGTAGGCGTAGCAATTGCAATCATGCATCATAGATCTGGTTATTTCCTGGGTGAACACTTTCCACCACAAGCTCCATCTGTCGTGCTGAGAAGATTTTTTGTCATGCAAAGCGACTAGAACTAGTGCGACGCTTTTGCTATGCATAAGAACCACTACCGCGTGCCCAAGCCTGTCTCTTCCCGGGAAAAAAGTTGGAAGTACGTGGCGCAACCTGGCGTGCGGTGGAGCAAGGCCTGGATTTGCGGCTCTTACCCCGCACTCAGCATCTCCGTTACAACATCGGCAAAAGAGTTTGGCCGCTCGCCCTTGCGCGCGAAGTGTGTCCGCACGATCCTGCCGAGGGAGGCGAGATCCGAGATAGATTCAATAAAAGTAGCAGTAGTGCTGATGCTGTAGCTGCTGCTCCGCCTGTTGTAGCTGCTGCTCCGCCTGTTGTAGCTGCTGAGCCTGTGCTAGCTGCTGAGCCTGTGCTAGCTGCTGAGCCTGTGCTAGCTGCTGGGCCTGTGCTAGCTGCTGAGCCTGTGCTAGCTGCTGAGCCTGTGCTAGCTGCTGAGCCTGTAGCTGCTGAGTGTGTAGCTCCTGAGCCTGTGCTAGCTGCTGGACCTGTAGCTGCTGGGCCTGCGGCTGCTGGGCCTGTAGCCGCTGGGCCTGTGGCTGCTGGGCCTGTAGCTGCTGAGCCTGTGGCTGCTGAGCCTGTGGCTGCTGTTTGTAGACACTGCCGAGGGACGAGGTGAGATGATGATTCGAGATAGATTCAGAAGAAACTGCTTGTGGCAAGACTGGACGAACTGGCGGGCTGCTACTACTACTGTCAGCACCTGCAAGACGTTGCTGCAGTTCGTCGTGCCGCTCGCCAGGCCAGGTCCACTCCACCCGCCGGACGTGTGCGACTCTCCTGCCGGGACGACCGGAAGCCAGCACCTCCTCGAACTCGATTTTCATTCCTCGCGGCTTGGCGTTTTCGAGAAGGTTCTTCCAAGCGTCGGCGTTCTGCTTGCCTTTTTCCTCTGTCGTGATTGCGTTACGAGACGGATCAGCAATGCCATGCTGCCGGAGGAGGTTGTGAAAAGCCGTTTAGTATTGAGAGCAAATAAGTGTGGAGGGCCTCCTGCTGGAAGAGTGCAATAAATCTGTTTTGGTGCGGCGCATTTTGAATGAGGAATGTATCTGCCATGCATGAAGCAGATGAAGATCAAGCTGGAGAACCAGCAGTCTATCAGGCAAAAGCGCGATTGCATCTCGTGCTAGAATTCAGGAAAATCTGTCATGCTAGACTAGGTCCGGAAGTTCATATGTCATGGAGCGTGAGCGAAGCAGGTTGGCATTATCATTAAAAATTTCCAGACGCAGACGCAGACCCAGACACAGTTTGTTGCCATCACATACGTAGTGGATGTGGAGTTTTACTTTTTTCCGCAATACACCTACTACGTTCGGCCAATTGAGCCACTGCCCCGACACCGGCAGGACTTCAAGGAGAAGCACTTCTAATGCCATTGACGGACGAGAAGTTGAAGTTGTACTTGTAGCAAGGCCGGGGTTATTAAAATGTGCTCGTGGTGGTCCCTGCTCCTGGTGAAAGTTGTTGAAACTGGAATCATCCGAATCTTCACTCAGGCTGCAACTTGTGTTGCTCCGCACGGACGATGGCGAAGTAGGCTCATGATCAGATGCACTGGCTACCGCAGAAGCGTGATGCGTGGCCCCCGTGCGTCTCCGTTTCGCCTCTGGGTGGTCAGAAGTGGTCGCCTGATTATTGTCGCGCGACGATGACGTACTGCCGCTGCCAGAACTTGAGCTGCTACCAGCCGCGGCTGACTTGTCATCGTTTCGCTCTTTTGTGTGCAGACCGTAGCTGCCCGGACGAAGCAGATTACTCCTGTAGCCTTCAGCGCCTTCGTTTTCGGCCCGTCTTTTCATACTGCCGGCCACAACTGCGGCACTATCTGCTATTCCCAGACCTTTCTGCCAAGCTGCTGGAAAGTTGCCACCCGCGAGGGCGGCAGCGACCGTGCTCGCGTTTGTCTGGCTTTTCACTGACGCGCCCGCCGGAGGGCTATTCGAGCGTCGCAGCGGGAGAAAATAATCGCAGCCCCGGTTCTGCAGTTCTTTACTGGCATTCCCTGCGGCACAGACGTGGACGATGCGACCGTGTTCTCGCAGGCGGCAGGTAAGCGGAAGAAAGTCGCCGTCCGCGGTGACGATAGCAAAAGCCTGAATGCTTGGGTGCGTAAACGGAAGTTCAGTGGCGTCGATGGCCAGGGCCATGTCAGCCGCGTTTTTGGCTCGGCTGTTGAAGGGCGATTTCTGCACCAGGGCAACGCCCGACCGTTCGCAAGCCACCCGCCAGGAAAGCATTCCGTGCGTGTGAAAGTCCCCATACGCCCTCTGCAGTAAAATTCGCCCACCGAGAGATCGGATGTGGTCGTGCACCTGGTCAACGGAATTTGGTTGTTGGTTTTCGCAATCGTAAAACACAGCCCACTCGAGGTTCTTGCGCTGCTGTTGCTGCTGTTGCTGCTGTTGCTGCTGTTGCTGCTGTTGCTGCTGTTGCTGCTGTTGCTGCTGTTGCTGCTGTTGCTGCTGTTGCTGCTGTTGCTGCTGTTGCTGCTGTTGCTGCTGTTGCTGCTGTTGCTGCTGTTGCTGCTGTTGCTGCTGTAGTTCCCGCTGCTGTTGCTGCTGTAGTTCCCGCTGCTGTAGTTCCCGCTGCTGCTGTTGCTGCTGCTGTAGTTCCCGCTGCTGTAGTTCCCGCTGCTGTAGTTCCCGCTGCTGTTGTTCCAAAAGCTGTTCCCGCTGCTGTTCCCGGGGCTGTTCCCGGGGCTGTTCCCGGTGCTGTTCCCGGTGCTGTTCCCGGTGCTGTTCCCGGCGCTGTTCCCGGCGCTGTTCCCGGGGCTGTTCCCGGGGCTGCTGCTGTAAAGAATTACTGTTCGTCGACGTGTCACTTCCACCGCCACGTGAGGACGGCTGTCGGCGACCTCCGCCGTGGCCGAGGATATTGCCCATTTTTTTTTTAATTTCACATACAGCTTGAACCGCTCTCGTCGTGCAAGAGAAAAGGCAACCAAGAAGGTCTCTTCTCAATAGAGATAGCTCCAAAAAGATAAAAGAAAAAATGACCACAGAACAACAACTGTATCGCACAACTTTAGCAAGAGAGACGAGAGTCTGGTACTGGAACAAGAAGAGCTCACCCATGTGGCGGCTTGCACACATGATCGGGAAGAACACGTAGCAACAAAGTGCGGCACCACGTTGACAAAAGTGTCGTTCGCAAAGAGAAAGACCTCGAGTGGAATATCGTTGCGTCTTTCATTTCATTTTTGTCTTTCGAAAGGGTGTTGAAAATGATCTCGCTGGCACAAGGACGAATGAAGTTGTGTGTATCATGATTTTTCTTTCATCCCGCCAAGCCTTTCCTGCACCCAGGAGTATTTCCTCAACCATCTGTAGTCCAAGACCGGACCACTTTCGTCTTTGTCGCTAGTTGTACCGTGATTTTTCTCGTTAATATTACCATCCTTCTCTTTATTCTTCTGTCCCACCACCCCAGCCGTTGAGAACCCGCCTCTCATCTGGGCAAAATCTCGAATGTCCGCAACTTCAGAAACATCGCAGACCAGGTTTTCATCGTCATCTTCGTGTCCACCTGCTGTAATTCTAATTCCTCCTCCAATATCGCCATTTTGCATGACAGATTCCGCTTGATGTTCTTTCTCCAGCTGCTCTTTGAGTAATTTCGCAGCCAAATCCACACTACACTCCCCTTCGTCATCTTCCAAAAACGGATCCGCGCCGTACTTGAGAAACAAATCCGTCATTTCCTCGTTCGCACCGTCAATAGCGAACGTCAAGGGTCTGACTTTATCGTACTCACCACCAGTATTCACGTCTAAGATTGGTGCGTAGTCCTGCAGCAGTGCTTCTGTGAAACTATAGACTTGGTTGAGGAATTGTTTCGGGGTCTTCTGCTGCTCCACCTCGCAGCATCCGACCTTTATCCTGAGTAAAAACGTACCCACACCAGAGTTGTCATGCAAATCTGCATGCTTAAAACGTTTGTCGTGCGGAGCCCCATGAGAAGCATTTTCTAAGGGTGTTTTGAAATTTGTCATGCTCCAATCAGCATGAGAGACTAGATCTGTAATGCTGCTGAACTAGCTCAAAGAGCACTACACTACGCGTCCAAATTTGTCATGCGAAACAAGCAAAGTTGGCCGATTTGTCTAGCAGATTTTCCATCTTGACTCTGGTGTGGGTACGTTTTTACTCAGGATAACCTTCCCGCAGTCGTCAATGCTGTCCTTCTCTTCCTTGCAGCCTAGATGGGTATCCTGTGCAAAAGTATCGTAGTCGTACTAATTGCAGTATATGCATGACAAATCTTCTTTTCAAAGTAAAACAGCATGACAAATTCCATTTCTCATGCTGAGCAAATTTGTAATGCAATTTCAATTTGTACTAGTACGATACTTTTGCAGTTCATAGTGGGCGAGCCACAGCAAAATCGTCCACCCCTCTTCGGAGAAAAAAGTGTTGAGGTCGTTCGCGTCGAAGACGTATTTCACTGGTTTGAGGTTTTGCGGTTTAGCTTTGTTGTTGGGCTGGTTGGTGGTTCCGGATTTATGATTTCTTCTATCTGTAGAAGCGGCGGTAGCGCCCGGTGATTGAGCTTGTCTTCTCGACATTTCAGTACTGTCATCCTCGGATGTAGTGGCCGCATCTCCGTTTGTTCCATCTGAAGTAGAAGACGGACTGAAGCCCGATTCCAGCGCTTCGCTCGCGGTGTTTGAGGTTTTGGAAAACAACCCGTCCTGACCTTCCAAAATCTCCTTCAGCATCTTCCTTTCGAGAAACGCCGCCAGAATGTTCGCCGGCATAAACTTCTCCTCTAGTTGTGATTTTTCTTGAGCAACAGCTGGCGAAGTAGATGGTGAGGACGAGGAGTCGAGGGCATCAACTTCTGAGTTCATCAGTTCCTCTGGTCGTGTTGCAGCTTTCGCCTGCGCAGCTGTATAACGACCAGCACCTACTTTTGACTTCGCCAGCAGGGCCGCGAGCGTTTCGCTGTTTTGCGAAGAAGCTAATTCCTGTTGAATTTTTTGCAGCACCGCGTCGAAAGAGGCATCGAAGGTAGGCTGGTGTTCCGGAGAGCCAGCACGCCCTCCTGGGTTGCCGCTCGCCGCAGCTGATGTGGTGCTTCCCGAGATCATTCTTGTCGTGGTTCCAGTAGTTGGAATGAAGAGAAGTCGCGATGATGAAAAAGAAAACGTAGATCGTTTTATATGCGTACAATAAATGGAAAACAGGGACGAGGGGCCTACGCGCCTATACAACTCGTGCATCTAGTACACCGGGGAGAATAAACATCATGAGATCCTTTTTTCCTTTTGGCCTGGTCACATACAAATTTCTGGCAGCTGCTAGAAGAGGGAGCTATGGGGTCCTGTAAAAATTGTTGGAAGTAGATAGGAAAAGAAGTTGAAGGACAAGAAGTTGGTTGGTTTTAAGATGATAGATCACGTTGAAAGACAAGAAATAGATAGCGCTCCTCCTACTCCGCATCATCATCAAGATCCTGGATGATCGCCTTGTCAGTCGTGATCGTCGTCGTGAGTGCAATGATCTGCAATGCAGATCTAATGGATCTGACCAAGCCCTCTGCGGCAGGGTGACGTTCATCGAATCATGAGCAACACAGTCTTGTTCTCAAGACAAAGAATCTGAAGGACCCACATTTTTTGGGTCGTGCCATGCGTCCGCTTCCTGGGGATCGCTTTGATTTTTTCTTTTTTGTTTCACTTTCACCTCATGTTCGGATTTTCGAAACGCTTGTCAAAATTTTTCGAGGCTCAAAACTGGGAAACGGTGTCTGGTATGATGTGTTTTGATTTTTTTTGCTGAAGATTTTCATCCTAATCTGTGCAGGAAAAGCTTGATTTCTCCGGTATGAAGCTCTGTGCAGAAATTCGTGTACTCGCCATCAAAGTGATCACTGTATAAAGTTCGCGCATAAAACAGCCACCTAAACTCATCAACACGCGAGCCTCTTTTCCGTTCCTCATCCTCTTCACCACGCATTCGTGAGCCCGTAGTAGTTCAATTCTTTCCCGTCCCTGGATAACTTTCCATGAAACTTCTTTTTAAACTCTAGCCAGTGCTGCTTCCACTCTCTTTCCAAAACCGGTATCTGCATCTCCGAGGCGTCTGCGAAGGAGATAGTTTTCTGTAGTTGCGACACACCATCAGAATCTGTTTCGTTGTCCGTAGGGTCACCCCATGATGAGCTGTTTTTATTCATCCCACCTTGATCCAGGAGCTTCTTGCTCGTCGTCGTGGTGCTATTTCCTTTCTTGTTCTTATTACCTGATATGTCAAAGGGGTTGAAGGAAACAAGAGCGGAGGACGAAGATGGTAAAGCATTTGCTTGCACTGTAGCTCTGGAAGTCGAAGAAGCAGCTGAAGCGGATGAGGATCTTCCATTCAACCCCACAGCACCACCCGCTGCAGAACTAGAACTGCTACTCGAAGAGCTCCCACCCCCAACTGTTGTTGAGCTCCCGTTACTCCTTCCAGAGTCACGGTTTAGTACGGTGCTACTACACGAGGGAAACAAGTTCCGGCCTTGCAGCTGCTGCGCGGTAGGTGCAGTTGGGTCGAGAGTCCCACTGGATCTAGTTGACGAGGACCCACCTCGTCCCGTGCTCGATGTTCCTGATGCGCGGAGATCCTCTTGTATTGCAAGAAGCTCCTGTGCTGCTGGTCCTCCTTTCAGCTGCGCAATGGCATCACAAGCTGCTGCTGCAGTACAACAATTTCTCGCCGGCGGCTCGTACAAATCGTCTAACATAATGTAGTTTTGAATCACCTTGACATTCTTCGAATTCATTCCAGCACTAGACGAAGCTAGTACCCCAGCACTGGTCCTCGGCTTCTCACCCCCACTCACCTTCGCGGCCTGCACCAACTCCTCCCCGAGTAGAAACAATGCCGCACAGATGCTCTCCGCCCCCTCCTGCGGGGACCGCGTCGCTTCGCCACTTCCTAACCTTGTTCGGCACCACCCGGGGCACACCGCTGTAATGGAGAATTCCTCCAGGTGCTCAAACCACTCCGCCATCAACTGGACTCCCCGGTTGAGCAGCGCTAGGCTGAGTTTATACGCTCCCGCGAAATACGTCTTCTGGCGTATCAGAAGGAAGAATCCCCCCTCGTCCCCATATCGAGACGAAGTTTCTGATGCTGGATCTCCGTACACAAATGCGCGCTGTCTTGCGATACGGCTTTCCAGCCAGATCCTCAGCCTAGGGCGGGGCGTTTGGGTCTAGTTGCTTAGCATTACAAACGGCTGCCCTCTGGGCCCAACAGCATGCCAAACTTCCATAATGGCGCAGAAGCCTCTGCACTTGTCTTCATGCAAGACAGACGTGATTTGTGGTCTCAAATCAGCAAGACAAATTTTCGGAAACATGCCTTTTCGAGAGGGGAAGCGGGGATTTTTCTTCTCAATATGGCGGTTGTCCGGGAGAAAGGCAAACTCCCGCGCATATTTGTTGATCAAATATGCATTGCAAAAGCGTCGCGCTCGTAGTAATTGCAATCATGCATTACAAATGTTCTCCTCAACGTGAATCCGCATTACAAATCTTATTTGCCATGCTGGGAAAATTTGTAATGCATTTTATATACGAGTACGAGACTTTTGCACTGCATATCAAATCCGACACGGCGAAAACCGGTGGCCGGAACCGGTTACGGCGGTAAGTACCTTCGAAGTCGTTGTATTCGCCGCGTAGAATTGAGGTGTGACTCACGCCATCGTCAGGCGAGGGAAAGTATAAATTGCAAAAGTATCTGTATCGTACTAGTATGAATTGCAATACAAATTGGCCCTGCGTTACAAATGGAATTCGTCATGCTGATTTGCCTTAAGAAAAAGATTTGTCATGCATAAATGCAATTACTACGAGTATGAGCACGATACTTTTGCAATGCATAGAAACACGGTGTTCACGCCCGTGGTGCAGAACTTCGGCATGACCAGTTTCTCCTGGATGCCAGTTTCGAGCAAATACTGCATCGGCCTTTCGGGCGGGAACAGGGCTTCCTTCGTGTACGTGTACTTAGTGAAATGCGAAGAACCAAAAAAGTCACCGCCTCCGTCGTCAAGCGGGACGCGCTATCGCAAGGAAAAATCCCTCCTCCCCGTTACTGAAAAGACACACTTCGGAAAATTTGTGATGCTGATTTGCGGACACAAATCGCCTGCGTATTGCAAGAAGGCAAAGCCAGATACTGCGCCGGGTTTTGCGGGCAATTTGTAATGCTGTACGGCGTGCAGAAGATGAGTCCCCCTTGCGAGGCGCCAACACCAAAAAGGCCCAGCCCCGGCCTTGTATCTGCGCGCAGTCCTCTACTGCAAGACAAAGCTGATTTGTGTACACAAATCCTGCAACACAGATTTTCAATTGGATATGGGGAGGGGGAGTTTTTCCTTTCAATACGCGCACAGACTTATTCGCGTTTATCCGGGGTCCGCCCATAGGGTCGTCAAAATGGAAGTATGAGGAATTTGCGCCGTAGAAGGTGACAGCCTTGCTGTTCTTGACTCCTTTTTTGTTCTTCATTTTTTCCTTCTCTTGTCTTTCTTTCAGTGACCTTCGCCAAGTCTCCTCTCGTATGCATTGCAAAAGTATCGTACTAGTAGAGGAAGAGGTCGCATTACAAATTTGCTCAGCGTGAGAAATGGAATTTGTCATGCTGATTTACTTTGAGCAAAAGACTTGTCATGCATAACTGCAATCAGTACGAGTGCGATACTTTTGCACAGGATATCTCGCTCGCTTTCCTCGGTCCCCTTTCGCGCCGTGGTACCGTCGATGTTGCGAATATCGCCCATGCAACCCTTATCCGCCCACTTCATCATGTCGCGCCGATTTTGCGACTTTCTCTGGGCGGCCGTAAGCTCTGTAGTTTTTTTGGTCGAAGTAGATGTTGAACAAACTGGAGCTCCTGGTGCGGCTGCTGTTGCAGCTTTCAGGCTGAGGTTTTTCTTCATCGCAGTAGTCTTGATCTTCTTGTTTTTGTCCGCTCCTGCTGCGGAAGTAGGATTGTTCCCGACGTGATTTTTGTCAACCTCGGATTCGGAAAAGTCGTCGTTTGATGAGGAAGAAAAGTCAGATGAAAACGCACTCGAGGACGACGAGATCGGTTCATCTTCTGGCCTCTTCTTGTTTTTTTCATGTCGACGACCGGCTGGTACTACCTTGTTGCCAGTAAAAAAATCAAACATAAACTCGTCGTCCGAACAGTCACTGATTGTGTCGGGAGGAAAATGGTTTGAATCTTCGAGCAGCCACAAATCTGAAGAAGTAGAAGAGCTCGTCTTTCGGATTTTTTTGTTTAAAAGAGATCATGATGAAACTGCAAAAGTAGAGTCGTTCACTTTTCTGACAAAAGCTCTGCTTCACGCAAGAAGCATTTGACGTGATCCAAACCTGTTTTCCCTCCGATAGCTTTCCTTCAAATGTTCATCGTAGTCGTACCAAGTGCAGCACTTCGGCTGCGGTGTCGGCCTGACAAGGTTGTTGCTCGGTAGTAAACAACGTGCGGAGATTATCCAAGGGAAAAGTGTTACAGTTACACATTTGTAGTGAATTCAGCAACACAAATTTCTCTGCATGAGAGAGAAAACTTGTAATGCAGAAATCCTACGGGAAAGCACCCATGAAACGAGGCTCCTATGCATATCCGGCATGACAAAGCTTGTCTGTCTTGCTTGGCCTGCAACACAATGTGTAACTGTAACAATTTTTTCTTGTGATAGAGATCGGGACAAATTTTTCAACGTTCAATTCGTTTGGATTCGTTGCGGTCGTTGTGGTATCCTGTGCAAAAGCATCGTACTTGTACTGCAGTCATGCATTACAAATCTTTCTCTTAAGAAAAATCAGCATTACAAATTCTATCTCTCACGCTGAGGAAATTTGTAATGCATTTATACGAGTACGATACTTTTGCCATTCATATGCGGCAGAAGATCCAAGTAGCGTTGTCGTAGCTGTGTTTGCAGGTATTTTATTGCTGCTTTTCTTTTTGCCCACCGCCGCCGCGACCGGTGCAGCTGCACCAGCGGACGACTTCGATGCGGTCTTCTCGTTCTCCTTTTTCGACGAAACACTGGCATTGCTAGAGGTTGAGCCGCTGGCTTTTTTGCCCATCACCAGCTTCGGACTGCTCGCATTGGAACCACTTCCAGCTGCTATTCCGGTGATCCCATGACAAAGTTCGTTGTTCACTAGTTTCGCCCCACCCGTGCTGGTCAAGCAGTTTGTCGGCACCGGGAGCCGACTGGTCAAGAGCAAGTCTTGCGTCCTTTTTCCCAAAAATGCCCCGAGAACGCTGTCGTTATTGTCGTCTGGTAGTTGAAAGGGTAGAGACAATAGCTGCCGCCGGTACGCCACCGTGCTTTCCTGCAGCTGGCCAAACCCGCCTGAGACACAAACGACCTGAAAGGAGTGGGCGCGGTGAGAAACCGTCGGCCGCGCGACGGCGTGGGGGTAGGTTAATAACGGGGGCTTCACATCAGTCGGATAAGATCCTCCTTCGCTTGCACTATCGTCGTCTAACTCGATGATTTTCGCTTTCTTGTTGCTGGTGCAACTAGAAACTTTATTTCCCTTCCCTGCCACCACTTTTGCCTTAGCTTTCGCAGCAGCAGCTCCTACTTCCGGGGCCTTGCTCTTCTTCCCTGCAGCTGTGCCAGTTTTCTTGATCGAAGCGTCTGCTTTCCGGACCGGGAGGACCTTTGATGCTGATGCACCAGAAGACGTTGTTCCTGGTGCTTTCTTGCTGTTGTTCTTCTTCGCCTGCTTTTGTTTCTCCTCCGGCGAAAGCAGGTATCAAATGCAAAAGTGTCTGGGTCTGGAAGGTTGCCAGGTTTGTCATGCATATTTTGCATGACTCAGTATGTCTGTAATGCATGATCTAGCATCGCATATCTTTAGAGGTCTTCCTGATGCCTATCCCGCATTACAAATGCCCTTCCCGCGTAGCATAGACTCCTGGGCTCCTCTTGCTGGTCACGCAATACAGATTTTTTTCGCGTCCAAAACTAGCATCACAAGTTCCAACCTTCCAGACCCAGACATTTTTGCAATGCATAGCAGGGCGGAAGTTACCATCTTCTGCTTCATCTTGGTGCGCATTTTCGGAGAATTTTCATATCCTGTGCAAAAGTATCGCACTCGTATTGCAATGATGCATTACAAATGTTTTTCTTGAGGTAAATTCGCATTACAAATTTTATTTCTCATGCTGAGGAGATTTGTAATGCATTTATACGAGTACGATACTTTTGCAGTTCATAGTTCAACATCGGCGCTAGTATCGTTACCTTGCTCGTCCGGCGCAAATAGACCGTGACTGGCTCCCGCACTTGTGGTTGTAGTTTTCATTTTGCTGCTCGTCATTTTTGATGACGTAGAAGTAGTTGCAACTCCATTTATATAATTGTGGCCCAAAAAAAGCTCGTCACTCGCCACTTCTTCCATCTGAACGGTGTGTTATGAGGGTGCACAAGTCCCCCTCCCCCTCATTTGTAATGCGAAAAAAACAAACCCACGAGTTGCCTCTTGGCACTGTTCGCATGACAAGTTTCGGCAGCCCAAGTACTTGTTAGCACCACTACAATCTTGTGCAAAGTTGTCATGCAAAACCTGCATTCTTGTTGACGCTTAGGCTTATATTGCTGTTTGTGCCATACAAATGAAGAGGGGGACGAGGAATTGTGCACTCTCATATGTGCGCCGGTTCGAACAATAGCTCCAAAATCCTCTCCGTCAAATCCAAGTGCCCCACGCAGTTTACCAGCAACTGCTTTTCGCAGGCCTCTATGCATTGCAAAAGTATCCTCGTACTCGTACCGTAGTAATCGTAGTCATGCACCAGCATTACAAAATTCTTTATCAAGTCAAATCCGCATTACAAATTCCATTTTTCGCGCTGAGGAAATTTGTCGTACGATTTATAGTATACTAGTACAAAATACTTTTGCAATGCATAGCCTCCGCCGTCCATTTGTCAATCAACACTCCCGCGTTGTTGATCAGGAAGAAATCCGCAGAGCCGAGAATGTTGTTTGTCAGGAAGTGCTATGAACTGCAAAAGTATCGTACTCGTATAAATGGAAGTCTTGCATCACAAATCTTGTTCCCAAGGCAAATCAGCATTACAAATTTCATTTCTCATGCTGAGGAAACTTCTGATGCATTTATACGAGTACGATACTTTTGCACAGCATAAGTGCTCTTCCGCGGTCATTTCCTGTTTATTCCGCCCGAAGCTTACGCCTTGCAAATAATCTACTTCCCCATTCCGTGCCAAACTGGCTTGCCTTTCCTCCCGCTCCCGCGCTTCTTTGTACTCCCGTACCATCAGGGAAGCCGCTCGTTTCGGCGGTTTCAGCGGAATGCCGGCGTCTATCAATAGGTTTTCGCGCCGGATTTGCTCCGCGGCGGAGATTTTGTTTGCTTTGCTGCTTGTCGTTGTTCCAAAATTGATCACGGCTTTTGCGCCCCTTCCCGGGTTCAGTTTGTTCAGGCTCTTGTTGTTTACAGAAGACGAAGTGGATTTCGATTTGTCTTGCTGTTTGCAGCTCAAGAACGAAGTGCTCGTTCCTGTTTCCTCCCTGTTACTGTTTTGTTCCCCTTTCATCGGCTTGTTCCTTTCATCGTCCCGCACGATGCCCAAGACGGTATCCCGCGCAAAGCGGTACTTCTCGAGCTGCATTTTGTCAAACGCCAAGGCATATGCTGTGCAAAAGTATCGTACTCGTAGTAATCGCAGTTATGCATTTACAAATCTCCAACATCCCAAGGCAAAACAGCATGACAAATTCCATTTGTCGCGCTGAGCTAATTTGTATTGCAATTACTACTAAGTAGTACGATACTTTTGCAGTTCATAAGGCCATCTCGTAAATATCCTCCGTCTGTAGCAAATGCCGCAAGAACGGCGTGCTGTATGCAAAGAAAAAAGTAGTGTTACAGTTACACATTGTGTTGCAGGAGCCGCAAGAGAGACAACTTTTGTCGTGCAGGAAATGCTTGCGAGCCTCGTTTCCTACGTATTTTCCCTTTATGATCTTTGCATTACAAGTTCTGTCTGCCACACACAGAAAATTTGTGATGCAGAAACTCCAAGCAAATGTGTAACTGTAACACTTTTTTCTGGTGATATGCTGTCGACCGACCTCAACAGTGGTCCCTTGATCTGCGCACTCCGCGAGGACCGGTTAGCAGGACTTCTTTCCACACGAAATCCGCCCGGCTCCCACTGGCGGTCGATAAAGTCCGCCTCGTCTTCGCTGTCAAAGCATTCCATGTCCATATCGTAATCTTCCTTCATCTATGAAGTGTAAAAGTGTCTGGGTCTGGAAGATTCTGAATTTTGTCATGCATGTTTTGCATGACGCAGGATGTCTGTAGTGCACGACCGCGCATCACAGATTTTGAGAGGGCTTCCTGATGCCTATTCCGCATGACAAACGCCCTCCCCGCGTAGCACAAACTAGACTCCTCTTGCTGGTCATGCAATACAGATTTTTCTAGACTCCAAAGTTAGCATCACAAGTTCCGATCTTCCACACCCAGACATTTTTGCATTTGATATCATCCGCTGCTTCAAATCGTTGTAATCCTTGTGCTATCCTGTGCAAAAGTATCGCGCTCGTAGTAATCGCAGTCATGCATTACAAGTTTCTTTCTCAAGTTAAATCCGCATTACAGATTATTATTTCTCATGCTGAGGAAATTTATCGTGCGATTTATACCAGTACGATGCTTTTGCATTTGATATGTACAAGCGGTGCTTTTTGTAGTCCCAGCGATTCCGGTCCACTTCAAAGGTCAGTCGCTCCAGGTTAAAGAACTGCTTCCCGAGGAACGTGACGAAATCGCTTCGCTTATCCTGAGCAAAAACGTCCCCGCCCCAGCGTTGTCATGCAAAGAGGGATGCCAAAAAAGTTTCTCATGCGGAGCCCCATGAGAGCCATTCTCTAGTCGCGTTTTGGGATTTGTGATGCTAGAATCAGCGCGATGTACTAGATCTGTGATGCTTCGCAACTAGCTAAAGAGGATTACACTACGAGGACAGGCTTGTCATGCGAGATGACCAAAGCTGTCTGATTTGTCTAGCAGATTTCCCATCTTGACTCCGGTGTGGGGACGTTTTTACTCAGGATATCGCTGCTTTGCGTCGGTGATGTCCAACACGAACCGCATAAACCGGTGAGATTGGAGGTCCTCGGGGGTCAGGGACTCGGCTTTCAGGAGCTTTTTTTCGCAGTGTATCCACAGTAAATTTCCCGTACACATTCATCCAGGCACTGTTTCATCTGCATGGCAAAACGTGCATTCAATCTTACTCGGCATGTTGACAGGTGTGACACTACAAGGTAGCGAAGATTGTCATGCATTTCGTACGTCGTGTGTCTGTGTGCGTGCGGGAAATTTGTATTGCGTACAGTGCACCCCGTCTTCCTCGGTGAGGGTTGTGACGATGATGCGGTCAAAAATGGGCACGTTAGAAAGCTTCACCGGCTTGTCCTTCCCGCAGTCTTCCCCGCAGCAGGGGCAGGGAGGTTTGGTTTTCTTGTTCTTACCCGTTGGGGAGGCTCCTGCGGAGGGGGATTTTGCGGACATGTCTTCTTCCGAAGATTCGGAGGAGGAGAGCATGCTCGGACTGGAAGGTGGACCACTAGGAGAGGAGCTTCTCTGGGATGAAGGGGATTTGTCTAGCGACAATTGAGATTTTCGTTTGCGCGCCGCCTTGCTAGAACCCAGTCGTGCCGGGGTCGGAGGTTCGTTTGCGGCTTTTTTCGCTTTCTTCTCGCCCTGCTGAACCTTATCATTCATCCCGTCGGAGGACGCAGCGGAAAGTCGACTCACAGTTGTGATCCGCTCGTTGTCAGACACAGACTCGGGGGCCTTCTCATTCATCTTCCTTTTCTTTGTAGAAGCTGCCCCAGCGGCTCCGCCGATGGAACGAGTGCTAGAAGTAGCCACACCAGCTGCTTGCAGTTGCGGGCCTTTATTCATCTTCGCCAACTTCGATAGTTCCTTGGCTCCGTGGCCCTTCTTCTTCAAGGCGTGACTTCCTTGTACCAGAAGGTCGTCGTCCTCGTCATTCGCGTTTACCTATCCACAGAAAAAAAAACCATCCCCATTCATTCTTTGCAAGACGAATCATGCAGGCTCTATTTCAACATACGTATTTTTTTGCATGACAAATTGGACGAGGGAAATGGTTTTTTTTTCCGTGGGATATGACCATATCGGCATCCAGCAGCTCAACATCCAACATATCCACGTCTTCCTCTTCAATCGCGCTCAAGTGTTCATCTTCAAAAACGAGCTGCTCTTCCCCCGCTGCAGACGAAAAAGCTGCTTCTATTTCAACATCCCCGCCTCTCCTTGGCACCACCTGCTTCACTTTTTGCTCCAGCTCATCCTCGGTATACCGTGCTTCCAACAGGTAGGAAACCAGCTCAAAGCCGATTCCCCGGGTTCCGCTCGTGACGATTGCGACTTTTGGGTGATATTTCGTAACCGGGGCATCGTAGGTGGAAGCGGGGGGAGGTGGAGGGAACGTTGCGGCTGGTGTAGCCGCTGCTGCGTTCGGCTGCGAAGCAGCCACTGCCATCTTCTTTACCATGACAATGTCGTGCTAAGACAGTTTAGTGGAGAACATTGTTTGCATGAGAGCAGTGAGCAGGCCTAAAGAATAAAGAAGTATCTACTTCAAGGACACAAAGATTGATGAAAGCGAGTACATAGGGTTAGAAGCTCGTTGTAGAAGTCGCCGGGCGTAGAAAGTCATACTGTAATTTGTGGTTGTTGTGGACTTATGCTACAGAATAGCGGGGTAGATGAAATTTGTACTGCTATTGTAGACGTAGACACTGCGTGAGGGTTGACTTACACTCTGTATGAGAGCAAGAAATGCGCAACGAATTATTTGCACATAACCGCTTGGTTTCCTAAAAAATCGATAATGGTCAAAACACATTCCTACACTCGGTAAAGCTAGATGGAGTAGTTGAGCCTCTTGTTACCAGCGGCTTCCAGCACTCATACTGCTAAACTGTTCTTTACAAACACTTTCATAATCATATCGCAAACCGACACCAGAAACAACTTGTTTGAGGTTGATCATCTGACGTCAGATGACACACATTTTCACAGGTATCACCTCCTTCAAGACTGACGTTCTGTTCTGACTTCATGTTTTGGCAAAAGCGACATCTTCAAGTTCTTGAGCTTGACCGACGTTGAAAATTAACAGACTTCCCTCGTGTATGGCTGGAATGCACGTGAGAACGAGACCCGCTTGCGGTTATGTAGCCAAGCGGATTATATGTAGTAACCCACGAACAAACATTCCCCTATAATCCTCAAGGGATCTCGTCGTCCTTGCACTGATCTCCACAGTACGCTACCGCGTCGGAGAGGAAGCTAATTGTTCTTTTTGTCAATTTTTCTCAATATCAAACCTAATTTTCAACAGACGACTGCCGTTTCATCTTACTTCCAATTTCAATCTACCGGTTTTATTGTTCGCGGTTCCAATCTTTCTTCTGTATTCTTTGAAGTCTAGTCACCGACGGTATTCGATCCCTGTATCGTCCTCTTCCTCGACCGCCTCAACAAGAATCACAACCATATCCCTACTTCTCCACCCGGTCGTCGTGGCTGTAAAATTGAAATCCTGTAGTTTCATCCTTTGGCAGTGTTCTAAAAGCTATTGAGATATTTATTTCCCTTTACGTTGTACAACATTTTTTTTGTCAAAAGCAAATAAAGGTGTATAGATCATGCCGAACCGCCTCCCGAGGAGCAAGTCTGACAGAGACAGACGCAGACCTTTTCCCGGCATTAATTTCTCCTCAACAGAAAAATCAACATTCGCGACGTGCATTTTTTGTACAAGAAGAAGATTGTATTTTCAGGTAGAGATGATACCGATGAAAATGAGAGATAATCATCAAAATTTTTTCTTTCAATTCACGCAAATTGAAATTGCTTCTGAGAGAACCACTCTGAGTAGCTTGTCGTTGTCCCAGGGGTTCTCGGCCTGTAGCTGTAGTGTTAGCAGTGTAGTAGACAGGCGGTACATATTCGACCTGACAGCACGAAACTGCAGGAGTTATCTTCATCCGCACGACGTTCACGTTGTTACGTACGCAAAAGAGATGTTGAATAGCGACATTGTTCTACTCGAGTAGAAGCTGCAAGGAATCGTTCCTGATGTAATCCTGTGTAGATGTTGGTCCAAACGGATTGACTTCCTCAACTCCGCTCCGCACCAAACATGGTCCTACATTTCTACTTTGTTCCTGACCTCCTTTTAGAAATGAAGCTCCGGTCCTCGCCAGCGCCGGGCCACGGGTTGCAAGTGCTGCCGAATTTGTTTTTGGACCAGGGAGGAGGAGGAAGTTTTTGCTGCATCATCTCCTGTGCCGGTTGCTGTAGTTTTTGCTGGGTCGATGTAGTAGATTTTCCGCAAATACTGCATCGTTTTCGGCACGTCATTATCCTGTGCAAAAGTATCGCACTCGTAGTAATCGCAGTCATGCATTACAAGTCTCCATCCCAACCCCAAGGCAAAACAGCATGACAAATTCCATTTTTCGCCATGCTGAGCTAATTTGTATAATTGCAATTACCAGCAGTGCGATGCTTTTGCATTGCATAGTCATAGACCTCCTCCAACTTTTTCGCTTTCGACGCCACCAAAGCCGGCGCAGCAGTCGTCGATTCCTCCAGAAGCTCCTCGTCTGCCTTGCCGTCTCCGCCACCGCATCCTCCTGGACAGATCTTGCTCAACAGAGACTGGCTGCTCTTGGTCGCCTGCGACAGTTGCATGTTTTCATTCTGCACGTCCTGGCAAGAGACCTCGTGGGCGGGCTTGTCATCTTTGTCTTTTCCTCCAAACAAGTCCTCGCGAAAATCTTCTTCCCGGTCGACGAGTATGCATTGCAAATGTGTAGTCTTGGTCTGGAAACTTGTGATGCTAAAGTATGGACGAGCCTGGTGCTTTCAAGCGTTGTTGAAAAGCATGACAAGTTCAGATGACACGATCCTCACCCTCTGATTCGTAGCACGCATGACAAACTACGTTTGTGTTACATGACAAAAAAGTGTCGCGGCCACTGCTGGCTATGCAATACAAAGTTTTCAGGAAAAATCCAAATGCAACCCATGCAACACAAGTTTCATCACTTCTCCAGACCCAGCAGATATATTTGCACTGGATAGCGAAGCTCTCTTTGCGGCTTTCCGTTGCGGCGGGACAGACATCCTGTGCAAAACTATCGCACTCGTAGGGTAGTTGTAATCGCAGTCATGCATTACACATCTTTTTCTTTATGGTAAATGTAAATCCGCATTACAGATTTTATTTTTGATGCTGAGAAAATTTGTAATGCATTTATACGAGTACGATACTTTTGCAATTCATAACAGACCCCGGGTTTCCAGCAGTCGGGGCAGATCTGGCAGGTGGGCCAACGCCGATCGTTGACCGAGATCTTCTTGTCTTTGTGGTTCTTCCATCCACAGAAAATATCATTTTCCCGCACACGTATATCAAATGTGGCTTCCGCATGAGAAACTTTCCCATTCCCTTCCGATCTCTGCAGTGTGACATGTTGTAAAAACTTCTTCTAAAATGTTTTTGGTGAAATTTGTGATGCATTTTGTAGCACGTGTGCGGGAAATCAAAATCTTTATTGCATATCGTCTTGCTGGCGGGATCGTCGTGCCCGTTGTTCCGTACGAAATCCTCATCCTCCGCAAAGTCGCATTCCCGCTGCGTCGACTCCTTCGCAATGCGGGTGGATACCAGATTGTGGAACTGCCACAGGGCGACAGGAAAAACCGTACTCGCATCTGCCGCCGAAGAAGTAGAAGTAGCAGTTGCAGCAGAAACTACGTTTTGCAGGAAGGGCCTGCCTATCAAATGCAAAAGTATCGTACTCGTAGTAATCGCAATTATGCATTACAAATCTGGTTCCCAAGGAAAATCAGCATGACAAATTCCATTTGTCATGCTGAGAGAATTTGTATTGCGATTACTACTAGAACTAGTACGATACTTTTGCAGTGCGTACTGCCCTGCTCGATGTAGTGGGTCCGGCACTGCGCGCACAGCATCCAGTATAACCCGCTCACGTGTTACAATCTCAAGCGTTACAATAGAACATGGCAATCTGTGATGCAAGAGTGCATTATCTAGCCAACTCTCATAGGATTGCGCATGACAAGATCCGGAGCCCCAAAGCCCACCACAATCTGGCGAAATTTGTATTGCAGAAAGTGGAACGATCTGCGAGTCTGTCATGCTCATCATGAAAGAAAAGTCTCAGACTCTATTGTAACGTTTGAGATTGTAACACCTGAGCGGGTTATATCCAGTGCTCCATGATTTTGTCCATGAATTCGAACGCCACAGTTGGGTCCCCGACATTGTGCGCGACCAGGTGATATGAACTGCGAAATTATCGCACTAGTATGAGTTGCATTACAAATTTGCTCAGCATGACATATGGAATTTGTCATGCTGTTTTGCCTTGGGATGGAGATTTGTAATGCATACTTAAACGCAATTAGTACGAGCACGATACTTTTGCAATGCATAGGTGAAACACCGCCCACAGCATGCTCGTCTGGCTGAGGCCAAACCGCGGGGATTTGGCCTTTTCTCCCCGCTTCCCGTCGGCCGTTTCGCCCCGGATTTTCAGGTGTAAGTCCTTTTTCAGCAGCTTCAGGCACTCGTGGGCACCGCCGGAAGAAGTAGGTGAAGAGGCTGCAATGGTTGCTGGCGCAGCAGCGCTGCCAGAAGAGGCCGTCTCAAAAGCAGCAGCGCTTGTTTCCGTTTTTATCTGCTCATCTGACGTCGAAGTATCAAAGTCTTGCTCTGTGCACTCCGGCCTTCGCAGAATTGTCGGCAAGGTCGTGTTCAAACTGTTCAGGAGGGACAAAAGATCCGCTTGCGCATCTTCAGTTCCACTGCTCTCCTCCGAAGATACTTGTGCAGATTCCGCACTGTCCGCGGTGAAACTCAGGTTCGAAAATTCCTGTTCCCGACGATCCTTCTTCTGGTGTTTCTTCTGCAGCCGCGTCTGCACGAAGGACGAGGAAGACACATCCCCCCGCCTGTTCATCGCATCCCCGCCCGGAATGATCCCGCCGCCAAAGTCGAGCGACGAGGGCTGCGACAGGTGTAGTTTAGCGTGGTCCGGAGGGCTTGTGGTCAGGAAAACGGTCGCACTGCTGCCAGAGGTAGAGGTCTTCTGCGATAATTGCTCCGCACTGCTTTCTCCGCTTGCAGTAGAGCTTCTCGTGGCCCCGCCAAGGGTCGCAGCTTGTCCTGCTGGGTCCTGCGCTTTCTGAAACGCGTCGGCTTTCCGTGCCAACTCCGTCATGACCGCGAGGACCTGCAGGTACGCTTGCTGCTTTTCCAGAGCGGTGTTGTCGCCGGCAATTGCGAGTTCGAACCCGTCCGACAAGAAGAACAGCAGCGACAGCAGGGTCTCCTGGGCCAGCCGCGCCGGACTGCGGATGGTGATCGTGGGGTGCGCTTTCAGCTCCCTCTCCTGCGTATCAAATGTAAAAATGTCTGGGTCTGGAAGGTTGCCAAGTTTGTCATGCATATTTTGCATGACTCAGGATGTCTGTAATGCATGATCTAGCATCACATATTTCTGGAGGCCTTTCTGATGCCTATCCCGCAAGACAAATGCCCTCCCCGCGTAGCACAAACTGGGCGCCTCTTGCTGGTCATGCAATACAGATTTTTTTAGAGTCCAAAGTTAGCATCACAAGTTGCATTCTTCCAGACTCAGACAACATTTTTACATTTGATACTGCGATCGGATCATGGACAACCGCTTCTCCTCTGGCGGGGTCAGCTTCCCGTGCGAGCCAGCGTATGAGAGTGCACAACTCCGCCTCCAACCCCTCATTCGTATTGCATGAACAGCAATACAAGCGCCATCACACGTGGAGCCTACGCATGACAAACTCATGCAGTTCTAGCAAAGTACTGTTTGGGCCCCTTCCGGAATTTGTCATGCAGACAGTGCCACAGGAGGGAAACGCTTGGATTTGGGGTTTTGCATGACATCAAATGAGGGGAAGGGGAAGTAGTTGTGCACTGTCATACAGCGAGCAGCCCAACCACGTCTGTGTACACCGCCCATCCGTCCTTGAATGGTTTGCCCGTGATGTAGGTTTGCAGAAAATTCTCGTCGTTTGTGGAGGGATGTGCATTGCAAAAGTATCGCACCAGTAAAAATCGCATGACAAATTCACTCAGCATGAGAAATGGAGTTTGTCACGCTGTTTCACTTTGGGATCGAGATTTGTACTAATGCATGGCTGCGATTACTACGAGTACGATACTTTGTTTTGCACAGGATAAGGGAGTTCGGAGAGAGAGATAATTCACGCCGACGGCCTCCAGGTTTCCGCGAATCACCGCCGGGATAGATTTGCCACCCATGACCTGGAAATGAGAATGTGAATGACATAAAGATGATTTTTCTGTACTAGTACCAGTTCCTCAGTATGTACTGTATTCGTATTGATCATGCATACCGAAACCGATCATGGAGGACAGTGACAAAGCATCGCTGTCATGCAATGAAAAAATCATGACCTTCAACAAAAAAAAAAAAACACAAGTACGTAGCTGTAGGCAGCGAGCCAGTTGGCGACATGGTCCCCACTCCGAAAGGTCGCGCCCTCCAACATGAACTGCAGTGGATCTTCAAAGCCTCCTCGTGGTACCGGTTGCACGCTTATGGATTGCAAATATGTCTGGGTCTGGAAGATCGCAACTTGTCATGCTAAATCCGAATCATGCAAAAATTTGTGTTGCATGCGTGCCAAAAGCTGTCCACTTTCGACCAAGTTGGGCGGGAGTTTCCCATGCAGGATAGGCATGGCAGAGACCTCAGAGAGTCTGTCGCGCTAGAATCCGCATTCCAGACCTCATGGGTCATGGAAAACCCGCATGACAAGTTTACAGTCTTCCAGACCCAGGCATTTTTGCACGTGATAACACTCATTTCAGTGCAGTTCCCGTCGCTGCCACCGAACGTTTTCTGCCAGATGTAGCCCGCCGCGGCGGCGAGCTCGCCTATCAGATGCAAAAGTGTCTGGGTCTGGAAAGTTGGAGCTTGTGATGCGAGCTTTGGACTCTACATAAAATCTGTATTGCATGAAAAGCACAAGAGGCGCAATTTGTGCTACGCGGCGGGGGCATTTCTCATCCGGTAGAAGCATCAGAGAGCCCTCGAAGAATCTCTGATGCTAGGGCATGCATCACAGACCTCACGGGTCATGCAAAATCTGCATGACAAACTCCTGCATTCTTCCAGACCCAGACACTTTTGCAGTTGATATCGCCGGTTTCGAAGCACGAGAGGTTCCCGTTTGCAACCTCGGGGAAAAACAGGTAGAACGTCGGGAACGATTGGATGGTATAGGGGGCCGCCGTGCACTATGGATGTGTCAGAGTTGAAATCGACAAAGTTGAAATAATTTGCCATGCATAAAATGGATGCCAGCTGGAACCCAGTTTCCAAGTGGCGCATGACAAATTTCGGCGGTCCCTAAATCCAGTCTGTCATGCTGTTTAGGCAAAGAAGAGCGATTTTCTGATGCTACTTTAGCAGCTCGAGCTGTAACCCCAAACAGGCTTACAATCGGCCTCACTTGCCTGCTCTGCAACACACGCGCCTCGGCTCATGCATTTTATGCATTACAGATTATTTCAACTTTGACGATTTCAAACCTGACGCTTCCATATGCACATGCTTTCGAAGCAGGTGGAGTCCGCGCAGTCCATCGCGATGGGAGTATGGAAAAGAGGAGGAGAAACGTAGGTGTCATCGTCTGGAGTTCGTGGTAGGTATATAGTTGGGAGTGGTGAAGCTGTCACGCTGCATAACATGTCAGATTGTAGTTCTAGTTGTATCTAGCGCGGGCGGTCGCTCCGCGACCGCCGGAGAGGTATGGAGTAGACAAGAAAGCGATGGGCCCGATTTCCTAGTAGGAAGGGGAGGGGAGGGGGCGAGAACCCTACAGGCGTAGGGCGTTTCCGGGCGCCTGCTGGGTCCCCTAGATAAGAACAAAGGCGTGCCAGCGGCCAGCCCCAGGCCCCAGGAGCAGCAGTGGTCCGGGACACAGAAAGAACAGACACCTGTGACCATGACCCCACCCTGGGAGGGGGCGGGCCGTTCGGGATGTTCCCAATTTGCGAGCACCCCCCCAAGTTGCGAGCCTTACGGGCGGCTGCTCGTCATTCCAGTTACGCCCCCAAGGCGGTGGGGCTGCAAAACAAAGAAGCACTCGCCCGCCCACGTCTGCGCCCCCTTTTCCCGGGAACGAGCGCCACGTCCCGCGCTACCACAAAGGCACGGGTTGCTCGGCGCTAGGTCCTCCACAGGGGGCAAGGGAAGCCAGCAGCGCGGGCGAGCTCCTTGGCGGAAGCTCGGGGCGAACCGGCCCGCGAGGCAGTTTTCTACTAGTAAGCTTTCTCCTAGTAAACTCTCTACTAGTAGCCTTACTAGTAGAATTTTTGCTCGCCTGTCCCGTTAAATTTACTAGTAACGTTTTTTACTAGTAAGAATTTGCGGATTTTTGTTACTAGTAAAGATTTTACTAGTAGAAATCGGGCCATGCGTCAATCGCATTTCTTGCCGTGTAGTATATAGGGTATTGTTACTGTGCTTTCGAAGCAGGTGGAGTCCGCGCAGTCCATCGCGACGGGAGTATGGAAAAGAGGGGGAGAAAGCGGTTAGAGCTGGAAGGGTCGCTAATGTGAAGCCTTCCGGGTCTCGTGCGGTACTTGCAAAGTATACGGAAAGTAGGTGCGTAAATTGGCAGCGAATTGCGTTGATTCTCCATCTGCCAAAGCAAGATGGAAGAAATCAGACCAGATGCGCAGCGACTGCGTGCGGCCCGCCGGAGGACCATTCCGGACCGGGATGGGGGCCGGAAAGGAAGAGAGAGGGGGGTGGGAAGCTGGCGGGAAGGCGGAGGGCCTATAGGGGGGGCCGGGAAGGGGGCGGCGGCCCGGAAGGGTGGCCCGGATGCCGGCCTTTTCGGTACAGCGGAACGGGCCCTCTGCCTCGCCTGTCTCCCCCGGGAGTCCGCGCACTTTTTTCCGAGGGCGTGGAGGCCCCCCAATTTGTCTCCCGGAGGAGCCGGAATCCGCCCGGTGCTGGCGCGAGGGCGCATGGTATGGCCCGCGTCCGCAGATGTTGCCGCGGACAGCTTTTTGGGCACCAATTGGAGGCTTACCCGCCCGCTATGGTGGGCCGGAGGCCTCCCAAAAACGGGTCCGGGGTGCAGATAGGGGGGGTCCAGCGGGACTTCAGCGGGACTTGGTTTCTGAAGCGGCTCGCCCGAGCTAAAATGGCCGATTTTCCGACCAGAAAAACGGTCGGCCATCCAAGTCCCGCCAAAGTCCCGCTGGACCCCCCCTATGGTGGGGTCCATGCGAGCAGGTGGAGTCCGCGCAGTCCATCGCGACGGGAGTATGGAAAAGAGGGCGAGAAAGCGGGTGTCATTCGTCTTGAGTTCTTCGTAGATGAAATTAGAGTGGGGCGGAAGTAGACAATATTAACGCTGCATAACATGTTGACAGATTATTTTTGTTAGTGTGCTCTGTACAAATCTTGCTTAGTGCCCTTACAAAGAACTAGAGTCAAACAACTACTCCCCACAGGAAGTACAAGTAGACCATGACAAAGTGCATCAACGAGTCGCGCGTCAACATGCAAACTGCCTCACTTCAATTCTACTCGGCACGATGACTGAAGTAAATTTTCCAATTTTGATAAATCAACACTTTCTTCGCCACCAACTTGGACACCAAGTCCGCGGCGTGCGAAATAACGGGCATCATGTGCTGACAGTGTGGACACCAGGAGGCGTAGAAGTTGACGAGGAGCAGGAGATCGTTCGCCTGGAGAGTGTGTGGTTTAGGTTTTCTAATTTCATCGTAGGAGGTGTACTAAGTAGGCACTAAATGATGACTTTTTGTGCGCGGCGACTCGGCATGCCTAGATGAGATCAAAAACAGCACCAAGAGGAAGAGCTATCAGCTATACTTTCGCAAAGGCCTTGATCTTCCGAAATTCGGGATATGGTGGGAAAACTTTCGAGTCAATGGAGCGGAATTTGTCTTTGTCATGCACCATAACTGGGCCATGCGCATTTAGATGCTAAATGTCAAGTACAACAACTTTGCTCATCCCACCTTGCAGACTTGACGACTTTAATGTTCTACAGACCTTATCTCGTGACGTAATTAGAAGTAGATGAACTGCAGCAGTTCATCTCCTTCAATCTTCAAGCATGAGATTCCTCTCCCGACTCCAGAAAGCCTTTATGTTCCAGCATACACACGGTGTCGGTGTGATCACGTGGGAAAACGCGCCTTTTGCTTCCAACATCTTGAACGTGACAATTGTATCCAGTAGAAAAAAATATGAATCATCTGTACGCGAAAACGACATTTTTGCCCAGTATCTCCGATGAAGATACTTCTTTTTGTTTATTCCCGATACGTACCTTGTTCTCGTTCTGGACGAACATCAGAATGACAACAATTTTCTACCTCTGTGTCAAAATTTGTATTGCGTTTTTTCGTACAGGATTATAAACAAATTTTCCATTGCATATTCCCCACTGCAATCTGTGACCGGCTGGTCCTTCACCACCTGGTTCGCCCGGTCATCGGTTGGACAGTTCTCCTTCTGATCTTCTTCGCTTTCCGTGCTACTTCCAGAAGAAGCACCCGCACTTCCGCCCGTCCCAGCACTGTCCGCCGGCAATACGTGCGTTTCCGTGTACCCGATAGCGCCACTAGCCCCGAGTTGGATCAAAACGTTGTTCCCGTGACGCCCGCTGTTTTCCTCTTTTGCGGCCTTGCTCTCGGTGGTGTATTGGTGACGGTGGTGGTTTGAAGATGCTCCTCCGGTGGTGCGAAAGGAAGACGAGGCGGGGGCGTCGTCCTTGCTGCTGCTCCTATCCAGCCCGCTGATGCTGTTCTCATCCCGAAGCAACTGGTGTAACGATTCGGCGGACGCAAAAATGTATCCTGTGCAAAAGTAATATCGCACTCGTTGTAGTAATTGCTGTCATGATGACACACGACAAATCTCCTACTTTTCAAGTACAAGTAGGTGAATTATCAGCATGACAAATTCATCCAGCTGTCACGCTCTAATGGTAATGCGATTTACAATTACTGCAGCTGTGTGAGTGTGCGATAGTACTTTTACAATTCATAAAAAGAAGGAAATTGCAGTCTTGTTTGGGAGGTGGAGGTCCGACTGCAACTCTGCCAGCAGTGCACCTGCTAGACAGAACAGAAGGGAACGCAGGCTGTGAGCCGTCATTTGGGTCGCTTCGGTTCAGGAGTTGTTACTCATCGAAAGAAAAAAAACAGTTGCTGGCGCTCGGGTTCGTTTGGGCCAGCTGCATTTGAATTTATTATATACCGCAGTCTAGTATCGATTGCTATCGCACGAACTACAGCTGCGAAGCCATGTATCATTGTCTGCGCGTCTCGAGGAGCAAAGTCGTCTACAGCTCGTTCTAATCTTACAATGGTTACACACACGACGACGACCCGATAAGCGATGTCACCGATGACTAGCTACGATGAAGATCCCAATTCCGGCACTATCAGACAGGAAAACTTCGTCTCTCATCAATTACGCACACGGCTTCAATTTTTTTTTTTACGGATCGTTAACTACGAGAGAGAGGCGTTGACCTTTTGATGAAACTAAGACGCCCAAGCTCAGTCACAATCACACCAAGAGCGCGCTATACGAAGAACAACCGCGAGCCGTTTCGTTCGACGACGACGCCTCGTTTTTGTCGTAGGCTTCACACTCGCTTTCTGGCGATAACGAGCACGGGCCGACCCTGCGTCGCGACCTGCCGGCGCCCTGGCCTCGAGTTTCGCCTTACACCGCCCAGGCACATCTGCAGGCATCGCAATTCATCTTCACGGCGCCAACACGAGCGGGGCGCGCGATGCAACCAAGCCTAGTTACCGTTGGTCCGGCCCGGCTCCATAGGTCTGACAATTTGACTCTACCGGCCAGCCAGTGGGGCACCGCGCCGGACATCAATCCGGAACTAACTTGATAGGCACATTTAATGAGTTAGGTCATCTCCAGAATACTAAGTAATTCAAATTTTTGGAAGTGAGGTGCTGTCCGCAATTCAAGTCGTAAGAGGCATTTAGATTTTGGTATAGTGGTCGCCGCACGGGCAAAATCTTCCAGGATCGGTAGCTTAGGCGCTGGCTGTTGAGCAAACTCATTTAACAGTGTCAGCAAGATGAAGGTCAAAGACGTGTGCTCGGACGTGCTTTGGCTTTGCGTTGAACTAATATTCCTGTGCATGTGGCTATCTGAACAAGACCAAGCGTGGTTCGTGTCATGGTGAGACATGAGTGTCAATGTCTGGGAAGCAGTACGCGTCTTTCTGGGAGTGGACGGAGACGACCACCACGTGTATTATTGGCGTTTACTCGAAAGCCACAGAGTTGTTGCACGGAGAGCAGGACGAGCACGCGGGAGGCCTACTAGTTTTCACAAAACATCTGTTTCCACTTCCTCACTCCCCCGGGTTAAAAACGTACGGGGACAAATTTGTCAGCAGCGTCGTATTCCGCTCCAACTCCCGTTCGTAGATCTTAATTCTGGCCGGTCCACACTCCCGCTGATCCTCCATCAATTCCAGCAAGGTTTGCAACCGCTTGTGGAACTATGAATTGCAAAAGTGTCTGGGACTGGAAGATTGCAACTTGTAGTGCTGTCTTTGGATTCCAAAAAAATCTGTATTGCACGACCAGCAACAGGACTCCAGTTTCTGTTACGTGGAGAGGGCATTTCTCATGCGGTAGAGGTATCACAAAGCCCTGTGAAAATCTGTGATGCTTTGGCACGCATCACAGACATCGTGGCTCATGGAAAATATGCATGACAAATCTAGAAATCTTCCAGAACCAGACACTTTTGCATTTGATAGGAACACCGAGTCGGCGATTGCGCGGGACTGGGCAGCGTAGAACTCCAGTTGCTCTGCGTGGTGGAGTATGCTTTGCAAAAGCATCGCGCTCGTACTGTCGCTACTCGTAGTCATGCATGAGAATGTCGTGTTTGGAAATTAGCTCAGCATTTTTACGTATTCCATATCGTCTAATGCTGATGAAATAATTATGTCATGCGGTTTCATGATCTACTAGTAGCTCTAGTACGATATTTTTGCTGGTGCAGAGGATATGGGGGTCCAGGTGGTCCAGGGAGCAAGACGTGCTCGAGCTACCAATGTCGTGTTTTGAACTCCCGCCTCCGAAGCTCCCGAAGTGCGAACTGCCGTCGCCCGCGGATGGACCGGGAAATTCGGCACTGTAACTGTGGTCGATGTGGTGATGGTGCCGGATTTCGCCGGATTGCGCTTTCAGGTACTCTTCAATTTGAAACCGGACCAGCATTGTTTTCAAATGTATCCTTCGTAAAAACTACACCGAACATGAAGATGAGGACTGTTGACGTTGTTCGACGTCGCAAATGCAAATCATTATCATACATGATGATGATTTGATGAGCTTGTCTTTTACTTTTGTTCAAGCTCCAGCATGCGTTTGTGCAACACAAACAGACACCCCCTCTTCATGGTAGTGATTTTACGATAGGTAAATTTCACCAAATGTTCCTCCCTGGATCTTCCCGTCCGGATGATTAACCGAGCGGGCAGCTCCTCTTGCTGTAATTCCTGCTGCTGAGAAGATGAAGAAGTTGCTGCAGGAACACCTCCCCCGTTGTAATTCAGTGCGGTAGTAGTTTTCGAGACAACAGGCCGTAGTGAAGCGGAACCGTCGTTAGAGGAGGCACTAGAGGCAGCAGCAGGAACAGATGATCCTGGTGCACCTGCACCTCCAGGCTGTGAGTAAAACAGGAAATTCTTGCTCGTAGTCTTCCCGCTTCCAGCCGCCCGCTCTTCCGACAATACCTCTTCCTCTTTCTCCTCTACCACCATTGGCGTGTGCCCCAAGGTCCGCGCCTCAACCGAAGACATGTGCGGATTCTGGTTCCCGCCGACCCGTACGTGTGCGCAGGAGGACGCTACGACCGCGGTTTGTGCTTGTTCCGCTGCTCCAGTCGTTTCCGCAGGGGCGGACTTGTGTCTTCCCGTGGATGAGCCAGAGGAGTTCGAAGTGCGGCTGCGCTGCCGTGTGATTTCAAACTCATTCTGTCCACCATGATCCGCTGGTCCACTAAGAACACCGGCACTTGTTGCGCTACTACCTCCACCTTCTGTAGCTGATGTCAGAGTTGTCGCAGCTACGCCTCCGCTCCCGACCGGAGGGGCCGACAAGCTGGTTCGCTTTTTATTCTTGTTGTCCTGCAGTCGCTGCATCTTCCGCGCGCTTTGGTGGGCGTGCGCCATGGCCCGGAGGTACTGTATCCGCGACTGATTCGATAAGGATGACGCGTGACTACTTAATGAGGAGCTGGAGATCGTTCGCTTCAACATCGGGTTGGTTTTTTTCGCAGTACTATCTCCTACACCACTGTTCATCGAGGCCGCACTGCCGGGTGTCAGACTCTGCTGGTTCTGCGCGGCCAGTAAGCCGCCGGAGGTGCTGACGCCGGTCGTGGGGAGGTTGCTGGAGCTTTTGGAGCTGGCGTTGGCGAAGTGTTTACTCATTTTCAGTCGCTGCGCTACGTTGTTCGCGAAAAGCTGCAAAGGGGCCTCCAGGTGTTTCTTCCGGGGCTCGGGATTGTTCATGACAGCCGCTGCGGCGGCGGCAGCGGCCAGGGTCGTTGCGCCGTTCGGGGTGGCGCTATTGCTTCTGCTGCTAAGAACTTGAAGATCGCCAGCACCGGTGCTCTGCGGTGTCACGTTTGCCGCGTGAAGACCTGCTGATGATCCACCCGCCCCCGCATTCAGCAATTGCGCACCACCGGGTACTATCAAGTGTAAAAGTGTCTGGGTCTGGAAGAATGCAACTTGTCATGCTAAATCTGAAGCATGCAAAAATCTGTGTTGCATGATTGCCAAAAGTCGTCCAGTTTTGACCAAGTTGGGAGGAGCTTTCTCATGCACGATAGGCATGGGAGAGATCGCGCAGAATCTGTCGCGCTAGGTCCTGCATTCCAGACCTCATGGGTCATGGAAAAGCTGCATGACAAATCGCGCACTCTTCCAGACCCAGACATTTTTACATTTGATAGGTACCTTCAGATGCTTCATCACGTTCGGTGCACTGGCGTACCTAACCCCGCTAGAGTTGTTCATGTCGTCCAAGCCTGGAATCATGTTGTGCCCCGAAGATGTTGACCCGGCGCTACTAACCTCGCTGTGCCTGCGACTGCGGTTTTGCAGCGGGGTTTTCAGGATATTGGAAGACGATGAGTTGTTGATTGGCTCATGATATGAATTGCAAAAGTATCGCACTCGTATAAATGCATTACAAATTTCCTCAGCGTGAGAAATAAAATTTGTTAGAGCTGGAAGGGCCGTTAATTTTAAGCCTTCCGGTTGTCGTGCGGCACTTGCAAACTTGCGAAAAGTCAGCGAAGATCCTCAGGAGGACCATTCCGGACCGGAATAGGGGCCGGGAAAGGGGCAAAAGACGAGGGGCAACAGACTGACGCGACGGAGGGCGGCGGCCCAGCCAGGAGGTGCTTTTCGGCACCGCGGAGCGGACCCCTCCCCGCCTATTTCCGGCAAAAATCCGCGCCATTTTTCCCGAGGGCGCGGAGGCAATTTGCGCTGTCTCCCGGAGGAGCCGAAACCCGCTCGGTGCTGGCGCGAGGGCGCATGGTATGGCCCGCGTCCGCAGATGTGGCCGCGGACAGCTTTTTGGGCACCAGCGGGAGGCCTACCCGCCCGCTATTCAGGCGGACAAGCCCGGGCGACCTATCATGGCGCTAATTGGTTTCTGAAATCCGGCTAATTTGAGTACTAAAAACGCGGGCGGCCACCGCCTGCCCCGCCCCGCCCGACGATGGGCGCGCGGCCTGTGTGGCACAAGCGAAAAGCCACTGTGAGTCTACGTCCATTGCCAGGCGAAAAAGCAAAAACATCATAAGCCCCTAAGACGACGCGGCACCTACTACAGAAGATAAGTCTGCCAGCCCATACACCAACGTGGGCGCGTGGGCATTTGCGTGGCAGACAAAAAGATAGCCACGCGAACTGGAATGCCGCCACGCCCTGCCCAAAGACATTGGCTCCCCAGCCAGAAATGGAAAGAAATGAAGGCGGCCCCGGGGCTGGAGCGCCCGGGAACATTTTCTGGCGGCCGCCCTTGCGGGATTTGAGGGAGGGCGGGTCGTTTAATTTACAAAAGGGAAGCAGGCTAATTGATCGCTAATTCTACTCCCGGAACACCCCCCCGACCATCGCAAACGGGCTTGCTAATTTGCATTCTAATTTTTTTGCCCCCCTGTTCTAATTGGTGGGCTAATTCGTGTCTAATTTGCGCAGCTTCCTGTCCCCAGCCCCTGTCTAATTTGCACAACTACCCAAAAAACAAGTGTGATTTTGCCTATCTTTGAAAG